CCCTCTCTCCCTCTCTCTATCTCTATCTTCCCTGCCTAGCACACACATACTTCCCTGCATACAACGGCACAACGCGGCTTTGGGGGAAATCCATCCCGAACCATCCACATGTAATGATAACCGTCCAGCATAGGACATACAGACCAATGCTTAAACCACCACCCTGCATCAATCCGTCAACGCCATCATCACCGCATGCGACTTTTTCCATCGAAATCCCATGCATTATAACCTCCCACCCAGAAATAAATAAATAAATAGATAAATAAATAGAGACGGAGCGCATAGAAGAAAAACGGGGATCCAAGGCGAATAATAATGCACACCAGCCAACAATCAGACCACTTTCTTGGGATTTCTCCCTCTCTCAGGCTCTCTCTCTCTATCCCTCCAGGACCAGTCGACGACGGACGCTTGCCAACGGTTTTCGGAGAGAAAAAAAGGAAAGGTAAGAAAATACCTAAATCTCCCTGGCGGGCGCGCAAGGCGCACGTGCCCCGAACCGTCGGCCGCGGTCGATTCGGTGACGACGACGATGACAACGACGACGACGACGACGACGACGAGGCATACGCGCACGCGACGCACTGTCCATGGAGGGAACAAACGTGGCGACGGAGATCTCCTCCATCCATCGATCGAGCAATCGATCAATCAATCAATGAATGATGATACCTACCAGATATGCCGTAGTAGTACAAGGCTCGAACCTAACAAACAAAAAAAAAGATATCCATTCATCGACCACCTTCACTGATGGAGTTGTAAGTCGTCTTCTCCATCTGACTGAGTTACGAAATCGTGCCTATACAGACAAGGGTATATATACCTAGTATGTATATGTGTACGTGTGTATGGGCGGAGGAGGAGGACGAAGAGGAGACGAGATGACGTCACATACCTCCGGCGAAAAAAAGAGAGGACGGTACAACCTGTGCACGGGCAGGTGGGTAGGCACAGTATTTTAAAGAGAGAGGAGGGTTCAGGAACGGATCCTCACGCGGGGCGACCTGATCGATCGTGACCCGATATCACCGCCGCCAAGAACAACAGGAAGGCGATTTTGTTCCGGGAAGGAAGAGAAAAGCCTCACCGTGGTAGGATAAGCTCCTGCGAGGATGGAGGGACTCCGTTTTTTTCCAGGACTGAACCGAATGATACTATGTTCGGTATGGCATGCATCATGGCACATTCTCTTTTCCATTTTTCCGATTCCGTGGTCTTGCGGGAGTTATAGCAGATTCACCAAATAAATAACAAGGGGTGTGTGATCTCTCTCCTCTTCTCCCTGTCTCTCTCTCTCCCTCTGTCTCTCTCGTGTGTTTGCTACCGTCATTCATCATCGTCGTCATCGTCATCCACCAGGATTGGATGCGGTTCTCCCAGTTCCCAGTTCCCATTGCAGACCGAAAAAGCGCAGAGACTACGAGCAATCCTCCCTCCCCGGAAATCTCCTTCCGAAACCGTGAATCCTGGATATATGCGAGTCTGTATGCGTACATACTTTTATGTGCGCGCGTTGGTGAGGAGGTCAAGAGAACGAAATGGTGGCCTGTTCTGTCAAAATTTCATTTTCCAGGCGGGAAAGCTTTTTTCGCCCTAATCTTCTTTTCTCCACCGATTCCGTCCGGGTCGGATTCTCAGAGGAAATTGCCGGCATGGGCTTGATCCCCGGCACGAGATCCCAAGATTCTCATCGTTTCTTCCTTTTGTTTTCCTGCCGCAACGATCGATCGACTCATCGATGAGGTCAGTGTAGAAAAAAAACAGAGGTTGCCCGATCCGAAAACAGGAGGAAAGAAAGGGGAGCCTCTTCGGAAGAGAGGCGGTCATATCTCCATCAGATCAGAATAAAAAATCAATCGTTGGCCTCGGCCAACTGGATGATCAACCGACTCGCCAAATCCAGGAAAGGATACGGACTGGTGATATCCTTCTCATCGCTCGTCCTGCCCGCGCCGACAAACTCCCTGCCTTTGGAATCGACCAAAACCTCCTCGTGGCCCGACGGCGTCGCGGCGGAGGAGGAAGCGGGAGGAGCGGGGGAAGCAGACGCGCTCGCACGGTCGAGGTCGATGAGGTTCGATAGCGCACTCACGCCGCCGGCGCCGCCGATGTTGTTATTGTTGGAAGATGATGTCGAGGTGAGATGGGTGCCGCTTTCGGAGGCGACGACTTGGGCGAAACGCCGAACCAGCCGCTCGTAGCCGGCGCATTTGAAGTCGACCAGGTAGACGCCGGATTCGATGCTGTAGAGTTGGATGGTGACGTAGAGCCAGCAGGATTCCGGCTGGCGGAAGCCCGGGGCGGATTCGGCGGCGCTGGCATAGGCGGAGTCGGGGTCGTGTTCGTTGTTGTTGGAGTTGGGGTTGCCGGCAGCAGCAGGGTCGGCCGGTTGGGAGGGGGTAAAGGTGAGATGTTCGGGGGTGACTTTGGGGTCGTGGAGGTTCACCTGCGAGCTGTGTGCAGAGGTAGGGTGAGGCGCGCCGACAGGAAGCATTCCGCTCTTGCGGAAGCGAGCGTGGATGACCCAGGGGTCTTCGGGGATTTCATACCCATAGTCGTTCCAGCGACCATGGCGATCCCGACCACGAGCACCACCTCCGCCGCCGAGCTGATTCCTTCGCCGTTCGGCGCGTCTCCGTTCCTGCTCCTCGTGTGTAGCGTACTCCGGGTCAGATCCCGGTCCTGGGTCTGAATCACTGTATTCCGGACTGTTACTCGGCTCACGTTCCTCTGGCCGTCGCTCCGGACTGCCCTCGCCACTGCGAATCCCTGGATCACGAATCGTAGGAACCTGCCATTCCGCACCCATCCGACGAAGCGCTTTGAAAATTGCAAGCATGGCTTCGGCCGGCGAATTCCGACTACGGATGCCAAATTGCCATTTCTGTCCTTTGCGTTTCTTGGCGCTCTTCTCCTTTTCTTGTTGAATAGTCGTCATGGAGTCGGGCTTGCCGGCATTGCGCAGGTTGGCCGTGCTTTTGCTGTGAGGCGTCAACAGACTCCGCATGCGCGCCTTTTCTTCTTCGCTCCGAGGCCGACCCGATTCGTCATCTTCGATTATCGTTGGAACCTGTGATCGATCGATGTGGCCTTTCATATAAGCGGCATGGTAATCTGGTAGAGAAGAAGGTAAGATGGCGACAGTCGATACAGGAGTCCTCGCATCCATAATCGAAGCAGATCCGGTTGAAGCATGTCGCGTGAGGTCGGGAGTAGCGACAGAACCCCCGGATGAACGCACGCTGGACACTCTCGCAGCCGGCGGCGTTCCTTCCATGAATGATTTATGCTGATCCGAGGGCAAGCCCTTCATCTGATCATGACTCTCGCGAACGATGAGATATGCATCTTTGATCGCACTGGGCTCGTCGGCCAGAAGCGCCGCTTGCACATCGTCAAAAGCATAACCCATGGTCTTTCCGAGTCGACCGATGACTGTCCGATGGACTTCAGGATCACCAAGCTTCTCAGGGACGATTGCCCGATTCGGATCAATGGCTTCGGCGTATTCGGGTGCCGCATTGAGGTAGTCTGGCAAGTTCTTCTGAAACCAAGCATTCTCTCGGATGCCCTGTATGGTGATTCGGTTCATTGGATTGACCTGAAGCATCTCTTTGATGAGCTTCTTTGCGCCATCTGAGAGGTATGGTGGGATGGAATAGTGGCCTGTTGCAATCTTCTTGAAGAGTGCCGGGATGTATTCATCGTCGAACGGCAGACGACCAGCCAGTAGTACATAGAGAATGACACCACAGCTCCAGACATCCACTTCCGGTCCAGCATATAACTTTCCACTGATGACTTCAGGAGCGGCATAATTTGGACTACCACAACTGGTCTTGAGAAAGTTGCCATCCGTCATGATGTTGCTCAGACCGAAATCGGCAATTTTGATATTCGCCTGGTCGTCGAGGAGTAAATTCTCCGGCTTGAGATCCCGGTGGACGATCTTGTGACGATGACAATATTCCACTGCGCATATGATCTGCTGGAAGAACTTCCTCGCCTTGTCCTCTTGCATCTTTCCATGCTGCACGATATAATCGAACAGTTCCCCTCCGGCATACTCCAACACCATGATGATGTCGGTGGGGGTGGTGATGACGGTGTACAGTTTGATGATGTGCGGATGCCGTAGTAACTGCAGGTAGGAGATTTCTCGCTCGATGCGACCAGCCATGTCTCTAGCATTCAGCTTCCGTCGAGAGATAATCTTCAGTGCGACAAGGCTCCCGTCCGCGTGATGTGTAGCCAATTTGACCTTTCCGAACGATCCTTCACCCAACGTCTTGACGATGTCATATTGTCCGATCCGCTTTTTCACTTCTGAGGCTTGCGTCGGGCGGGCGATGGGTGCCCGTGACGGCTGTGGAGGACCCCGTTCACGAACATCACGGGCATTGCGTTCGGATTGTGGTCCGGAGATGGCTAGAGCCAGGTCATCGTCATCGAGGGCAGAAGACATGGTCGTGGAGTCGGTGGTCTTGGGCCGACCGGCTGTGATGTGATTGCCGGCTACACCACCTCGCGTCCAAGCAGCAGGTGGTGGATATTGCTTGGATTGCCGTCTGAGCAGGTGAAATTACCGATCTCGGAGTCGGTGAGCTACAGTCTTCCAGCGAAGTCGAGAGTAATGTATGTAGCGAGCGCGCAGACACTGACGCAGGCGGCCGGTGATCCGAAAAGTGGTGATGCTGGTGGGTGCCTGCGCGCGGAGGACATGTGAGTCTCCAAATCGACAATGTTGCTCGCACTGCTGTTTATTATACAGTCGAAGTCGGGGAGTTGAGGAGGGTGTTTCACGATGGTGGGGTCGGGAGTGATGGCAGAGATTGACCTGAAAGAGGTATCGTGCACGTCGCGAGGGCAGGGTTCTGTGGATCGTGAGAGAAGAAAGGTGCACAGGATTGCTTTTCCAGCGCCAATCCGGGCACACGACTTGTGTGTCACCGGGAAGCTGCTGCTGCTGTTGCCGGCTGTGCTGCTGGACGATGGTTGATGAGAGCAGCCCCGGAGAATACGATTTGTCCTTTCCCGCAGTTGTCGTCCTATGGTATTTCAGGTCCTTTTCACATGCCAGCGCACGCCACAAGTATGATTACTGATCAGATGACATATTCCTCTGGCCATCGAATATTCATTTTGTCGAGACGAAGAATTCACTACTAAATAACCCCGGTTTAATCGCCCTGCGTGTGCGCACGTGAAGTCTGTGTGTGGTGGGTTTCATTGAGCGAGCCTTAGAATGCGACGAGCATGAAGTGGCTGCCTCAGGGTAAGGTGGGGATAATGGGTTTGTGATTGAGTTCGGGGGCACTCGAGGCAGGTGCTATCTCTCTCTATCTCTCTATTTCTCTATCTCTCTCCGTTCCAATGTTGTTTCCTTCCCTGGGTAAATTGAGGGAAGGTCAAGCGAAGGTATCTGGCGGGGTTTATCCCTGTCCGAGACAACTTTTGACGAGGGAAAACTGCCCGCTGCGTCATTGCCGTAAATACTCCAGTATATCCACTACTGTACCATCGTGTAGGAGAGACTGATAATAATAACAACGGAATCTATATCGAATCCTCACGCCAAACGGCCTATCTCTAGCAAGGTAATTATCAAGGAACTTCAGAAACGTTTCGAATTGGACAAGACGTTCTTGTCTGACTGTTGCCATTGATAGGGACTTCCAAAGACATTCTCCCGAGTGTTGGACGTCGACTGGGCGACGGAAAGAGATATATCATTAGACTCGCGATAATCAGAAGAAGTTATGAATCTCACCCGAAGTCCTATGCATTAACTCATTCTGTATCCATTCACTCACTAATCGACAAGAGAAACAACACGTCAAGTCAGCGCACTCCGCGGTCAAAAGCCGCAACCCCAAGCCCCGGGACAAAGTTCGGTCGAGTTGGGCTTACCGCAACCCTAAGGGTATTTCGACCGGATGGGGGGATCACTCCACCAACCGCAGGTGTAGGTGTAGTCAGACTGCTGCGGGTTCGAGACGACGTAGAAGGATGAACAAACGAAGATAGATCGATTATCCTCGTCGATATCTAAAATCTGATGGATATCTAAAATCTTGTCGATGTTATTTCTCCTATTTTTTGACGTAGATGTTCATACGTGGTCCAGAGATCTCCGGACGGACTCCTCCTCTCATCTCTTTCTCCTCCTCGTTTGCCTTTTCTCGTCCTCGTTTATTTGTTATTCCCGAAATTGCCCTTCTGCGTCGTGAAATCAGACACGACGCCGAGGTTGTCGATCCGTCCCAGAAGGAATTCGAGCTGGCGGTATGCGGCGGTGGGCGCGAATTGCGGAACCATGTGGCCTGACGGCAACCGTTAGCCTCAATTCCTCGACGGTGGGAAGGGGATGAGAGAGAGAGAGAGAGAGAGAGAGAGAGAGGTGGAGAGAGCAGTAAAGTAGGAGAAGAAAAAAGAGGGAAGAAAACAAAAACTCACCAGAGAGCGCAATCGACGAAAACGTCAGCCCTCGCTCCGTGTTCCACTTCCCGGCCACGCCGCTTCCACCCGCAGTCTGCGGTCCGCCGGGCTCGGCGTGATACGGGACGTAAAAGTCCTTCCACTTCGTCGGCGGGGTGGAGAAACCCTGGGCGCCATTGAAGGTCATGTTCTGGATGCTGGCGATGGTGCCGTTCTTGATGAGGACCATGTCGAGGTCGCCGTGGGCGATGACGGTGCGGGTGTTCTTCTCGATGACGCGGGGGAGGACGGAGAGGCCGGAGGGTGGGGAGGTGTCGGTGTCGAGGACGCCGGAGGAGCATTCGGCCCACTTCTGCGCGGGCGCGTTGATGGCGCGTTGGACGTCCGGGCGGTTGAAGTATTCGGTTGTGCCCGGGGGTAGGAAATCGAAGGAGCCTGGGAAGCCGAGCACGTCCCATTGCAAGGGGCAGATGACGGAGACTTGGTAGATGTTGAAGCAGGGGTTCGTCAGGGTGACGGCGCTGAAAACGTCGTTGAAGAGACCGCAGCCGGGGACTGAGCTGTTGGGTGGAGAGGGAAGAGGGCCCTTGGGAGGAAAGACGAGTGATTTGGCGAGGAAGTCTTCGTAGCCGCAAGCCTTGTGCTGTTTGTGGAGGTAAGAGGTGAAGGATGCGTTCAGGTTGAACAGACCTGCCCAGGAGTCGACGAATGGCGCCACCACGACATCCTGCTGGACATTGTCATAGCTCGTGACGGGGTCGTACATCAGCGTGGATTTGATGTTGTAGTAGGTCTTGTCGGTTTTGTTGTGCATGGCATCGGCGATGTATGGGACATAATATCCCGCGTAAGACTCGCCTGTGATGTAGATCTTCTTGCCTTGTAACGAGAAGGTATCAATCAGGTTCTTCCAGAACCCTAAGAACTGTGCAGCCACCTCGATTTCGTTTGTGGCACTGGGCGTGCCCTTCTTCTGACTGAAGCCGGTCCCGGCAGGTTGCTCAACCCACACGACATTGCTCAAAGTGTTCCATGACCACGGATTTTTGTAAGGCTTGTAAGTGCCTGGTTGCCAAAGGAAAGGACCATTCTCCTGGAGAAGTCCTTCCAGACTGCTGCAGCCGGGTCCTCCGTTAAGCCAGATGACAATCTCTGTGAGCAGACAAATGTTAGCCTTGCCCGTCCGAACTTTGAAATGTGCAGTAGTGATAATTCAAATCTGAGCTACACGTACCGTCCTTGGCCAGAGGATTAGTCGATGGGAAGAACCAAAAGTACAACTCGCTGGCATCGGGTTTATCCGAAATCGGCAACAATCCAGCATAACCTGGAAGCGATTCAAAATACGTCAGCAATGACATCCCAACATCACAAAGTCGTTCCTCCAATCTGATCTTCCACGTAGAAGGGATGATCTTCTACCACTTCTCGATCAACCTCGGAAGATACGCACTCTCGCCAATATCAAAGTTCACCTCCGGGATCTTCGTCCCGTCCACCTTGAACTTGGTCGTGTTCTTGTTCTGCGGGATGATGGAAGGCTTGGCCGGCGATCCGTAGGTTGCCGTGGTCGTGTAAGCCTGGCTGTCACGCGCATGTAGGTAGTTGAGGTCATCGCGGCCGAGGTAGCGTGCAGGCGAGGCCCGCGCTGCTGCGGAGCAGACGTATGCCGCGAGGGCGAGGAGGGTGGCGTGGTGCATTGCGTCTTGTCCTCTTACCCTCTCTGTTCGTGTCTGGTCTTGGGATTGAGAGATGGTGGACGGGATCGTTCAACGAGGAGAGGGAGGACGAGAAGAGAAGAAGGGAGAGAGAAAGGGAAACGGAGGAACAACAATGAGAAAGACCGTACTCTCATGGCCTACCTTTTTCCTCGCACTGGCATGTGAGAGCTTGCCAATGGCAAAGCAAGAGATCATTAGACAGACCGACAAGCTCCCACTACAATAGCTTCAGCTTCTAGGAACGCCATCGGGGCTTCGCGACCTCTTCTGGAAAGGCTGCTAGAAGGGGAAGGTGAGATGCCTAGTGACGATAGAAGGAGCACTAGAGAACAGGAGTGTGACAGCCCTTGAGGACAGAAGAGAGATAAACAAACGGCTGCAGGTTGATGCAACCAAAGAGAGTCCAGGCTAAGCATTTCCTGGCGTTATCTTTGCTTGGTTCCATGGCGGATGATCTGCAGGTTCGGAGATGGTGGCGCACGTGAGGGCCAATCGTAGACGCTGGAAGGAGGGGCAGAGGAGCGAAAAGACAAGACGGGACGAATGAATCATAGTGATGGAACGGGACGATGCTTGTCGTGATGGTTAAATTATTAGGTGACAGTGGTAGTGTTAGTAGATGGTGTAGTCGGTGATGGCGTCGTCACATTGGAGCCGACCATTTGAATGGAGCTCGTCGCGGCGGTTGCAACTGGCTGGTCATTGCATTTCCCCTCCACACCTCTCGCGCGTTGGTGATGATGAGGAGGAGTACATCCAGTCACGGAGATGAGCGACGATCTGATGCGGCGCAGCGTCTTGGAATGGAAATGGAACAGATAACGCGAGAGAGAAAAAGAGAGAGAGAGACACACACACAGTCAGGACAAACACTGCAACAACAGGGCTGACGATCGACATCCTCGGTCGGCGAGTGCCCTGTAGCTGTTCCATGCCCGCTCGTCACGCGACACGCCAATGTCACCACACACACAAACACACACACACTCTCTCTCGCAGAAACAGCAGCACACAGCAAGGAAGAACTGAAGTCATCAAGGGGTTCGTCTAGACATACAGATACCGAGTCAACCCGACAAAATCATCACCATCACCAATCGTCCCTCTACCGCCACCAAAAAAACAAACAGATCAGATGGTGACCAGCAAGCCCCGAGAGAGATAAGGAAGCTCTCCCCACACGTGAAAACCAAGACGCCCGGGCGGGTGAAATTTCGAGATCGGCACCGCATATGACCAAGTCTGGACACTGCTCCGTTCCATCGAGACAAGGGTAAAGTATCGGTCAGACCAGGAACTCTGCCTGCTGAATAAAAACGACAACTCATCCGGGACTCCGCCTGTCGGGCCGGGAGACGAGCGTGCCACGTATTCAGTAATCGGGGATACCGAGTATCTGATGATTCATTCGTCGGCGCCTGCCCATTCGGCCTTATCTCAGATGATAACCCATGGATACGAGATCGGATAAACGTGTTGTATGCACCGTAGTATTTTGCGGCACGGGCCAAAACAAGAAAAACAACACAAAAAAGGATTGCATCATTGCGTTTCTATCGTCGTGATTAAATCAGGTGATGAATTATGCAGGATGAATCATGATGAGAGAGACCTCCTGTGGCGCGGCCGGAGGAGGGAAACGTCGAAGAACGAACTACTGTAAGAACATTCTGCGGTGTTTGATGGTAAACAGTCGAGTGTATCCCGGAAGGGGAGGGGGGCACCTAACAATCCCATATGAAAGGGAGCTGAGGGAGCACTGTCCCTTTCCGCCAGAATCAATATCTCCTCATTCATTGCTATGTACACATTGCCATACGACACAACCTGAGCGACGACGGGAGAGCTCCCCTACAGCTCAAAGACCTCCTGCACATCCTTCCAATCCCCATTCGCCCTCCGATGCCAATACTCCGCCTCTCCGGCATGACTTCCCGCCTTCTTGAGCACCCAGACCTCCTCACCCTCTTCCACAGCGTTGTTGTCCCCAGGAGATGAAGAAGAAGGGGAAGAGCCGAAAGAAGGCGAAACCATCTTCTCGAAAAACTGCGGCGTCCACTTCCGACCGTGTCCCTCGAGGACCTTTCGACGGGAGCGTTGCCGCTCCTCGAGGCGGGCCTTGAGCGCCTCGGCCCGGTCGATCTCGCCGCCTTCCAGGGCCTGCTGGTCCGGACGTAGGCGGGAATCCGTCGGGGGCAGATGGCCGCGCTCGATATCGGTGACTTCGTTCAGGGCGGCGGCGAAGGTGGTGAAGCCATATACGCGAGGGGCGTCGGGGACGAGCGAGCCGACGGTCCAGACGACTTCGTCGGTGTCGGTGCGGTGGAGGCCTTCGGTCCATTTGCCGATCAGGCCGAGGGGGAGGGATTCATCGCCGTCTAGGATTTGCACGGAGACGTCCTCGCTGCGGCCGGAGAACATGCCGCCGGCTTTGAAGGTGGCGATGGCGCGGAGGTGGCTGGTTTCGCTTTGGATGGTCATGGTTTGCACAGGTTCAACGTATTTCTCGCCGGCGATCACATTGCGGAGAAAGCAGGTCGCCTGGTTCCATGAGTAGCGCTCCTGGGAGGCATAAAGCACAACCCGGGCGCGACCTTCGGTGTTGAGCTCGACGGACTTGCCCCAGAACTTCTGGATCGGCTGAGGAGATTGCGTAAAGCACCAGCCACCATTGTTCAAGCTCTCTGCTTGACAAGCTGTTCGGACAGGGTGATGCGAGACCTTCTCGGCGACAAATCGAAACCCGAGATCTTCCCGAACGAGCTCAAAGGTTTCGCCGAGCATCGGATTGAAGGGTTTGCGGATCGCTCGCTCTTTCACACGACTGTTGGCGAAGTAGGATATGGCAAACGCGGCCACGTACATCAGTCGCTCTGCAGGGGAAGTATCTATAGAGGCGGCCGAATCCAACAGTGATGCATACTCCATGCTTTCAGCCAGACGCTGGAGTAAAGAGGTAGGTTCGTTCGCTGTCACCGGCATCGATACTGTAGACAAGTCTTTGCCGGCATTCTTTCGAAGGAATCCGATGATACTCGGCGGTGCTTGCTTCGGGGGCTGAATTGTAGGCCGGCGTACAACAGGACCCAATGGTAGAGGTGGAAGACTATCCGGTCGAGAGGGGAACTCGCCCTTCGTCTCTGGTTTAGGCGCGCCGAACACCACGGAACCTGCCAGTCCACCTGCTTCACTGCTAGTGTCTGAATCGTAGTGCTGCTCCTCACGCGCATCACCAGCCTCACTTTCGGTGTTTCGGCGAATCTTGAGGAGCTGCGAAGCTGCCCTCGCCCCGTCATCGGCATCGAAATACTCCTGCTCATCGACGGATTCCATCGAAAGGCGCGAGACGGATGTCGCCAAAGGAGGATTCCGTCGCGCTTTGCTTTCGGATAGAAGTGCCGTGAATTCTGCAACTACGGTATCGAGATCGTGGAGCAGTGCCAGGCATCGCTCATGAACATCGGTCGTCACCGCCGGAATCTGTGTGGTACTCGGTCGTCGCGGAAGCAAGGAGAAGTTGCCCATCACGGGACTCGTCGGGCTCGCGATTGTAGGTGATGGTACCGCAAGCTGCCCTGATACGCTTCGTCGGAACACCGTCGAGGGACTTCGATCAGCACTGGTCTTTCTTTTCCAGAACGATCGTCGGTCTGCAGCTTGCTCGTCCATGTCTGGAAAGTAAGGGTTACTGGCATCGTTGGACGGACTCGGCAGAGCACTGTGGTTGCTGGGTACGTTGAGGCCCAAGCCTGATGTTTGAAGTCCAGCTGTGGATTTTGGATCAGTGTCCTTTGCAAGGCCACGCACTGCATCTCGAGATCCCGAGACAATACTGACAAGTCGTTGAACTTGATCCCATTCGTCATCTTCTCTAGGATCTGCTGGAACAGCGGAGACCGGTCGTGCCTTGTTGAGACTTTTCGCCGGCGTCGGAGGCAGTGAAGCAGCCGTTGTCGAAGCCCGCTCCAATGCTTCCCGCCAGCCGTCGAAATCTTTTCGATTCAAAGCCTTAAGATGCCAGACTTCGGCGCCCGAGTCTACGGAGAACTCGCGCGTTTTCTCATTGACACCAACCGCGGCTAGAGATAATGGAACTGCTCCGCGCAAGGCAGATGAGTGTCTATCGCGATAGTATGATAACGTCGAAGATGTGAAGTCGAGAGAGAAATATCGCTTGGCAAATCCTTGACCCTTCTTACGCTTCTTTTTGGAGAGCACGCCGGTATAGAATGTTGTACCTTCGAGACCCTTGACTTCTAAGAAGCGGCCGTGTTTCGAGACTGGCCTCGGATCCTCCAGCACCGCCCGATGCGCATTACTTTGCGACAGAGAATCTGTGGACTCGTGGGCCGAACGTATGGTCGGTGTGTTTCCTACGCTCGAAGATCTGCCATTGGAACTCGCTTGGGAGTAATGTAGGTGATGTCCCGACTTGGGCGGTGCGTTTGTCGGATGTGTGATGAGCACAAACGTCACATTCTTGGATGTCTGCTTGGAAAAGGTGTTGTCAAACACCAGTCCATATGTTCCGCTCTCGCCTTGTTGCACATCATATCTTCCCATAGACACTTTATCCGCCTCGCATTTCCCGGTCCATGCCACAGACTTCATCCCGATGCTCTGCAACTTTTCCACGATCTGACTTCCCTGGACAGACTCTCGTCTGGGCCTAGGCACATCTTCGACTGCTGGCGTGGGAGGTACACTGGCCTCATCGACGTGGTCCTGTGTTGGTAGGTTGGGGGTAATGCCATTGCGAGTGCCCGGGTGTTTGAAGATGCCGAAATTGATTCCCTTCTTGTGAGGCTGAACCGTCCATGATATCGAATGGTATTCCGGTACCTGTATCCAACGAACCAAATAGCTCTATCCAATGAGAGATCACGTTAGTAAGCGCAATCATTTAATCATGTGGAAGCTACCGCATCTCAATCGCAGTGCACAAAGGCAAGATGTACCTTGGAGTGCACCACAATCTGTTCGATCCCGGCCATGGTGTGGTAGCTTCAGCTGTGTTTTCGACGACCCCTCGAGCTTGGGAGGAACGTGTTCTGCGTACAAGTCCCCTCAATTGTGCACTTAAGAATATTCCGAGGCGTGGATCGTCATCGGCATGAGAAGTAAAGATGCGACTGCGGATGTGATCTCGTCGAGGTATTGCGCTGCATAACTTCGGTTTAGGCAGCCATCCGATCGCTTCACGTACGAGATCTTGGAAGCGGCCAGTGGACAGTCGCGCGGGTTCTAGTCGAAGCTGAAGCTCCGAATCCGCACGGAGGTTGTTCAACGGCCGAGCCGACCGGTGAAATGGCGTGAATGAGGTTCATAGCCAACGTGGTTTAGGACGCGCTGGGCAATGGGACGATAGGAGAACATTGCGAGTGTTTGAACAGGGCAGGAGATTAAATCTGACCTGTATAATAATATCATACGATTCATTGTAATTGTTTGACTGGATGCGGATGCTCCTTTACACGGTCTGATGACCGTTGATGATGGTCTGCCCGGATTGTCGAGCCTCTCAGCCTGAGGCATACAGAAGCCGCAGCCACGCCTACATCGAAGGATGATACGTCCAGGTTCGTGAGTCGGATATCAATGGATGAGCACCGCGATCGAGGCGTGACTAAGTCTGTGAACAGTCTAGTATAGATGAACGACTCCTTCGACGGCACAATTCAGACATTGCGCACAATTCGTGCATAACCTGGGCGAAGAGATGCATCATCGGCGATTCCTGTTCTGCCTGCCCTTATCCACCACCAAGTAGACATCAAGGCCTCATGATCTATCGCAATTTCGTAGACGTTCACCATCAACAGCCCAATGGCACTGGAGTGCTTTGGGCAAATCTCTGAAAGGTGACAGAGAAGAATCGTTGTGAACCACAACGTTGGAATTGTCACCAAGATCCAATGACGTAGCGCAACGTTCGATTCTGCACATCTTCAAGGCAGAGGACAGTGAGCACCCGGGAAACAATGATACCAATGAGCGAACGTCAAGCCCATCCAGCGCCAAAGCGCCACAAAGTTTCCGATAGAATGTTCGATCATGCCCATGTGTGAAGAACAACAGGGATAATTGTGTGTATTCCCCCGTAATCCACGAACCATCGCCGAACGTTCCGGAACCCGAGAGGCGGAAAGGCAAAAGACGCCAAACGAGAAAATGAGGCTGGCGATGGTGGAATCCCGACACGAGGGTGAAAGAAGTCCGATCATCCCATGATCGCACGGCCTGCAGGAGGATCGCATATGTGTGCATGCCGAAAAAACGTGCCGTCTGACGTCACACTTCTGGACATATCTGCTTTGTCGTGTGATGATGTGAGGATTAGAAATCAATGTTTTTCACAATAGTCGCCATTTCGTATTGAGGCAGGTTTACGGTTCTCGTCAGTGCCGCGTGGGTGCAAGGGGTGGAACGTCTGGAACTTGCAGATCACCGTTTCCGATCTATGAAGTTCGGTCGACAATTCGGTCAGCGAGTGTCGAGTGATGATCGCGCCTTCCTGCCGCTTGGGATAATCTGATCCATCTCTGCCCATGATCGCCATTCAGCTCATCACGCCGATCAAAGAGGCCCATGTTGCTATTGTATGGGATGATGCATGTTCTTATGCCCATGAGTCGAACAGAAAATCGGGTCGCATGCTGGAACAAGCCGTGGCTGCGAACGAGTATGACGACACGCTTGCATCCCACGCGTCTACAAGTCGTCTCTCTCCCACGGCGCTGTGGAGAATCGCTGACTGTCCAGCAGCAGGCACCGTCACATTCCGTCTTCCACACAAGACAACGCGGTCGATCGATGACGCAAAAAAAAGAGGCTGAAGAGAAGGCTTGCAGGCGATCATAGATGGGGAGGCAGGCGTGAGCGATGCAACGCACGCATCGATCGTGAGAGAGAAAACCCGGCCCTTGGCCCGATCAGGACCTTGCGCTTTTCCCTTCCCTCTACGGTCCACCCACGCCTTTGAGTGGGTCAATCAGCGCGGTCAGTCGGCGAAGGAATGATCGCCGAACGTCCGTCTCGGCGACGGTCTTGGTCTGTATGATGAAAGTCAAACAGGCCATACTGTAATGAGTTGTCATCAGTGGAGACATCTTGAAGGATGGCAGGGAAATGAAGGATGGAGGCGACCATTGATCAAAACCATCCATCTCGTATCATCCATTTTGGCGCAAAGCGATGACGAAGACAAGGAAATTGCCATGCACATAATGAGAATGTATTAGGGTAATACACGATGCACGTACACACAGTACTGCAAACATCGATACTACAGAATGAAAACTCGAGAACTTTCTATAGATGGCTGCTATGCTAGTGATCATTTCATTGATTTACGAGCACAAAAATATAAACAATTCCACCGATGGGAACGACGACATGGAATTAAATAAAGACAATAGTGGTCAAGATATTGTAGTTAAGAAGATGGGTTGGACGACGGCGCTTCACACGCAAACGGCGCATGGGAGCACACCATGAGGATTGTGAATACCCATTAAATTCCCATCACAGTAATCATCATGACAACTATAACGCAGACATTCACAGAGATGTAGAGTAGAACAAATGATCACAGTTGTGGAAACGATGAAATTGTGTGATTGCCGCGAATGTTCGCGACAAGAAAAAAACCGCCCTCGCGGCGAGGTTTTGGGGTATCTCTGAAGGCAACCTCGCTGGTTGTAGCTAGCAATACAAAAAGAATCGTGTGTGAATCAACAACACACAAATATGAATTATGTCCCCCACAGGGAGTGTCAGACCGTGATGTGTCTGCCCTGTTTCACCATTTCGAAAAAAGACACAAGAAAAATCAAAATCCCAGAACTTTTGTAGTGGTCGGGTGTCATTCCCGCCACATTTTTGTTGACACAGTAAAAATCAAATGCTAAAATGCAATAACGCCGTCGCTTTTGTTGGAAATGTTGTCGATGAACGCCGATTTGATGTTCCCCATTTTGGTTTGTCGTAAAATGCTCGAGTGGGCCGAAAAGGCCTTTAAGCTTGAGTAGAGTTGAGTGTGTGAGAGAGATCGCGGTGCAGAAAGATGCCCCAGGTCAAGTGATGCAAAACTTTTGTTTGTCGTAGAAAACCCGGAAGAAGATCCCACCAGCGCCGTCGCTCAGATAAAAAGTTGTGTTGAATAAAGAGAACTTGCAGTGTCGCCATGTTTTTTGGACCGCGAGAATCGAGAACCAGCTCGCAGGAATTATTAGGAAATAGTAGAGTAGAGATGTCGAATCGATGATTTGAAGAAAAGGAAACCGCAGGCCCATCGAGGAGCACGTTTATGCGGACCGACGGCCGAAGATGTTGCCCAGAGCAGTACGAGCAGCGCTGCCAGCAGAGTGGATCGAAGCGCTGGAGTCAGCAGATGAGTTGCTGTCGCTGCGGTGAGTCTTGGCCTTGTTGTCGATGGCGTGAGCCTTGGACGAGCTGTGGAAGAGGTTGCCAGCACCACCACGGCCGATGTGGTAGATGGGAGCTGATTGAGTCTCACGCTTCTTGATCATCTCCTCGTCGAACTGGAAGATGGCCTCGGTCTCGTGGAACATGTTGCCGGCACCTCCACGGCCAGCGGGGACAGTTCGAGAGACAGGCTTGGTGAGGGCGATTCGTGAAGCGGGACCAGTGGCGTTGGGGCCAGATGTGAGCTCGCTGGACTTGTATCGCTGGTAGTTGCCAGCACCGCCGCGACCACCGCCGATGTAGCCACCGGACTTGGGGACGGATGGGTGAGGCTCAGTGACGGAAAGGTTGCGAGACATGTTGATGATTATGATGTGATGTGTGTTGTGATGTGTGGAGCGTTGATGAGGCGGTTGATGAAGCTTGGAAGTGTTGATAGATGTGATTGTGTTGTTGATGATATTGAGTTATACAACCTTTTTCAAACTGAGAGGTGGTGGACGAGGCTTGATATATACACGATCGCCTCCGTTGAACCATCACACACCAACGGTGTCACCACGAAGAGACACGCGGACCCATGCACCCACACGCATCTCAGATTTCCATGACCAAGAAGAATGTAACCGAAAGCCCCAAGCCACGCAGTGCATCATTCCTCGCCCAGCAGAAATTGCCCGTGATCATGGGACCTGACGCCGTGCGCGCGCGCTTTCCAGTTAACGGCACAGCTCGAACAGCGCAGACAGAGAAAAGTCTGCATGACTTTTTTGTCCCGGATCGTGACACACCCAACGGCGGCTTGGCTTGCGCATTAGCGGCCATGGCACACACATCCACACACACACCACTTGGATGACCGGAATGGAGGGGTGGGAAAGTACGAACCGCCACGCCACGCCTCTCTGCGCGCGAACCTTCCCAAGCTGGCAGTTGTTGCAGTACATGGACGGTCTCGTCCTTTCTTTTCCTCTTGGCCGGCAACACCGACTTCGACAAGATTAATGGACTACGCCTCTATAGTGCCAAGCGTGCGTTTGGAATGGGGGGTGGATCTCGGCGGGTATTGTCTTTGATGTGGATGGGATGGTTTGCTGGTCTGCTCTTCTTATTATGCAAGACGATCACAGATGCAGTCTGCGCTTATATCCAATCGTATGCTACATGCCCCTAGGCGGCAGGAGATGGCGATATAGTATGTGCTCATTATGCTACCCCATTGAATACTGTTGTCAAATTATTCGGCACTGTGTGAGTGTCTGAGGCGATCCAGCGAAGGATATACAGACATCTCCACTATTGATGAAGGATTGAGAAATTCTACCCACACGCGAGACCCCGATGAATTTTTTTCAAAATCCGGATCGTCCAGATGACGATGGTGATGAGGCGAGAAGGCGAGAGAGATCCTACTGTGCCATCCAGCCGCAAGAAGCAGCTCGATTCGAGAATTTCAGGGCCAAGTCGCCTGCACAACTCATACACACCCACCATCAACCATCACAGTACAAAGGCGTCATGGAAGGACAATTTTCTTCTCGGTGAATGCAGGCATTCTTGCAATCCTCCAACTCGGGGTGCATACCGCAGGAAGAGAGGGACCTGCGCACTGCATCCACAGTCATACAGTTCGGCATCACCTTCGGCGGCTGATGATGGAACACGCCACGCATCTCATTTTTCCGGTCACGTTCATCCGGTCCTGCATGTCGCATACTCCGGAACACAATGGTCATGGCATCATTCCCGGTCAGCTTTGCGCATGGTACAGTAAGAACACAACACGTAGGATTCTGGTGCCTTTTCGCGAGGCCGTCAGATCCGCGCGGGAGAATGTTTCGTGATGACCCTGTTGCGTCAAACATGCCGTGGATTGCGGAGTTTTCCATGCTGTTCGCTTTCCAGAGCTCGGTCTTTCGCGACTTGGCTTTTGGGTGGGAGGACGGAGAGGGAGGGAGAGAGCGGTGGGATGCCATAAACTCTCCCGCGTCGTGAGGACCAGAGCAAGCAAAAAAAACGTGTGTGGTTCTGTCGCTGTCGCATCGCGTCGGCTTTCTGGCCCAGCGTTGCTCGGCCGGCACTTTGACCCCATGTTCCAACTGCTGCACCGGGCTCCCAGGACCTGAACCATAAAAATTCTCCCCTTCGTAGAGATTGCATGCGGGCAGCGTCCGCCATTGTCACAAAGCCCAATGCATCATCAGCCCTGGCGGCGCCACTGTCAGCGATCGCGCCTCCTGGTGGAGTTCTCGAAGTGACACCGCTTCATTCCAACTATGCCAGTGTGACCGACTAAAACGTGCCGTGATCAGTCTGAGGAGTCGTTGCGTCTACTCCTCACGTGCGTGTGACCATGCTGCGACAGGGCGAGAATCTCCCCTCGCTTGAGTATAGACCAGGCCAGGCACACGATTGAGCAAGCGAACAGGTGCGGAGAGGGCGCGCCAGCAGCGGAGCAAAGCAGCGAATTTTTAGCAGCGCTTAGCAACGGACGGCAAAGTACGACCAACGAGAGCCTGACATGATGATTGATGATCGAACCACATGGCCCGAGGACTGGCTGGCTGACTTTCTGGCTTGCTTTGCTGCCGGCGAGGCCGCGTATGCAAGGGAAGCGCGAGTGCCAGAGTATTCCACTGGCAGTCATCTCATCATTGAAACACCATCGTGACCGCGCGCCATCGCATCATGCTATTTTCCCGCCAGCTAGGCCAGCGATGACCAGTGGACAGCATCACGTGGGACGACAGTGTATGATTCATGGATCAATCACGACGGAAACCGTGCTGTGGGCGGCACGGTGGACCATTGAAGTGCAACTTGTCCCCAACATGCCTTTCTCCTCCCACCAAAAAATCGATGGTGCAATTCGGCCATTATGCAAGAATGAGTTCCTATTACCCCCAGGAAACCTCAATCGGGCGGTAGGTTACGCTCCCGCCGGGCGCCCGGATGACCATACGACGACGCACGCCCGCCCGTCCGTTTGTCCTAAGCCAATTCCCCGCCGTCCGCCGCCGTTGCCGAGCGAACGGTTGGTTGGCTTCATTCTCTCTTTCTGTTCTCTGCGTGCGTTCCAGCTCTCTCGCCTGATGTTGCTTGCTGGTGCCGCTGGCCATCAATGAGAATGATAGATTGTGCGAACCACATAAACATTCGCTCCCGCTTCCAATCGATTCCCACGTTGCATCGAGTGGGTTCGCGCAGACAATTAGCCTTGAGGAAACGTTAACAATGCCTCTTGAGCAATCGATGTGGGTCGCGGAACAATAATCAAAAGAGGTTACCACGTGCACGCTTCTGTTGGATGAGGGCTTGCCTACGGCGCCCACCATCGAACAAGTCCGCCTCGAAACCAGTGCATCATGAACCAAGCTCCTCAATCACATAGCCATAGGGCTTTTTTTACGTCTCGATCTGATCGAAGCCCTCAAATGAAGAGATTTCAACTGATGACTGTATAACCCCCCCAATGTATACGATCGTGAGATTCGGAAGGAGGATCCAATTTTTGATGACCGCCGAGTCCCGCACAGCATTGACCCATCAATGTCATCAGTCACTCGAAGACACGGACTATTAGAAACTCCACTCCAATGGCTCATCAAGTGGGGAAGAAAGTCTTGACGCGTGGACTGCACTCACCAACATTATATGCCGTAATAAATGCGACTTCTACCAAGGAGCCAATGGGTCCCTAGTACTACAGCCATTGGTCGGGGCTCATTGTGCCATCGTGGTGCAGCGCTGCATTGAACAATGCCAGCATCGGAAGACGTAAAATAGAGGACACGTCACGATATGTCTTCGATCCCCATCACATAGTACATTCCCATCTCGTCGTCATCATCGTCACCGATTCCATTCACCGGATGCGATCCGCGGAAAGGGACCGAAACACTTCCAAGAATTTCACATTTAATTTCCATCGCGACGTTGCCGAGCGTCTTGTCCTGCGAAGCACGCCCGCACAAAAGGCTTGGCCGTCCTGGCGGAGAGCGGAGGGGGGCTCGATGGGGGGCACTGGGTGACAGTCTAGCAACTCTATTTCATCGCGATCGGTTGGCGGGCCGGAAAACATTTTCACCGTTCCTTCCCAGGTGCGACAAGATTACCCCAGGATTTCCCATCCAATGAATCCGCCCACGGGTGTGACTGTCTCCGCCTGGTACGTGACTCGCGACCCCCCCTGGTCGAGTCCCAGTCCAAGAGTCTGGGCAATAGGCACCGTGCTGGAATTACAGTATAGAGCACAATAAACGGCGGAGGATGATCCGCTTGGCGCTGATCTCGCCGTTCGCGCTTGGCGGCGAGAAAGACCGAAGACGACAACTGATGTATCGAAGAAAGCGAGGCCCGTGGAAAAGGTACTGTGCACAACCAAGGCGCTAATTCCCCGCAATTGTGTTTAGTCAAAAGGCTTGGTATTTTTCGCCCAGGGGGATGTGTACGTCCTTGGCAAGGACGCGTTCATCAGGAGAGAAATCATACAATGATCGTAAATTGTGACGATGAGAAATAGTGCCTTCCTGTTGTTGTAGGAATGCTGACTCCGGGACGATGACCATGCATCATCGTGAGGAAAGCGATTGTTTCCCAATTGACGTACTTGCACCCGCGGACAGCATACGCAGCCCAAGTGGTGACCTTTTCTCTGACGAAATATTTACCTAACCGAAAGCGCACGTACCGAGCAGTTGCATGCACTCATCAGCATAATGACAAGGCCGCTCTCTCCGCCTGCCCGTAATGGCTCTTTCAGTCAATGAACGCATCGCAACGACAATAATAAGTCCGTGTTATATTGCCTCCATCCTTGTACTGTACAGGTGACAGTGCAGCGAGAAGGTAGTGTGTTTTCCACCCGACCGAACGAACAAGTGCTCTTTCCTCCGCCTTTTTGATCTTCAACTGTGATCGGCAGACTCTAGATGCATGGTGACCCAAACGGCGTGTTCACACCCTGATAATATCGTTGTTCTTGCAATATCAATATACAGGGCTGCACGCGACCAGTTCAAAGTACGTTCTCGGTTCGCCCCTGGCTAAATGGGCAGCGGCGCTTCCGTCTTGAGAGCTACGACTTGGCGGAGCGATGATCAGGATGATCACTTTGTCTTCCTTCCTGCATTTGATGATCTTTTCCCAAAGATTTCTCACATTTTGGCGTAGATGGCAAAGTTTTCATAGGGCAGTGTACAATTGCGGAGTCGAGGAGCAACTAGGGGTATTCATGTACAGTACAAGAGGAACTCACGATCGGTAATGATGGATGCTGCATGGACGTATCCTGCAACCTCGAGGCATTATGCGGTATGCCGAGCAACGCAATGCGAGGCAGAGCAAGGTCCGTCTGCAGAAGGATATTCTCACTCTGGCTCTTGTCGTTCCTGGATTCGTGTGGCCCATCACGGGAAATGCAAGGCATCATCACCGCCCTTCATAACTAGACAGATTCTACCAGGTCAATGGAGGTTATGTTCTGTCACTCCGCCATTCTTCATCACGACGACGACGACGCCAGCCAGCCAGCCAGGAGCCGGGGTTTCAAACCGGCTATGCTTCCCCGACCGTGCATTGGCGTGCGAAATACACTCTATCATCCGGTGACCACTGGGTTCGGCGGTGTGTTCGAACAGAAAGCATACCGAAATTTAAAACCCGAAATTGCCTGGTGCACCGGCCCTTGCGTTCATGTCCTTAAGGAAGGTTATCAGACTTGAAGGTGCAATGCACTCAGGCCTGACATGCAGGTCAACAAATAATGGGATTGCACCATGATGAGGGAGATGCACACGATGCAGTTACTGCGAAACACCAAAACCTGTAACGAAAGGTTGGTGAATCAATATGCAGGACTTCTCACCGGGCTCTGTGTCTCTCACATACATCTCACTCTGCGCAATGACCTCTTCCTAGCACGTCAGCAAACGACCTCACATGCGGCACGCTCAGAGGACGAATGAGAACTTTCCATCCTGCGGGCATTTCCTACGAGTCAAAAGCGTCCACACGTGGCGTCGTAATCCTCATCGTCAAACGAATGGGTCGCATGTATGCACAAAGGCTCCTTGTTATCCTGCACACGAGGAGTTAAAGCCTGCCGTAAGACCCGAGGTGGTTGGTAAAATGAAGGCTTTCCTCCTCATCTGCGACACGCAACACATGACCTGGTTGTTCATTGGCCAAAGGCGTGGCGGCGTGCGCCAGGCAGGAAAACCACACGTCCAGGTGAGCGAGGCGGCGACGGCGGCAAAAGCTGTCATCGCGATCATCTGATCGACGCCTCCATCTCCGCCTCCCCGTGACAAACACGTGAGAAGTTTCCGGCGAGAAGGCGGAGTATGTGTAGATCTCCCTTGTGGCGAAATCCATGAATTCTGGTGTTTGAGTTGGTGCCTGACATTGGGCCTGGGCTAGCTGGTCACGCGGCGTCGATGACATAGAGTCGGCTTCGGTCTTTGCACATTGCCAACCTACCTAGGTAGGCAGTCATCGTCATTGACAAACATGTTCACGATCAGAATTCTCCGTCAATATGTCATCATGAGAAGGGTGGGTTCGACGACCTCGGAAGCCGACCATAAACGATGGCAAAGAGACCCGACAAAGCAAATCCTCGATGAGAAAGTGATTCAGGCACGCCCCCCGGAGAGATCGCTGCCGAGCACCTCCCACAATACAGTAGCCCTGCATTGGATTCTTCAATAGTTCACCGTGTACTATATGTTTACTCCACCATTGCCTCCCAGTCGTTTAGGACACGAATCTCCGAAAGCGAAGGAAAATTCAAACCTGTCGAGATGTCCAACCTCTTCACGCGGATAACAAATAGACGGCTAGCTGGCCGGCGGGCCAACATCTTCACGCTTTCGACGATACACTGTATCCACTTCCATGCCAGGTAGTCCTGCATAGTGGTACATACCACTGCATGCTTTTCTCCTGTGATCATCTCCAGCTGGGAAACGTGGCGTGCATGCATCTGCAAGGACCTTTCTCTTCTTGCAATTCCTTTCGGCTGCGATTCTCTCTGCATGCACACGCTACCGCTCGCTGCCAGTCGAAGACGAAGAGCATTGAACAGCAACAGCTTTTTAAGCTTTTCATGCCTTTTTGACTTTCGTGAGCCCAAATCGTTCGCATGCGCGGGAGTGCAGGAAGAGGAGGAGCATCTGCAAGCGATTGGCGGAAAGGCACCTGCGTTTCGGCATGCGAGGCGATGATTCGATGAACGCGGCATCAAACACTCAACACGTTGAAAATTCGGGATTCTTGCATCTTTGGGAGGCGATTTGATGTTGGAGGAAACGAGTTTCTTTCCTTCTCTCGTTTTCTGCGGCTTGCATCGTCGGTAGTTATTTTCTCATCATCCTCGGCCGGAAATGATTCTGCTGTCGTGAAAACCGTGGATGTCAATTTCGATCGGGATGGAGAGAGCTCCATGCTTCCACGTGGACGTATCAGTGGACGTGACTCGCTGTAGAGTCGATGCTGGCTTCTGCGGGAGATGACTTCCAAGGTTCTTCACGATGCCGTCAAAACCTCACCTTCGGTGCAGATTGACGGAGGATATCTAGAATGTGGACAGGCGATGTGTGTCTTATCAACAAAGACGTGGACTGCACGGTCGGAAACTCGACCTCTAGGTAAACCAGCCAGAGTTGGAACTTTGTTGGTCGCGAGGATACAATGTCATCAAGTCTATCCACGCTGCCATGGGTTATGTAGAATCGGCCCGTTCACTCGATCACCACGATCATGCATGTGCGATAGTTGAGGTTGACCGTTCCTCACAGCATTGCCACCAGTGGATATCAATGTTGCTGCGAACAATCGAGGTTAGGGTTACACACCGTAACCCTGGGCTAAGTTTCCATTCGGTCTGAGGACGAGGATTCAAACGGTCACCAGCGTTCGATGAAGTGTGAGCTTCATTATAGCGTAAATCTGTCATACCAACGATATCTGTTTGTGTTGCATGTAGCGGAAGCATGAAAGCACAGGGTTGGGAAGTCGTGTTTTGACATTGAAGAGCGTACAGCCACGTCAGAGCGATGACATCTCATTTGTGGACAGAGATATCTACTCGAAGCTAGCTGGTTTTCTTTTGCTAGTGTATCTATTATTCGACCGCTCTGCTAAACGTGACCGACAGCCCTCGCAGAATCCGAATTGCGCGTGCCTCGAGGCCGCGATCTACAGATTGGAGTCGACCGAAGTGAGGAAAGGGTGTTTGGCTGGGCCCGACCATGTCTATAGTGAACAAAGGAGGGGAAAGACCATCTGCATCGTTGAGATACCCTCCGCTTGGCCGATGGAGACAGTTGAAGATCGATAACTATGCACTTCAGCAGAGCATCAGATTGTTTTGATGTGCGTGCATGCTGCTGAGCCGGTCATGTTGCTTGCTTCGAGCGCATAGCTGTGAGGTTCATGTAGAGCATTGCTCCTTGCGCCTCAAGATCGCTCTCGCATACGATGTCAGCAGGGCCACTGCAACTTTCGAACCGAGCGGAGCGTGAAGCAGCACCGAAGCAGAGTCGAATGTCTGAAAGTCCAGATCCATCCCGCTTTCGCTTCCGCCTCATCATCATTAGAGTTTCCAAGGGCGAGGTCTCATCCGTTGCTTATGTCTCAAACCGCTGTCAAAAACTTCAGGGTATCATTTTTTCTAAGCAAATTTTTGATGAATAATATCCGGATCTGCAAGTCAAACCAGCGAGTCAGTTCACCGTACTTCTTACCAGACGTATGGCATATCCGCGATACTGCTAAAGAGGGAGAGAGAGAGAGAGAGAGTTGATCCATGATGCGAACTTACTTTCATGCCAATCGTCAATCGTCACGTACATCTTCCTGAACGTGCTGAGCCCCGCCAGGATGCTCCCTCCAATCCATGTGCTGTACAAACGCTCCGGCGGCGCAAAGATCTTGATGCGCATATCCTTGACCGCGAGCCGTTGCACCTCATGAAGCAATCGATCGCCGAAGCCTTTGATCATGGTCGAGCCACCAGAAAGGACAATGTTGCCGAATAGCGACTTTCGGAGGTCCATGTCCGTCCGGTTAATCGAGTCGACCACGATCTGGTGGAGACCCGGCCACTCCAGTCCAATGAGTTCCGGCTCGAAGAGGATCTCTGGGGCACGGAATCGCTCGGGGCCGACTTTGAGTTTCCGGCCGTCGGGGAGTGTATACTCGGCCATCTTGCCCTCACCGCCACGGCTGCTCGCGCTTGTCCATTCTTTCTCCTCCTTCTTGGGATCCAGCGCGACGTATGATAGCTTCTCCTTCATGCTCTTGACGATCTCCTTTTCCGCACTAGTGTGTAGCACGTTTCCTCCTTTTCGTAACAGGCGTTGCAGCTCTTCAGTGACATCCCGCCCGGCGACGTCGATTCGACGGATGCTGTTGGGGATCGCAAATCCCTCGTAGACCGGCACGGCATGTGACACACCATCTCCTGCGTCCAATACGATTCCTGTAGTCCGTCCTGAAGCATACAGCGAGAGTACGGCCTGTATTGAAGTATACAATGCAGGCACGTTGAACGTCTCGAAGAGGATCTGCGCAGCGGTGTCGCGATTCGCGCGAGGGTTGAGCGGCGCCTCCGTGAGCAGGACAGGGTGCTCTTCGCTTAGCGTCTTGAGCTCGTCCGTGTAGATGTGTTGCCAGATCCTCTCCATATCATCCCAGTCTGTGACGATGCCATGCTCCAATGGATAACGGATCTTCAATAGCCCTCGGAGTTCTTGTGCCCGATTGCCAATGAATACGTCGCCCTCCAGCCCGCCAGCCATGACGCGGAGATGCTTCGGCCGACCGACATATGAAGGAAAGAAGCAGCGAGGGGAGTCCTCGCCAGCATAGCCTGCGCGGATTGTGCCACTTCCATTGTCAATCACAATGGGTGTGTTGTGGAGGTCGCCCATGATTTCGGAGGCGCCCTGAGACGCTCAATTATGATGACTTGTCCAGCATGTAAGGCGAAAAGGTTCCGTGGTAATACTCTTGATTCTAGCCAATAAGCAGATCGGCCAGCAGTACAAAGTGGGTGATTAATTGAGACAGACGCGTCTTCGAAAGTCAGGGTCATGGTCGGAATACCAAAATTGTGCCCTGGCATCATCCCTCGTTGACGAGCTTAGGGCTACATTGGAGCATCACTTCCAATGATTACAATTGCGGCCCAATGATCTCAACTGCACAGAACACTACCTAGGTACTTCGGAAATCTCAATTTCTACGGTGATGGAGCACAGTGGCAATGATTGCGATCTTCCAGCGTCAATTATTAAAACGACATTGTACATGTGAATATGAAGCTCTTCCCAGAGAGCGATGCAATGCCGCAAATCTATCGACCCCGGGCCCCGTTTTCGCCATGCCACCACCCCTTAATGCTAGAGCAACGCAATAATGCAACAAGAGAATCCCGCCCTTCACTTTGCAGAGCGATGGCAACAATAAATACACCGCGATCTTCAAGAGGACCCACTGAACGTCCATCTCGATATAGAAAAGTCTATGAATGGATATAACTACAAGCGGCGCCCTTCTGGCAGCGCCCTTCCTGGTAGAATCGACAGGTTTTGGTCTTGTAAGCAGGATTACCAGCTTTAGCTTTGGCGATCTCGGTTTCTTCCGACTCGTTGTGAGCCACGTTATGGTTTTGAGAGGTAGCCCACCCAGGCTGTGAACCATAGCTCGGACCGTAATTGTTCATGGTCGGGGTACTAGCGGCCGGTGGCTGATTGGCGTTTTGGTTACTGTTCAGTGCTGCGAGGATGGCCGCAAGATCAATGTTCGCTGGAGGGAGTACTGGGTGAGTGGGAGCTGATGGTGGTGGTGGCTGATATGATACATTTGGCGGAGGCGGGTGGTATGCATCCGACTGCTGTGGTTGCGTCGTCAATGCGCTTTGCCGTAAGTTGGCTAGAATGCTGCCGATATCGGGCATTTGGCTGCTGGCTGCTGGTGGCGCCATGACAGGTTGCGCCTGAGATTGCTGTTGTTGATGCTGTGGTGGCGGTGGCGCTGCCTTGCTCAGCAGTCCGGCCAATGCCGCAATGTTGAATCCAGAAGGTGCATTCGCGTTTATCTTGCTGGCACGTCGGTCCTGGGCGCGTTTGATGTATTGTTCTTCCGGCAAGCCGAAAGATTTGAACGGTTCGCTCAATTCGCCGGTGTAGGCGTTGGCCGGCTCGCGAGGGTTGGCGGGAACATCGCTTGCTGTTGGATAGAAGACGACAAGATTGCTATCCTCGTATTTTCGTCGTTCATCGCTCTCCGGAGAGGTTGGTTTGAGAACACCACCTCCGTATGGTTCGTAATTCCTTTGCCGCTCATCGTTATCAACGACACTGAAATCCACAGGTGATGGCTCCTTGAAGTCGATCAAGTTCTCTGGTTCATCCGCGATATCGTCTTCTTCGTCAAGGTCCATCATCTTATTCTGCTGTTTGAACATGCGACCCTCACCACCCACATCCGACACGTCGCGGACCTGATTGGCATCGTGATGCAATTCCTCCTCAGGATCGTGTGTGAAGAGTCGGATCTGCACCAGATCACTGTCTGGCCTGAACCGAACCCGTAGTTTGCGGCGCTCTTCTTTTCGCAGACGTTTGGTACGCTCCTCAGCCGTTTCGTTTGGTACCTCTTTCTCAGCTTTCGGCACAGGCTTCTCCTCCTTTGGCTTTGAAAGTTTAGCCATCGTCTCCGCGAAAGAGAATGTTGGCTTAGCCATAGGTGCACCGGCAGGATTGGGATTCCGGGCGCCAGCAATCTTATCACCTGTGGCTGATGTAGACTTCTCCGAAATTGAAGTCCCTGGCTTCTTCGCCGCAGAAGACAAACTTGAGAAGAAACCGGTGGGTTTCGCAGCCACAGTCTTCCTGGGCGCAGTAGATGTAGCGGTCGTAGAGCTTGTTGGCACAGCACTAGTCAAAGGTTTCTTGACAGTCCCAACAGCAGTTGGCTTTGACGATGTTGCGGTCCCATTCAAAGTAGGTTTGCTGACGGCTACGCGTTTCGCAGGGTTGGCTTCGCTGGCTCCATTTGCAGCACGCTTGACACCTGAAACGACCTCGGGCCGCTTCGTGGGCAAGGGACCTTTTCCTGGGGAAGCAGTGGCAGCATCCGCAGGCTTTGCTGCTGGAGCATCCGATGCTTTCTTGGTGGCAGGTTCCTTCTCAGCTGCGTTTTTAGTAGCTAATGATGCGTTCGCCTTGATCTTCTTCACCCAGAATTGCGTCTTTGCATCGCCCTTCTTCTGATAAATTGCCAGAAGTTTGTTCAAGCGAACCTTTTCGAGCTTTTCATCGGTCAAGGTGGTGAATGTGCTCATAGTCTCGAGGATTGCGCGTGTCACCGAGCCGTTGAGATCGTCTGCCTTTTGTCGATCGAGCAAGAATTGAAAACAGACAAACACAAGTGGGGAATTTTCTGCGAGACTGTTTTTACGTCAGTTTGAATTCATGAAGCACAGATTTAATTAGGTGACGCGATTGGAACTGCCTGCCAGCACACTGTTGGTGATGCAGATCTAAATGATTCACGTGCGGGATTCGACAGGATTCGTGTACTGTGTTTGAAGTGATTTTGTCCAAAATGCGCGGAGATGGCGATCGCATTTGCATCCTCGCCCAAGTGCGAATTCAGTACCCAACTGTGCTGATGGCCTGCACAGCATGCGATGGCATCTCGGCAGATATCAAAATCATGGATACTTGTTCGACAGCCAGGACAGGGACTTCAAACAACTTAGTGCGCCAACGCGCATTTAAACGACCACGTGATGGAAAGCCTACATATGATGCTGCTGATGAGGGAGTAGAGAAATGGAAGAAGGGACTTACAGCTCGACGATGCCTCGATGACCATGTTTCAAGGCAGTGCGAAATGCGACCTCGATCATGTCGCGCTGATCCTTGACGCGACTGCGTAGTAGCGGTAGCTCACCCGTGCGTTTCTTTTCTTCGGCTTCAGCATAAGCAGTACTGTCAAGCTTCCATCGATCGCGGATTGTCTTGATGATATCCCAGAAGTCGACGAGAGCTTGCTTGAACGAGTCACTGCTAATGTTCTTGCGCTTGTTTCGCCACAATGCTTTGATTGTGTCGTATTCGATGCACCCTTTGGGATCTTCAGGTTTCCTAGATGGGAGTGGTGAGTCATCATCATCGTCGGAATAATCTGAATCATCATCCGAAGACGAATCCTCGTCGCTGGATGAATCCTTGATCGTAACAGGACCGTCTGTTGTACTCGTGGCGAGAGCGGCTGGCTTTGTGGTCTTCACTGCAGAGATCATAGGCTTTTCCTTGTTGGGCTTCTTGCCAATCTTCGCTAGAGCATTGACGTTTTTAGAGGCAAGAAACCTCAGCTCTCGCCTTGAATGGCGTGGAACGTATGTCGGAAGGGCACTGCGGGTACATTGCCATTCCTGGCGATCTTTACCAATGTTGACATAATTCCCAAATCGATCAGTATTCGTCGCGCGAGCAAGATCATCAAAGTTTATGATGCTGAAGAGGCCGCCGCTGACACCCTTAGGTACAGCTCGAGCCAAAGCCTCTTCGTCAACATTGCGAAGTGCCGCCGTCGCAGGTACTGGTGGTGTCTGTGATGCGTGAGAAGGCCCTTGTTGATACGGCGGGCCAACATGGACGTTGTTCTTGAAAGCAGGTTGTGGTCTGGCTTGTTCTTGTGCTTGTGGAGCAAAAGTCTGCGGATTGGCGACGGTTTGGGGGTTGTAGTGGCCGCCAGCATGAAAGTTTTGGGTATCATTGGGATTGATTTGGGTCAATGAAGGGTCAAAATGTTGTTGGGAGACATTGGATGCGTTGAACTGTTCCTTGAATACTTTGGAAGGATCGAACTTTTGTTCCTTGTAATTGTACGGCTGCTGATTGCCATATGCTGCAAAGTTATTATTGGTGAAGGGAACTGGGCTCTTGCTTTGGGTAGTTCTATATTGTGCAGGAGGATTCAAATAGCTCTGCTGCTGCAGCTGCAGTGGTGGTGGTTGTTGTTGTTGTTGGTGTTGTGTCTGTTGTGATTGTGCGTGTTGTATGTGCGTAGGCAGTTGATCGTCATTGTGTGACCAAGTCTGGCCTGGTTGTTGCGCACGTGACACAGGTTGCGAGTCGCCAAGAGTCCAATCATTCTCATTAAAGACGGGATCCGCGTCAGCCTGAAAGAAATTCAGATTATCATACGAATTATACTGTGACGGATCGACGTAGACATGACTGCCCGCGAAAGGATCATGAGCACCGCTGGTGGTTTGATGATCCATTGCTGCGTAGCAATCGATCGTGACGCTCTATTATGTGTATGAGATCGCGTTGCAAGATTGCCCGAGGTGGACGTTGCCCAAAGCGGACGAGGGGGCCTGTGCACGCAAACTCGTTACTTGATTGGCAAGTCGCCGGCCTGAATATCGTACTGTAGGGATTGCCGTGACAGCTGGAGTCCTCAACTTTGCCCAGCAAGCAATGAGATTACTGAACGGTATCGTGTTTTATGATACCACACTCTGATGTTCGGCAATGTGCTCGAGCGAGCGAACGTTGCCGATGCTGCGAACTGGAGTGATCCCGAGCGACAATGAATTAGCCGCGGAGTGCTGCTGTGAGAGAGCGTGACTGCGAGAAGTGTGCCAAGTCTACCCAGCGCAGATGCTGCAAACAGTTTCTATGCGATGCCAGCAAGAAATCTGCCGCGAATGCTAGCTCGCGGACACAGTGCCCTGTTTCGATCTTGTTGATGCGCTGCTGTAGTTTTTAATTAATATGAACAACACGTTCACAGCGTGTCGTCAATAGCGATCGCTGTCCAGGCCCTCCTAGAATGTGCGTGTGACAGTCCAGCTGTATATGCAGCCCTGACCGTGGGCACGTATCGCTCAAGGTTGCACGACGCGACTTTTAAAGTGGTCGCCGCCGAATTAGAAGCAGAAACGGACAGGCAGAGCTTTTCAAAAGGAGGGACAGAAAGTGATTATCGCATTCAAGTGGCAGCACAGCGCAATAGTCTCTCGACTGCTTGAAAGCAGGTCGATGGCCGCGTAAACAGCAGCTCGGGTAAAGAGAGAGAAAAGGACCGCTGGCACTCGGGCGCAATCTTCCCGTCAGTGATGCCCTTTCAGCCTTTCACCACGCACTCCTCCAACAATAGCTCATTATGCGGCTCCGCCGAGCTTTTAATCACGTACGTAAGCTTTGCTGAGGAAAGCGTCGATGAGGACAAATGCAATTGTGGGGATGGGAGAGAGTGGATGAGGTCTGGATGATGGTGATACTGGAGCAAAGTGTTGATGTCGTGTTTGTAGGAGTAAAGGTGTTTGAGGGGAGGAAAGAGGAGCCCTGTCATTATTATGACTACGACGCGATCACTACGGCGGGCGGCGGGAAAGCGCGGGCGGGAAATGGAACGCTGCAGGTGCCCAGCTGGAGGTGCATATGCAATCCATTACAGCATACTGTATGTGCTGACCCATGGATGATCGGCTCACCTGCCACGTTTCGGCATGGTCGCAGAATGCGCAACACTCCAGAACACTGGTGAACTGAATCGTTCGTTGCGTAACGGAGAAACAGGCAGGCAACGAGAAGGATTGATAAATAGGACAACGACATTCCAGTTTTATTATACAGTCCACTTCCTCCCACTTTGACCTGCGACAAACTTGGACCACTTCGAGAGTGTGGCCGAGACGACTGCATCGACGATCCTGTGCTCGACACTGTTGGCATCGATTCTGCAACTTCGGTGTCAAGGAGGATATCCTATGCGCTGAGACATCTTGAAGCCCGCAACTTTCTCCCGTTTGCGCAAACATGTCTTCGCAGCAATCTCTTCGTGATCGCCAAGTAGGTGCGTAGCCTAAGGTATCTTTACTGTCGCAGGCTCACTGACCAAAGAACAGCTTCGATCGAGCGTGTGCTCAATCTCAATCGATCGCAAGTAGACACCCTCGACATTGCCAATGGGTCCGCCTCTACAAATGGTCTCGTACCACAAGCTACCCCTATACTCAACGAGGATGGCGAGCCGATATGGAAGGTCTTGGTCTTTGATAATCTGGGAAGAGACGTGATCAGCAGTGTTCTGCAGGTGAACGATTTAAGAAGTTGGGGAATCACAATCCATCTGTACGATTGAGCCTATCGCAATGCTCTTGGGGAAAATTGGAACCATCATGCTAATACATCGATGACAGAAACATTAACAGTCAGAGACATGCGATCTCAGACGTGCCTGTGATATACCTGGTCGAACCCACCGCTGCCAATGTGGAGCGCATCACACAAGATTTGCAGAAGGGCCTTTATTCGCCCGCACACATCAATTTCCTCACCTCAATATCACGGCCTTTGCTCGAGGAATTTGCAGCGCAGACGGCCCAGGCAGGCACATCCGATCACATTAATTCCGTATTCGATGAGTACTTGAACTTCATCGTGACGGAACCAAATCTGTTCAGTCTAGGAATGGGCAAGGAAACGTATCACACGATGAACAGCGCCCAGACCAGCGACGATGACATCGACTCAAATGTGGACAAAATCGTCAGCGGTCTTTTCGGGGTTGCTGTCACAATGGGTGAGTGTGCGAGCCAGATTATTGGCGAATAATTCAGCTTTGCTAACCTCGACAGGCACTGTTCCGATCATCAGATGTCCCAAGAATGGTGCTGCAGAACAGATTGCAATCAAACTCGACCGGAAGCTTCGCGACCACATTCTCAACGCGAAGGATAATCTCTTTTCAGCCAAACATGCGGCTCAAGGCACAGCCCCATCACGTCCAGTGCTGATCATCGTTGATCGAAACGTTGACCTTGTCCCGATGCTATCACATTCTTGGACATATCAATCACTCATCGGAGACGTGCTCAGTATGCATCTGAATCGCATCACAGTGGAGACTGCTGCAGAGGATGAAAGCAAACCTCCTGTCAAAAAATCATATGCTCTGACTGCAAAAGATTTCTTCTGGAACAAAAACGCTGGCGTTCCATTCCCTCAAGTTGCCGAAGACATCGATGCTGAACTCACGCGTTACAAGAGTGACGCAGATGATATAACCAAGAAGACGGGAGCAAGTTCCATTGAGGATTTGCAAAGCGACACCAGTGCATCGGCACAACATCTCAAAGCCGCGATAACGCTGCTACCCGAGCTGCGTGAACGCAAAGCACTGCTTGACATGCACATGAACATCGCGACTGCTTTGTTGAAAGGTATCAAGGATCGGCAGCTTGATAATTTCTTTCAGCTTGAGGAGGACATCAAAAAGCAGACGAAAGTGCAAATATTGGAGCTTTTGAACGATTCGGATAAGGGGAAAGAGCCCCTCGATAAGCTTCGAATTTTCATAATTTGGTTTCTTAGCACCGAGCAGGAATTGTCACGCGTGGATGTCGAGCAATTCGAGGAGTCGCTCAAGAAGTCTGGAGTGGATACATCGCCAATCACATACATTCGTCGGGTCCGCGAGCTGACTCGGATGACTATGATCTCCTCCGCACCCGCACAACAACCACAACAAGCTTCAGCATCGACAGAGCTCTTCCGAGGCTTCAGCTCGATTTCATCTCGTCTTACCGACCGTTTCAAAGAAGCTGGCTTGGGTGCCAACTTCGACAATCTCATTTCAGGCGTAAAGAACTTTCTTCCTGTCAACAAGGACCTCACGCTCACCAAAATCACGGAGAGTCTCATGGATCCTCAGAATGCCTCCACCAGTGCCCTCCAAAAGACCGAGGGTTTCCTGTACTTTGACCCACGTTCGGCAAACGCTCGTGGCATCATCCCGCCTAGTGCTAAAGACGCCCGCGCTGGTACACAACAAAACCGCGGTATTGATCCCTCATTCGGACAACGTCGCCAGGGCTTCAGCGAAGCGATCGTTTTCACGGTCGGTGGCGGCAGCATGGATGAGTACGGAAACTTGCAGGAATGGGCGAAGCGAACGAGCAGTGCTGGAACAAGTGGCGCAGCAGCTGCCGTGGCAAGACGACGAGTTGTGTACGGTAGTACCGAGTTAGTCAACGCCCAGACTTTCTTACAGGAGCTGGCTCGGCTGGGTAAGGAGAGTGCGTGATAGAAGCATGGATCAATATGAGATGCCGATGCAAAACCATTGTGAACCGATCGTCAGCCAAAAGCTTGACGCGTTAGTCATCGTGATAACCTGATGCCTGCTGTAGAAGCGAGTTGAATCAAGCATGCCAACGCATCTCTCATAAAAGTTTCATGGTCATCGTATGCTAGACACTCTCGAGGAATAAGATCCCTGAATGTCCAGGTGGTTCCAAGGGAGTTCCAAGCTTGTTCAAGAACTTCAGCGTATGTAAGCCGTTGTTGAGGTGTGGCAAAGCTGTGGCTTGGCGAAAGTAGTTCCTCCCGTGCCTATGACGAATCTCCTGCCGCGACCCTTCAGCAATGCAGGTGCTGGTGGTGTTGGGTTGAGCATCACTGCAGCAGCGAGCGGCTTGCTGTCGCTATTGCCTGGTATTATTTTTTGCTGCTGCCGCCGCTTCGCCCGCGGTTCCATGAGTGTTTCGCGAAATTTATCCATCGGCTTCTCTCGGACTGAGTAATATCTTGCACACATCACTCCACACATCCTTTCAGGGTGCATCGTCATTCGCACTCCACATCGCCAGAATTATCGCTTGCACGCGCGAAAGATACTGCGATGAGACAGGGACAGTCTTTCACTCCGCGCCTTCGGACATAATTGTCAACGACAACTCTCGGAAACTTGAACCGCAACTCCAAATCGACATCCGATCTTTTCCATTCTGACGCGACCAGCTCGAAGCCATCTTTACGTGAAAAAATGGCAGCGGGTCGATCTTTGTTGGTCGGCCGCCGGCGTCGAGCAGATGACGAAGGAGAGGACGAAGAGGGGCCAATCACGCTGGATGATTCGCAAAGTGAAGGATCGGTGCTGCACGAGCTGGATGAAGAAGATGATGCGGATCTCAGCAGCGTAGGCGATCCTGCTGCCACGACAGGTGCCGACGGTGGAGACAAGGAGAGGAGGGAAGCAGATCTGACGGGTGGTGGTGCTGGTGAGGTTCGGAGTAAGAAGACACGTAAGCCACGCAAGAAGAACAAGAAGGGCAACAAGCAAGAGGGAGGAGAAATGCAGCCTCAAAACGGCCCATTTAAGGTTGCAGCGGATACGGAGGCGATGATGAATGGAATGAGGGTTGATCATCAAAGTGGTCCTCAAGACGTTGTCGACTATGCTACATTGGACCGCAAGGGATCAACGACTACGGGACGAGCAGTGGAGTCGCCAGGGCCTGTCATAGTCAATGGCAGCTCCAGTCAAACCACACTCGACAGATCAAGACGGGACCAAGAGGGACAACAAACGAAACGCAATTCTGGACTCGTTCCTAACCCAAATCGCGGCAATTTCTTCATGCATGATACACGCTCTTCATACACCCAAGGCGTAGGTGCGGCGCGAGGTTCATGGAATGGTCGTGGGCGAGGCAGAGGTGCTGGCAATGTGGGCGGCTCCTTCGCTCCAGGCCACATGCAGAATGCGGAACGACCTGCAGAACAGCCATGGAAGCACGATCTTCACGACACCATCAATGAAGAACCCAACGCGCACAGCGCTGCTCGAGGCGACAGCAATGATCACGGTCGGCAGCATCTCGCACACTCCCAATACAAGCAAGTCCCCCCAGCCAACCAGGGACCCGCCTTGTCATTTTCCAGTACGACTCTGATTGGGAAAGTATCGATCCGGGTGTATTTGTCGGGGATGAAAGACGGCGTTGTGTTTTCCGACATACCCTGGAAACACTACACACGTCTACCAGATCATCGCCCGCCGCTACGTCGTGATAAGCCAGTACGCATCTCAATCCCAGATCATCCTCAGCGTTATATATTTCCAGCACTGGAAAGGTCTTTCGTTTTCATACCTAGACAAATGCGACCAAATCAACAAGGCTTTGGCCGATCGGGATATCAACGCAGTGCTGGAAGCTATGGCTACTCGAGCCGAAGGACGAGCGTGTACGGCGGGAGTGTGTACGCAGGCAGCGTTGCTCCTAGCCGGCGATCATCGTTCGCTAGCGTTGCACGGGACAATGCATTCTCGCCCGTGGGCGGCTATGCTGCAGGCAGACAACCGTCCAGGCCGGTCGTAAGGCTACCGCATGGCTCCCAATCGCATCTCATGACGTCGAGTGTCTCTACTGGATATGCCTCTGGCTATCAAACACCCACTGGTCTTGGTGTTCATACCTTTCCGCTCCCACAGCAGCCGATTCATCAAGCATACACTCCTACGACCACTGTGCATCAGCCTCGTCCACAGAAACAGATCTCTGTCACGGGCATCGAGTCGCCAGCTGCGTTGCAGCAATCTGAGTCTCAGCCGTTTCAAAACCAGTTACCTGCCCATCTTTCTGATCCTGCATCGTACGGACAGCAGTCGCAGCCATTCTACTCACCCCGGCAGCAATACACATACCCTCAACATGGCCAGGCTGGCACTCCACTCTCTGGCATACCCGAGCAAGCGTTACAAGCAGCCCCCTTCCAACCGCACATGCCCTACCCGCAACAACCATATTATAATCCTTACCAACAGCAACCTCCACAAAACTATTACTACCCCTCCGGCTATCCCTCTATGCCCATGTACCCTGGTCCTCAAAGCTACATGATGCCACAGCAACCCATCCCTCACCAACCCTCCCTCGAGAACAATATATCCTCGACAGCCCAGCAGCAGGTACAGCAACAGCAAACCTCCTCCCAACCTTCTGGTATGGTCGCACAGGAACACAATGGCATGGTCTTCTACATGCCTGCCTCTGAAGCCACCCAGCAACCCGCAAGCGGCGAATCCTCATACCAACCAGCCGAAAGCTTCGTCCCGGCATACGCCATGCCAGGTCTTCCGCCACCAACTCCAGCTCCGGAGCATCCGTACTATTATCCTTCAGCCGCCGTACCCGGCATGACGCAGGTGCCGGCGAACGGCGCGACGGTATATTATGGTTCGACGGGTACTGCCAACGGTGGTGCTGCTCCAGGATCTTAGTGGGACCCTCGTGCAGGTTGGTTGTAGCGGGTTTTCTTTAGCGACGGGGTTATTTTGTGCAAGGGAGTTTTGCCCTGGTTGTTTATTCTCTGGTGGACTTCTTTACTGCCACTACTATTCACTTTGGATTACTATCTGTTTTGTAATGCAAACCTCTATCTTTTGCCCTTTGAAGGAGTCAATTGGCATTTACTTCGTGGATGTCTTCGTGAGGTCGATTCCGTCCGCATAACAGGTTGTGGCTCAATACGGCTGCTAAGCACATATACAGCGCGTCGATAGCCCCCATGCGGCGAATCGCGTGATTCGTTTTGATGGCTCATTGAGTTCTTTTGTTCTATTAGATCTCCGAAACAATGTCAGCAGAAATGTTCATGATCGCATGGCATCGCATTTATCCATGACTTGTATCGCACACTGTCCAGAGTTGAGCGACCACTTGTGAGTGCGGATATTGGATATTTTGTTACATTAATGATATCAACAGTAGTACACAATAGTTTCACGCCTCCTGCTTCGTCACCGGAGCTCGAGGCCGCCGCCAGTATTTCCACCGCTGGCGAAGTGCATAGATCCACTCATCCGCGATCTTGTAGACCAACAGCAATAACAGACCCGCACAGGGCACCAATGCAAAGATAATGCTCGCAATCGCGAACCACCGCGATAAACATACAAACCCGGGCCACCCGACCGCCTCGAGATCTACCGCTTGCAACCCCACCTGCATAGCATTCAACATGATGGCCACCACCGCGAACACGAACAATAGGGGCGTGAAGTAGGGCGAGAAATCATCGATGTACTGCAGTCCGACATGCTGGTACGTCGTGGTCCCCAACAGAGGCAGCGCCCACATATTCAAACGTGTCAGTCGCAATTCACCATATTCATACCGCAATGAAACTTCCTCGTCCCGGATCTCACCAAACGTCTCCGAAAACGCGCAGAACTGCTCCCATGTCACGTCGCGCGGGATCAGTTGAAGATCCTCCCTCTGTGCGATGCGGAAGTCGCATTCGGATTTGATGAGATGGTAGTAGGATCGAAGCAAACCCCGGGCTGCGGGCACAATCATGCTCTCCGTGGCTTCAGGCGCCGTGCTGATCTCCAGCAGAACTTTCTCCCAGAAGGAATAGGTCAGGAGGTATTTGGGCAGAGGTTTGATGAAGATGCGGTCGTGGATCCACACGAGGTGGAAGGCGGGATCTTCCATTACGACGACGGCGCGGCCGCGGAGACTTTGGCGGTGCAGGGGCGTGATGTTCTCGTGGGAGTGGGTGGACATTACCCATAGGTGCGAGGCCATGATGGCGAGTTTCTCACAGTGGAGATCTTTGAGGAGATGTGCTATCGTTCTGGGACGATCGCGGAGTTTGATTCGCGGCTGGCCCGGGAGGGTCAGGGCGGATGGACTGTTGTTACCATCGTGGAAGACGGTGTAGTCGTCCGCGGTGTTGATGAGCTCTGTGGATCTTGTGAAGGGACACGATACCATCTCGAGACACAGCTGTGAGTGCTGAAATTGTTTCTTCTTACTTAGAGCATTGATTGTAGGCTTGCTGAGATATGTTGAGTGAGAGAGCGGAAACAACCACAGAGCAGCACATTGATCACTCTGTCCCACATCCCGATTGCCACCTGGGCATGAGATCCATTTGTCCTGTGACTCGCCTGTCAGTGACGTGAGCTCTGTCATACATCATGTACTGTCCGGGTCCAGAATAAATGACAGCGCACATGTGCTGCAGACTGATGGCTGTTGATGATAAGCGAAGGTCGAGTGACTGTAGGCAACAAGGGCAAGAAGAGGCCCCACACCACCCAAAGCGGGCGCTGATGGTGGTGGTTTGGGGGAAATTTGGGGCTTTCAGGGCAGGTTTGGGGCGCAGCATCCCCGGCTCCAGGATGAATATGCAGTGTGGAGCCCTTCACGTATTGAAAACATGCATATCCATGGTCATTTGCATATCTAGCTGGGCGCTAGATTTTTCTAGATGGTCACTCATGGTTGCACACTCATCGATCGGTGTTGAGTTCGGCTGGAGCTGACCTTCCGATCCGTGATCAGTACATTGGATGCCCATCTTATACATGCCGAGGCGTATCAACGTACACGACTTGTTCACGACGCGTAGGCGCACCATCCCATGTGAGGCCGCCCTGCTGCATGTCAAGGGTATCATTAAGGTCTAGATCCGCTACATGATTGCTCTCAAGAATCTCTTCCAAGGCACATTCTCCCGCGGCGGCTCATTGCTCTGATCCTCGGGCACATTGGCGATTTCATCCAACGTGTCCCGGACTTCTCGGAAAGTTACCATGCTGCGACCGTGCTTGTACTTATGCACAAAAAATAGCGTTGCGAAGATGGTCGGTCCAAGATAGGATTTGATCAGACCAGCAGCGAGATCGGAAGCGTTGGCACCAGGCTGAGCAGCTTGGAATATGGTATCCCAGCCATTGAATAACAGCAACAGGCTTCCGAAGACAATTGCGATGATCGCCGGCGCCGGTTGATGTAACCCTGATCGGTAGCACTGTTCATGGCCAGGCCAATTTTGATATCTTCGATTGCTACCAAATTTCATCTTGTAGCTGCTTCGATGTCAGTATAATCACTGGTGACTGGATAACATGCCTAGGCACTTACAAGTGCTGATAACGTATGAATGCCGCACATTGCGAAAGATACACGCACAGAATGCATGTGACGCTAATTCGCGAGACGACGGACTTGATCTGATTTTGTAGAGAGGTCAGCAATGTTTGAAAGTAAAGAGACCTTCAAGATCCTAACCTGATTGTGATTGCTCTGAATCGCCGCCAAGAAGGAAAATAAGCTGATGCATATAGAGATGAAAATCGCCCAAAGCGGTAGCCCGTAGTATGTTGTGCTACCCAGTGTCTTCTTGATGCGTGGATGCACCGTTCCTCCGATGCAGAGCTGGTACATAGTGCGTGAGGAAACATAGAATGCGGTATTTCTGATGACTGTTAGTGATTGCAGAGACTCGATCGGACTTTATGCGCAGAACTTACGCTGCAGTCAATGCGGAAAGGTAAAGTGCGGCATTTAATACATCCGGCAATGTCGTTGTAAATCCAGCTCGTTTGACAGCAATAATGAATGGCGAGCGATCTCCTGTGTTTATCCTTGTGTTGTTGGCGAAGTGAAAAATGTCCAAAGTCTCTTGCGGTACGCTCATAAAATCGGTAGGATAGGTGAATGGGCGTAGGGCAGGGTCATCGAAAGGGACGTTGATCGCTCCAAGTATCATGAGCTCGACATAGACCACTATGGCGAACCAATATATCCAACGAACGGTACTCGGCAGGTCATGACGTGGGTACTTGGCTTCTCCGGCGGCAATAACCACGAACTCCAGACCTAGAAAAGCAAAAATGGCAGAAGAAATGGAGTTCCTGTTCTGATTAACAACGTGATTGTGAAGAATAACCTGGGAAAGGATATAATACTCACCAGATTCCTAGAAATGTACCCAGTGTCCCGGGAATTGAAAGTCCTGGAGTGCATTGACCATCGCGAGCGCCATAGAAGCAGAAGCCTGGCGAAAACAAATGGGCATCGTCCCACTGATGGGATGGCGGCTGTATTGATACAGCACCCTTGCCGCGTACTGGTCACGAAAGTCAGCAGAGTTGACGCGTTTCTTTGCTAACGTTCGGTTTTACAAACCACCCGCTGCGATCATGATCATCAAGACCGTGATGGTGAGGATGAGAAGAATCTTCGTCCATTTCACGGCCCACTCAAGACGACCGTACCACTGCCATGGATTAGATCTTATACTGGCTCGATTTAGATCAAGACTTACAATGACGGGACCGAAAAGATTCAGCAATATGACCGGCGCGAGCGTTATGAGGATCGCAACAGGACCCGAGAGTTTGTCAGACCAATACTGAAGAAGCTTGGCTGCTTCAACCGTGAGCGTACAGCCACTACAAGCATACGCAAGCCTGCAAAGAGTCAGCGACGGCATCGCTCATTCTGATTGCCAACTTGTAACATGACCTACCAATACGCCCAACTTGCAGCAAAGCCCAGCGAAGGGTGCACGAAAATCGCAGGATATTCATAGAAGGCGCCTGGCGATGGTCGAACAGATACCAATTCGCTGAGGCAGAACATTACACACATCACCAGAAAACCTGCGCAGCCATATGCTATGACCGATCCCAACGAGCCTGAGAGTCCGAGAATGTCTCCCGAAGTAAGGAACAACCCAGCTCCGACCGTGCCTGAGATTGCGATACCTGCGCAGTGGTTTAGTATACGATTCCTGATCGCGCTCATCCAAAGGAAGACATCTTACCGGACAGGTGGTGTCTCTTCAATACTCTCGTCAAGCCCTCTCCCTCATCGACGAGCATTTGACTTATCTTCACCCGAGGGAGGTTCTCTTTGTCCGCCATTGTGATTCAGACGAAGATGGAATACAGGCCGAGCGTGCTATGAGGTGTCTCAAACTGCACTCGCATCGAGAGGAACTAGAAAAATTCGCCGTCGGGACGCATGTGGTAAATAAACACATTCTGTAACAGAGGTATCATGCAGGGTGTCACGGATTGGCTTGACGGGCTTCGAGGCTGTGCTGAGCAACACTCCATGTTGAACAGCCTCTGTAGACAGAGTCCGAACTCGCATGAATTGCCGAGACGGCACTAGCAACACCTGCGCGGGATGTCATTGATTAGCTTGAAGACAGCACATCTGTCGCTTCGAGGCCAAGACTACTGGCGAGACGAAAGAGGGAAGCTAGAAGGGGGCCAAGAACAAGTCGTACTCAAGCCTTGCTGGGGTGATGGGGTAGGGAACTCTCAGGTGATCGTGCCCATTCCTTGGAAGGCGCTGCCGTACACTCTGTGGCGCATCGATGCATGCATCCAGACCCTGTGAGAGCTCAAGGTGCGGCCTCAGAGGGCGGCGCGAATGGTCGCCCTCTGATCATTTCTCCGGTAGTTCTCGAGTCCACTCGCGAAAATGTGATGCGTGTAGAGCCGGAATACAGAGCCTCTGAAAATGATGCAACTCGTTCTTCTGTGACGTGACCGCGAATGTAATGTGAGCAGATGATGGGTTGTTGTCCATGAGTGCTGTCACAGTACATGATGTTGCTTCTGGTGGAGCGGCCCGTGGAAGCCGACCAATTCATCGGGTCGGAAGTTCCAACACTCGCGACTAAAGAGTGCTCACGATTGGTTTGCCACCCATGCAGCGCGCATCCGTTTATCTGCCATTTCGCTCTAAACAGGTGCTTGCGCCCACCCGGTGTTGGTGGGGCAAAGCCAAAATACACCGGGGCAGTATCAATTATTGCACTTCGGCGCGCTGACGATGTGGGCGGGCAAGCAAGTGGCTGAGTCTGGGACTGCTGTTAACTCCGCGCATGTCATCGCAACGATGATCGCAAGCATGGTGACGACGCGTATGGGTGGAGGAGAGCGTCCGAAGCACACATCTGCTCCTGGATTCTATTACAGTAACACATCTCGCCCGAGCTTAGCGATTACAAAACACAGTCCTCTCCGAACTTCACTTACGGGTTTTCCCGATGTAGAGAATCAGAGCCGCCTTCTTCTCGCCTGCCTCGTGACATCCCTTCAAAGGTCGCGGTGCTACTCCAATGACTCTCGTACGGTCGACGGACTTTCGCAATCACGATTACACAAACCATGCTGTTGAATGACAGCCGACATGCAAGACGCTATCTTCAACAATACTCACAAAACCATCCATTTACATCTGCTGAACCTGACAGAGGCGCATCGGCGCCTCGGAACCAACCTCGCCAAATGAATCCCCAAATCGTACGGCAGTCACATCGTTTCTCCTCGTTGATGCATGGATTGACACCTGGTCAGCCGGATGAGTCTGGGAATGGTCGAATGGGCCACTGGGATGCACCGGAAGTTCATCTCGTAGACAGGTTCGAGTTGCGTCTCCTATATGTCGGTGCTGCTAGCTCATCGGCAATACTAACAAAATTCCTGCAGTGTTGTCGCTGATCGAGAAGTGCAAGCGCCTTCACACACGGTATCATGATTATATCACGACCATGAGGGCCAGAGTGACTGACACTCGATTAGACAAACCGTCCTAGGCCTGAGAACAGGCCGGATCATCGCACTGGGTTCTGGATCGCACCCGATCTCACTACAGCCGGCCGCTCCAAAGATACAGTCGAGTTGCGTAATGTTTCGCCTACTGTGATGAAACACCACGCAAGCTAACGAGGAACCCACAGTATTATCGCCATCCATGGAGTAGGAGCACATCCTATCGACACATGGACTCATCGCGCAAAAGACACGAACTGGTTGATCGATGAAAGAATGCTGAGGCATGACGTACCCAATTCGCGCGTCATGATCTATGGGTATGAGTCGCAATGGAAAGGTCCAGAGAGTTTGACGGTTACCATCACAAATATCGCCCACAGTTTCGTAACAAGACTCATTGCGCAGCGTGAGCACTCGGGCAAGCGTCCCATGATTTTTGTCGCCCACTGCTTTGGCGGAATCGTGCTTATCAAGGTGAGTATCACCAGGAGAGTACTTCTAAACGGACTGCTGACGGCAAGCAGGCTATGAATATCTTGAAAGACAAGCATTCGGATGTGTTGAAAGCCGTCGCTGGCTTGGTCTTCTTCGGCACCCCATTTCGTGGAGTAAATGGTGCGATGAGTAATGGCCAACTCGTGGAGCGTGCGAGACAACAGGACGGGCAAGAAGTGCGACCGGAAATACTCAACGTCCTCAAGGAGGATGATGGATATCTACAGGATATACTGCAGCAATTTATAAATCTTTCAAGAGCAGGTGCATGGTCACCGGTAATATGCTGCTACACAGAGATGAAACCTGCGAGCGTTTGGAGGATTGTCGATGATCGACATGCGGCAAAGGTAAGCGATCAGGCGTGGTTGTCCGTTGAATGTGAACTGATGAATCTGGCAGGAGATTGTCGTCAAAGAATCTTCAGCGAGACTCGACATTGCTGATATTTGGCACGCACTGCCGCATGATCATTTCAGCATGAACAAGTTTGTCGACTGTACGGATCAAAACTATCTGGAAGTTGCAGGCGCAATACTTACAATCGCTCGCGGATGTACCAAACGAAAAAGCTCCTGGATGCCGCAAACTACAGCGACTACATCGAGACCGCACATTGCCCCAGCCCCATCGCCCATTCCGGCTCGATCATCCGGCTCTGAGATAGGGTCGATGAGCCTCAGTGAACCAAGGCGGCCGAGCTCTCCACGGCGACCTAGTGTCTTTGCCTGGCACATCGAACAGACCATACCGCGCTTCACAATGGACAATTCAGTGCAGAAGATCGATTTGAAGTGCAAGAAAGCCGGAGTGAAGTCAGCTTTCGCCTGTGGAGTATCATCCGATGCCCGTCGGGTATTTTGCCTTGACGAAGAGAAACTGGCGATCTATACCATTGACGCGATTGGCAGAGGAAGTGTGCTATGCAGCTCGCCACCAAAACCTCCCAGATGGAAATATCATTCTGCCAAGATGACTGCCTCCTTTTTGGTCGCTACCTACACAAGCCTTGAGAGAAGCTACTGTCGAGTATTTCGGGTCCCTGAGAAGCCTGACGCATCGCCCGAATGTTTTAGATGCGAACTTGACGAAGAAACAAGTGCCGATTCGCAATTCCAATGTGTCGCGTTACATCAGTCGTCAAGTTTTGTGCTTGTCGCTCTGGCAGAACATGGCGTGACCGGTGCAGCATCCGCGTCACGGATCCATCTCTACAAAATCTTCCCATATGCAACATACCAGCCAACCCAACATGAAGTAATCCCGCTGGATGAAGTACAAGATGAAGACGATGGTGAAAGTTCCGCCCCACAAGCGCTACACGGACGTGCTAAGTTCCTTACGTTTTCACCAGATGGTTCATTTCTGTTCTGCTGCACCGGTGTTTACAAGCAAATCGCGAATAGTCTTACAGTATGGCAAATCACACACGACCTGAATCGTTTCGTAGCTCAATTTGTTTGCGACAAAATCCATCGCTACACGAAAGTAAGCTGTACCCGGCAACTTTAAGATTGTACCAAACTCACAAAAGCACAGGAGAGGAGTGTCTTAGGGATCACCTCAGCAGCGTGCTGGCAGAGCGCCAGCACTCACCCCTACATGTTCGTGACTACCAGCCCCAGCTCCCAACGCAAATACAACAAAGGGGAATGGTCCTTCATTGCACCGATCGGCCAGCCGTTGCCGACTAACAAAGACGACGCCATGCACTGTCTATACAAAGCGCAGCACGTCCAATACAACAGCATCATGTGTAGTGCCATCGCATCCAGTGGCAATGCAATCGCCTTCATCTCGCAGACTGGAAAGGTCTGTGTGGCGCCTCTACTCGCACTCACCAAAGGCGGTATTGGCACGCCCGACGGTCTGCCCATGGAGCTCGAGCGTAGCCTGCGGACTCTTGAGAGACCGGAAGAAGCCGACCTGCGATTCAGCGAGGACGATGGTCGTCTGATTGCTGTGGACACCAAGGGCAAGCTTCTGATCGCCCACTTTGGTGGGCGATAATGTCACGTCATCATGTTGTCGACCTCTTGACACAGCGTGCTTGACGGACTTGTTCTATTATGATTTTCACGACATTCTCATTACACGATTCCAGAGCACGTTCGTATTCCTTACGCTTTGAGGCAGCCAGCAGTCCTGGGCCTGGCTTCAGCGTTGTCGCTTCTACGCATTTTGGGGAGAATTGTTTGGCGTTTCGCGGCGTGTATGTTACGTTTGGCATTTCGCTTTAAGACTTGTGGTATTGACTAGGCAAACATTATTTTCTCATTCCAGATCTATTTGATACTACCCATGAGCCTGCGGATCTCGTTCAGTATGACAAGCGCAAAGTTCGTTACAACGCGAGCGTCAGGAGGTATAGATGCACAGCATGCCAAACACTGACCTATTTCGTCATGATATCGGCATTCGTGAGGACCATTTAATAGACACCCTCGTCGCGAACGACACCGGTATCAAACGATACTTTCTCGTAATGCCGGTGAGCTTGCTGGAAACACGCTTGTTGCACGCGATCATGGCCGGTGTGGCATTCCACCGATATTACAGGACCACTACTGATCACCGGTCAAGGCTACTCGCCGGTGAGTTACCCTGGATGATCCATATGAGAGTTCAGTGGACCTATAAACAATTGTCATTCCTATCTTGACCATGGTCTCTGGTCTTGTTGTGGATGAACTGGAATGCACATACTCACAGGTCACGTTTCCCGATGTGGCGCAGTTGCTCAGTTGAATGAATGAGCGAGCGGCGGGGAAAATGGAATGACGGAACCGCGAGCTCTATTTGACTCACATCCACCCGGACTACCGCAGGCTGCTTTGTTTCCCCAGGTTTCAAATAAACCCGCACGAAATGTACACGCAGTACTACAAATACCGCATTATGACACCGGGCCCAAGGTACATTTCCATGGATATCCCTCGACTAGGCAGCCACGGCTTATCAATTCAGTATCTCACCTCTCGTTCACCGGCCGAATCGTGCGCTATCACCGCCCGCGGCTCCTCTCCGACGCTCACTCACTGTCTACTACACCATCATCAATCCACACCGTTTCATTCACCTCCTCGTTCGACCTCACATGACCTGACCTTCACCTCTTCTCTCTCCCTCTCTCTTTCGCTCTCCATTCTGTCATCCTCCTCATTTCTGGACACATCTGCCGAGGGCAGACACCCAGGATTCCGACGAGCTCATATACTCGTCGCTTGCTGCTGCTTGCATCTTGCTGACGGCCGCGTCCGACGAGCGTCACTCGTCCAGAAACGCCGCCATGGCTGCTCCTAATAAGCTTGTGGCGACACCCGATACTCTCATCACCATCAAGGTCTCCTACGAAGAGGTCATCAAGAAGCTTCGTCTGCCGTTTCGTGATTTGACCGCCACCGTACTACCTCTCAGAGTAAGTCTCTCACAACAGCGTCTACGCTGGGCCCTCGCGTGATACCGCCTCACCTGGTTACAATTGCTGACGTCTTATTTCGCTTGAACAGCTCCGCCAGATCTTGAACATCTCACCTGATCAGGCTGTCGTCTTTGAACGATACTCCGATTCATCCGCCAGCTATGTTGTGCTTGACGAAGACGATGAGCAGGTCTTCAAGACATTGCTCCGTGCTGCAAAGGCTAAGCTGAAGCTACGACTCAAGGTTACAGCTGCTCGTACCGCAGTCCCCACCACTTCAAATGAGCAGATCAGTCAGCAGGAAAACACTGGAAATCAGCAACAAGACACCGGGGCGGATCAACGAGCCAGTCTTCCATGTGGATATGCGTTTGGTGATCCACCGATCCGTTTCGACTCCGATGCAGCACGCTCGGCGCCTTCATTCTACGACCCGTCAAATGCAAATACATCCTCTCTCCCGATTCGCAGCAAACCGCCGGTGACGCGTCTCACTCCCTGGTCGGTATACTGTAACGAATGCGACTCTGTCATGTCGGACACACACTTCCACTGCAGCATTTGTGACGACGGCGATTATGACCTTTGCGAGGAATGTGTTAACAAAGGCAAAGTTTGCCCTGGAAAGGATCACTGGCTTGTCAAGAGATCCATCAGGGATGGTAAGGTCTTCGCGAGCACGACAGAGCGTATTCGCAAGACGATCCCTGCTCCTGTCGCCCCACCTCCTCCGGCAGAGACTGGCAATGCTGTAATTGTCAACACACGACCTGCGTCCACTCTCGAGGCTAGCAAGATCGTTCTGCCCAGCTCTACCTCTCGCACCTGCAACGGCTGTGTCGTTGTGCTTCCAGACCGGGACTTTGTGCACTGCGACACCTGCGAGGACTTCGATCTGTGCATCAAGTGTCATTCGGACAACAAGCATGGCCATCATCCTGCCCACGGCTTTACACCTGCGACCAAGGACACTGTTATCTCCACTGCTTCCCGATTGTCTCTCGCACCTGGTCGTGATGTTCGCCACAATGCTGTCTGCGACAGCTGCGATAAGCACATTCGCGGCATCCGCCACAAGTGCTTGAACTGCCCTGATTGGGATTACTGCAACGAGTGCATCAAGTTTGCGGACCACCGACATGTTGGACATCGTTTTGTTGCTATTTACGAGCCGATTGCTGATGTCAAGACTGCGCTTATTCGTCACTCCGGCGTCATGTGCGATGGTCCACTGTGTAGCAACAAGCCCAACGGAAGCTTTATCCACGGCATTCGCTACAAGTGCACCATCTGCCATGACACCGACTTCTGTGCTTCGTGCGAAGCGCACCCGAGCAACAAGCACAACGTTACTCACCCACTGCTCAAGCTCAAGACTGCTGTTGGCAACGTAAGCATTTCAACCGAGAATGAGGTTGCTGGTGGTGAAGTCCGCGTCATGGGCGACCGTCGTCCGCTTTCTGTAGCTGCTATGTGCACTCCCACCAACGACCTTCCTCAGCGCCAGACCAACACAGCTACTGCTGTACAGACCGTTGCTGAGATCAAGCCAATTGAGGTCAAGAAAGAAGAGGCACCCGCACCGGCGCTCATTGCACCGAACACCTTGCCCTTTGATGCCCAGTTCATCAGCGAGACCATCGGTGACGGTACAGCTGTGCAGTCCGGTGAGCTGTTCACTCAAGTCTGGGTTATGAAGAATACCGGCCATCTCGCCTGGCCCGCTGGCTGCAGTGTACGATTCGTCGGCGGCGACAACATGCTCAACATTGACAACAATCACCCATCCTCTGTCAATGATATCCCGCAAGCCTCCGAGACCAACATCGTCGCCCGTAAGGTCGAGTCGGGAGAAACCGTCGCCTTCAAGGTTACTCTCAAGGCTCCTATTCGCTTGGGCAAGTGCATCAGCTATTGGCGTCTGAAGTCTGCTGACGGCAACGCATTCGGCCAGCGCCTTTGGTGTGATGTAATTGTTGTACCCGCGTCTGCGCCTGCGCCCGCGCCTGTCACTCGCGAGATCACTCCTGTCACGGCTGAGGATCAGTTCGCGCAGTGGGCCAACGGAGTTCGGGCCCAAGTCGCGCCCTCGGTGCCTGCAGATGGCTTTAATCAATGGGCTAATGGCATCCGGGCTCAAGCACTCTCTCGGGAACAAGCTCAAGCTCAGGCTCAAGCCCAAGCTGCTGCTCGAGCCCAAATTCTTGGCTTTCAAGCCAAGCGGCGCGAGCAGGCTTCGCTTCAGCAACAACAACAACAGATCCTTACTCACCAAATGCATCAGCAGGCTCAGATGCAAGCCCAACAGCAAGCCCAACAGCAAGCCCAACAGCAAGCCCATTTGCAAGCCCATTTGCAAGCCCATTTGCAAGCCCAACAGCAAGCTCAGATGCACGCCCATCACGCCAAGCAAGTGCAAATGCTAGGTCAGATGTCATCGCGCGCACCTAAGCAATACACAGGCGGCGTTGAATATGGAAGTTCGCTGGACTACGCAAACCAAATGGGTGCGCGCTTCCCGCAAGAGGAAGCCTCAGGCCTCGAGGGAAACCACCGCCTGCAGGACTACCAAACGCAACTCATGCTTCTGGAAAAGCAGAACAAGAAGCGCCTGTTGTTTACACGCATGGAGAAAGAAAGGTCAGACATGGCAGCATTACAAAATGAGCAGCCCCCAAACCCGGAGATCACCACAGCACGTCAAGGCATGCACCCGCGATTCTGGCAGCCCAATTGGCAACCCACACCTGACATGACAACCGAGACACCTGCCTCCTTGGCCGTGAAGCCGGATCAGGCTGCGCCTGTCGTTGCAGACACAAACGAGAAGGTACAGAGGATTCTCCTCGAGCATGCCAATAACACCACTGCCGAAGATGATGCTACTACCCAGGCCGCGATGGAACGCAGCTCTATGGTGTTCCCCAAGCTCGACAGGGAGAGCCCTGCAAGCAGTGCCTACCAGTCTGTGATGAGCAACAGTGGTAAGGCTGCGTATGTCGAGAATGAGGACGGTCAGGTTGAGAACGTCGCAATTCCCACCACCGCCGTCGCTCCCTCTGTAGCGTCCGAGGCTGAGCAGGCCAAGTTCGATGATGAGGATATTGAGGTTCTCAGTGCGACCGGCGATGACAGCGACGAGGACGATACCTTTGACACCGACGACGAGTATGACATTCTCGACGCCTCGGATGAAGAGACTGTGGTTTGAAGGGTACGCTTCTCACTGCCCTCTTCCGACGGAAAATAAATTGAAACAATATGAGTGATGTCGTTTTTTTGCTTTGATCAAGTCCTGGTTCTGGACCTTACTGTATTTTATTACAGTGCAGTGATCGCGTCGGGAGTTTTAAGGAGAAGCAATACGCAATTGGCGTTTCTGGACTACTTTGATAGGATGAAACAAATTTGACTCTTTTTCTCCTTGGTCCATGTTACGATCTCCGTATTACACTTCTCGATTCATTGTGTCTGTAGATCACTTCCGTTATACACTGGTTTCACATTGTCATCATAAGGCTAAAACAATCGACGTTTGTATCGTTGATTGTGGATGAATGTCAACCTTTGATGCGTGGTGGCTGCCTGCATTGCGGCGGCGCTGGCCCTGTACGGGGGAAGTGGGGGGCCATCTATCGCCGCTATCGCGGTGACGATCACTGGGGTGGTTCCTGGAGGGCTTCTTCGCTCGTGTGACGATCGCTTTGCGCCTTGCGCTCCTACATTTCTATACCTTTCCACTGACAACTTGATCACCAATACCTCACTCTACCACTTCTGGATCGTGACCTGTCTATATTTGTCACCAGCATCCTACTGCCGTCTGACCGTCTTAATACGGACTCTGCTTGCTTTTGGTTATCACCTACGAGTGGATCGTCCACGCCACACACCACCACCACCGTCACGATGTTGAAGATATGGAGCATGAAGCAGGAGCAGCAGAAGAATGAGGCGGCAGCGGGCCAAAGCAAAAAGAAGAAAGTCACAGCCGCACAACTGCGCGTACAAAAAGGCGAGTTTTGTTTCCTCTCCCACTCCGCGTCGGAAATCGCAAGATACAAACTCCCGTCATCCCATCACAGGAAGAACCTCACAACTGACCCCTCAATCCTCGCGATTCAGATCTCTCCGAGCTCTCCCTGGGGAGCACCATGACCACCGACTTCCCCAACCCCGACGACATCCTCAACTTCCGGCTGACCCTCACACCGGACGAAGGCCTGTACAAGTCCGGGACTTTCCTCTTCACGTTTGCGATCCCGGCCAATTTCCCGCACGAGCCGCCGAAGGTCAAATGCACGCAGAAGATCTACCACCCGAACATCGACCTCGAGGGGAACGTCTGCCTGAACATCCTCCGCGAAGACTGGAAGCCCGTGCTCAACCTGAACGCCGTGATCGTCGGGCTCCAGTTCCTGTTCCTGGAGCCCAATGCGAGCGATCCGCTGAACAAGGAGGCGGCGAACGACCTCATGAGCGATCGGGAGCGGTTCAAGAGGAATGTCCGGGCCGCGATGCAGGGCGGTTCGGTGAACCGGGAGACTTTTGAGAAGGTTGTTCAGTGAGATCGTGGAGGGAAATGATGAGGGAGGGAATAGGCAACGAGTCCGAGGTGGGATACCTGAGGTATAGGCGGGCTTTTCGGACAAGAGGAGGCATCATATACATGTGTGGTTTCGTCCTGCCGAGGAGGTGGAAAACATGATGTGACGAGGATGGTAGGATGGTAGGATGAAATGGCTTAGCCTTCAACGAAGGCTCCCCCCCTTAACATTCACCATGACCGCGAGGGTAGAGAGGATCCGCAGTCACTCGTGATTAAGCCTCAAGCTGGACAACAAGGTGAAGGCACGCAATTGGAACGCCACCATTCGGACATGCAGAGTTCCAAGCGTGTCTGGATGATGTGAAGGGTTGCGTCACAGTAGACCTACCACTGAAAGGTCTTCGACAGACAGTGAACAACGATCATTCGTCCTAGGATAGACGTGCATGCGCGCACCACACACGATTCTGCTATAGTTTTACCGATCTGCGAAAGGGGTATCTATTCGTAATTGCAACTGCTCCATATGTGATCCACATTCTTGCTTCGATTCTGTGAGCTCCCCGTTACGGCGTTGAAAGTATAATCCTTTATTTGAATTCTCTCTTCTCATACAGTAGTCGAAAACAGGGGGAAGAAAAGAAAGAAGCGCTCCCATTTTGAGTTTGGGGGGCTTTTTCTCCGCAAAGGAACGAAAAGGGCAAGTTCGAAAACCGATCAAAGATCCGCAAAAGCCCTCACGTTATACAAATGCCGCCCCGTCGTCTCCAGCACCTCCAACTTCGCCCCGACCTGGACAACGCCCTCATTGCGCGGGATGCACAGCATTCCAAAACACGGCTTGTACTTGGCCGCGCCGCCCTCATCCACGCGTCGGAATCCCATCAGCGTGCCCCAGGGCTCCTTCGGATGTTTGTCCGCCGTGTCGGGGTCGACGTTGGGGACCTGGCAGCGGGCGCAGCGGGCGACGACGTCGAGGTCGATCTTGTAGAGCGCCTCGACGTCCCGCAGCACGGTGGAGATGCGGATGCGTTTCCAGGTGTCTTCCTCCCAGGGCGCGGCGGGGTCCCCGCGGACCACGATGTTGGGCCGGAAGCGCTCGATGGTGAAGGCGTCGGGGCCCTTGCGGCCGAGACGCTTGTTCAGGTCGGCGATGGAGGCCGCCGAGGCGATGGTCAGGCTCATCACGTCGGCGAAGTGGTGTGGCACCGAGGAGCCGTAGAGTTCAGGTCTGCCGTTGACGCTGCAGGGTCGGGCCGAGGGGCCCTTGTAGACGAGAAGGACGGGCTTGGAGAAGAATTTGGAGAAGAGGGCGTTGATGGTCTCGGGGTAGTCCCAGACTTCGGTGGGTTCTTCCCAGATTGTGGCGGTGCCGAGGGCGGTGTTTTTCTCGAGCCAGGGGCGGGTGGGGTAGGCCGGGATGGTGACGGTGTCTTCTTTGGAGCCGTGGACGGAGATTCGGAGGAGTTCGGATTGGGGCGTGTTGGGCGCGGCCTTTGGGTCCGGAACGAGTGATGTGTTGATCAGGGTCATGTTGGGATCGCTCCGGATGGTGAGGAAGTTGCGGGTCTTCGCGTCGATGAACATCCAGTTGCGGTCGAGCGTCAGGCCGGACTTGCGGAGTCTGGTGGAGTTCACTTGGAAGCCGCGGCAGGACTTGATCGGGTAGACGTATAGTGCGACAACCTCCGTCGGAGGAGGAATCGGCGGGGCATCTTCGTGCTCGACGGGCAGGGAGGCAGGGCCGCCAGCGGCGAGGTTTTTCCGGGGATCATGGATCTGCTTGGGGGTCCATTTGAGGTAGATGGTGAGTGAGAGCAGGCCGATGAGTGCTGCAAAGATGATCTGCCCGGTCAATGTGATTTTGAGCGAACCGGGCTCGATGGCGAGAATGTCGTCGACGACGACTCGAGCTTGACCGGCATATTGTTCGATTGTGCTGCGGTGGTGGAGTGGGATCGACTCCCAGAGCTTGTGACTTTCGGCGTTCACTTTCTCGCTGACGTCTTGGAAATGCTGAGGCGCATTGGCGATGAGCTTCTGGCCTTCTACAGCGGCCTTTTCAGAGTATTCACGGAAGAGTCCCAAGGCTGTGTCGAGATGCTCCTGGAGCTGCTGCTGGAGGGCCATAATCTGCACGAGCAGCTTGCGTTGATAAGTTGTCGTGGAGGAATTCGAGAGAGAGAGACGTGGAATTATCACCTTAAAATCCGACCTTACAAACATTTAAATTGGTCAATGTCCCAAAGCGGACATCTGCGCCGTTGGTCTGGAACAATTTCTAGACCGCAAGTGACACGGCCTCCCGTAGTCTCACAATGCGACAGACGAGACTCTCGCCACGAGAGCCAACGATCAATACATTTTGAACGCAAATTGTCTCTCTATAATTAAATAGAATCGAAGTGCCGTGGACATCTCCAACACTGTAAGACGATCGGCCAAGAACCGATTCAAGTAACGCCATCATAATCGTGATCGTGGGACAAACGTCGCTTCACGCCTCCGTCCTCTCTTCCTCCTGCTTCCTGAGTGCCTCTAGCCGTACTTGATTCCGCTTGCCCACGATCCTCAGCGTATTCTGCTTCTCGATCGCGGCCATCTTGTCCCAATTGGCGATACGGCTAATCGTGCCGTCTTTGTTGACGACCATGGGACCTAGTGCATCCAGGGAGACGCTTTCGCCGGTGCTGACATCGAGCTTGATCGGGCCATCGGCGCTTGGAGGTTCGGGCAGACCGAGAGGAAGTTTGTCTGGCTGTGATGAGTCTTGCGCTTGTTGCTTTTCATCCGAAGATTGAGAAGTAGCGGCGGCTGCTGCTGGTGCTGATGATGATGTGGAGGACATTCTGATGCTTGCACACGAAACGGAGGCCTGTTCAATCGCGTCTCTTATTCGGCTTGATGGAGCTTTGAATAGCTCTCTCTTGTTGGTGATTGATGGGATGCGCGTCGGAATGGAAGATGTTCGCAGCGTGTTGAATGGTGCAAGGCGCAGGATTTGCATCATCACCAATGCGACAAGGAGACCAGATAGAGCCCAGAGCAAGATAGTTCGTGGATTATACATGTGTTGTGATCAAGTGAATCCAGCATACATGGTTTCAGGAGAGATTGATGATGGAAGACTCTAGCAATCTCTCGTCGTGGCACTGGTGATGTTCCCGCCCACTTCAAACAGCGAAGGCGTCCCGCGATGATCTATTCACTCACATAGAAATACTACATCATCACTCCTTATTTCGTTCCGTGAAGAGCATGAATGTTACAGTACAGTCCGATAAGTTATCCTTCATTCGAGAACGAGCAGTATGGTGCTGTAATCGGCCATACGGATGAGCGGAATGGAGGGCGGTGATCGGCGGCACATGTCTCACCCATTTGCGCGCGTTCCCTTCTTGACGCGAAAATCAATAAATGATGCAAATGTCCAAAACACCTTAATGTCCAACATTACTTCAAGATATTCTTTGGAGACTACATATACTTTGAATCGTTCTCATTCGACACGTCTTGCGGCAGTACGATGGAGCTGTCTGATTACCATTTCTCGGCACCACTCCATGTTCACGATGCTCGTCCATCTGAACCTCTCTCGACTCGCAGCCGGACGAGATCTATGGCCGGGATGGAAGTAGTTTTGACGACTTCCCAATCAAGCACAAGAATCGCGAGAGCAGCATCATGAGAACTCCATGCGAAGACCATTCCTGGAATTACCACTCACCAACCTTCATGTATACGATTATCAAATACATTGACCTTGAGCCATCCATTGATATCCCGCCGGACAATTCTTGCCTCATCATGACGTGGGAGCTGTCATCAGAAAGCTGCCTTCCGACCCCGAAAATGGAAGGAACAGAGGACGATGATGCGCGCGCGACACCATTCCTTGTGCATCATGATGCCAAACAGCGCCGTTGGGATACGACATCGAGACGTATGATAGGCAGGTAGGTGAGTAAATAGGTAAATAGGTAGTCGTATCTCATAACACATTCCACTTGCTCCAACCTTACATTCACTCTCTCCCTCTCAATCACCAGATTCATCGAGACAAGAAAATCAATCTCAACTCCCAACATGGCACTCTCCCAAGTCGCCGCGAAAGTCGAGCAATTCCTCGGACACAACGACAACGCCACCACGGCACAAGACATCACTAATCCAGCTCGCGATCGCAGCAAATATGGCCACCCGACAGAAACGATGAAAGCACTCGCCTGGATGGGCAAGAACAAAGTCGAAGTCATCGAAGTACCCAAACCCATCATCGTCGAAGACGACGACGTGATTCTCAAAATCACCGGCAGCACCGTATGCGGGAGCGATCTACACCTGCTCCACGGCACCATCGTCGAGCTCGAGAAGGGTGATATCCTCGGCCACGAGTTCTGCGGCATCGTCGATGACATGGGTCCCGGGGTCAAGGGTCTTTCCAAGGGCCAACGCGTCGTCGCCAGCTTCCAAATCGCGTGTGGGGCATGCCGGTACTGCGACAAGAAGCTCTCCTCACAATGCGAGCGGACCAACTCGAACAAAATCGAAAAGGGCATGTACGGTGGCAACACGGCGGGAATGTTCGGATACTCTCACTTCACGGGTGGATTCGCAGGTGGTCAGAGCGAGTACACGCGTGTCCCGTACGGCTCCGTCAACCTCCTGCCCATCCCAGATGACGTTCCGGATGAGAAGGCCCTGTACCTCTCGGACGTTATCGCCACCAGCTGGAACTGTGTTGTTGATACGGGTTGCAAAGAAGGCGATGTCGTCGCTGTGTGGGGAGCGGGCCCGATCGGACAAATGGCGGCGGAATTCGCGTTCCTCAACGGTGCCAGCCGAGTCATTGTAATCGATTCGAACTGGCGCCTGGACTATGTGAAGAGCAAAATCCCCAAAGTCGAGACGCTCGACTTCTCGCAGCTCAAGGGCACCAAGGCCGTAGTTTGGAAGCTCAAGGAGATGACTGATGGGATGGGCCCAGATGTTGCGTTGGAGTGCGTTGCAGGTGCGTTCGGGACGGAGATGACATTACATGAATCATCAGCATCAGCACCAAATCCGCTAACCGTGACAATTCTTCCACACAGGTGAATATCCCAAAGGCTGGGCCCACACCATCGAAATGGCTACCGGCCTCGAAACCGACACGAGCGAGATCCTCAACGAAATGATCGAAAGCGTCAAGAACTTCGGCCGCGTGGGCATCACCGGCGTCTACGTCGGCTAGTATGTCCCTCCTCCTCCTCCTCCTCTTCTTCTTCTACTTCCTCTTTCCAAAACCCCATAAAAGTTTCCTCACAAACCCGACAGACTCTGACATATTCCCTTACCGACAGCACGAACCACTTCAACATCGGCTCCCTCATGGAACGCGGCATCCGCTTCATCGGCAACGGCCAAGCCCCCGTCCACTACTACTGGGAAGACCTTCTCCAGAAGATTCAAGAGGGCGGAATCGACCCGTTGAAAATGGTCACTCATCGGGTCCGCGTGGAGGATCTCGCCAAGGTGTATGAGCAATTCGAGAGGAAGGCCGACGGTATGCAGAAGGTCTATGTCGAGACGAGGTTCTCGGCGCCGAGGTGTGAGGGGTGTCCCGAGTTGACGGTCTATTGATGATGAGAGAAGCTTCTTTAGTAAAAAAAACACCGGAAAATCGACCGATGAACATGAATCGATGATAATTTAACCTTTCCCTCTATTGATTAAAGCGATGATGACTCGCACTGTGCTCTCTCTCTCTCTCTCCACATCAGGGTCCCCGAATGCCCATCGCTCACTTCTCCTTCACCGTCTCCACGCTGATCCTCCACAACTCCTCCGCCCCCGCCTCATCGTACGCCCACGCGGCATAGCCCGGCGTCATGCCCTCCGCGCCCGGCGGCGCCGCCCCGGACTCCCCGACGTCCTCCAGGTATCTCCCGCCGTTCCGGGGGTCGTCGAAATGCTCCGCCACCGCCGCCCACACGCTCGTCGCCGCGCCCTGCGGGATGCTCTTCAGCTCGTCGAGGTACCCGGAGTCTTTGAGCAAGGCGGCGTCCTCCACATCGTCAAGATGCCGGCCCAGCTCGGTCTTGATGCCGCCGGGGTGCACGGAGAAGCCGGTGAGCAGGGGTTTCCCGCCGGTGCCGTGGCGGCGGTGAATGGCCGAGGCCATCCAGATGTTGGCGGTCTTGGACTGGCCGTAGGAGGCCCATTTGTGGTAGTCCGAGTTCGTCTCCTTGCCGTCGCTAGCCTTGGTGGAGTTGGCGGTGAAGTTCCAGTCCGGCAGACGCACGCTGCCCATGCGGTGGCCCATGGAGGAGAGGTTCACGACGCGCGAGAGCTGTCCGGAAGACTCGGCGCCGGACAGCAGGGCGCCCTCCAGCAGCGTGTACAGCTGGAAGTGGCCGAAGTGGTTCGTGCCGATCTGCTGCTCGAGGCCGTCCTTCGTGCGGGTCAGCGGGCAGGCCATCACGCCGGCGTTGTTGATCAGGACGTGGAGAGTGGAGTTGCTGCGCTGGAGGAATTCGGCGGCCGCCGACCGGATTTGTGGGAGCGAGTCGAGGTGCAGTTCGAGCTTCTCCGGGACGGGAGGCGTGTAGGTGCCGCTGGCATCGTTGTCGCTCTTCTTGTGGGAGGAGACGATGTCGTCGATCACGGCTTGGAGCTTCTTGAGGTCGCGCGCGCCGAGGTAGAGCGTGGCGCCGGCGGAGTAGAGTGCTCGGGCGGTCTCGACGCCGATCCCGGACGAGGCGCCGGTGATGAGGATCACTCGGCCTTTCAGCCCTGTGGATGTCGTCGGTGGAGGGAAACGGTCGAGGATGACCTGTTCAGCGGTGGGACGGGCATCACCGGGTCCTTTGATGGTCTTGTGAAGGGCAGCGTATGGCTGGTAGGGAGTCGTCGGTGCGATAGCCATTGTCGTGGGAGAGGACGGGCGATTGGTGATGTGCGATGTGTCGGTGGATGTTTTGTCTTTCACGTGGTGATCTGTTGATCCCCGTTCGAGGGTCTTGTGATTGAGATGGGAATGTTGTTGGAAGCGAATCTCATCTTGCCGGGGATCAGCTCCATCTTTATATCTTTGATCCGTCGTACAAATGACGTTCCAAGCACGCGTTGCTCAACATCAACGATGGACAAGAATGTTCGAGGCTCATGCAGGTCCCTCACCACGAGCATGTCGTCTCCGCGTTAAATCCGTCCATGACATCTGCTCTGCATATCGCGCTATTCCACATCCGCTGTACGAATCCTTCCGTTGCAGCCAATCCATGAACTGCGTCATGTTTCTTTCCATGCATCTGCCTACCTTAAATGCGTGGTTAGACCTGACATCCGGACGAATGACTGACCGGACGAATGAATCCTCATCAATTTCGGACCAACGTCCTCACTTTCGTGGTGAGAAGACCGCCCAAACCTCATCTCCGCCCCCACAAATGCTTATTATTTCCGACATCGATCAAGACTATTTCGCGTCTTTCGCTTTATCACCACCAACAGTAATCGTTGGCAGATGACGCCGTCCCATCACTGCGCCGCATTCCTTTGCGATTCAGACCTTAAGGCTCGCTCCGGATATGACGTCCTCGAAAGAAAGGGCGACAAAGAATCGGATGGCCCAAAAAGAAAACCACATCGTCCGCATCTCATCGTTCGAGAGTGAAGAAGTATCGGCGAGGAAACAACAATAGGAGCGTATGAAGAATAATAATAACAATAACAATAATGATAATCATGAGCAGCCTGGCAACCAGCCCGCCCGAATCATCACAGTCATTCCCCGCAGAAGCAGAGATGATAAAAATCCGGGATCTTCGGATCCATTTCAACATCGTGTAGTAGATACACTGCCTGCTGACTACCTAGGGACTGATGTTCTCTGTCGCTACCCGGCGCAGAAAGGCGACTTCGTTTGAAAGGAAGTCATCTCTCACTCTCCGCCGCGAGCGTGAGAGTGAGAGATGACCAGGTGAAGTATGTCATTCACGAAAGAGATGTCACGGAACGACGATCCAACAGTGGAAAATTGTTCGATTCTGAGGTGGGGTAAAAATGGGTTCATTCTCATTTCATTGTCGTGCTAAATCGCATCAAAGGTTTTCTAATCCTAAGCCTTCAATCATCATGCTTGTCCAAAAAGCAGATACGGAAATGCCGCCAACGCGAACGAGATGACACTCGTAGCTGCCACGTCGTCGGAAAATTTGCGGGCGGCAAGGTTCTCTGGCGGTCATGGGTCATCGATATCCTTGCGACCGACTGGTCTTCCTATCCTAGAGGCCACGGACACAGCGAGGTTGTCGGGAGAGATCGAAATGAATCGTCTGAACCGACTACCAACGCTTGTGCACGTGGCTCTGTCTCTTCCTGTCAACACCTTCCCATGCCATCACCTAGTCCCTTGACTCTTGTTTTTGTGTGTATGTGTGATTCGGTTTTTGTTTTCATTGGTTGGTCATAGCGATCTATCGTTCTCAGGGACGGATTGTGTCGTGAGAGGTAATCTATGGGAGGGAGGTGGTGACCTTGGTGTCGAGCTCGTTGACCTCGGTGTTGGCGATCTTGGCAAAGACGTCATGGCCCTCGACTTTACCGCAGAGCTGTGGAGAGATGACACGTCAGTGAGAGTTCCCGCAACATTGCATGTTGAAGGGGTGATAGGCAAGTCATGTTGAGTGTGCAGAAGGTGATGCATGAGCACTTACCGTCTCGACGATCATGCCGGTGATCTGGTATGGGTCAGCGTTGGAGGCCGGGCGACGGTCCTCGAAGTAACCCTTGCCCTCCTCGGCGCAAGCGCGGTTGACACGGACAGAGGCACCACGGTTGGCGATACCCCAGGTGAACTTGTCGTAGGAGGCGGTCTCGTGGGCACCGGTCATACGGGCCTCGTTACCCTCGCCGTAAACCTTCATGTGCTCCTTGTGGCGGGCCTCGAGCTTGGTCATGGCCTCCTCGATGTGCTTCATGCCGCCGTCCTCACGCATCGCCTTGGTGCTAACGTTGCTGTGAAGACCGGCACCGTTCCAGTCACCAGGGATGGGCTTGGGTGCGAAGGTGATCTTGACACCGAACTCCTCGGCGACGCGGTGGAGGAGGAAACGAGACATCCACAGTTGGTCGGCGACTATATTGAGAGATTGTCAGTGATCGAGGCAAGAAAGAAAAGCGTCACTTGCAGTGAAAGGCGCTTCGATAGATCGTGATGGAGGACTCACGATCAATGCCGGTGCAGGGACCGACTTGGTACTCCCACTGAGCGGGCATGACCTCGGCGTTGGTACCAGAGATGGCAATTTCGGCGTACAAGCAGGCCTTGTAGTGAGCCTCGACAATGTCACGGCAGAAGACCTTTCCGGCACCGTTACCGCAGTAGTAGGGGCCCTGAGGAGCCGGGAAACCACCACGAGGCCAGCCGTATGGCCATCCGTCGACATCGAGGAGGGTGTATTCCTGCTCGAGACCGAACCAGAACTCGTGGCTGGCGTTCTTCTCCATCAGGACGGCGGCATCGTGGCGGAAGTTGAAGGCGTTGGGGGTACCGTCGGACATCCAGGTCTCACAGAGGACGAGGATGTTGTCACCAAGGCGGAAAGGGTCCGGGTAGAAAGCGCATGGGCGAAGGTAGACATCTGAGTTGTCACCAGGCGCTTGGCCAGTGGAGGAACCGTCGAAGTTCCATTCTGGAAGCTCCTTGACTGAGTCGGGGTATTTGGGGAGAGTCTGTTGTGAGGTTTCTCGTCAGCGGAGCTCTCACGTGTCGAATTGGCAATATCAATTAATGATTGTATTGAGAGCCGCAACCATCCAGCCGACGATCGGGGAAAACGCGGGGTGGGAAACGCGTGACGAGCGGGCAAAGTCCGACTCTCTCCCAAGGCGCGTTTGCTGGGCAATGACGGTGGAACACGTAATAATGTGCAGAGTCATAGATAAGCAGGCCCGAAGCTGCGCCGAGGTGTATGATTGCGATTGGACGAGTGACAGCGAGTGTAACGTATTGGAAAGTCGTGTCTCGCTCGTGAGCCTTGCGCCGATTACCGCCAATAGCCGAATCCTATCTGTGGCTGTGCGAAACCCGTTTGTTTGCCGCTTGTCGAGTGAGAGGCAGTGGTAACAAGATATGGACAACCATGGGATTGCTGACGACTGCGGCAATCATATCGGAGGGCAGAAGGGAAAATGACCTACTCTTGACTTGGAGCGAGTGCCACCGGTGGAGTCAATCCAGACGTACTCCGCAATGATCTTGCCTTTTTGCGGGAGCGAAAGGTATTTTTGAAGCTATGAGGATGAGTCAGATTGAAATTCGCGAGGTTTTGTCAGTACATCCACTCTCTCGGAGCAGCTGAACAGGCACGCCAGAGAGACGATGTAGAACAGCAGCAACTCCACGCAGGAGAGCACTTCGAGAGGGAGAGAGAGAGATAAGAGGTTTGTGGGAGAGAATACTTACGTTGGCGGTGTTTGAGATGTAAGGGCTTACGGTAGCCTGTGATCGCAAGAAGATCGCCTGTCAGTCTCGATTCGTTTGACCGCGGAACACGGCCATTGGAAAGGTTGAGGAGTATCGTCGCGTGCGCACCATTTTGAAGAATGAAATTCTGGGGGGTTGTGAGGGAGATTTGGCGGGGTGGAGGAATTTCCAATGGCGGGAATGTTCAGACGGAGATGTCTAAAGAGGTTCAACAAGGAAGCACAGCGCTGCGATCGCACGAATCTGACAGCAACGAGGAGGAATTGCGAACAATAATGTTTGAGAGGAAGTGGAGAAGGGGGAAAAGGAAGATCGAGAGCAAGTGGGAAGAGGGACGAGAGATATAAAGATCGAGCACCACCACCACGACGACCGGCGGCGGTAAGGTTGGGGAAGAGGGTTCACCAAAAAGGCGGGCACACGCCGAGGGAATAGGAAACGTGAGTGTGTGTGTAGTAGTGTGTAGTGTGTGAGAGAGTCCTTTTTTCGATTGTTATTACTTATCGTTTATTACTTATCGCCCGTACGGCCCTCTCACACGCACCCTCACACTCTCTGGCTCTCTCTGTTGTGGGAGGGCACTCTTACGGGAGAGAGTGAGTGAGTGAGTGAGAGGCTGCCTCTTGTCACCTCCGACGGCCGGCCGACCAACGAGGAAACGAATAATCACACCCCCGAAGCTAGGAAGAATAAAATACCTAGCTAAACCCATGCAAGCCCCAGAAATGATCATAAACATACATACGGAGCACCCCCGTTGTCATCCAGGTACATCCTGTACATTTCCCAGGTAGTGGTCCTTTCCCGTTTCCCTCTACATACCTAGGGAGGTAGATAGCAGGTCTCCCGTCCCGTTCCTTCTCCCCACCGTCATTATCGATTACTGAAATGCCTACGAGGAGTGAAAGGCAACACATCTGCCTCTGGAGCAGTATTGCTCGTATTTTTTTGAGAGAATTCACATCTCGATTCTCCCCTTCCACTACCTCAGGACGGTGCACTGTCGTAGCCCTGGAGTGTGTAGGGAAATCAGTCCAGAGAGCAGCACTAGATAAAATGTGGTTTCGAAATGCGGGTGTGTTCGTGTGAGTCCGCCGGGGCTCGGCTGTTGCCCTCGTGTGATGGGTGGGTGGGCGCGCGTGCAAGTGTGAAGGTGTGGCTTGTATCGTAGCAATCAGTAGTGGCTTGTGTGTGGGTGTGGGTGTGTGTCTTGTGTCGAATGACTCTAAAAATTGCCCATTTCACGTATTACCTACACGATACTACACCGCTGAGACTTCCAACCAGACTAGACCAGACCAGAACAGGCGGTGATTCACACTCGGGTGGTCCTGTTCACGAGAGCACACTAGACGCCTCAAACATTCCCAGGTTGTTATCGGAGCTGTGAGCCTGGGTCTGGAAGTGGTAAATTTGGCGCGCGGATCTATACATATCGACAGCTCCGTGCGACTGCAGCTGCACTTTCACATCGCATGTACGGTTACGTCGGCGATCCAACATGCGTCGGATCTTCAACCGCAACACAATTGATATTTCCGTCCAGAAGCGCTTTCGATTGATGTTGAAAATGCTCTCGCGTACCTTCGCGGGCAGTCCTCCGAGGAGAACAGATATTCCAACCATGGGGGCCGCGAATGGTGGCTGAAATCTCGTCTCGAGAGGTCTGTTCCCACGCTCACGGACTCCAATTCGCATCGCGGAAAAAGTCGCAGAACCCCACGAGATCCCATCAAGGAGATGTGATGGAGAGGATCCTCTGGCGAGAACGTTCGCAGGAAGAGGTAGGCTTGTACTGCATCGATAAGTCGCGCAAATGAGGCGCAAGTTCAGCCTCAGCCTTATCCTTTCATCGAGCGGGATCAGAACCAACATCGGATCTCCCTTCAGCATCACATCGCGGGCGAAGCATCAAAGAGGGAAGAGGCTCTACAGGATCCTCCAACGGCCGCGCCCTGCATCGAACCCACCCTGGCTGTCGCGTGCGCCAGAACGACGAGGGAACTGTGAGGGAGGGCGGACATATCATCAAGCGTCAGTGCTCGTCATCAGTCTTCGCCGCGTCACTCTTATCACACGTGGTGGGTGGCACAGGCGGTACGGTTCGATACTTCCTTATCTATTGCTTGTGACGTCCCGAACGCCTGTTTCCATTTCCTCCCCCCGCCGCAATCCTTCGGTGTCAAAGGGCATCGCTTCGAATTATTGCGGGTTTGATGGGAATTCGTTCCAGACGCTCAGGTTGATGGGAGGCGACGTGAGCACGTGGTGAAAGGGCAGGGCAGTCATACTTTCTTTCTTTCTTTCTTTTTTTTGCTTCTGTGTTGATCTTGATTGTGATGGATCTTTGAAGAGTGCGTTGATAAGGGAGCTTTGTCCTCTTTGGGCAGGCTACGTCAACAGGCTTTGTGAGGGAGTCGAACAAAGGAACAACAACAGATTCGATAAGATCTTGATTGGAAACCAGCCATGAAGCACAATGCCCTCACGCGTGTCCCAGATCGAGCCCATGAATTGATGAAAGAGCCTCAACGCTGCCAAGTGATGCCGTGCAAATAGCATACGGTTCAAGGGACGTGCCTGCAGCAGCAGCAACAGATGTGCACCGCCACAGTCACCACAATAACACCAGAACGAACAAGCGATTTTGCCCGTTAGTTGTTACTATTCTTCTCGTGCCGAGAATCCTTCACCCCGCCGCGTTGGGTTGTTGGGTGGTCGCACGACCGATTTCCCTTATCGCTGGCCAATCGCCGACCTCGGAATTACGTGTTTCGGGCCCTTGCGCGGGGCGGGCGGCGGGCTTTTGCTCTCTTTTTCGTTTCGCGACTTGATGAGGCCCAGCCCGTTGGCGGCGGCGGCGGCGGCGCGGGGTGAGGTGCTTTTCCGAATGTGAAGTCGATGTTCTCGTATGGAGTCGTTTGTTGAATGTTCCATCACAACACTGTGCATGTGTCTGCCTTGCTGCTTTTCTCTCCCGTGACGACGTGGTGGTCGCGGACGGCCCGCGCACAGTAAATGAGAACGGGACGAACTACCGCGAGTCGAAGAGGGGGGGCTCCTGGGCCGAGAGATTGGGCTGCGTTGCGGCCGAACCGGCGCTCAAGTCCATGGAAATTACGTGAGCGGCGCGCGGTGATGAGAAACCGCGGGGAAAATCATGAGGCGGACCCTCCCCCGTTATTTAGCCCTGTGAGCGTTCGTTCGGTCGAGACGCTGGACCAACGGCCACAAACCACAGTCCCGTGTTGGAAATCCTCGAACCATTCCACGGTGATCATCAAACTACCTATGTAAACAGCGAAGACCTTTCGTGGTCACTTCCCGCACCGAGCGCAGGCATCGAAAGGCCCTGCTGATCGATCGTATCCGTTTCTTGGACCCAAAGGTGACCGCAAAAAAACAGTAACTAGGTAGCAATAAATCCACCAAAATCCTGCCCAAAATCGCCCGCCAGCGAAATTCTGATGTCACCGAGCCGAACCCACCAACGAACGGTCGCCGAGAAATCGTGCGAACAAGGAGGAATATAGACTGTGTTTCAAGATGCCAATCCCATTATACAATCCTAGCCCAACCGCCGCCGCCGTCGCCGCCGACATCTCCCGAGGTCAGATGGACGACACTCAGGTGAGGTGAATAACTTTTAGTCACTGGCGCGGTTTTCCCCTTGCCGACGGTCGGTCGGCTTCAACCCGTCGGCGTTGGTGTTGATCGTGGAGAGGAGAAGGGCGGCGGCTTTGATCATCTCACCCGTTGCGACTGTGAGAGTGCAAGTGTGTAGTTTGGTTGGATGTCCGGATATATTTGTCGGAGGTGAAGAACACGGTTAGAGCCAGGACGTCTCTTGTCCTCCCGTTTGAGGAATCTTACATGTCGAAAGGTCGCGTGACGATCATTAGGGTTACCAAAATTACTTCCTCAACCTGTGCACGTCGGAGAGATATTGGAAACACCCTATTTTGAGGCGTGTTCAAAGCGTGAAGTTCTGTGTCCTGTTTGATGGAAGTGTCTGTTCGAGTATCTGGATGCAAGACTTGACAAGGACATGGGAATGCGGTCACATCAAGCTTGCATGCAGGAGAAAAAACCACTGCACACGTGAAATGAAGCGGGCATCGAAGCTCGCCTCCTTGCTATGTTCTCAAGCATACGCTTCGGAGGAAAATCAACGATCATAAACGTCAAATTGTGGGAGCTGCGTGAGGTATTATCATATAAAAAGAACCATGACATGCAAATCGAGAGTGGGAATGTGTGTGTGTGTGTGTGTGTGTGTGTTCGCTTGCGATTTACATGGCCATTTCCGCCTGGAGTTTCCGTAATTCCTCCTCCTCGTCGTCTTCCTCCTGTTGTTTCTGTGGTTTGCTTGAGACGACTGCAGCATCGGGCTCGTTAGCAAACAAAATGATAGAACCTCGAGGAAATTCCCCGAGAAGAAGTGTGGCAGGAGACTTACGTGTTCCGTTGGCCGCGTTCGGCAGCGAATGTATCCGGTCTGATACAGGTACGCTCCCCGATTTCAACATCTTGGCGTCCAGCTCCTCCTGCTGTAACATTGCCAGTTCCTCATCCAGCTCGTCCTCGTCGATGCCTTGCATCGTGTTGCCCGAGGTGATGGCTTCGGAGATCTGCTGGCCGATATCGTGTTGCTCGCGGAGGTCCTCCATAGTCTGATCGACCTTGTCGATAGTGAGACCGCCGTGGATGTTCTTCATGGCGACCTTGGCGCCATTCATAGCCTCGAATGTCTCTTTGTTGATGTTGGCCGCTTCGATGGAGAAGATCTCCCGTTCGACCGTCATCATCTGTGCGTGCGTTTGTGAGAGGGCGTTTTCGTGGGCCTTCTTCCGCGTGAGCGCCGCTTTCGCCGCTGTTTTGACAATGAAGTGTGGTTAGTTGAGAAATCCAAAAGAACATTCCGGAGCTAGAATGTCAAAGATGCGCGGCTAGCTGAAGTGTCCTGTTCAATCCGTAGATTTTGTCCCACTGGCGCACGGTCTTTACGACAGAGACACTTCCCACGCCACCAAGAAGGGAGAAGACCCAACTCACCTGTCTTATTCGTGCTGATGTACTTTCGTGCCAGCGCATCCTGTTCATCCATCAAATTTTGTAAATGTTTCTCCCGCTTCGACAGCATTTCCAATGTGCTCCGTAGTTTGAGGATCGCCTCCTTTGGTGCATTCTTCTTCGCCGCGGCGGTACCACCGCTACTACCGCCTCCAAAAAGGTTGAAGCCCCAGCCAGACATCCTGGCGATGTGTCTGCAGTCGAGTAGCCTGGCTGGCTAGATCGATGGGTGGAGCCGGCAGCGAGTGGGTTGATGGTCGCGATGAACCTCTGGAGGGCTGAACACGAAGTGCTGGGCGATCTCGAGTTGTTCTCGCTGCAAAAACGATCCTTGTTGAGACAATCGCAGAGTTTGACCAATTCCGGCGCAAGTCGAAGAGATGGACTGGTTGGAGTCGGCGGCGGGAATGAACCAGGCAGCTGCCTGTGCCGAGTGCACCGCGCGAACTTTTCTTATATCGGTACCTTTCTGGTGGTGGATTCCGGAACGAGCACTTAGGGTGAATCGGATCAGGTCGTGATTTGGTGCCTTGTGTTCGCGGGTATAGAGCAAAAGATAACCAAGCGGATCCGAAGAGGGGAGAGATTACAAGGCTGTTCAGCACTCAGAAGTCGTCACACGGGCGTTTGGATTCGTGACGTTGCTCCCATCCCACCAGCGGGCCAACTGAACATGCCACTTGACCGTAAGCGGACTAGTGCCTGCCTATCTGAGAGTGAGTGCCTGTGGATCTGCTCATCTTGCCTACATGCATCTTGATTATGGAATTCGATGTTGTTCGTGCATGTGATGTACAAGGCAGTGGAGAGTTAAGATGAATTTCGAGTGAGTTGGCATGTCTCACTCAGGAATATGGTCTTGCAGTCATCCTCGACCCTCCACAACCGTCGCTCTAAGAACAATTTGATCGAAAGCTCGAAGATCGCGAATATTGCATCATGTGAAATCACCACTCGCCATGCCGTCTCAAAGATGAATACAGCGACCGAGAATCACAAAATTTGATGATATCTGCGTTTACCAACAAAATCAAATGCCCAGAAGTTCGTTCCGATGTCAGCATCCGACCAACGCAACTTCCGCCCTCGTCCGACAACACTGGTCCTCCTCGACCAAGTCCCATTGCAACCAGCAGGTTCGAAGATCCGCTTCCTCGGCTGCGTGCAAGAATACAGAGCATCTCGAGCACAGTTGGTCTTGCGGACGAAATTCCCTGCCACGACTCAATCCTCTGAGCTCGAGCAACAAAATCAAGAAAAACAGCAGCAGCGATCGAAAGACGACGACAATGAATGCAAGAGTGAAACGCGAGACGGTGCCATCCGCACAGCTGTCATCGCAGATGTCTCCGAGATCCTCTCCACCCTCGACCACGAGCTCGTCACGGTCGGAGCATGGGTGAACATCATCGGCGATGTGAAATGGTCACCCACTCGAACGAGATCCTCCCCAGCGGCGACGACGACCTCAACCCTACCATCGGGACGGAGAGCTCAAGCGAGCAGATCGAATACCGAACCCGGGACCCAATCCACCTCTGAAAGAACAACCGACCCGCCGACGCATCCCAAACATCGCCATCATCACCATCCCAGCCGAAACCCCAAACACCCCAGACCGGCCATCGTCCAAGCCACAATGCTCTGGTCCGCCGGCGCGGTGAAAACCTCCGAATACGAAATTGCCGTCGGGCAATTCCAGAAGTCCCTGCTGCTGCAGCAAACCGCAGGTGAGCTTGAATGATCAGCTGTGGCCCAGACATACATTGGGGACGAAAGGACGGAATTGTCGCGAGGACCGCACACGCGACTCCTGCTGCTAGGTACTCGAGTGTTGAGGGTTCGAAACGCTCACGAATGTGTTCGAGATGATGGAAAACGCGGCGTTGGATGGGAGGTGACGATGAACGATGAACGATCGACGAGACATGGGAATGAAAAGGGAACGATCGGCCAGAGACAGGAGCAATGAAGAAGAAAACCGGGATTTGATCTTTCTCTTTGATTCCGAGCGCCGGAAACGCCGTGCTATGTCATGACCACTATCGCCACCACCGCCGCATATATTCCCTTTTCCGCCATCTAAAAACATTGGCGGGGGAATTGTGCTCGTTCACCGCACACACATAAGATTTGCTTCCTATTTCGTGGATCCTCGTCTTCGTGCGTTTCTAATCGAAGAGGAACCCATCGTCCTCTGCCACGGGATACATCGCCCGTTTTTGACGAAAGACTCCCAGATTTCTCAATGGAACCCCCGCGATTCCCTCCTTCACATCCTCTCCCTCTCCCGCTCGACCTCGAATTTGAAGTCGAAGTACGGGGGATCGAAGTGGTGCACGCGGACGTAACCGTCCTCACCGCCGCTGCAATAGCACTTGCCGGTGGGGTCGACGGCGACGTAATTCAGCGGGCCGAAGTGGCCGCGCACGCGACCGATCTCCTCCTCGAAGATCTTGTGGTAGAACCGCGCCTCGAACTTCCCCTGCCGCGCCGATGTGGTGGTGACGTCCATGGCGGCCTGGCCGCCGCCGAGGATGACGAATTGGGTGGGGTCCGGGGTGATGGCGGCGCTGTTGAGCGGCGTGTCGGCGACGTAGGTTTTCAGGACCTCGAGAGTCTTGCTGTCCTGCAGTTTGGCGGTCTTGTCCTTGGACGCGGTGATGAAGTAGGTGCGGTCGGCGCTCCATTGGAGGTCGGTCACTTGCATGTTCTCTTCGTGCGGGAAGGTGTGGAGGATCTCTTCGCCGGTTTTGGCGTCGTATTGCGTCACGCTGCCGTCCTCGTGGCCGGTGATGATGAATTTGTTGAGGTAGGAGAAGCCGGCGACGGTGACTTTGGGGATGTCGTCGACGACGATCCGGAGGCTCTCCTCCGTGGCCTGCTCGGCGGTCGGGTCGGGGTTGATGTCGTAGACGTACACGGTGCTGAGTTGTCCTGAACGCTTCTCCGTCACGCCGAGCAGCTGTCGGCCGTCCTCGGAGAATTCACATCGCTTGATGGAGGTGGCGTATTCCCATGTCTTCAACAGTTTTCCGGTCTTGACCTCCCATAACCGCAAAGTGTTGTCGGCGCCTCCAGTAGCCAGCAGAGTTGTGTGAGGGTCGACATCCACCGTCCATAGCGCACCCTGGTGTCCTTTGAATGTGCCGAATCGTTCGCCGTTGGCGCTGTACCATGCGCAGACAACGTGATCTTTGCTGACGGAGAAGATCAAGTCACCTTCCTTGGAGAATCTAAAATGCGATTATGTGAGTGAGAGGATTCGGGAGACGTGGTTGGACTGGCGGCGACGGAGTACGAACTTGACTTGGGTGAGCGCACGCTCGTGCCCTTGCAAGAGGATCGGTCTCATGCTTGCTGTGTGTGTGTGTGTATGTGATATTGACGCGACGGAGCAGACTGAAGTTGCCGGCTGCTGCTCGATCGATATGCGAATTGCGATGCCACCACGCTTGGGCAGTGGTATATGCTGTATCGAGAGACCCACCTTTCCACGCTACGCTTCACTTCAGCACTTTCTATGTGCCCGCACTGTGCAGGAAACCTCCCGCCTCCGCCGAAATCTTGGCGCACGTTTGATGACTCACCCCCGCGGCAGGCCAAATTGCAGGTGGAGTGCATCATCTACGTCGGGCTATACGTGTGAGTCAAGAGAAGGAAAGCCGTCGCCTGCAACGCGGTGGTGATGATACCGTCTGCAGTACACTTGAAAGGTTTGTGTGGAGTTGTCTCTATACTACAATACAATACCTCTATGACTGCTGAGGGGGTCGTCCGCATGATCTCTCGCCGTTAGATCGCCCATAATATAATTATAATATCATTGGAAGTCTGGGTGAGTCATTGATTAGCGTCACGTCCAGGGCTGGTGACGGTCTTTATGGAGGATATGGTTATCCCTCTGAAGACAGCGAGTCAGTGATGATGACGACGACGGTGATGTGCAAGCCTTAGAAGCAGCACGGACATCACAACACCTAGGTACGTGGTACAGTAGTCTCACATGTGTCAGACTGTGCAGCGAAAGGGCGTGCGCGCCAAAGGAAAAAAAAGTTTTGCTCACACGGGCATAAGCCATTACGGTTCAGGGCACGGGTTCGTCCTCAACATTCGCATTCTGTCCAGTACTGTACTAGGTAGTGGCCATTTTCACTATTACCTACAGTAGCTAGGTAGCGACCAGAGTATGTGCGGTCCATTTCATCAATGATAATCAAGCCCATCATCGCCTTTGGGAGTCGCATTGATCCGCTGTGAATCTTACTACTCGTCCTTCTTCTGCACATCATCCTCCTCGAAACTCCGAGCTGAGCAGGACTCCGACGTCGCTCAGTCAGCATTGGCTTGCTCCATCCATCTGCCCCGGTTGTACAGTACACTGGCCGGCACAACCACCGGCCGGAAACAGTGCTGCCCAGGTGCTGCTTTGATCCGCGTCGCATTGCACTGCATGATCGGTTGGTAGACAAACCCGCAGTATAACATCCAGTACGAGGAATCAGACGGAGAGCACAGAAAAGCCAAGCGAATCGACAAGGCTTTTGTTGTTTGGCATACATACATCTTCTTGTACACCTGGTACCCGATTGACAGACAGCAGCATGCGTTCTGCAGCAAAAGCTCAGCCATTGGCTTCGGCCGTTGCTGCTGCTGCTGCCGCTGGACCCTCACGTCACCGGCAATGCACGATAATTGTCCAACAGCAGCGGGGTATCACAACCACCAAGACTGCGGGCCATTACAGTGCCAATTCAAACGGCATCGCCAACAACAAATCATCTATTAACGAAACGACTGCTCTTCCCAAGTCGTCGACAGCAATCGCTTCAACCTCTTCTCCCGCCGTCCATTTGTCTCCCCGAGTTTGTCCGCGATTAGTCCTTGTTCGGCCGGGCACCAGAGCCAACTCCACTCGGTCTCGTTTGCCATTTTCCCTCACTACTGCTTCCTCCTCCTCCTCCTCCGCCTTCGCTGCCCCACATAATAAATCGCACGCCGGTCTCCGATCAGCCTCTTCTCTCTCTACCTTAAGAGGCTCTCTGACGGCATCACACCCTTCGTCGTCGCCTCTTGCTGTTCGTCACTTTTCCTCCTCATCGCCATCCTCGTTTTCCTCCACCACAGTCAACGCCATGCCGGCCACCAAAATTGACGGCACGGCCATCGCCAAAACGATCCGGGACCAAATCTCCAAGGATATTGCCGAGAAGCAATCCAAGAATGCTCGCTACAAGCCAAGCCTGGTCATCGTCCAGGTCGGCGATCGCGGTGACAGCTCCACCTATGTTCGCATGAAGCTCAAGGCTGCCGAGGAGGCCAACATCACCTGCAAGCTTGAGAAATATGACGAGTCCATCACCGAGCAGGAGTTGTTGCAAAAAATCGAAGAGTTCAACTGGGACAACAGCGTTCACGGTCTGCTCGTACAACTGCCTCTCCCTTCCCACATCGACGAGTACACCATCACCAGCGCGGTCGCAGACGAGAAGGATGTGGACGGCTTTGGCGCAAGCAACATCGGTGAGCTTGCCAAGAAGGGAGGCAAGCCGTTGTTCCTCCCTTGCACTCCCAAGGGTGTCATGGTGTTGTTGAAGGAGGCCGGCGTTGACCCCAAGGGCAAAAATGCTGTGGTCATTGGACGATCTGATATTGTTGGAGCTCCCGTCAGCTACCTGCTACGCAATGCGGACGCAACCGTCACTGTCTGCCATTCCAAGACTCAAAACCTTCCCGAGATTGTCAAGCAGGGTGACATTGTCATTGCCGCCATTGGCAAACCTGGCCTCGTCAAGGGCGAATGGCTCAAGGCCGGAGCAGTTGTCATCGATGTTGGCACGAATGCCATTCCAGATGACACCAAGAAGTCCGGTACCCGCTTGGTTGGTGATGTTGACTTCGAATCTGCTGTTGAGGTTGCCAGCCAAATCACTCCTGTGCCTGGCGGAGTTGGTCCGATGACCGTTGCTATGCTTCTTTCCAACACCGTTGCTGCCGCTGACGCTGCAGCCGCGCGCCAAAAGGACCGCTCGATCAGACCCCTTCCGCTCAAGCTCCTCCAGCCAGTTCCTTCGGATATCGCTGTCTCGCGTGCCCAACGACCCAAACTCATCACCAAGCTCGCGTCAGAAATCGGCATCGCTCCTCACGAGCTAGAGCCGTACGGTGCATACAAAGCCAAGGTTTCCTTGGATGTTCTCGGACGGCTGGAGCACCGACGAGATGGTCGATACATTCTCGTTGCTGGCATCACTCCCACACCGCTCGGTGAAGGAAAGAGTACCACCACCATCGGTCTTACTCAGGCGCTGTCAGGTCAGCTAGGACGTATTGCCTTTGCAAACGTCCGTCAACCTTCCCAGGGTCCCACATTCGGTATCAAGGGTGGTGCAGCAGGCGGTGGTTACAGTCAGGTCATACCCATGGAGGAGTTCAACCTTCACTTGACTGGTGACATTCACGCCATCACTGCTGCCAACAACTTGCTCGCTGCCGCCATCGACACGCGTATGTTCCACGAAGACACCCAAAAGACTGGTCCCCTTTACAAGCGATTGGTACCTGCCAAGAAGGGCAAGCGAACTTTCCTTCCTTCAATGATCAAGCGATTGCAAAAGTTCGGTATCAACAAGACCAACCCAGATGAATTGACCGAGGAAGAGATCACCAAATTCGCTCGCTTGGACATTGACCCTGAGACCATCACCTGGAGACGTGTTCTTGACGTCAACGACAGGCATCTCCGTGGAATTACCATTGGTCAAGCTCCAACTGAAAGCAAGATTGCCCCACGAGCCACCGGTTTCGATATCTCCGTGGCTTCGGAATGTATGGCTGTTCTCGCTCTATCCACTGATCTTTCCGACATGCGTGATCGTCTCGGCCGCATGGTCGTTGCCTCATCACGCGCTGGTGACCCGGTCACTGCGGATGATCTGGGTGTCGCAGGCGCTCTCGCCACGCTCATGAAGGACGCCGTTAAGCCCAACATGATGCAAACATTGGAGGGTACTCCAGTATTTGTCCACGCTGGTCCATTCGCCAACATCTCCATCGGCAACAGCTCCATCATCGCCGACCGTGTTGCGCTCAAGCTTGCTGGTACCGAACCGGAAGAAGATGCTGAGCGCAATGACAAGGTGGGTTTCGTCGTCACCGAGGCCGGCTTCGACTTCACCATGGGTGGTGAGCGTTTCATGAACATTAAGTGCCGCGCTTCCGGCCTTGTACCCGATGTTGTTGTGATTGTTGCTACGGTTCGTGCTCTCAAGGTTCACGGCGGTGGCCCTGAGATCACCCCTGGCGCCCAACTCCACGAGGTCTACCGCACTGAGAACGTCGACATCCTCCGCAAGGGTTGTGTCAACCTGGCCAAGCACATCGCCAACGCCAAGTCTTACGGCGTCAACGTCGTGGTTGCCATCAACAAGTTCGAGACTGACACCGAGGCTGAAGTCCAAGTCATCCGCGAAGAGGCTCTCGCTGCAGGCGCCGAAGACGCCATCTCTGCCAATCACTGGGCCGAGGGTGGAAAGGGTGCCGTCGATCTCGCCAAGGGCGTCATCTCCGCCGCCGAGAAGGCCGACGCCAGCAAATTCCACCTCCTCTACACCGCTGAGCCCTCGAAAACCACCTCCACCGACGCCGCCGCCGCCCCGGCCATCCAAGACTCCGCCATTTACCAGCGCCTCCTCACCATCTGCCGAGACATGTACGGCGCCGCCACCATCTCCCTCTCGCCCATCGCCGAGCGTAAACTCGCCACCTACACCGCTCAAGGCTTCTCCCACCTCCCCGTCTGCATCGCCAAGACCCAATACAGCATCTCCCACGACCCTGCCCTCAAGGGCGCGCCATCCGGCTTTGACGTCCCGATCCGTGACGTGCGTCTCGCTGCCGGTGCGGGTTACCTCTACGCTCTCGCCGCGGATATCCAGACCATCCCTGGTCTACCCACGGCGCCTGGTTACTTGAACGTGGAGATCGATGGAAAGACCGGCGAGATTGATGGTTTGTTTTAGAAGAAGGCATCACATTCCACAAACCAGGCGTTCTTTTCGGGTTCACAGAATTGTGTGGTTTTGTTTTTTTTCTTTCTCCTGCAATAAGGAGTCCGGGTCCACTCAACGTGTCAACCTGTAGCCGCGCCGCTGTTCCTTTTTCCTCTCCAATCATGTTGGGATTTTCTGCAGAATCGGGGTTTCATCATCTTCCGGCCCGGCGTTTGATTTTTTTGTTGTCTAGAAAGTTCTTTGTATATAGATAGTATGAATTAAGAATCGGATGGGAGCACCACCGCGCAACGAGCGTCACGCCCCTTCTCCACGGACAACACTCGTCTTGTGCATAGGCGTGCCCGTGTGACATTGATCGCTCATTGAATTAGTCATCGGGGCGATCGAATGTCAGATTCGTCATGGGACTGTTCCTCAAATAGTGTGTCAACCATTCGATACACATCCACAAAGGAAAGAAGCAAGTCCAAACGGGCGTGTGTATAATTCTATCCATGAAATAACGAGTGTGTATCATAATTCGCAACCGCGCCGCGCCATCATCCCGCTTCCACTTCCCCCCCCCCCAAAACCTCTCTCTCGCCTCAACCTTCCCCGTGACGTCAACCTCTCCTCGACCTTCCCACCTCATCACTCCTCAATCTCATCCCCATTCTCATCCAGATCCCCCGTACCCCAACGCCCGAACCGACCATGCTGCCTCGTCATCTCCGGCGCCGCAGCCGCCTTCGCGGAGGTGCCGCTCACCGTCGTCGCCATCGTCATCGTCATCGTCATCGTGGCCTCTACCGCGCCGCCTCCACTTCCATTTCCCTCTCCTCCTCCCTCCTCCGCGGCCCTCGCGACCACGGGCCCCACCCAAAAATTCCTCCCCACCGCCGTCCCAGAGGTCTCATCCCCACCCGAAGCACCCGCCGTCGCCGTGCGCAGCGTGCTCGAGGGCGAAAGGTCCAAGTTGTGCGGCGCGGTCGGCAGGCGGAATTCGTGCAGCTCCCCCTCGGGCGCACCGGGGTGGTCGCCTCGGAGAAGGGCGGCCCTGGCGTGCTCGTACATCTCCATGAAGCTGGGGAGGTGCTTTCCGGAGGTCGCAGCGGCGACGGCGGCGGACGTGATCTCGGCGGACGTGATCTCGGCGGACGTGATGCTGGCGGACGTGATGCTGGCGCTCACTGCGATGCTGATGCGCGTGCCCGTGACGAAGGTGGTGGCGTCCAGGATGTTGGTCGTCACGGGGCTGTTGGAGACGGTGGCGGTGAAATGCGGCATCAGGGGGAGGGCATCGCGGGCCGCGAGGGTCTGCGGCACGGCGACGGGGCCGTCCACCGCCGCGGTGAAGTGCGGAGCAAGGGCGTCGTCGCAAGCCGTGAGAGTTTCCGGGACGCCGACCGAGGCAGCAACGGGACCTTCCACCGTGGCCGTGAAGTGGGGAGCGAGAGGGTCGCGGGGTCCCAGACCCTCATTGAGCGTCGCGAGCGTGTCCCCCACCTCCATGGGATGGCGGATGGGAAACACGCGGCGGGCTGGCTCGTCTTTGATCAAGGTGATGATGGCCGCGTTGGCCGACATCACCGCCATCATGAGGAGGTGAAACCACAGCATTGTGAGGTTTGGATGGGATGTGAAGTGTGAGGTTGTGATGTGAGATTGTGATGTGAAGTGTAATTTGTGTGAGGTGAACTTTGATTGTGATGTGATGTGTAATGTGAGTTCTCAATGGTAGTAAACTCGGAGTTGTGAACTACGATTGCAAGGCGACAGGAGGGAGTCATTTATACCTACGGAGTGAAAAGAAATCCTCAATAGTTTCTGGAAATTTATTCGGAATATTATTTCTTACAGAATTGGTGATATCACACCCCAGAGGATTTTCACATCGTGGTGACCTCTGCTTGCGTTGAGGCGACGAACGAATTTTCACATGTGGTGTATCAGTACCATGTGGGAGAGCATGATGATCTTGGTACCGTGCTCAGGGAGTGGTCGATAGTCTCTCTGTTGGATTTGAGAACCGGATTTCTGGCGCTTTCGCACGCGAGTAGTTGTATGTTTTGTATGATTCGATGGTGATTTCTTCGGCAGCTTTGCCATGTTCCAAATCTTTGCCAATAGCACCGGCCGTCACGACTTGGGCCAGACCTCTGTCCCGGTGAGTACCTTCGCGACACGAATGATGGTGTACAGTCGTTGGAAAGGCTGCGCTACAGATTTCCGTGCAGAGAGCGAAGATGCCTTGGTTGACGCATAGTCCTGAGCTACGCGAGAAAGTCATCATATCTGGTGAGCTCGGTTGAAGAAAAGACGTAATGGCTTCGGTTATACTTGACCAGCTTTCGCGGTCTCGACTTTTGAAATTGGCCTCCGTGATGTCAATCTCCAGGGCAAGCGGCACACAACTTCATGCAATTCTGTAACGATTCCCGAAATGCAGTTACGTGAACCACTGAAGCGATACTCGTGAGCTTGTAAGGCCGTCACGAAATGCACGTAGCATGACCACCCATTCGCGTTGACCATATCGTCTCTCACCCGCTAGCAAGGACAGCCTGCACAATCGCGTCGGCACGGTCGCCGTCAAGGTACTCTGTCTCACCCTCTAACTCATCCAATTCCAGACTGGCTTCGAGTGCTCTCCTTACAGTATCTTCTTCGACTTTGACCTTGCCAGCAATGAGCGCGCGAATGCATCCGGCAACTCGTGAGATGCCTCGACGTGTTGGTGCAGAGATCTCATCGTTCTGACTGGAATACATTGCGGCACTCGCAAGCTCTTCTAGACGGTTGAGGCCAACCACATCTGAGGAAGAGCCTGCCAGGTCGATGGAGGCACCTCCCTCGGCTTTCTTCTGCGCTGCAGAGATCCAGATGTAACCGTTGACGCCGAGAATGACGTCGACTTCACCTGCGCCAGGCGCGGCAGGTGGTAGCGAGAAAATTTGTCGCTTCGCACGAACAACTCCCGCACCACCACCAACGCCAGCGACAGCCATGAAGTAACCGTTTCGTAATTTGCCGTACTTCAGGGAACGTGTGTGTAAACTCGCTGAGCCGTCTTGGAATAAACTCTGTACTTCCGCCACGAGAAGATCACCCTCGGCAAAGAAGCCTCGAATCTGGAGCTCGTCTACAGTCGTGCGCTTACGGAGGATACCGCCAGGCAAGTTGATACTACTCAGTAGAAGATTCGCAAGCAGCGGTGCAGCGACATCAACTTTCCATCGGCGCGATTGCACTTCCACGATGCGACCAACGACGAGATCACCGATCTCAGGCGTATATCGAGCACGAAGCGGTGCAACTGAGAGAAGCTTGTTCGTCTTCTGTAGAGTGCCAGCAAGAGTCGAGCGGATGACGGAGGGGTTTTCATCTGGAGCAACCGCAGCGGAAGCGGAAAAGGTGCCGTGACCACGCATCCATTGAGGATCTGATGTGACCACTTGACCAGGCGTGACGATATGCTTGGTACGATTTGACTGATTTGATCCGGGACCCAGATTGTCAATGTCCATGGCATCTTCACCGCGATCATCGTCCTCATCGTCGTCCTCGCCGTACGTGTCAAGATTTGTCGAATTTGATTGCCATGCCGATTTCGATGTGGGGATAGGAGCAGCTGGCGCAGGCGGTAGAATCGTTATCGCCATATTGTACGTAGGATGCTCTTGTGAACAACGGGTTTTGATCAATGCGAGAATACTGTTGAAGTCTGAAAATTGACCATGCGAATGAAAGTCTGGTGATGCACATTGGAGCTGCTGTTATCGATACGGCTACAATCGTCATCCACAAGGTCTTCCGTAACGCTTCTGGGGCAAATGTAACCCTAACATGGATCTTTGTCAAGGTGTCGGCGACCTATGTCCACCTTTGCATGGCCTATTCGCCAGAACATCCAGACAATGGTTTCAGCACGCCAAGTCACCCAATGGATTTACGGAAACGTCAACTGCCTTGTGATACATTTTTGTGACGGAAACTTTCCAACATGTAGCATGATATCAAATACTTCACGGTATCTCTAGCATGGCTACATCAGAGCTCACGATGGAACAAATCTGTTCAGAGCATCGTCCGGGCGACCTCCATATTTCGCCGGATCAATAAACTCCTCTCGGATTAACTTGCCAACCTCTCCATGATGGTTGTCTTCCCATGCTTTGATGAATGTTGGGCCCGAATATTCCTCAATGCTGGAATAAATGATTCCGCCCATGCGTTGCAGGACAATACATCGCTCATCCATTGTCCTTGCCAGTCTCAGAATTCCACAGTTCCTTGGACGCATCTTCTCTTTGCCATTCCGACCCATGATGATCTTCTCACAATCCAGAACGCAGAGCGCACCCGGTGGATGCGATGGCCATGCGACACGAACCCATCCACGTTCGCGACGAGTAGGCACAAGGCGTTCATTTGCCGCAACTGCGTCGTGCGCTTCTTCATCACCGTTCTCGAGCTTGCAGATGAATCGGCGTCGTCTTTCGCTATCCCACCATGTCGCTCCCAGGCGAAGTAGCTTCTGGCAGAAGACGTCCTCGGCGGACTGATCTGAATCTCGACGCAGAGGGGGGTCTAGTGGATCGAGCTGCAGGTAATCAAAATCAGCAGGACCAACGTTTTCCAGGATAATACAGCCCCCGCGAGATGGCCAGCCGTGAAGATCGATTCCGTACTCTCCGATCAACGTGCGTTGAGAAATTCGAAGATTATGATCGCGCGGATTCCCTGGACCGAAAGTCCTCAACGATGGATTGTGCATGCGGTCATCTAAATAGGCGCTGTTGTTCGCTATCGGAGATGGACGATCCATGTCGAAGAAAGGAGGAGATTTGCGAGGCCAGAGGATGATTGAATTGTATTCGTGCTTGATGGCGTTTGCCCAGGAAGCCCACATACTCTGGACTGGCGAGGTTGATGGGTTGTGAGGCGAGTGTGAGCTCTTCGTGGTGTGTCTTGTTTTCAAGCTGCAGTCGTCACCAGTTCGAGATCCAGACGCACACTTGTGCGGTCAGTAACTGGAAACTCTGCTTATCATGAGGTTTTCGGGACATCGGAGGTCTGCGCATACTCAGACAGCTGATGTTTCACCATCGCGACCTTGGAAAAGCCATCAAAAGCCAGAGGCGGCAGCGTAACGCCAGGGGATCACACATGAGATAGCACCACCTGGGCAAGCCAGCTTCCGCGCCGCACAGCCGCGTGGTCAGTTCCATTATGCGCTAGTGACGAGCTGATCTCCACAAATCATGCACACCTCGATCGATTATATGCATGAAATTCAGGAGCTCAGTTTTCAGACCAATCGCCGTTGATATGTCTCCCGAGCGCCTAGATAGGCATTTGTCGACATCCAATCACTGTCACATACAGATGGTCTCTGATCTACTGCACTGTCCCCTCGGGAACACCAAACGGACGCAACTTTCCCACGGCAAAACACACTTGGACCGGCAGTCTGGCCGACCTGCAGGTTTCCCTCACGAACGAGTGGCCACATGTTGGACTGATTATCGTTTTGAAGCCGCAGATGTTTAAGATTTCACGGTCCCTGGCTTATCACCTGCGCGTTTCAAGACTTCCCGCGTTTGATCCCTTCAAACAATGGCGGAGATTTTGTGTCTTGATGGACTCCGTCAGGCGTCCTCCGATGCTTCAAGATACATGTATCATTCAAACCGGACGAAGCACTCCGACAATTAAATAAAAACGAGTCGATATCATACTCTACCCTTCAAGGTCATGACGTGGATGACGAACTATTAGTCATTGCAGACACCGAGTATCAGGTCAGTCATCGGAGCGCATTGTCTGATTTGCCCGATGTCTATTTCAAGGGCTATCGTCTCGGGGATTTCTCACATCGCATCGAAAAATAGGCACAGTCATTATGAAGCGTAATCAGAAATATAAAGCTCTAATGTCAACCCTTCCAAAGAGGTTCTCATCACCAGCAGCCTTCGTGCTCCTCAAAGGCAACACGCACTCACCCTCCGTCAAGGTCAACCTCACATCGCACTTTCAATCGCCTCTTTCAAATAACGACAAACACAGCCCCGCTTCCATTGGGGAGCCAACCAGACTGGCATCGACAAATTCCAACCGTTGCTGTTGTTAAAGCTCTTCACGCCAATGATTCACACAGCATTCAATAGCCGCTTTGAGCATCCTGGGCAGCAGCTGCCGCCAATGTCCCGATCTTGCCATCAGTCCTAGTTGCAACACCTTGGGAATTACACATGGCAAAGTGACATTGCACTTCTAACAAACAACCTCGTCCGGCCAACGGCTTCATAAGGGAGTGGTCTCCTTACACCATTACCAAAGCCTCCACAATGCCTCTGATGCCTAGGAAAACTCTAGCCATACTCTTGATCTGGTGTCATTTCGCCGCATCTATTCAAGCTCTGATGCCTCTCTCTCAACTCAGAGGCCCAGACTACAGCAATGACAAATTTCCTCCTTATCCACCCATGACGAATCTCGATGGCACGAACATTACCACCCAGAATCTGAGAGGAACACGCCTCTATGGTTGGAAAGGTTGTGATGTAAGCGAGGCAAAAGCCATCGCTGAGGCGTACGTCGATTTTCAGAAACTGGCCAGTCCACTTGCGTCCAACATCGACTGGGCGAGTAAAACTGCCGAAGACTTTTGGGGCAACGATAAAGGTATGCACCGTCTACCAGACGATCGAAGGCGACAAATCCAACAAATCTTCCAAGCCCAGCAACAAATGTACGCCATCGGGTGGCATTTACTCCCACCCTGGTGGAAGAGCCTTTGGATTGAGGTACGATGTAGCGGCGGAGATGGCTCTGGAGACCCGCAGAATGAGTGCAGGGACCAGAAGCCCAACGATGGAAGATGTGGGAGTGATGAAAGTGAACCAACCGGTGGCGACGACAACTCACTGGAAGCATTCGTGGAATCTCCCACGTTCCACAAGCAGCTCACTTACAGTCGCATAACATTTTGCACTGGTTTCTTCAATCTCCCTTCCCTGTCCGAGGTTATGACCATTACGCCGAAGAGACCAAAAGCTACGCGAGAAAACCTTGCATCTTGGAACAATCGCGCCCGCATTTTTCTCCACGAGACGACACACCTGGATTGGTTCATGAACACTCCGCACGAGAGTCCGATGGTCAATGACCTCAAAATTATCTCCAAAGCGAGCGAGCAAGACAGTGATGGTGAGTATATCAAAGACTGGACTTATGGAGTCGCATTTTGCAAAATCTTGAAGAATTATGGTCGATTGAGCCTAGTCGGCTTCTATCCTCAGCGAAATGGTACGGAATAACACTCCAAGTTCAAGATGAGAACGTGCTGACAAAGATTCAAGCGGATTCATTTGCGTGGTTTGCCCTGGGCGCTTACATTAAGCAGGTTACTGGAACGTAAGTTTCTCTCATGTTCGTATGCAGATCGGACATGCGCTCATACGTACCGTGTTTGTGCATCTCCGAGATCCTACAGTCTGACACCACTTACAGATATCCGCCGAATCCTAGTCCCAGGCTGGTTCCCTTGCACGATCCGTGGGACAAGGATGACGAAGATGTCAAAGGACTTGGGCGCAAGCGCGATACACTGACTCGCCAAACCGACGCGATTCCCTCGGATGATAGCACAAACGATCTCGAGCATCGCGTTCCAAGGCGCGGTTGCTCGGACATAGTGATGAAGCAAGGCGCCAAAAGCGCAGGGATGGAAGACATCCCGAAAGCGCCGCCACCAGAAACGCCGCCGCCAGCAACTGCGTCCATTCCAGACCGGAACATATGTCATGAGATCAGTGGAGACTACTGGGTCATGTCTCGCGATGTGGCCGTCTCCAACGTGAAAGACTTCTGTGGACAAACAGAGCACAGCAAGAAATATAATGTTGGTTCCGTCAACGAGCTCGAACTTTCGGTCAAGAACAACAATGATGATTCACGCAGCCCGAAAGACTCGCCATCGTGTGTTGAGCGATTTCAGAACGCTGTCATCGATGGCTGCGACGGCGACGACGCAGTAAACAATCCGCACAACTACAAATTCGGCTCAACTTTGACAACAGGCGACGGATGGGAGTACCGCATGACTCCTCTCAGCAGGCAAGTCAACGAACTCAACTGCGACGCCAGTTACAGATTCTTCTGGGACGGCTTCGAGATCCGCGGGAAGAATTGGCGCGAAGCTGAGCTCGGCGCCGGAGGCGAAGGTCTGTTAAAAGAGCTCCGTGGCTGCGGGGTGGTCTCCGACTGGAAGTTTGAACAAACGCCAAACGACTGCTGCTTTCAGTGGTACTCCTCTGGGAGCCTACCGATTGGAACGAGAGACTGCGTCGGTCGTGCTGTTCAGAACGCCGGCGCGTCGAGCCCGGGCAATTGCTGGGGGCCTAATAGACGAGGTTTGCGCAGGCGGGATAACATCGACAATTGGCCGGGCTACGGAGACAGCTCGCGGCACGTTTTTGAGAACGTGACATCAGCCTAAAAGATTGGGCGTCCATTGCGGCAGATATTAGATGATATGTTCTGGGAGGGCTCTTTATCTTTGCGATGTGGCCAGTGAGTGAGGGCACCTAATAGTCTTGTTGGATCTTTATGGGATGCTAAATTGCAGGTTTTTCTCGTATTCTTCATAAATTCTTCCACAGCGAGCAAGCACCGATTTTTGAACGATTTATCATTGTCAAATAGCGAAGTCTCTGTATGTGACCAAACGGACTCGTTTACAGCAGAACGCGCACAGCAGAGATTGACAATTTGCCCGAGATGCGTTTGCTCGTTATGAAGCATTCAGACTCTTCTTATCGACCTATTGAGACTCATGAATATGTCTGTCCTACATCAGTGATCCTCATAAACCACAATTGCTAGGAGAAAATCTAATTCGATGCTAGTATTTGTAAATTACTGATGCAGGTAGAACAAAACAAAGGATCGATGCAGTGAAAGACTATTATGTTCAAATCGTTCGTCAAAGCATGGTCTCGGTGAGCTAGTGTATCATCGCTGTCCTGCAGTTATGTGAACTCAGAGAGGGCCGATAAGTTAAAGCATACCATTGATCGTTCTACCTTCAGTGTTCGGAAGGGTTTTATGCCTCTCAGTTGCAAACATTTTCTCGCTAACCTGAGTCATCTGGATCCTCTCAGGCTTACCAAACGTCCTATTTCACATCGTCTCGAACAGCGCATTTAGCTCGCAGCGTCTGTACCAGGTCGCTGTATCCCCGTTTTGATGCCAATTTTAGCACAGACTCGGTCACGATGATTTCATCGGTCTTAGCTCCTGCGTCAAGTAGCATACTCGCTATGTCGAATCGATCGTTCAAAACCTTGACGTCATCACGAAGAAGGCGCCAGCTGAAAAACCGATCATGCTCGAGAGATGTCTGTAGTGCAGTGCCTTCATAGAACGCTGGGTTGCCTTGTACCTCGACGTCGGCGCCTCTACCGAGAAGTATTTTGACCGATGTCGACCTGCCCTCATATGCTGCCGCCTGTAGCGGGAAATACCAACGTCCCTGTAGGTTGACGTCGGCTCCATTATCAAGAAGTATTCGAATTATCTCATCCCTACCATAGTTTGCAGCCGCTTCCAAAGCAGTGCCGTGTTTTCCACTTGCATTGATGTTTGCCTTCCTCTCGATGAGCATTTGCACCATCAGCTGATCTCCCATCGCTGATGCTAGCTGTAGCGCACTGCCGGATAGATCACCTTGTGCATCGACATCCGCGCCCCTATCAAGCAGAAGTCTGACTATCTCGTGAGATCCTGACTCAACTGCCACTTGTAGCGCACTACCTCTTGTTCCTCCCAGCGCATTAATATCAGCCCCGCCCTCAAGCAGGAGCCGGACTGTCGCTATGTTGCCAGGCCCTAATATAGCAGCCTGTAACGCATTGTGATACGGATAGCCCCTTGCGTTAACATCGGCCCCATGGTCAAGTAACGTCTGTACAATCTCGTAGAGACCCAAGTGTGCTGCCGCCTGGAGGGCATTGCCGAAGTCTCGTCCTCGTGCATTGATGAGAGCCCCGTCATCCAGTAAAGCACGTAATAGTCCGTAATGGCCAAATCGAATGGTCCAAGACAGAGCCGCGCCGGCACTGTTAGGCTGACCAAAAGGATCGTGACTGCCTACATGATAGGTCTCTACCCACCTATATCGTATATCGTCTGTACTTAGGAGCAGGAGCGCGCGACGCTCGGCCTTAAGCTCGCCTCTACGCAGGTGAGAGGGCCAGTAAGTTGCAGCATAGGCCAGAAGAGGAAAGACGACCGTATCTCTATCGCGAAATCCTGTCTTCGCTTTACTTTTGCTGTAGTGTATAAAGTACGACAAACAGCTCTGCGCAAGGTGGTCCTCGCATGATGCGTCGGACAGGTGAAATCGTTTCGCAGGACCACCGAGAATGCGGTCGGACATGAGGTACTCCTGCACAGAGAAGTGCGCCAGTCGTACTCTAGATTCCGGTCGGACATGCATGTTTGGCAAATTGGCTGACGTGTCGTTATCGATGAATGGGGGCTCCACGCAGCCTCGTACATCATCATGATCTTGGACGACTATGACCAGTCCTTCCACGCTGCCTTGAGTATATTCGTAGTCTTGATCAAGCATGACTAGTCCTTCAAGAATACTCAAAGGGCCTTCAAAGTATTCGTCACCAAGATTCTCTACTTCGTCCTCTCCGTCGTCCGATAATGTTATGCTAGTAGCGGCATGAACCTCAACGAGCGATAATGGTCTCTGCGCAAACGCGATCCATCGAAGCAGATTCAGCGCATCCTCTGCATATCGATCTCCAATATTTGCCAACATCCGCTGGTAAGTATCATCTAGCGTTTTAGGGAGATCTTTCAGGACTTCCTCAATAAATCTTCGTTTCATGAATTTGAGTTGTCGAAGCTCCAGCAATTGACAGTAAGCCCACCGAAACCTAAAGAATCATAAGCAAAACGACAATGTGTGGCCAGTGTGTCTGACGTCTCATACATTCCATCTGCCTTCTCCGAGATTGTCCTCAAGATGAGTGCCTTGGAATCTTCGTTGATTCTAGCTAGTCGTCGATCACTTGAGAGTTGCCTGGACACGTATCGCTTGATATCAGCGTCGACGGCGGCGGTCTCTATGGACATGGCTTCTGCCTCCAGGATGCCCATCGTCTCGTGTATCCCACGCAGTTCCCGACTAGTAGCGCAGACTCTCAAAGAAGGAATGCTTCGTGCTAAAGTTTCCAGTCCTTTCAACAAGTTCTCTCGGGCATCGCTCTCCTCAGGGCTTTCATCCAGCGCATCTAGCATGAGAACGGTAGTAGGATATGCCTGTGCGGCAGCAGCAACGATGCCCTCTAATTTATTCTCATCAAGCGAGCCTCCGTTTGAGTTGTCATACACTTGCAGTAATTTTGCAAGCCCAGGACCCTTACTCCCGAGCTGAGCAGCTAGAGAGCGAAGGAGATCCTCATATGTCTGCTTTTTCTGGTCTGAGAAGGTGAAGTAGAAAACAGCAAAACCGACATCGTCTTGACTTTCGCAATGCGCTTTCATGTCTTCGATTGCCGTCGAGCAAATCACGGTCTTTCCACAACCGGCCTTACCAAAGAGCCAGAGATGTTTGATGGAGCCTTTCTTCCAGCGCTGATACATCGGAGATTGGAGCAACCAGTCGCCGGTGTGAGGTTCGTGATGTTTGCGCGCTGACGCATGATTCGTCCAAGGATCCGACGCAGCAAGCCATTTGATCAGCTTTTGGTGCTGATCTGACTTCTGAATAGACCCGAGGGTTTCATGCTGAAATTGGTTCGACTGCTGAAGAGATGCGAGGACTTTCTGCTGAGATTGACTTGACTGCTGAAGAGTGACAAGAATCTTCTGGGTTTGCTGACTCGTCTCGAGATGCAAGATCTGTAGAGCGAGCTGTAGATGGCCTCGGAATTCGCTCACAGCTTCCTTCAATTTCTTTAGAGTGCTCGCTTGGAAAGGATACTGCAGCCGCTGAACAGCCGACAAGATCTTCTGTTTGGAACCTTCAGGCTGCGCATGCTTCCTGAGCTTATTGGCCTCCACCGACAGCGTCGTCAAGGCCTTTACGCAGGACTGCAAGCAGCTTTCCACACGATCGGATCTTTCTTCGTCCAGTGTAGGGTCCTGGAGTGCTGTATGGAGAATGGTCAAAGTCTTGCTGAGATCTGCGACGGAATTGTATATTTCTGTGATGTCGGAATCATACGTCTTCCAGGTGCTGTAGTACGTGAGCAGGCCCTGGCAGACTTGTATGCCGAGCGAGGCGATGCCTACGGCAGTGCCTAGCACTTCCATGGGGGAGAAGACAGCTCCTTGGACTTATCTTCCCTCGGACAACAATTGAGCGCTGATCAAAGTAAAGCGACGGTCTGTATCGAAATTACGATGTCATTATACACGATATCACGAAGACTGCCAATGTGGTCGATGAAGCTTCGACGAATAGTGCTCTATCGCACGATGTTGCGAAATGATGTCTTTGAAGATTGAACTTTGAAGAGCGATGTCGCAACTCACGGTATTGCAAGGAAATATGTAGTGACAAAGCGATCTCCGACGAGCAGTAAACCCGGGGCCTATGTATCGAAAGAAGCAGAAGAAGCCTCGACCGGGAGCAGTTCTCGAAGCTGGTGCATGCTGCATGAGCTCTAAGCCACACTGCGGCCCTCCAATCAGGCCCGCAGCCGGCCACATCTTGCGCCTCACCGGTAAGTCCAAGTGCATGCGCGACAGACGTCCGAATGAGAAATCGCTGACACTGAGCAAGACGACGCTTGCTTTTGACATGACTGTGGTGGGTCACGATATGTAGTCAATGCTTTAGCCAGCCGTGTACCTATTGCCAGAGGCACGTACCTGATTATGTCAGCCACCGGTGGGCGCTTACGTCACCCACCGCGTTAGGTGGCCCTCTCTATACGTTACCTACCGCGTGTGATGTCCTTGAATTGCCATTAATGAGAGCTCCCACTATGGGTGAGAAAATTGGGTAATATATAGATATCCGGCGATCCATTGTGTTGACATCACCATTTGGTGCCTGAGGCACCTGATATACCCACCTGGCCTCAGGCCTGTGGTGTCTTGTCTGACACCACTATTCTGTGCCTGAGGCAGCTGAGCGACTAAGCTGGCCTCAGGCCGAGGTCCAATAGGCCTTGGCAGGTGGACAACATAGTAGTCCAGGCCTCAGAGCCGGCACGGTTATAATAATGGGGAATAAGGAGGGACACCTATCTTTCAATACAATTTTAGCTGCGTCTGCATGCAGGCAGCCCTTCCGTGTATCACCTGTACGGCAATAGTACCAGACGAAACCCTGGGACCGTTCCACGCTAAGTCGGAGCCCAGTGGGAAACCGGGCACTCGTGACCAGCAGTCACCAGAAAGGTTTACAATAGCACCTGGGCATTTCGATAGACAAACACCAACATTTGGATGTCTTTACCAATTTTTCCTATCGAAAAGATAAGGGCTGCAGCAACAAGCTGACCATGGAATGGGACTAGCATAGCATACACAATAGGGACGGCGCATTTGGAAAAAAGGCAACTAAAAAGAACCCAAGAAACTCCCATTGAGAAAAAGGTACAAACAACAAAATAGATCGGATTTTTTCCCTTTCCCCCGCGATCTCGCAGCAGAGGGGTAAGCAATAAAAGAACAACAACAGCAAAGCCGACGAGCAAATAGTAGACAGGCGGCGCCTCCACTACCGCTTCGCGCAACAGGCCAAAGCACCGGTCTTCAGCAAAAAGTACAGACAACCCAAGAAACGGATGAGCGACAGTCCCGCCGTAACCCACAACAATGCGCGGAAGAAGTTCGCCGTGCGGACGTTGACGTCGCTCGAGAAACCGAACTTATCGGCCGAGGAGCTGGTGATGGCGATGGCGAGGAGGGCGTTGGTGAAGATCCACACGGTGACGATACGCGTGCGGAAAGAGCGGTAGGAGTCCTCGAGGGTCTTTTTGGTCTCTTCCTTGGGCGCGACGTAGGCGGTGAGGGCGCGTTTGACGGTTTGTTCGAATTGAGAGTCAATGTCGGCTTGCGGGAGGTCGATTTCTTCGATGACGAGGGTACCCTTGCCGTCGCCGGTTTTGACGGTTTGGGCGGAGGGTAGGGCTTCGGCTTTGTCTGATCCCTTCGTTCCCCAGGAGACATCGTGCCAGTTGGAGAAGGCGTAGACCATGAGGATGTTGATGTAGGAAGTCATCATGAGCAGATACTGGGGGAAGGAGGTGAACATGTGCCATGGGTCGAGGTAGAGGAAACTGGCCACAAAGTAGAGACCGAAGGTGGCGGCGAGGGCGATGATGATGATTCCGGAACCGGTGCTGGAAATGAAAGACCGGAGGAAGTCTTCGGCAGATCCTGACGTGTCGAGGCCCGTGCCTGCAGGACTAGTGAAGGCTTTGATGACAAGGTAGAAACTGTCGACAATGACATAGAACTGGATGATGGCGAAGACGACAAAGGATGTGATGTAAGACCAGCGACTTCCCTTGGGACGATTACCGAGAGCCAAGATGAATTGTAGCAAGAGGAATCCCACGTAGAGGTAGTTGATGACAGTGTTGAAAATCGGAGTCGCCTTGTTGCCGAAGGGGAATGCTCGTTGACCGTTATTTTCGCTGGGTCTTCCGACAAGATCAATAATGATAGTAGTGGTCAGGTAGTAAGAAGCTAAAAATTCGTCAGTAAAAGTCCCAATGCCATAGTCTGCGATCTGACCCACCAAGCGAGAACCATGATAGAGTGACAGTCAGAATGTTGTAGAGCAGTTGAATATGGAAAAAGAACATTCGCAGAATATTGTGTCCTGACCGGTACATGCGACCGAAATGCATGAGGGAGTAGAGTGTGGCAGCAAAGGAACCGTTCAGCCATCGACGACGCTGGCCGATGAATTCGGGTGCACCTTCAGGCACGTCGGTTTCACCCTTGGAGGCCTTGACGTAAGTCAAATGCCACTTGCTGCCGGCTTTGGCGACCAGTTCGAAACACAGAATACGATCTTCGGCCAAGAACATGTTCTTCTTGAAAATGTTCATGCCCTCGATACCCTTGGGACCGAGCTGCTTGGAGAGCGTGTGATCACCGTGGAAGTACTGCTCGAGGGGACGACCCATGATCGCACGGAAGCGGTAGGCCGAGAAAGCACCGGGCAACACGGAAACGTAACCGAAAGATGATTCCAGCGGTTTGTCGAGAATATTGGAGATCTTGTACTCGAAGTTCTGAATGGCAACGAGAGGGTTTACTAGGTTACGCCAGCCTTTTCCGAGCAGTGCGTGGATCTCACCACAAGCACCACCGAGATCCTTGTCGTTGTAGAAAGCCTCCCAGAGCGAGAGAAGCGCCTTGTGACCGGGCTTGGTACCAGCATCGAGAAGAATGCAAACCTCGGGGTTCAAGATGCGGCCGAAAGCGGTGAAGAGCCATCGATGCGAGTTGATTTTCTTGCTGTTCTTCTGCTTCAGACAGAAGATCATCTGGACGGGAGGGAGAGTAGTCGGGCCATCATCGACCGGTCGGATCAATTTCTGGTTGGCGGTGACTGACAATTGTGTGGTGTACTCGAAAATGTGGGCGACCGTCTCTTTTCCGTCAATGTCCTTTTTCATGATACCGTCCTGGTAGATACCGATAGTGGCGAGGACGTCGAGGGTGCCCTTATCGCAAGGGTCGATACCGTCGAAAACCAAGCATACGACAATCTTTTGCCAGGCGGGGCCACCCTTGTTCCAGAACTCGGACTTTTTGAGGTTGACAATATCGCGGATGTTCTGCATGACACCGTGCAATGTTCGCGAAGTCAATGTCTTGTCTTCGTTGTAGTAGGTGATGGCGATGAGCAATTCAGTGTGACGGTTGTACATGGCCGGTCGAAGATTGTATCCATTTTTCAGGGTGAAGTCATTGGGGTCGCAAGTGGCTGCGGTGTATCGCAGGTGTGTGAATTCCTCACTGCCACTCTCGAGGTCGTTGCGGTATTTCGGCTGAACGGCGTTCTGGATGGCAGATGGCACGGGATAGTCGGCACTGAGAACGGCACCCTGCACAAGCTTGACCTTACGGGTAGCATTGCGCTGCAAACCACCTTTCTTGGCCGCGGGTCCACCAGGCTGTTGTCTTTGTGCCCAAGCTTCTGTGCTGCCAGTCTCACTGCGCGCATAAGGGCTCGGCACACGATCTGGAGGAGCATATCCGGGGTCCTCTAGTGTTGTCCCTGAGTATCCACCGTGATAATCATTGTTGACATATGGCCCAGCCTGCTGGCCTCCTACATATGATTCATCGAGATTGTATGCTCTGGGGTCGTGGCCGCCGGGGGTGCCGGCGCGGCTGTGAGGTTCATCGAAGGGACCGTGAAAAGGACCATTCGGGTTCGAGTGGAGCAGAGAGCGTTCTTGCTCCTCGTCACTGTCCCGCAATTGCTGTGGGTGGTATGGCTGCTGTTGCTGTTGCTGCTGCTATTGGCAATAGTCAGTATATGCTTCCCGAAATCGACAGAAATTCATTGCGATGAAATACTCACACCAGGCTGATGCGGTGGGAGGTCATGTCCGTGGCCGTAGCCACCACCTTGATTGTAGGCCATCGTATCAAGGATTATTTATTTCGAGGTCGTAGAATCTGTTGGCTCCAATCCGGCTGTCAAGGCGCCAGGCCCGAGTACCGAGCGCGTGAAAAGAGTCGAGAGCTGGCGACAGCCCGTCGTAGCTGCAATGATGATTCTCGATGATTGAGATTCCGTGAACTTCGAGCGGTCGAGGGACCCAACTTTGGGGGTTCAGGGTATAGCGCCGGAGATGGGGAGAGAGCGCGGTATCACTAGGTAAGAACTCTAGTAATGCGCAATAATACAGAGAAGGAATAGAATGTGAGTATATGGAGAGTGGTCGTAGGATGAAAAGAGGATGATGGCGAAGGAGGCTCAGCCAAGAAAAGGAATACTGGCGGTTTCGTATTCCCTCTCAGTTTTGTGACCCAGCTCAGAAAAGCGTCAGGGTGCTTCTGTAGCAAGTCCACGCGGAGAGACGCGAGATTTGCCCTACAAGGAGGATTGCTTGGCGAAGGGTCCTTCCTCGTTTCTTTGGTGAGGGCTGGAGAAGTACCACTTCAGAAAGCCGTTTTTTCGATGGGAAATTTGGTAGAGATGGCAGGTCTGTCTGCTCAAAATCGCGCTGGGGCTCGGGTCAATGGATTTTCGAGCAGTCAATTCGTGCCCGGATGAATCTTCCTATACGCTGCAGATGTCGAGGTTCCGCAGCTGAGGAGGCGTCCAGGAGGTGTGAGAGGCTCTCTTCCGCTTCTCCTGAGCTACTTAGCGTAAACGCGGGAGAGTGCGCTGGTGACGTTTAAGCAGAGACAGGTAAGTGATCGGCGCCAGGAGACAAAGAAAGGGAGTATGGACAATGGGAGAGTAAAGATCACGGTTCCGCAGGAGAAGGTACGAAATGATGAGTGCTCTACTATATGTATCTTCCCCTTTGAACTGTATCACCTGCGTGCGCGTCTATTCGCTGTTGATGATCCCTCTCATCCCCGAGTGACAGGAGGATAATAATACATTTTGTTAGTACGTACAGCTGTCGTGGCGCATGACCGCCTGCTCTGAAACGTCGACGATGCAATGTACTGTACACTTTTCCGTGCGGTGCCTTCACCACCAGCGAGGACAAAAAATTATGCGCCTCGAGGGTCTACGCCTCAGGCTTGCATGGGCAGAAACGTCGTTAAACTTCAGGGTCGACTCTATTTTTAACTGGCATAATTAATTTTCCTCTCGATCCTCGCCACATTGGCGACGCCGCAAACATCGCTGTCTGTGATTCAAATGGCATGGCATCGTGATGACTTCATTCTCGATTCGAACCGAGCTGACGAAGTAACGGTATTGCATATGAGTAAGGCAAAAGAAATACGAGGGCGACAATGTAAGGATGCAGCGCAACGTGACCACGAGGCGAAACGCGTGTCATTGCCGCTTATGGATTCGCCATTGTTTCGTGGTCAGCCAGCTACCAGCCAGCTTGCCCGCCTGCCCGCCCACCTGAGCAGTGGTGAAAAATAATGGGTGAGTCTGGGCGCGCACGGCGCGGAAGGCAGCGAGCGGGAGAACTTTTAGGTGCAGAAGCGTGTGCTATTTCGACGTCAGCACTGCCACTGCTAGCGGTTCGGCCAGCAGAGTGCGGCGTTCGAAGGTCCCACCCTTGGTCGCTCCAACGCGACCGGCGGTGGAAGGCGACGGTTATGGTGGTCTGCGATGAAACCGTCGTAGCCCGGCTATGAAGATCTTCGTCTGTGGACACCCAGTAATATGAACGACCCGCTGATCGCTTCCTTGTGAGAGACATCCGGTAACGTGTCGTCCTTGAAGCAATTTCATGTCACCATATTGCGACGTCCCTCGAGATGCGAAATATCTGGCAGTTTCAATGTCGTGCATGACAGGCATGGGGGATAGAGTCTACGCGCCTCACGAACTAGGCAGAGGGCTCAGTCAATGTCGCGAGTCAGGTATTGCAAGCACAGTATACAGCATGTGCCGCACCGCTCTTTCATCTTCGGCAAGTCGTGTGCAAAGCATTGGTGACGGCGGCGTGGAAAATTGCCAACAACGGGCGACCTGGGAGCCTGCGGCACAGCCATTGTCGCTAGCCACGTTGCCAGCCACGTCAGGCGCCTCGGATCTCACCACCCGAAGGTGTTTGTTGAAGATGTGGAGCGGTCAGATCTGCTCGCATTGGATCTCGCAGCTCTACAAGACAGGAACTGGGATGTCGCCCGTCTGAAGGTACGGGAGCACAGCGTATTGCGACGCACGAGGTGATGTAGAACGTAGCATTCATGTCGTGCGCCGGGATCTGTAAATGGAATTAACGACTAATACAGTCCAGAAGACAACCGCAGAGCCAAGTTTGTGCCTGAGGCATCCCGCAGCCAACGTTCACAGAGCGACAGAGCCTCGGGTAAGAGGGTCAAGAGGTAAATCGTGACGCCCGAGAGCATTTCTAGATATTGTTGGCCTGCTGCGAACAGTTCAAAATACATGTTAAGCACGATGGTGTGTAGGTGACGCATCAAGCTCATCACGTGTGCAGTGATCATGTCGTCGAAGCTTCGCCATAGCCACGCGAAAGCTCAAAGGCCAGGATTTCAATGCCCACCTGCAAGGAGGACATCAGCTTCTCCACGATGCAGTGTGCTTAAAAAAGACCACGATGCAGCGATCTCGGGCAGCTACCACTGTAACAAGCTAGCGAAACAAGCGAGTTATAAGTCATGAGGAGGAGAAAGGACTTTGATCACCACTGCACTCCATGACACCCGCAGTAAGCTATATCTGCCTTTTGCGCTACTGTAGATCTATAGTCCAGACCCTCAATCTGGAGATCGTGGCGTGTCTACGTTGATCTGCGCCTCACGATGACTTTTTCGTGATGTCCTTCAGCCTCACTGAGGTGTGTTTCACAGCATAAGTTCTGCACATCGGCAGGCAGTCTATCCTCGGTCTTGGTCTTACAAAGTCGCTACCAGCGATCAAACGCGACAAGGGTGTCTCGAAAGATATTGTGCCAATATCAAGACGACGACCAAAATTCATAACCAAGATCAAAGTCGAAATCCAGTCAAACCAAAAAGGCTAAAAGGCCCAGAGTAAACATCAATCGGTCGCCAGCATCATCACAATCGACAAAATCATGAGCCGAAGTCCGATTTCCCCAACTTCTCCCACCTCACTCGCCTCACCAGTCACCTCCTACTCCTCCGCCCTGTCCAACTACACCAACCTGATCATCGTCTGCGGTCACGCAACCTACATCGGCGACGGCACCGACACCTCCGAAGACCAATGGATCCTCGCGCCCTTCCAGCGCTCAAACCGGGAATGGCGCAAACGCAGCGAACACGAGACCTTCCTCGCGCACATCCACCTGGCCGCCCTCAGCGCCCAACACGACTCCCGCGCGATGATAATTTTCTCAGGCGCCCGCACCACCTCTTCCGCGGGCTCGCGGTCCGAAGCAGAAGGCTACGCCATGATCCTGCTCCATCTGGCCCGGAGCAGCCCGAACCTATTCTCGCGCGAGATGCAGTTCGCCCTGGAGACGCACGCGACGGATTCCTACCAGAACCTGCTCTTCTCCATCCTGCGCTTCCGCCAGCTCACGGGCGCCTACCCCCGGGACGTGACGGTCATCACGCACGCGTTCAAGGAGCGCCGCTTCCTCGAACAGCACGCCCCCGCGATCAAGTGGCCGGCCCACCGCATCCGGGTCGCCGGCCTCAATCCGCCCTTCTCGGCCGTCGAGCTCGAGGAGGTCATGCAGGGGGAGAAAAGCCGCGCGTATGATCTCTTCGCGGAGGATCCGTATGGGATGAGGGCGGTTCTGGCGGAGAAGCGGCGGGCGAGGAATTGGGATGCTGCGAGGGCAAATGTCTTCTTGGGGTTTGGGCTCGGAAAAGAAGTTGCCGGTCTGTTGGAGTGGATGGGGGGTGTTAGTGGGTGGGAGACGTTTCCGGGGAGATTGCCGTGGCAGGATTGAGTACGATTTTTTCTGTAATTTCTATTGGAAGACGAAGGCAAAGGAAAAGGGAAGGAAAAAGTCCTGGTGATGATGCATCAGATATGGACTAGATATCACATGAGGATATATATGATGAGTACATAGCAACAACTTTTGTCAGACCGTAGTCGAGACTTCTCTCCACTGCGACTTTACTGCGCAAACTGAAAAGTCACCAAACTCATCGCTGGCAGCGCATAAATCACATTCGTCCCGTTCGTAACCGGCAGTGGCGCAACATCCAACCAATCATCCTGATCCGTCGTCTGCACGACCCGGACCAAATTCGCCTTCGCATTCGGCTTCTGCAGGGTAAGATTATAAGTGGAACTCTGCGCATTCATGAACAGAACATTCCAAGTCGAATTGTCCTTGCTCCGCGACGCGACGGCATTCACCGCCGAGGGGAGCTGGGTCTGCTTGATGTCGTAGCGCACGCTGCCGGGTCGGTGGAAGTAGGCGAAATGCTTGAGCATGAAGGCGCGTTTGGTGTAGTGCAGGGTGTAATCTTGGGATTGCCCGTAGCGCGGGTCGACGTAGACGAGGCCGTCGTTGAAGCCGGAGGTCGGAGCCAGGGCTTTGGGATCGCAGCTCGGGCCGTCGAGGGCGGGCGAGCAGGGGAGGAAGGACACCGCGAGCCACCAGTCGAAGCTGGAGGCTTGGACAATGGTGAGGAATTGCCAGACGTAGCGGGCGACGATCAGGGCGTTCTGCATCGTGGGGTCGTACTGGGATCCGAAGATGGGGATCCCGGAACCTGCGCGGGTGGAGCAGCATGTCTCGGTGAACTTGACGGGCGGACCGTTGGGACCGACTTGAAGGTTCACCAATGTTCGGTATAGGCCCAGGGAGAGATCATCGGGAAAGTCGTAGTTGTGGACGCTGATGCCGGAGAGGCTGTTCTGCGCAGCGGGCAGCCACAGCGGATACTCCAGAATCGTCTCGGTCGTGATTTGACTCGTCTCGTCGCCCATGATGGAAATGCTATTGACAGCAGTACTTGACGCATTGTTCAGGGCGGTGCGCAACGTGCTGAAAACATACGGCCGCTTGGTGATTCCGACGAACATGCCTTCCTGGTTGCAAGCATCGCGGCTGACATCAGGCTCGTTCATAGGCGAGATCCACTTGATGCCGATGCCTTGGCTGGTCCAGTACGAGAGAACCTTGACAATGTAGTTGACGAATTCGGGGACTTTCTCGCGAGGCATATCCCATCCGCACGCAGCGCCATTGGTGGAGATGTTGGAAGGAGCAGCATTCACAAAGAAGGTGATTTCTGGCACCGCATACTGGCTGGCCATCTTCATGAATGTGACTCCGGCGCGATCGCGTGAGAAGTCGTATGTGCCGTTGCGCAACAGAAAAGATTGCGCAATCCTTCCGGCGTTGTTGACAACTCGTGTGTCATTACCTCCATCACCACCGACATTGTACCGGTAAGATGAGAGATAGAGACCATCTTGCGAGAACAAGAAGCGACCCAAGTCCTCTTGCACTTGTGTTGGGAAATTGATCAAGTCATTGGGCCACCTGGAAATTATTAGCAACGAGAATAAGCGCAGCGAGTTTGTTTTGTAGATTCACCATGCGCCTGATGCACCAAATGAGGTGAGGGTCTGTTTTGGTGATGGATTGATTGTCACTGAGAAATACGTCAATGGCTGACTTCAATGGCAGAATTACGAGATCGACGTCGCATACCAATGGCGGCTGCTGCCAGGTGCAGCGATACAGCGCAGGCCTGAATTATTGATGTGCGCATGGCTTCTGGCGATGTTGTGAGTTCAACAACCGATGAATGAGGTCGATCGCGAATTCAAATGTTGGGGCGACGACGCATTGATATCATGCAATGAGTGGCGAATGGCAAGATCTCCAAATTCTATCCCCGACTCGAACATTGCTCCGGGGTGACGATACGGCATCTTTGAGCAAGCTAGTGACACCAGCGAAAAGATGGCATGGCTGCAGCCACAGACGCTAGAAACTTCCCAGCGCCCTTCCTTGATTGGTCTCACGATGTCTTTCTTGTCGATGATTGCCATTTAAGGTCGTGGCAGCTCGACCAATCGATGGTTCTTCCGCGTCTACCACGCGATGCCGAAGTGCGGGGGATTTGGTGTCGTTGCATGCCTCGGGCTGGGTTTCGGAGACAAAGGAGGCCGGCCGGCGAAATGCTGAGACATACATGCCAACTTCATGCACGATATTTTTCCTAGGATCATCGTGAATGCGTATGCAAGGGATGATATTGCACTAGGTAGAACATTCCTGCCGAAGCTGGGATGTAAATTCATGCATCAATAACCATCGCAGTTCTCCGTTCCAGTGTTGAATGTCCCTTGACGGTGAAAGTCCCAGAATATTCAGACCCGGGAAGACTTCACGACCAGTGGGCGAACATAGAACTTGCACGATCCATTGACAGCCCTGGAGGTGACCGAATGCACCCTGAACATGTTGAAACAAAGCAAAACGACCTTTGATCGGGTCATGTCCGTACGTAATTAAGTACCCATGAATATCGCCTCGAGCCTGGGACAAGGCAGGCTTAGGGTTGTATCCAACCCCAACAACGACCAACGCGCCAACCTTGGACGTCTGCGGCTTCTCTTGACCAAACTCTTTTTAGTGTTAGAAGAATTCGTTAGAAGATTGTCATCGACGTTCATTGCAGCCCTGGAGCGCAGCCTTTCCTCATCGTCTGGGTCGTCAAATGTATCTGGACCGGCATCAATACTAACCCTAAGGAAAATCCGTTCCAAGGTTTCGACCTTGGAAGAGTCCGCACCAGGTCTGCTTTCATGCCTTAGGTCGTGGACATGCCGACACAGGACAAGAATGTTCTCGGAGGTAGTGGAGCGGCAACGGTTGTTTCTTCGCCAGTGTAAAGTAGTGCACGTTTCGGTTTGCCGGGTTCTGGGGACAAGACAGGTACATACCCAGGTATGTGCACAAGGATCTCGGTCTGGCCCGGCGTGGCCCCATCGCTAAATGGGTTATCGTCAAGAATCGCACATCATTTCGGACCTCATGATGCGCCATCGTATGATGGTGGCTGAAGACCAGTGGGCTGATCGCTTTGCGAGGTTCAGTATGTGCCCATTCTGTTGAATATGTATGTATATATATACCCAACAAATTGTCTCCATGATCATCCATATCTCGCATAGTCTCCTTCCAATTCCTCGCACGCAACAAATCCGGCGGGAATTCAAGTGTCGCTGATCATTCCCGAACCGCAAACATGACCACCTACAAGTTACTTTTGTCTATCGACGACCTCGTGCTCCAATCGAACTCGTCGGACAATCTCTGTATCGGCAGGAAAGGTAAGTCGCGTCCAATCAGTTTCCAAGAAAGTCCTAACGGGTGTAGTCGGCGATGCTTTCACCACCGTATTCTTGGACGCTGCCATCAAACCCAAAACGGCCGGACAGAAGAGTCTAGGCGCGGACAATATCCTCAAGTGGCTGGACAAGTTTCGTGTCTTTGTGGCTAGCCCACAGCCATCACCTGAATCTCTAGTATGTGATCACGTAGGCAGCGCTGATGGGTCTGGACTTACGCATCACCGAGTAGATCGAATTTGTCTCCAATCATGTCAACATCGCCTTCGGTCAGCAAGCAGTGCTAAACTCACTTCCCATGTTTGAAGCGGTCTCACAAGCTCCGGCCAGCGACTTCACAAATCCCACAGGCCCGGAATCATCCCAAGACTCTTTTCTCGCGCGAAGAATTCCGAAGGACCTTCGGGTCGGCATTGAAATGGGACTCCCGGACGACCGGTGGACAGTGATCTATGTCGACAACGAGACTCACATGACAACTAGCGACATACAAATCACTCCACGGAACGAGGTATCATACATTGCTAACCCCAAAGATCAGAAGTTCACCATGACTAATCCCGCCGTGATAGTACATTATCTTCTGGAAGGCTAAGACGACGACAAACTCGGCAATCAACCTCTCGCAAATCCCCGATGCGTACAAGTTCAGCTTCGACAAAGGAGCTGATGACATCTCCATTCGCTTCGGCTATGCTATCCCAAACCGGCCAGACGGTCGAGAAAATCCGAATTTCTACCCGGTGGTTTAAATATAATCCCCGAGGCCGAAGGCACAGCTTGTCCTTTGGACACGTTTGAGCCATGACTTGTTGCTCTGTTGGAAATAACTGCATCGGCCTGCGGCCAGCGGGCAGACCTCGACAAGAAAATGGGGTCCCTTCCATCCCGATCGTGTGTTCGGTTCAATGTCGCTATCAAGGCCCAGACTTTGTGGCCGGCCTGCTCGCTCAGCTCGTGCGAGAAACGCAAGATACAGAGGCTGCCGCCGTTTTATTCTTATCATCGATACAGCCGAAGCGCATGTTTTCGCAACGTGGCCAGATCTCGAACTCTTTTTTCTGGCGCCGATGATGAACCCATAGTGGAGGCACGTAGGCAATGAGGCTAACCTTGGATATTTGCGTGTTGATATTGTTATTATTACAAGAAGTGGAATGAAGAAGGGCCATAAGCTGACGTCATACCATTTCCTGTCCAAATACGGTCAAACTTCACACGCAAACACCAACGATCAGGCAAGCCGCGGATACTTGATGCACGCAACACCCGGCAGCCAGGGACTGGCTCGCGAAGTAAGAAGGCCATTGAGGGTATCCCAGTCTGAATGGCACGCATTGAGCGAGAGCGCATGGTGACAAATTACACCACTCATGGATGGCAGGTGCCGGATCCTGATGATTCACGTTTTTCACCGCGCCGCAATGATGAGTGATACATAGATAGTCATACTTCGCCAGCCGCGAAACGCGACAACAAAACAATTCTCCTCCTCCCGGCCAACGCTGTGAACTCTCTTCAATGCGTGAGTCTTCCGCATCCGACAGAATCGAAGACATGTCGTTGACTCTTTATGACCTTCCGCATACGGCGTGGGATCGAGTGGCTTATTACGTATCGGACGATTTCGACACATTGCTTCGCTTGTCTACCCTGAGCAAAGCTGTTCAAGCAATCTGCCGCCCACATACCTCTGCGTTCTTTCGAAAATCTGTTCCCGCCGAAATCTGGGAGCATAAATGGCTGAGAAATGAATGGGCAAACCATTCACTTGTGCACATGGTTCTCAACGGTGACATCGATCCAACCTACATCCAAGAATATGAGTGTATCAAGCAGTACAGCCACTATGATTACGTGCGGCGCAATGGTACCGACGTGATTCCGTTCTATCCCCATCGGTTCATGCCAACTCCAACTGCGCGGCCAGGTCTTCCACGTCCAGGCTTTGAGCACTCGACCGAACGCCAGATCTGCCACTTTGACCTCTTGATCCGGTCGGCTATCGACTCTTCACGTTGGGTCTCCCCCGAACAGCGAGAACACGTATTTCAGCGATTTTGCACGGGTGACAAAGATGCTGCTGGGATCATTCTTTTGTCACTTTTGAAAAACCTAAGGGCCGTGAATCCACCTATCAAGGGCGGTCTATGTGCGGAATTGTTTCGCAGAGTCGCCTGCGAATCTCGTCACCGAGGCCTCCCAGAATGCAGCTCGGACATTGACGACTACGATTCATGCGAACTGATCGTCGACCATTCAGACACGCTACCGTTTCCCGAGCTTTTGGTCCTCTACGTGGAGCCTAATTGGAGCACGAGGACAATCACCACATTCTGGCTAGACAATATTCTGCCCTTCTTAGGCATACCCTCTCTGCGTAGGATCGTCCTTCACGGCGTGCGCGACTGGGAATATGAGGATTGGCCTCCACCAGGTGATTTGCCTCCGATAATCTGCCCTGAGATCTATTTCGCACAATCGTCCGTCCCTCGCGATACCGCATTCAAATTCTCAGAGTATCTAGCTGGGCCCTGCACGCTAATGCAATGGTGTCAAGTCGATCGTTATTGGTTCCCACCCCTTGAGCAGAGGATGGATTTCGACCCAACGTGGGATCATCTTCGGGTTGAGATTAAAGACTCTGGCGAGAGGCATGTGTGGACCTCGCTGGAATGTGAGGGAGGGAGGCCCGGTTATAGGTATGCTTGGGTAAGCTGGCTTTGGCATCGTAAGATGCAGGACTGGAAATTATTGGATCAGGAGTTTTCTTTCGAAGAGGGGGACAGTGATGATGATGAGCTGTCAGGTATGATATAGAGCCATCGCATGGCAAGATGAATTCGAGATCTGCCCTATCATATCACCTCGGTTGATTGTGCATGTTTTGGCGTGACTCGAGTGGCAATGGCGGATTGAGAATACGAATGAGAATCAAAGTTCATCTGTTCGAACACTGAAGGAAGTCGATGAGTCGACCAATTGAGCCCGAAGCCCCATCATACATCACATCCTTCTAGAACGTAGAGTGTGCTTCGTAGGGTCACCGTGTTGTGAACAATCGCGATTCTATAGGACGTGTATATTGTATGCTGTAATCTATATGAGAATCAATAAAATCATGTGTTTTGTGATGCGAACAAAATTATCGGCGATTTGAACTGTGGTGAGTCAGTCCTGCTGTTCACTTCGTCAAACCGCACGTTGTCCTTGAAAACGCCAAACTCAGCAGCCGAAGGTCTGCATAGCAACCCATGCGACGCCATCTTTATACGGCACACATTGACCTGCCACAAGATGTTAGCATGTTTCGCCTTGCATCGGGTTCAGCGCTTGATCGGTACTCACCCTCGAATGCAGAAGCGAAAGGCAGGTATAACGCTTGATCGTTGCCATCCTGACCATCGCCGTTATTGCAATAGCCGCGAGAGTAGAAACCAATCGCGCATTGAGTTGTTGGAGCCTTGATGATGCGCACGCTTCTGCCCTCAGAGAAAAAGACATTGCAAACACCACGTGCGCTAGGCGAGGATGGGAATCCCGTGCAATCTTCCGAAGTGAAAATCTCAATCGCCAGGCCGTTAACTTCTGTGGGGCCGGGCGGTGCAATTGTCGTTGGCGTACTTCCACCATCCGCCGAGGTCGTTGGCGCCGGAGCTGGAGCCGAAGTTGTAGAATCGGGTGGTGTGATGCTGCTGGGCTTCGTGTTATTGCCGCCGATAATGCTGCTCCCACCAGAGCTGCCGCCGCCAGGTCCGCTGCCACCGTTATTGCCAGGTCCGGTGCCGCTGCCCATACCAGGCCCAAGAGAGCCTGTCAGCGAAGAAGGCACCGGCCGATAGCTGCAAGCTGCTCGCTTTCGATTTGATGCAGTTGTTTCTTGTGCAGCAGGTAGCTGGGGATCAAGTGGTATCTGCGGAGTGGGTTCGGGGAGGTGAAGGTTCACAAGGCCGGCTGCCATGGCTTGTACAGGCATTGTGAAATGCTCCACCGGATAAGTAATTGTGAGCTGCGTCGTGATGTAGTTTGTGTTGCTCTCAGCAGAAGATGATGCTATAGAGTGCCATATCGCGGCACTACTTGACATGACAGATGCTCGTGACGACAGCTCACTATTGTAGTTAGCAATCGCAGACCGCCAGTGTATCTTGATATGGGCTCAACTTACGACACCATCCAAGTACTGTACGTGTCAGCCCACGGAAGATGGATACCTGTCGTGGGTGCAGGACGAGGGTTTCCATCTTCATCCAAGACCACTTCGCAATCGGAAAAGACCGTGTCGTAGAATCCCAGAATGTAGTACAAGCGAACGTGGGTATTGCGAAATGCGTCAATGAATTCTTCTCGTCCAAGAAGATTTGCGACCATCCCATAGCCATTGATATTTGACTGTGCCTTGTTGAAATCGACTGCTTCCACAAGAACCATGTCTGAACCGAAGATATTCGATTTCAGTTTGTTGAGGAATCTATCCATAGCTATTAGACCGTTGGGATGCTTTTCGTTCGCCAGAGCCTATCATAGTCAGTATTGTGGCACGAGGCGACGAGGAGTTGTACAATTCACCTCGAAGAGTGTCTGAAGATAATCAGTATCAATGAATACTCTGTTGAATTCCTCACAAGTTGGCGCGTCCGGGAGGGTGAAAATGTAGTCAAAGAACTGCACAAGGAGAGTGTTTTCGTAAACGTGATCGACGTTTACCACTGGCACTTTTGGCTCGCCCCGAAGTGACGGATCGAAACTCGTGACGTAGGTTTTGGCTGATAGACCCGGAGATACACCAGCCTTGTTGGGCTCGTTAGATTTCTTGCAGTCAAGATTGAGGATAGCGATTAGAGGATACTCACAATGTCATCGGTTTGGTATGCATATCCTGCATTACAAGTGCCGCTAGTGGTGGACTGCCTAGAAACCACGAACCATTTTACTATCTCTTCGGCAATGCTAGCGCTGATAGGGAATTTGTCCGGGTCCGGGTAATTCACCAGTGTGATCATAGAATTCAGCTGACAAGTTCCAAATCTGTCGTACATCCTTGACTCCTCTATGCGCTTTTTGAGATTTTCTGTTGGCCAGATGGGTGCGGGTGTTGGGAATGGAGCGTCTGTACTCAACCGAATTCGGCCAGCGATGCCTCGACCAGATGGCAAACTTGTCTCGACTGGAAGGTTCGGAACGGCTGTTAAAAGTGAATGGTCAGAAGTAGACTGAGTTGTTTCACCATGCACTAAGCATTGAAAGCAGGACACTTACGGCGCGCACGTGGGCTCAAATCCTTTGCACTCTCGACCTGTTCCGCCAGATCTGCTAGATCATTGTACGACCAGCCACAAGACACACAAGATCCAGTGCATGTAGCCGTTGATGACGTGACTGTAGTAGGACTGGCACTGCAACTTCTGATAACGGCAGAGCCGGTCGAATAGGTCGAAGTCTTTGTAGTGCTACCATCGGAGTCAGTTTCGTAAGAGACGTAGAAGGTGACGTCGGTGGCCGTTCTGGTGTCACAAGTAGACGATTCCTGCGATTCCCGAGTTTGCGGGTCGGTCTTCGGATCGTTTTTCGGATCATTCTTCGGGTCGTTCTTTGGGTCGTTCTTTGGATCGTTCTTTGGGTCGTTCTTTGGATCGTTCTTTGGGTCGTTCTTTGGATCGTTCTTTGGGTCGTTCTTTGGATCGTTCTTTGGGTCGTTTGTTCCCTCGTTGTGGATGATCGAATTTCTCCTACAGGGTACGTGGTATCTTCCCCACTGTTTGTTCAGTGATCGGCGATCCATAGGTCACCTTGCAGAATAGAAGACATGACAACTCGCGGACTGCACTTCCTGCCTGAGGCACACATATGCAAAAGAACGTTGGGCTTGTCCTGTCTTTGCCGCGACAGGATTAACTTCAAAGAAAGGCGATTGCTTTGTCTCTACCGACTATCTTCATGGCGCGCGTACCTTCGAACATAATCACAATGGTGTGAACCCTGATGACGAGAGGCTCAGAAATCACAGGTTGTGTCGACTCCGAACACCACTTATCATGCGCGACTGTGCCGCATTCATGACTCATGGTGAGGGCCATGATGTCCACACAGACGAAGTTTCTCCTTCGTACCCTTACTGAATCTATAGATCTAAGTCATCCCTCACATATGCTTCTTCAAGCTCACAGCAAACATCGTCCTGCAGCGCACCTCGAGGAAATGCCTTTCACGTTATTTGATTTGCCACACACGGCTTGGGATCGAGTAGTCTTCTTCCTCTCAGACGACGTAGACACACTATTACGGCTGTCATCTATGAGCACAGACATACAGGACTTGTGCCGTCCCCGTATCTCCGCCCACTTTCGAAGGGCCGTCCGCAGCACATTCTCTCAGCACAAATGGCTGAAGTATGACAAGCAAAATCAAAGATGGGCCAATCACTCTTTGGTTCACATGATACTCAACGGTGATATCGATCCGAAGCAGGTACTGGAATTTCAATCTTGTGAGCAACATGTCGACTACAATGCGGGCGAGATCAAATGGACGGTCTACTACGACGCAGGTGAGCCGAAATGGAAAGGAGAGATTAAACGCTACTACAATCGATTTACACCGACTTCCACTACTCGACCAGGTCTCCCACGTCCAGGTTTCGAAAATCCGACCCCGGATCAAATAGTTGCCTACGACAGTCTTGTTTTGTCGGCGATAGCGTCTTCTCGCTGGATCTTGCCAGAGAATCGAGATGAGGTCTTTGAACGGTTCCGAACAGGCGACCAAGATGCTGCAGGCTTGATTCTCTTGCCCTTACTGATTAGGTTGAAGGCTGTAGAGCCACCGATCGAGGGTGGTCTTTGCGCTGGGCTTTTTCGCCAGGTCGCTTTGGAAACTCGCCGTTCGAATGTCAGAGCACATTTCTCCCGGGAGGGAGAGAGCCTCCACATCGCAGACCGGCAAGAGATGCATAACAGAGACGATCTTCCATTCTCGGATCTTGCAGTGTTCTATCTGGAGTCTGACTACAGCTGCAGTGAAATCGCCGAGAATTTCCGGCTAGATAAGATCTTGCCTTTTCTAAGCATACCATCCCTCCGGAGAATTGTCCTCCATGGGATGCGTGACTGGAACGCTGACGGCTGGCCTATTGGTCTCCCTCCCATCAGCTGTAGTCAGATCTACTTCGCGCAGTCATCACTCCATCAAGATATTGCTCTCGAGTTCGCGAAGTACATGTCTGGGCCTTCCACGCTTATACAGTGGTATGAGCTAGACAACTGGAATAGTGTCCCCTCGGAAAGACGCATGGGCTGGTTCCCGAACTGGGACCATCTTCATGTTGATATAACGGCAACAGGTGAGCGACGCGTGTGGACATCCCTCCAATATAATGGAGGTGTGCACCGAGGAGATGAGTTGCCTTGGGTCAGCTGGCTCTGGCATGGTAAAATGCAGGACTGGGAAATGCTAGATGAGCCCTTTCGTACTCACGAGGGCGATGAAGACGTTTTCGAGCTCACGGGAGCTATGTACGGTTGCTGAGCGAGTCTAGGCCTTTCATCGAACAGGCTCCCACAAACGTGTCAGATAATACGTATTCGTGATAAATCACGATCTGAAGTAGAACGTCATCCTGATTGTGATCAAGCGCGCCCATACGGTTCAGTTTATTTTGCATCATTCGTGAGTGTATCAGCCGAAACTGTTGTGTTGGCCATTCACGGTAGCTCCTCAAACAGACGTAACCCTTTGGACACGCTGCTCATATGAATTGTAGGCACTTCTGTTCATGTATATGCCGGCAGCTGTAGATTTCTGTATGAAGGTGATGGTTCTCTTAGCTTTCCCCATTTGCCTTCGCACAGCCAGCGTCCGCGATATCACTTGTACGATCACTTCAAGCGGTTGTGATGCGAGGTTTTCGGCGGGTACCCTCTTGAAAGCGTGTTCCATCAAAATCACCAGAAAGAGTGGTGCCGGAGACAACATTTCGTCCGTGGAATCCTGGAAAGTGAAGATAACACCGAGTGTCACTGGAGCTTGCCGTCGAGCGTTCTTGCCCCGAGTACCAGCTGATATCACCGAGCAAACGTCAAATCGCTGACCTCCAGGTCGGAAACTGCACTTCGTCATGCGAGTCAAGTCTTTCAACTCGGCGCAAGTCATCATTTCTGGGTCTTTGACCTATTCGCTTGGAACACGCACAGTTCAATTCTCCTCCCTCAGGCATAGGAACAGCTTGAGGAAGACACAGACTACAAAGCGGATGACCGAAGGTGTCAACAGTTCGTTCATACAATATGCTTTGCGTCGACTTGGCCCGGAGAATCACCACGAGGAAAGGGTTCTGGATAAAGCCCAAACTTAGTATTTTGTCTGATTGGTTGTTAAAAATGCAAGGCAACACTTCCTGTGACCGGACTATGCCAACTGCGTCAAGCAGCGTACGTGAATCGGCAAATGGGAGGAAGGCAGAGTCCAGGAGCGCAGGCGCCAGACCAACAATCGTCGCGCAAGAATATGGCTTTGAGTGTGTGTAGATCAAAACGTAGATTATCGTCGCAAGATTGTGAGGAATTGAGATTGATTGGTAGTACGAAATGGAATCTGGTTCCTCTAAGTTTTCGAGACCCCACAACTCAATCGGATCTGTATGATGGAAGAACATTGAACCTGGTGGAGATATCTTTCCATGTGCCACGAGCCGTCTATTGTGTTGAAAACTGCAAACAATGCAAAAAAAAAGCTCTCCTGAGACCCATGAGCAATATCGACTTCATGTTCCATCATCTCCATAAGCAATCCCCAAACGCCGCGCGTGCGCGAGCACAGCTTCACTCATCATGAGTATCCCGATAATCATCATGCACCCACGCGGGCCACGACGGCTCGATGATCACCTCGGTATGAGGCGGGAGCGTAGGGATGATCTTCCATCCCGTGTGCGAGCTGGTGCTCATCGTGGTAGTCCCCTCGCGGGGCGCAAGTTCTTTGACGTTTGATGTGGAACTTGACGAGGGCGGGGAAAGCATTCCATGGTGAGAGCTGCTGGTGGTTCCGGGAGCGGGACAGACGGACTCGGAAGCCAGCTCCACGGAGCGCGATGATGTTGATGTCGATATTGATGGAGTCGATGGTGTGTAATAGGTGGCAGTCATCGCCAGACCGAGGGCGCTGGTGGCCATGCTGAGATGGAGGAGGAGCTGCATGTTGATGCAGAAGCTTGGTATAGTAACAACTGCGATGCGCAGGATTGCGATCTTTGGGAAGAAATGAGGGAACTGTCGCAATCATCTTCGTCCTTTTAAATGAATATTGGTACGGATTCTTTGCTCTGGCGGCAATATGCTAAACTGAGGGAAATAATCGACGACGCAATCTCGCGCAACTCGTCTCGGGCAACCATATTGGACATCAGGTACGGTAGAAGTTGTGGTGCCGAGCAACCTGGAGTATGGATCGCAGTCAGGTTTAGAGGATCACAAGATCCCTTGAGGCTAGCGTTCCATATCTCGGACCGGTTACCACGTGGCGTGCGACGGAGAAGTTTGGTTGCATTTGAAGAATTTTGTGCGGCTCGAACCTTTATATTCGTTCTTGTGTAACATGACGTTAAAGGCGGGCGGTAAAGCCTTGTCGCACATCGCGTTTTTCATCAAGGATTTATTGGGTCGTCAATTCGGAATATGTCGTGATCTCATCATTTCGGTCATTTCTTCGGGTCGTATCATCGAACAGCCGACAGCTGACGTAGGGTCGGCTGCGATAGCCATGCTTGCTCGCCGGTTCGTTGGTTTCCCGCTCGGGCAGTACATTCAGTATGCAAAACGCCAGACGGCATTCTTTCATGTCTGCAAGTTTCAAAAGAAAGCCGGGAACATTCCAAGCATCACCATGATCACCGATGACAAGTGTGAGCTGGAGGTTTTGTGACCAGTGCCGGCGCGGACGGATGTGCTCGTGCTGCTTGTCGAGGGAATATTCGGGGAAGCTACACCTGCAACTGTTGTGGTGACAGGCAGCGTGAACCTGCTAGGGTTTCCCGTCGCTGGATTATTGGCGTTTATGGGGTTGTTATTTGCTGCTTTGGCTGATGTACGCGTCCAGTAGGCAGACTGTGCTTGCTGCAATACTTCGAGCGCGTTGGTTGGTGGAGGCTGGCTGTAGGTGGCCAGCGCTTGTGTAAGGACTTCGAGCGCGTTTGTTGGCGTGCCAGTGTTTACCGGAGAGGTGGGTGTATTACTCGAGTGCGCGGGTGCCGTAGATTCCGTTGTAGCGGTAATGTCAGCACTGTGGGCGATACTGGGTAGCTGTAAAGAAGCCGCGCTCGACCAGTCCATCGAGGTGGCTGGCGGAACGGTAGTCTGTTGTCCGTCGCTGGTGTACCTCGAGAAACCTGACGGCAATGTTGGCGTTGGAGTAGCAAGGGACGCTTGGCTGACAGCGAAAATTCGAGACACAACTACCACGGCGGTAGGTTCTGCGACCCAAGATCCTGCTGCAGCACCTGTGACATTGACGATTCCAAGGAATGCTGGATTGACATCGCCGGTCACGTTCGCGTTGACTAAAAGCTGACCGTTGACATCGGCGCCGTCATACTCGAAGCTGAACGGCGAAGGCATTGCATATGTGGCAGTCGCAGTGACACATGCGACCGCCTGCCCAGCGCCATCTCCCGTGACAGCACTCTTCGTGATAATCTCGTACGCGCTGAAGAATACAAATGGAGTTCCGGCAGAGAATTTTCCTCCATTCTGCGGAATTGCAATAAGCGCAGGTGGCGGCGTGATCGCGAAATCCGGCACATCGCCACTGCCTGTTGTGGCTGTGACAGTCTCATAAGCCGTCTGGGTAAGCACCGTCGTTGCTGCTGCTACCGGCGGAGAAGTCTTTGCGCATACGTCTTGTACTGGAGTAAGCTCCGTTGCTGCCTGAGTGCAGCTCGGTGCCAGCAGAGCGGACGTCACGTTGAAAGGAGTGGCGGCAGCAACCAGAGACCAGCCGATGGCAGAACCTGCCTCATCATTTTGCACCACGAAGGTCGAGGCGATGTACGTGTATGTCTGTGAGTACCACCAGTCTAGCGATGCTTGGAGAACGTTCAGCGTTGCGCCAGAGCAGATCTCATCGTTAGGATCACTCAAGCCTGTCGTAATTATGGGCGCATAGGCATTGGGTGATGAAACGTCCTGCGCTGAAGCAGATGCCGAACAGAATCTTGGAATGCAGGCGGCGACGGCGGCAGAGGTGACCGCACGACGTGCGAAAGATACCATGATCGTCCCAGACAATGGCGGGTCGTGGTGGACGCGAATGCACGATTTGCGTATCCGGGCCCGGATCAGTCGACACAGGAAGCCGGGCGCGGAGAGAAAGACGATTCCGCGAGAAGATTTTATTGCTTCGTCGGCGCAGGGTTCCGATCACTATTCCATGAAAACAAAGACGAATGCGAATGCCGACGCCAAACTCAAGCAGTAAGGCAGAGAGTTCAAGCGACGTGCAAAATGACAGGCATTAATGCGACGGAGTGAAGAGGTCCACGAGGTCTTGCGTGGGAGGCTTCCTTCGCAAGCAAGAACTATTCGGCGAGAGCAGGGATGACGACTCCCGAGAAGGCTTGCCATAATCGACAGGCACGAAAGACCAGGACAGGGGTACTATCGTATAGAAGACGAGCCAAGCACTACGCCATGAGAATCGATACAGTGTTGATCGCCCCTTGTGCGCTGAGATGCTTTCGCGTCGAGCACTTTCGACTAAGGCAGAGGTAATGCCTCGTGACACATAGCGGGAGACGTGACGCCTCCACCGCATCATGCATAGCGCTTGAGGACGACGGCGGTCATTCTTATACGCCACTGACAGGCATATTCACCACATTATTCCTCGAAGTTCTGCGGCAATCAGGTACGAAAGGACGGCACCTCCCACATCGAGCTGTCAAAAATCAGGCCGAACTGACACCAGAAGGTTCCTCTCTCCTCTCTGGGCCATCAACTTTCAGAGCAAGGCGACGAGGAGGAGGAGCAGGTGCTGTTGTGGTGGTGGTGTGGATCGATATCACAATGCACCAGTGACTCCCGCTGCATGCATGATCGAGGAGATCCATTCGATTGATGGGGAGAAAAAGCAGCTGCTGGTTGAAACAATGGAGGCATGCATGCTGCAAGCCGGGCGACGGGTGCTTTTCGTCGTGCATTGTCTAGCGCACAAAACTGTCTTGACGAGCCGAAGCGGCCGAGCTTCCGGCCGCAGTGTGCCTGACTTGCCCCGCGGAAGCCATGACCGATAGGGTTTGGACTCATGTCTAGTACAACGCTAAATTCCTTTCCTCCCTGCCAGCCTGCTTGTTTGCTTGTTCATGCCGAGGAACAACCTCGAGAGTGCATGTAGTCCTGTGCTATGTTTCTGGACAGCCCTGTACAGTTCTCGTTGAGATTGCTACTTCTCACACTACTCATCTCGACGCATAATGTTCACTGTATAGCTCACGGCAGCATGGTATGTAGTTGTCGTGTTTCAGCCTCAACTTTGGAAGTTTCTTCTGCGGCTGGCCGTAAAGCTTCGGTCGTGCTGTCGAGCTATCAAGCTATTGACCTGTTCACAGACAGTGCAGCTGCATGAACTACATTGCGAATTATCTCGCTGAATATCTATTGTTTGCGAACAATTTTTGCCGAGGGATAGCAGAAATGGCAATGCCGACAGACAGCAGGCAAGAAGCGCAGGTTGATCAGTGCGGTCCGCTATCGAAGAATCCTGGCGTTTTCTTTTTGCGTCATCGCGCGTGTTTCGCTTGCAACGGCTTTTCACGTGAAAGAATGTCGGCATTCAATGAGGCATTGTTTGCGCTTAGGTGAGCGCCGAGCGCATCACCGAATGGATTCAAGGGAAGATATCGTGGCCGGTGTCACAATTGTCATGAGGGAGAAAGTTTCGCGCATTGACGAGGTGTGCCCCGAACAGTCGAGGCTACTGCCGAACCATTGACGATGCTAATGCTGCAAGAGTTACGACGTATGCATTCATTGCTGCTTCGCTTCATTGTAGCGATGCTTGTTGGTGTGCAGCTGTCGTTCGGACCAGCTCGACAAGAGCTATTGATCACCTGCTGAAGTGAGAACGATAATGATGTTTGGGTCTGCTGCACGACCAAGGATCCCTTTCCCCAGAAACTCAACAGTCGACCTGGTCAACGGCGTGGTCGGCAGTGTTCATCGTGGATCTCGGTAGTCTAGGAGCCCTGACCAGAGGCATTTCCCCTAGAATGGCGAGAACTTCTGGTGCTAACATGGGTTCTAGATACGTGATCGAGTTCTCGACTGCAGTGGTGCACAGGGCCGGAAGTAAAATGTCTAGATCATTCCATGAATATCGAGCCACCGACTGGTGGAGTGGACCAACTTGAAAGTTCTTTTCGAGTGCAGCCAACTTGTCCATCCTCCCGATGGTGTCATTGGTTGAATGTCTGCCGAGAGCTCAGGACGCTAGACCCCTTGTGGGAGCTTAGCGTCCAACGTCAGGCCCTACGACCATCCACACCTCTCCCGCTCCGCGAATTCATCGACAGTGGATGATTTACACACCTCTAGGACTATTCCATTTGTTCGTCCTTTTGGGCGTGGGCTGAGCACACCCATTCACACCCCTGCTCTCAACCAGGAATGTCATCGCTTCTGCCATCGACGAATATCTGTTGCATCTCGATATGCCTCCACCCATCTCGGGGAGCGGAGCCAGACTGTTGGGCGGGTTGCCCATGCCGAGCCCCCGGGACGCGCTTCTTGCGTTGACTGCGCTGCTTCCATCTCGCTGTCGTATCGTAGCTTTTCTATCATCGCCGTACGGACGATCGTCGTCTCGGCTGCGCTATGAATGCTCACGTAAGTTAATGTAGGTGACGCTGTCAGACGAGCTCCTACTGTCCACCCTTTTACCACTCTGCCTTTGTTCTCTCTTAATGCTGCGTCATCCAACTCTCCATACTCCATACTCCTGGTTGTTCGCTCCTGTTGCTGCTGGCTGGACATCCCGGTCGTCGCTGCAGACCATCATCAGTCTCTGCGCCTTTTGAAACGCTGGGCGCAGCTTTTGGATAACCGCATGAGCAACCGTCCGAGGGATCGGGACTTTCTGTCCAGGGCACGTTAAACCCGCTGTCATCGCGCAGACGTGGGACAACCTGTCTCACGGGTTTGCCATCATGCAGAGAGCACGACAGCAGTTGCTGTTCTCTATGCTTTTCGCCTGCACAGCCAGCATCTCTTTCGCTCAAAGTCTGGTCTCGCGACAGCAAAGCGGCGCTTCATCGTCGGCCATCCAACCCATAAGCATCAATCCATCGCAAAGTTGGCTTGGCGTCGATGGAAACTGGTCAACTTTCGCTGTGCAGGTTGGCACGCCGGCGCAGACAGTAAATACTCTGGTATCCTTCAATCTGTACCAAACCTGGGTCGTCGTCACTGAAGGCTGCGCAGGTGCATCATCATTTTCAAGCTGTGCAGCATCCCGTGGTGGCACCTTCGACATTAGCGCATCAACATCATGGAATTCGGTCGGCATCTATCAATTCGCCATCGAAGCGAACCTGGGTTACACCGGGAATGCACGCTTTGGGTATGATTATATCCAGCTACCAGGCGCGCAATCCTCTTTGCCGTCATTGAACTCCACTGTTGGTGGTTTTGCTGTGGACGACTTCCATCTTGGGTTGCTTGGCCTCAATCCGAGATCAACCAACTTCACCGTAGACGGATCAGGCTCACCGAGTTATCTCGGACTGCTTCGTCAACGCAATCTCGTTCCGAGTACCTCATTTGGATACACGGCTGGCGCAAGCTATCGCTCAAACGGAGGTGCGCCTGCATCGTTGACACTAGGCGGTTTCGATAGGTCGCGTTTCATATCGACAGGCAATACCTTCAATCTAAGCTCCAACCCCGAGCGTGACACGGTCATTGCTATCCGGCAGATCAGCACGCCGTCACAAATTGCTTCGTCTCCTGCTGGCACGGCCTTGCTACCAAGCCCCATATTTGCATTGTTGGACAGCTCCGTGGCCGAACTTTGGCTGCCAATCGATGCATGCCGCGCTTTCGAGATCGAATTCGGCCTGAAGTATGATAATTCCTCCCAACTCTATCTGGTCAACGACACGCAGCATCAAACTCTTCAGTCACGAAATGCCAGCATTACTTTCACTCTCGGCCAGACCTTCTCTGCTGGCTCAACCGTTTCCGTGACCCTCCCATATGCAGCCTTCGATCTGAATGCCACTGTGCCATACAGCGGCCTGTCAAATTCATCTCGCTACTTCCCCATTCGACGTGCGCAGAATAACACACAATACACTCTCGGTCGAACCTTCTTCCAGGAAGCTTACCTCTCAGTCAATTACGAAGCCGGCTCCTTCAATCTCTCACAGGCAACATGGTCGCCCAATGCGGCCAAAGATATTGCCACGATTCCGGCATCTTACGGCAGCAGTACCGGATCTTCCCCTGCCGGCAGTAGCAGTAATGGAGGTCTATCTGGTGGTGCTATCGCGGGTATCGTCGTTGGCTCTGTCGCAGGCCTGGTCATTCTCGCTCTCCTGCTCCTTTGGTTCTTCCGTCTCCGGAGAAAGCCATCGCACAGCACCTTTGTTACAGAGAAGGACAATCTCTCGTACATCCGTGGTGTGGAAGATCGCCCATATGTCATTCCGAAGGCAGAGCTCGAGGGCTCAACACCGATCGACCCGTCTACCTCGACCCTTCTACCGGCCGGCATTGCTACAATGTCTGCTTTTCACCCTAAGAGCATTGCGCGCACGACCGATAGTCGCCTCATTTCTACCAACGGGTCTGCATCTGGAGAAGGTGACGGCGCACCACCAGCTTCACCTCGCTCTCCTTTAGCTCCAGCAGGTCTCGCTGGCGGTGCGCTCACTGGCCCTGCCATAAGGGATCGCCAGGACTTGGAGAATATGAACTATAGTCACGGTGGAGCAATCATATATCCTGCTCCTCCATCAACCAACACCGAGAGCGGTCCCAGTCGTGCTACCACGAGCCAAGAAGCTGACCGGGCAGTCACGCCTTTCACCAACACTAATACTACTGCGTTTCCCACCCTAACAACTACAATCTCACCCACCAGCTCATTTTCATCACATTTCCGACCTGGTACAGCTCCCGCTCAATCGACGAGGAGCCAACATTCCATGGATCGCATCGCCGTGCATGAAATGCCGGGGGATATGCCAGGTGGCGATAGCGAGAGCGGATCACGGTTTGCATCTCCGCGACCATCCACATCGTCACGGCCTCGACCAAGCACTTCCTCGTCACTCTACAGCCGCGCATATGACCGAAGTGCATCCCACGACCCACTGCCTCCAGGAGCAGCTGCGCTTGCCGCCGCTTTTGCCGCGGAAAGAAACCCCGGAGGCGATGCACATTCCACAAGACGACCGAGTGGTGATAACCTTACTGCTGCGACAGCGCCCGGCATTCCTTCCGTAATACCAAACGCCTCAACTTCCAACCCAGCGGCGAACAGCGCAGAAACCAAACCTACCACTGGCCATAAATCCACCGGCAGCGGTAATTCCAAATTCTTCCGAAACTCCTTCTCACGGCTCCGAGGAAACAGCCGTCCGACCAACCCACCACCGCCCCGGTCCCTGCCATCACCGCCCTCCCAACCCACACTCACACTGAACCCACCGCAACCGATCCACCTGACGCAATCCCCCGTCAGCCCCATCAACAACAACCAGACCTTCAACAACACCCCACCCACCATCTCCCTACCACCCCTGCCTCCCGCACCGCCCGAGATCACCCATTCCCATCCCTCGCCCTCCTCGGGCCCTAACACCGCGCGGACGTCCCAGCACAGCTACTACGCCGACGACTACAGCGGCGGCGCGCTGACTTCGCATCCGCAGGATTCTCCCACGGGGGCAGCCCTCGGCCAGGGCCGTCCCAGTTCGGAGATCGTGAGGCCCGCACACGCGATCCTTTTACATGAGGCGTTCTCTTTTGAGGAAAGGAATGGTGGCGGGGCTGGACAGAGAGGAAGCGATGGAAGGGCCGGTGATGGAGGCAGGAATTACGATGATGATGATATCAGTGATGAGGATGAGGATGGGCGGCGGAGGGAAGGGAGGAGGTCGAAGGAGAGCGAGGCGACGGCGCGATGAATTGAAATTTGAAAATGACAGATTGAGGAAATGAATAGCATGATGTAGCACGATGATGATTTTTGGTTCAAACATTCTTTCGCGAGTCTTCTCTACGGATTAATGGAAAACATTCATGAGTTTTAAATAGAATAAGAGGCCGGGAAGAGAACGTTCGTGGGCTCTGTCGTCTTGTATTTTTTTATGTTTACGTGGGGTTTTCTCCCTGCAGTTTGGAAGCTCTGTCGGGATATCAGAGACGCGCCTTTTTGGTTGTTGTTCACAGGTAGAAAATCAAAGCGTCGAAAAAGTTCGTTTGCATATTTGGATCGCTATGGCTTTTTTCGACCGGCGTTTTTCCCAAGACTTTTCCCCCGTGTGCATACGGGATTGATGAATGAGCGAGATGGGTAAATATCCGCTAACACTGGGGGTATGACATTCCATTTCCCTCCTATCTATCTAAAATTTCTAGATACACGTGCCCCTTTTCATGGTCGTTTCTCCGAAAGAGTGTTCTTCAGGAACACCCACGTTGGGAAAATTCCCAGCCCTTGGGCGCGCTCAAAGCTCGTCGTGCTTCGCCTCGGCGGCGACCTTCGCAGGAGCCTTCTTGGCAGCGTCCTTGACCGTCAACTTCAACCACTGCGTGACCGCATCCGCCGACTCGCGGTGCGAGTAGTGCACATGGATCCCGTGGCCCGTGTGCGGCGGCACATAGTAATCGTAGCGGGCAGCGTTGGGGAAGACCTTGGGGCCGCTCTTGCCGAGGTAGGTCTTGTCGTCGACGAGGTCGCCCCACTGGCCGCCCTTGCCGGCGGAACCACCCTGGCCGCAGTCGGCGTGGCCGGGGAAGTAGCTCTGGGCGCAGAAGAACTCGTCGTATTGGCCGGTGACGACGAGGACCTTGCCAGTGAAGTACGGCGCCGGAACGCCGTTGAAGAGGCCGGGCGAGAGGAGCTCGGTGACTGCGACGGTGCCAAGGACGGCCTGGATGCGCTCCTGGACCTTGATGTCGTAGTGCTTGCCGCGGGTGCCTTCGCCGGCCCAGAAGTTCAAGGGCTCGGATCCGACTTCGTTGGTGGGGTGGAGGTAGCCGAGGGGGAGGTTGGTGAAGCGCTCGGGCTTGGCGAGACGGGCAGGCCAGGGAGTCAGAGCGCGGAGGGCGGTCAGAGAGGATTTGGAGACGAAGGCGGTCCAGCCGGTGAGGACGAGACGTTCGACTGCTTGGGGGTATTTGGCGACAAGACCGGAGCCGAGGATGGATCCCCAAGAGTGACCGACCCAGATGAGCTCGCGAGGAGTGGTCCCGAGAACACCGGCACGCAGAGAGGTGAGGAGTTGGTTCATGGCCTCGACTTGGAAAGGAAGGTGGATAGTGAATGGGTTCGGGTGATCCGAACGGCCGTTACCAAGACGGTCAACGGCCAGAGTATCGTATCCTTGAGACAAGGCATAGTCGACGTAGGAGTAGTTTCCATTGTTGAAAGGCTTGAGGCCGAGATGCGGAGGGTCCAGGCCACTCCAGTAGTGACGGGAGCCAAGGATACCGTGCACCAGAACTTGGGTACGGCCATTGTTCTCGGATTCCACCGACGAAACGCAGTGGGTTCCGCGGATGGTGTATGTGCCCGCGGAGAAAGTGTTGAGCAGGAACCCAAAGTTGAGGTTCAGGTAGTTGATGATTGTGGGGAGGCTGACCTCGTTAGGGAATGGCACAGACGTCGCCTTAACAGTCACCGGGACCTCGACATCTTTGCAGTTCTTGCTAGCCGAAGCCGCGACCAATGCCGGAATGGCGAGAGCCTGTAAAGTGCGAAGGAACAACATATTCAAAGGAGTGATTTGCAAAGAAAGAAGGACTGTCTGCGGGCACTGTAAGAAAGACAATACCTTCACCAGGCACCTGAATTAATTTGTCTGGGTTGACGTTTGCTCGCATTGGTTCGCTGCGGGAACATTTAGAGTTTAGGGGTTCACTCTGCCTCGGCTTTGAGGTTTCGGGGTCAGATCTCATCTCCAGTAATGAGCTTCTTTGGGTCTCCGTATGAGCCTCGAGTCGTCGTGGTTGCGAGCACCCAGTACGGAAGTCCATACTTGAGTCATTACGGAAGACTACTCAACCCAGAGGAGAAGCGGGATTTCTGCCCAACTTCAACCATCACGCATGCGGTGTCGAGCAATGAGAACTGCGCGAATAGCTGCGCGCATCATGTGACTCGGCGCAAACGACTCTTCCGGTCTCGCAGGTGTATATACTCATATTCACAGTGAATCCCAGCTCCACATATGTCCAGTTTCACATTCGGTGTGATCGTGGCGGGCGTGACGAAATCACGTGGGAGTCAGAGGGCATGGCACAGTACACCGCCAGGTCTGCCCAGATCTGCTCACGCGACGAACGAGCAACAACTTCAACACATCGTCAAAGGCGTAGATAGGGAGTTCGACTCCAATGACAGCATTCCCCAGCTGCATACTGTCTTTACGTGGGAGAACTGGACTCATGTTCCTTCGAAGGAGAAATCGTAGTTGGTAAATATAGACACGCACGTGACACGGTACTGTACTGTCCTTGCACGTGGCGAATCGACCATTTAGGGCTGGGCGAAGCTGAAACACTCACGACACTGCAGCTTCCCTGTTCAAGAGCAAGCCACGCGACGCAGGATTGCCAATGGGAGGCGAAAGATGCAGAGCGAAGGATCGCACGATGGCGTAGGAGGATGGCCGGTTTGTCGTCGTGTGCACGATGTGCTGTTCCGAGCATAGTACCGTTCCGATGTGGCTTAAAGTATTTATTGAGGGCCACGGTTTCCTTCCTTCTCTGGAAATGAAAGAGAGATAGATATGAAGGGAGGTCGGATTTCGGATTTCGATATGCTTCGAAACAGAATTTCCTGTGATCGGTGAATCGAACGCCAAACTCGATCAAAACTCTCTCTTCACAATGTCTGCAAAGCACATTTCAAAACCATGGGTCTACATCGTCCTCGTGATCCTGACCGACCGCGTAGCAGCCGCATATTCCAAAACCTACGAAGCCTTCTTCCCGTTCAACGGCGAACTCATCCCGAAGATTCTGACGGGGACATGTCGTGGGGATGATTGCGTCGCGGGCGTGGATTGCTCGGCGCAATGGGCGGCCTTCCGGGCGACGACGACGCATTCCGATGCGGAGGAATCCTGCAAAGTCGGTGCGTGACGAACATACGCTGGCCGATTCGGACGGAACAGAAAAGGCTGACGGTGCAGATTACGTGTAGTATTCGATTGCATCGCGACCGGCCTCTTGCCGCGCTACACATCCAATTTCCAGAGCGCACAGGTCTTCCTGGGTCTGGTCCCGACGCTGCTCTCGCTGATCGCACCATCGATCGGCGAGATCGCGCTTCTCTCCACGAAGCGGAAACTCCTCACATTCATACTCGCATTCACAAATCCCGTCATCTACATCCCGCGGATGCTCGCCTACACCGACCCGCTCAAATCCCTCGAGCGGACGGAACCCCTCGCAGCAGTTCCCAGCATACTGCTCGGTCTGGACGGCTGGACAGCGACGATAGCTTCAATGCTGCAGTTCCTCCTGGCGATTGCGGCGGCGGCGAATGTGTTGGAGCAGATCGTCGCGATGGGATACCGGTCGGTGATAATTTGGGCGTGCTCGGATAGCTGGCTGCCGCTGGCGTGGGGGACTTTCCCGCTCTTCATCCACATCTGCAGTGTCGCGGGCTGGCATATGACGCATGCAATGCAGGGCGTCCGGGAGGCGCGAAGACGTCGACAGCAGCAGCGGAACAGCGGTGGTGCGCTGGTGGGTTTCTTTCGCGAACAGATTCGACTCTCGTCGCAGGGTGTTCGGCTGGGACTTGTGGATCACGCGCGCAATCTCGACAAGGATCGGTTCGAGACTTATGCGGAGAATTCCGGGGCGGTCGCTTTGCATCAGGTTGCGGCGTTTGCGGTTTTTCTCAATCTGATATTTGGCACATTTGTTCTTTCGTCGCTCAGCTTTGTGAATACGCGGAGTGCGATTTATATTGTTCTGCGGTTTCTGACATCGGCGCTGGTCTGTCGCTTTTTGGTGACTTGGGAGCTCGAGGGCTTGAGGGTTGCCGAGCAGCTGCCGAGAAGCAAGGAGCGTCAGAAAGAAGACGAAGTCGAGATGCACTTAGTCCCGTATCGCACATGACGGAAAGGGTTCCGACGCACTCTGGGGTAATCTTATAATTTAATGTATCGTACTGGCCTCGAGTTCATCTTGTGCGTCTCCTCCGCGTTCGACATCCTCTTCACCTCTAACGCTCTCAACAAGATCTTGCGATTCATGGCCTCGGGTCTTGTGTATTGGTTCTTGGTGACATGAGAGTTGGAAGGTATGCGAGCCGATAAACAGCACGCTCAGCAATCCGAACAGCCAGCCAAGCCAGGGAAGGACGGGAATACAATTATTTCAGTCCAGAAAATAGTCTAGATCCGCGTGACAGGATTTCTATGTTCTCGCAAACAAGAACCTCCTGTCGGCCCTCCAGAAACCCCGATCATACCTCCACAGCGCCAAACCCTCCGCAGTCCCGAAATCACCTTGGAATTCGCCCACGACTTCCCCGAAAGCTCGACTGACCGCAACTTCATCATCCACTTTATTCATGATCGTGTAGTGAATTCGACAGCCGCCGGCATCCTGCTCGCTCAAAAAGCCATCCTTCTTCCAGCGGTTCTGCAAGTCCCGATGGATGGCATGGCCTTGCTTGCCGCCGTCCTGCTCGGAGATGGAGATGGCGATACCCTTTTTCAATTGAAAGGGTTTCGTTGCGTGGATTTTGAACTGGTTGGTGGAGCGGACGAGAGCTTCGATGGATGGGATGATGGTGGTTTCGAGTTTGCTGGAGGGGAGAGCGTGGAAGAGGGTGAGGTGGGCGGCGAGTTTGTTGATCTTGGGAGGGAAGTATTTGTTTCGGAGAGAGGTCATGCGCGCGTGGTGGGCTTTGTCGGTGAGGATGGTTAGGACGTAGACGGCGTCTTCGGGGTGTTCCGTTCGCGGGACGTGGCTCGGGGAGGGAGATATTGGTTGTCTGTCTGCTTGTCTCGGAGAATGAGCCTTGAGCTGACTTGTGGGAGTCACTGCCGGGACTTGTTGAGGGTTTTGTGCATCTTGTGGAGGGAGTCCTTTTCGTACGGTGGCCGAGTATGAAATGGGAGCGTTGTTGGTGGCCATATTGTACGATTGTGGTAGCAAGTTGGGTATTCTACAATTTCTTCTTCTTATCATCACACAGAGCATCTCGTCTCATCGATATCTATATGGGGAGCAGCAGCAGCATTGTCACAAATGAGACGTATATTGAATCATGAAGTCGTTCCCGTCGATGAACCTATGATATCGTGCGCGTGATGACATGGTGACGATTGTGTCCAAAGCCATTCCCAATGGAAAATAACCTCCAGCGCTCGTGCATATGGTGGCTCGATCTGCCGCTAAATTCCGGGGCCGGCCGACACGCCAAGAGGGGAGATTCTCTATCTATATATAGGCCGTCGCATTCCCAATGGCTTGGATCACGGTCTGGGCAGCGGGTCATGCAAAGGCAAACCCATCGGACATGCCGTCCATGTCACCGTCGTATGCTTGGCGAAGCATTGAAGATACGGAATGATTGTCGAAGACGACGTGGTACCGTACCGATGCGTTAGCTATCGGAGCGTGCAATCCGTGCACACACAGTCTTGTTATCGAGGATGTTCTCCATATTTCGGTCTGAATTATTTGAACGCAAACTGGTGGGTGATATATCAATGCAGGAGCGCTGTTCTCCGCACGAAGCGGAATTCACTATATGTAATGAGTTGAAGAAGGAAACCCATACCGTACCCTCCTCGGTCTGTGGGATCTTGGTGCGAGACGATGTGTAGCATTGGAGACACATTGTCTTTACTCTTGAGAACACTAGTCTCATCAGTGCAGACCTAGATCCAATGGGTAACTTTTCCGCCGAGCGGCCATGTCGAGGATTGTTACGACGGCAGCGGGAAGGGGATGAATACGAGGACTCGCGCTCACTAGTGAAGGCTTGGCCAAAGCTATGGAAAAGTGTAATCATTGCCAGGGACGAGACACGGAAATGGCGCAGAGAGGTCAATGGAGTGAGTACTTCTCAAGGTAGTAGTGATGTAGGCTCCTGCAGAGACAGAAAACCCACATGTAGGAAGGTCCTTCAAGGAAAGAAAAAAAAAAAGAAAAGCCATCCGATCGCTGTCACCACCTCTCGATATCAAATCCCAATATATCATACAACAGCGGCAACAACAACAACAATCACGGATTGTAAATCCCTCCACGTCGAGTCCGAGATGAAATTCCCGACCTTCCTCTCCCTCACGGGACTGCTGCTACTCCTCCCGACATCGACATTCGCCCTCCCGCAACAGAGCAGCAAACAATCCACTCCCGCAAAGCACTACAACAACAACAACAAAAGCAAATGCACCGCTCCCGTCAAAAGAGTCGAATGGCGCCAAATGCGACCGGCAGACCAACAGAGCTACCTCGACTCCGTCCTCTGTCTGAAGACGAAACCGTCGCGGATCGGATTGAACAGCAGCACGCTCTATGACGACTTTGCCTACGTGCATTTCAACCTGAGCAAGCAGAGTAAGTAGAAGTCTCCATTCCATTCCTGTTGGGCCTTTGCTCGCCCAGAGTCTCCACACAAAGCGTCACAGGTCGAGAAAAGCTGATCATTGGTAAAACGCCCCAGTCCACGGCTGCGCCGCCTTCCTCCCCTGGCACCGCTACTTTACCCTCGTCTACGAAGGCGCGCTCCGAGGGGAATGCGGGTACAAGGGCCCCATGACGTTCTGGGACTGGACGCAGGACAATTTGAAACTGCTGGAATCGCCCGTGATGGCGGCGAAGCTAGGGTTCGGGGGCCAAGCGAGCAGCACACGTACCGAGACACTGCGGTCGGGTTCCAAGATTAAATGTGTGGACGAGGGTCCCTTCAAGAATTTGCGCCCCAACTGGATCGCGTTCAGCCCGAACGAGGTCGTGCAGCAGGAACATTGTTTCTTTCGCGATGTGATTGACGGACCAAACAACCGCGATGCGGTGGCGATGGCGCCGGCGTATACGGCGGAGAACATTCGGAAGATTCAGGATGAGGAGGAGTTTTATGAGACGTTTGAACAGCAATTGGAGGGGAGTCCGCATGGCGTGATTCACGCGTCGTTGGGAGGCGAGATGAATCCGACGACTTCGCCGAATGGTATGTTTTCCCCTGGTTCTGATTAAGCGTTTTATTCGGCTTGCGGGAGGACAATTGCTGACGAGATCGGGTTCGTCGCAGAACCGCTTTTCTTCCTGCACCACCCGCAGATCGATCGCATCTGGTGGCAGTGGCAGCAGAAGAATATAACCGAGCGCCAGGATCAGTATTTCGGTACCAAGCTTGATGCATACGGCTTCCGGGAGGGTCCTGCGTCATTGAATGACGTGCTCAAGATGAATGGTCTGGCGCCGGACATTACCGTGAGGGAGATCATGAACACTGCGGATCCGCGATGGTGCTACACGTACTAGTGTGACGCTCGCTCGGGCTGCATGATCTTCTTGTCGCTTGTTTGGTCTAATGGATAGTATTTAATGCATCACGGTCGTCGTCATAATGGACGAATTTTCTCGCCTTGTCTGTTGAACGAGCTCGTCCACGAAGTATGCAGACAACGGCCTAGTGCAAGAGAGACCTTGCGATCCACACAATTGCCCACGATATGCAATTGCTTCGCCGGTGGACCAATCAGCACCTCCTCGTCAGGCCAGCCTTGAGCTCTCCGGGCTTCCTGAACCGTGAGCATTCGGTTCTGATCCCAATGCAAGATCCTACCGGTGATAGCATCTGTAGCAGAGAACGCGGTAAGAATGGTGGGGAAATGGCCATCGGGATCGATGCGGGAGTAGATCTTGCTATTTTTCGCACGACGGAACTCGGTGCCTCTCTCATAGAAATCTTTGGGTTCGCCGGAGAGTAAACCGTGCGAGTAGGCGTAGAGTAAGCCGACGCCGCGAGGAAAGAGAGGGACGGCTTCAATGCGTTTACGGTGACGAGCGTTAGAGACTACAGATAATCGGTGGTCTGGGAACTCTGGACAGATGTGTACGATTCCATCTCCGATAAATGGTAAATCTGCAACCGCCTCTCCTGCCGTGTGGCCCTCAAATGGTGTCGGCCCTGTCATACGATCGCCAAACGACAGGCCATTTGAGAGCTTGCCTAATGCTTGAGCACGATTGCTATCAAGACGTGGATGACTGTGCGTCCGAGCGAGGGGTTCGAAGGGAGTGAGGCCTGGAGCAGATGCGACTACAAAGACACGAGAGCGCCCCTGGCTCGATCCGCAAGACCACGCATCTCCAAGAAAGGTCTGGAGTTGATATCCGAGTCCGACAAGACCAGCCATAATCTGCTGCAGCAGACCTTGTGCAGGTCCAGTACTACTACACATCCCGAGGACGTTTTCGAGGATGAGATATTCAGGGGCGTAGAGATCTGCAAACGAGATCAGCGAAGCAACCATAGATGCATTTCGGATGCTCTGCATGTTGTATGGATTAAGCTGCATGCGTGAGAATGCTTGACATGGACTACCGGCCCCAATGACGTCAATTTCCCCCGGTGAGGCGATCAAGGATGACATTGATCCGCCCTTCAAAGCCTGCGCTAGATAGTCGTTCACAGAGCCTAAAAAACACTCAACCGGGTGTCGAGCATTTGCGAGATACGTGTGAAGTGCGTTTGGCCCCCATTCGACTGCGTGACTGAAAGCAACAGCACCGCCATCCTCTAAACCTCGGTCGAGTCCCCCACCGCCAACAAAAAGACCTAAACCTGTGAGAGGAGGGTATGTCGCTAGTGCCGTTGGATCCCAGCCCTCTTTCCAGGGCGGCAAATCAGGCTTTGAGTTGTCCTTCAGTACATAGAATAGATCACCGGTCCCGTCGCGATTATAAGGTGATGGAACGACTTTGTCAAATGTTCGAATATGACATTTGCGTTCGATTCTGTTAGGCGAGCAACGCAGGACATTGTGCTCTGGAACGACATCGTTTGGGCGCGCTGTGGAATTGCGTTCTTGACGGCGACCAAATATCCTGTAAAGGACTTGTCCTGAAGGAGATTCTTCGTTTTCGTCGAAGCCTAGTATCTGAGCACATTCCAGCCGGGAAGAAAATGGTGAGCTGATCAGTACCGTGTCGCCTATTGCAAATTCGCTCCGACATCGTTCAAGCGCTGTCTGCCTCCCACAATCGCATTGATAAGGGCCCTCGTGCAGCATCACAAAGTCGTGACTTTGAGTGCGATATTTCCGCCGGATGAACAAGCCATCCGTCTCCGCTGGAAAATCGGGGAACCAGGAGATGTGTGCGATACCGAGTACTTGATCGATATCAATGCTGTCTCGGGTCGAACTGCGGTCGCAACCACAATTATCAGACATGAACAGTTCATTCGGGAATGGATAGCGTGCATTGCCCAGCGTCGTGTCCGAAGGCTGATACAGCCAGAGAATATCGAGTCGATGTTCTCGGATGTCCTGTACGTACGCATACCATACTGGGACTGTAGACTTCCAGGACCCGGAATCCTCTGGTCGAAGCGCCACTACGTCGCCTTTGACAACGTGATCCGCTTTCTGCAGCAGAGGGATCGGGCAGTGGCTAGCTCCAGCATTACCCCGAGAATCATCGTTGGCGTCGTTGTGAAATGTCCCTGGCGTCAGGCCGAGCTTGCTCTTGCGAAGCTCAACTCTTGCTGCGAGCTTCGGATCCTCGATCTGACGTACCTCAAGGATCTTGCTAAAATAAGAGGTGGAGAAACATTGTGCGGCAAATGGCGTGACGATCGTCACTGTTTCAACGATGGGTTGTGCTGGAATAGCATCAAGCTCTTTCGGGCCAACCAAAGCCCACAGAGGGTGATCGAGCAGACCCAAGCTCGGATCGCCTTTGACAAGGCCGTAACACTCTTTCCAAAGAAATTCAACGTGGGCATTGACATGACGGCGAAAGTCCTGGCCGCTGTACTGCATCTGCCAAGAGTGCAATTCTTCGGTAGAATAGGTCCTCTGCAGCCAAACCGAAAACCCCTGCCGGAAGTCTTCGAGGCGGACATCCTGCTCTTGGTAAATCAGAAATTCGATAAAATGCTTAGTGAAGGTGACTATCCAGAGGAATGGTATATAGAAGCGTGCGTACTCAGGCGAAGGTTCACGAAGTCGATAGTAGACATCGTGGCCGCCATTTTTGCGCAACTGCGATGCGGCGATGGACTGTACATAGATGTGATCTCTCATGAAAGCGGTCGCATCCCGATCACCATAGCCGTCGAGGGTCATAATGTTGAATTGCACATTTTGAACCCAATGGCGGGTCTCGCCTACGATGAGATAGCCATCGAAGCAAAATGAGGGAAAGCCGTCGAATGTGAGTCGATCCAGCGACGTCAATTGCTGCGGCTGTCTTGACTTCGTAGACTGGTAGATGGTGAATACATCAAGATCGATAGTGATGTACTCAGGGCTCGCATTGGGTTGTAGATACCTATTTATCAGATCGGTAAGAGCAGACGGCTCAGATACAGTCGACTTGGAGCGCTCGAAGAAATCATATGCCGAACGAGGATAGGCGAGCAATGGATCTCGCAGCACATGTGGCGTGTGTGTAGGCTTGCTTTCGACCTCAATTTCGGCGAGCCGTTCTCGCTTGTTGCAGCAGGCGTCGCTGACTTCGGACTCATGTTTCCTGCGAAGCATCCTGGGATGGATCGGCGAGCCTTGTGCGGAACGCCTGCGTCATGTCATTGCACACATTTGATCGTTCCTGCGATATACTGACGGCGACAAGAAACCTCCTTGTCGTCGCGGTGACACGCGCAATCGACGACTGCCATTTTCACGCATTGGGTCGTCGGAGTGAATGCGCACCCACGCCGGGCACGCGCCCGTTTTAGGGTTGCGTTCGCGATGTATCGGAACCTTCATGCTTCACTTTGTGACGATGCCGATGAGTCAAGGCCGAGACAAGAAGTAGATAGACCAGGTGAAAGAAAAAAAAAGAGACGCGGTGATGAAAAGTGATGAACCAAAAATCAACTGTGGAAGATTCAAGCTGGTACGCACGTCACATGTCGATTCATGTAGCCAGCCTGATGCAATCCTGCAGCTATATTGGAACTCTCGGCATGAACGAGCCACCACGCATCTTTGCCGCACAGAACCAGTAGAGACGTGCGCGCTGCGTTGACGAGAAATTGCAAGTCGATGGGAAATCCATACCAACCTTGGAAGGTAGACACCGGCATGGAATTGGAGCATCATTAAGCAAAGCAGACCGTATGTCGCTGCTTCATGCAAGATCTATATACACCGTCGTGATCCCGTCATATTACAATTCGCCAGTAGTCGAAATGCGAAACAAGAGACATTTCCCCGCTTGGCATCAACATCATCATCGTCGTCGTCGTCAACGAAGACAAAAGCCAGCGCACACCTGAGAGCCAAAAGGAGAAAAAAAAGGAACCAAGAGCCTACGAACAACTAGTCCTTGCGTCTCGGGCTCGAGTCACTCCCACGGTGACCAGGAAGAAAAACGCCTCGTCCCAAGACAAAAACATACACTCGGATGGATGAACGGCGAAAAAGCGCAGCAGAAACCCAACCCTTCCCTTCCGATTCGAAAAAGGGTTCACGTCTTCCGCATGTAAGTGACCAACCACCCAGCGAGCCGATAGCAGAAAATGATCGCGACCATGATCCCCAGCCACTCGGCCTGTTTATCAGTGGGATAGCCGTATTGGGCGAGGACGGCTTCGCCGGGGATGAGGCATTGGGACTGGAGGTCGGAGGGGAACATGCAGTGGCACGCCGATCCCGCTCCATCCGAAGGAGGGAGAGACGAAAAGGCGGACGATGAAGATGAAGAGGTGATGGGGGCGCAGGAGTATCTCCTCCCGACGAATTCGTTCACCATCATCGCTTGGAAGACGTAGCTCTGGTAATCCCAGTAGTGGAAGGCGTATTTCCAGAAGACGTTCAGGATCGGGAGCGGCACGAGGAAGCCGCCCACGCTCATCCAGAGGCCATTGGCGAAGGCCGTGACGGCCAAGGCGGCGACGAAGATCGGGATGATGGAAGAGACCAGGATGACGAGGCTTTCGGCCGCGAGCAGATCCAGGAAGAGCCAGAGGACCCAGATGAAGAAATTCGAGCCGCTGGGGTGGAAGTTGCCGAGCCAGTAGGCTATGAGGGAGAAGAGGAGGGAGATCAGGACTGTCGGGGGGGTTAGTGAGATGGCGTCGTTGGCAGGACAGGAAGGGAATTTACGTACAGAGATATGGCACGCCGATGATGAAATTCGAGACCAGAAATACCGTCGGACCATAGAGGCCGTTGGCGCGCTCTTTGACGAAAATGGCGCGGTCTTCGAGGAAAGCGGGGACGTATGCGACTGCCATGAAGGACATGAACGCCGAACCGAAAAACTATGATTTCCGAAAGAAAAAGAAGAAATTCGTCAGTCCAGAGAACAACTTTTCTCAGAAGCGAAGGAGAGAGAGAAAAATAACAGAAAGAAAATAAAGAGAATTCACTCACAATCGCATTGACGAAAGCCTGAATGTACTTCTGCTCCGTGCTGAGTCTCAACCACACCGTGCCCATCATGATCGCCAGGCCGAGATACATGATGACGCGGACCCAATACGTGACGATGTCGCGGTAACTCTTGATCCAAGATCGATGCAGGAGGACGAGGGTCTGCTTGAGATAGCCCGGTTTCGGGACGGTGCGGCGGAGGAGGTGCATGCCATGGCGGGCGGGGCGATGGGAGATTTCCGCGATGGAGGTGGAGAGGCGTTGGGAGAGGGGGCTGCGGGACCAGGCGGTGGTGATTTTGGCGAGGCGCGAGTGCGAATTGTGAGGATGGGAGCTGTGGCGCCGACTGGTGAAGTCGATGTTGACGAGGTCCAGGAGGTGTTCGGCCGGGTTCATTAGGGGAGGGATTTCGAGGTCGAGTTCGCTGAAGTAGTTTGGCATTGAGACACGCGGACCGCAGAAGCAGACCCGGCCTTGGGAGAGGAGAGTCACTTGGTCGAAGAGGTCGAAGGTTTTGGTTGACGGTTGGTGGATACTGGCGATAACGATAAGCTGGTTTATGGTGGTCAGTCGGGGGGTTTTCACGTGGTTCTTCTGGAGAAACATACGTTGTGCTGTTTGGCAATGTCTCGAATATACGACATGATCTCATAACTCGCAGTCGAGTCGAGACCACTGGTCGGCTCATCGAGGAAGAGAATGCTTGGGCCAGTGATGAGCTGGGAAGCGACGCTGACACGTCTCTTCTGGCCACCACTGAGGCCCTTTTTGAAAGGGGTTCCGATGATCGTGTTGCTCTGGGCTTGGAGACCGAATTCGCGTAGGATGCCCTGCACACGGCCTTCGAGTTCTCGCTTCGACATGGAACTCGAAATCGTCAACTCTGCTGCGAACCGTAACGTCTCCAGCGTCGTCAGAGAGCCGATGAGAGTATCCTCTTGCTCGACATAAGTGCTGATGGCGCGATGCGTAGCGAGAGGAAGTTCCTGGCCATTGACGAGCACACTCCCCCCGATCGACCCTGCATGTCGGTGGGCCAGTGCATTGAGAAGGGTGGTCTTGCCGGCACCAGAAGGACCCATCAGGGCCATCATCTCGCCTGTGAAGACATGAGTGCGTCAGTAAACCATGCCAAGACCCTTCTCACGGCCGGCGGCATATGTCGGCCTATGTACAGATTCAGTTTCTGCAACTCACCGGCATGCACGATCCCGGAGACATCGGTCAAAAGCACCTTGGACTTGCGCGTCTTGCGATCGAGGACGGCTATGCGCAGGTCATTCCAGGCGAAGGATTCGATATGAGTATTCCTCGCGAGAGCGCCTGCGGCATTGCCACCGGGATGACCACCACCAGGATGAAGTGCAGCAGGAGGGTAGCTATAAGGGTCATCTTTCGGCGGCGGCGTCGGCGCATACGGATGATGGCTGCTGCTGCCGCCCTCGGACATCATCTCCAGGGCGTCCATGTCGCCGATGCGGCCGGAATCATGCCGAGAGGTAGAGTTGATGGCGCGATATTGGACCATGGCGCCGCGCTCGTGCGTTCGATGGTGGAGTGCGGAGGGTTATTCGCGAGGTGAAGGATGTGGCCCACACGGCGCAGAGGTGATGTGACGGGGATGGGACAGGTCACAATCTCGTTCGGAGGGCGCTTGATGATTGGCGATGGAGCGCTGTAGGTCGTCTTAAAGAGTGGAATCACAGTGGAGGGAGAGCGCCATCCCAGAGGAGCAGACCGTTTTAGCTTTTTCCCTCGATTGGCTATGTTGGCTAGGATTAAAAGCCTCTTGTTGGGAATTACATACTGGGCCACTTTTTTTGCGGCACAGCAAAGTGTAAAGTGTAGCGTCGGCGCGAAGCGTTTAGACCACAAGAGGTCATCAGGCACGCGACCCATGCACGATGACCCGGCACATGCAACAATGAGCTGCTGGGGAGGGATGTGTTGTTCGCTCATGCAAATAGTAATGACACATGATGAAGCCGACGAGGCGAGTGAAGTCGGCAAGCGGCCTATTCGGCGATATACAATAAGTTGACGGTGATGACTATTCGGCGATGGTGGTGATTGTCGGCTCGGCAGTGGTGTGGCGGAAGTCGGAAAGCACATGCCATTTTGAGGGTTGCCCAAGGTCACAGGTGGATGCCCAGCCACGCCAGGTGAGGATCGAATGCCCATCAAAATGCCCATCAAAACGCCCATCAAAACTCCCATCGAAACGCCCATCAAGATGCCCATCAAAATGCCGTTTTCACAGGGTCCAGTCCAGCAGAAATTTGGAATGCACAGGGCAGGTTACGCTACGGCACAGCGCGGGCGGCATCTTGCATACGTGCATACCTACCTGGAGCACGACGCGGCACGTTGCAGGGTGCGCGTCTGTGCAGCTGCCGAAGGAAAAGGGCAGGATGATACCGTAAGGTATGATGATGATACTGGAGGAATCTCGGCTTTTGTCTGGCTGCACGTGACCCTCCTGCTCGAAACTCCTACTTCTGCTGCTACTATTATTACCACTTCTACAACTGGAAGAAGAGGAAAAAGAAAGAACAGGAAGAACATGAAGAAGAGGACACATAAGTAACAAGAGGACCTGTAGGCTAGTGACTCGAAAAGAATCCAACTTCTTCTTGCTTCCCTAGGATTTACCAAACCTAATTTCGCAACATCTATCGTTTTCTTCTCTTGTCAAAACAGTTTGACGAACAATACGTAATCACAACCCCGCTTTACGTTGGAAAGGGAGGGAGGGAGGGGGCGACCTACCATCTCATGCGGTGGCGAAGTCCCGTGTGGGGCGAGGCGGCCGTTGCGCGCCCGGGTGGATGTACAGGACGTTCGGGACGTCGATATAGAGGTCCTAGTGGGCGAGGCAAAGAAGAAGAGGAGACGGTGTGAGCCAGGGACAGCAGAGGGTTGGGGGGTTGGGACAGGTTGGCATACGTACCTCGTCGGTGACTTGGCTCATCCGCATCCGCAACAGCGCCTTCGCCTTGACGATCGGTCGCGTCAGGTATGCATGCATCCGGGCGGCAGTCTCATTCCCAAGGCAGGCGGCTGCGGAGGAGAAGAAGTCGTCGAGCTCGTCGCGGATGAGCCGCCAGGCGAGCGCGGGGTCGACGGCCAGCTGGCGGACGAGCAGCTGCAGGTTGTTGTGGATGGCGGTGTGCTGGATCTGGTCCCAGACCTCCTCCTCGCTCTCGGTCAGGAGCCAGGTGTCCGGGGGCGCGGTGGAGATGCGGAAGCCGCGGCGCCGGAGGGTCGGAGTGTGGCACCGGACGCTGCCGAAGTCGCGGAAACAGAACCCGAGCACGGCCCGGGTCGCGTTGTCCACGCGCACCAGGGTGTTCTGCCCGTGGGCCTCGAGGCCGACGCCGCTCTCGATCGCGGGCACGCACACGGCGGGGATCAGCCTGGCCGCGTAGCCCTTCAGCCAGGCGAGCTTCGCCGCGGGGTTCCCCAGGCCGAAGGTCAGCGCCGCCAGGCACTCGGACGAACGCGTCGGCGACTCGCCCAGCGCGGCCACGATGATCAGGCTCTGCCCGAGGGCTTGCGCGCGGGCTTCGTGGTCCTCGCGCACGATGCAGGTGATCTGGCGCGCGGCCGTCCGATCGGCGTGGGAGCCCGTGATGGCCGCGACTTCTTTGCACACCCAGCTGTCCGCGGTCATGCAATCCTCGACGATGTGCGAGACCTCGGGGCCGGAGCAGGCCGAGTGCGGGGTGATGGCCCGCAGGACGGACGAGATGGTGTACGAGAGGGAGAATTTGAGATGGTAGGGGAATCCCCAACGGTCCGGGATGGTCACCGTCCGCAGCGAAGCCTGGGCCGCCGCCACGAACGCATCTTGGCAAACGACCCGAGCGGACCCGTAATGCGCCAGGATGGCGGAGATCTGGCGCGTGAGGCACGGAAAGACGACCTCGTTGGCGGCCGGGGCGGAGGTTCGGAATTGCATCACCAATCCCGAGAGGATCTTTCGGAAATCACCTACGATCCAGACCTCGGACCGATCCACGGCAAGGAAAGAGATCGATGGCTGGCTGAGCATCGGCGCGTCGGAGGCGAGCATCTGAGGGAGACCGCATGCGGCGACCAGGGATCGGCCCATCTACACGTTTCTGCAGTCAGTGACAGTTTCAAACAGCGCCTCGATCGCGGGGGGACGGACCGGGTGAACGGGATGCCCGACAATGACGGCTTGCTCCCATTGGATGGAACGGGATGTCAGCGAAGGCGACGGTCTGTCGTCGCCCCACCGGATCCACGCGGCTGTATGATCCCCTCGCTGTCAGTGCCCACGAAACCCTCGACGAGATGTTCAAACCGACGTGCGGTCCCCCGACTCACTCATGTTCCGGAACGAGCTGTCCAGTTGATCCACGGCCCCGGCCCAGGCCGTGTCGTCGACGGCCTCCGACATCAGCTTCCTCGCCCGGCCCGCGAGCTCGACCGGGCTCGAGACCGTCACCCATCCATCCGACTCGCGCCCCCCAGGGCTACGCGCGAGGATCGGGGTGCCGAAGTCGGCCTGATGCCACAGCTCGCGCGCACCATGCTGCTGCCTTGTGGTGGAGATCCAGAGTTCCTGGTCGGACTCCACTCCGCCGCGCTTGGGGCTCCGCAATCGAATTCCGGGCTCGGCCATGGCGGTCGGCATGTCCGGCCGGACGGCGGGGTCGCATTGCAGCAGACCTTCATTGAGCAGACAGGACATGAAGCGAGCGTTGGTCTCGAGGGCCGCGCGGGCGGCCGCGGGACAACTGTCGGTCGCTGTGTCGTCACTGGCAGCACCCATTCTCGCAGAGGTTTTTCGACACTCCAAAATGGAAAGAGCTGTGTGCGATGATGAAAGAGAGAAGTTGGGGAACTCCTTGAATCATCCGCACGGTGGACACTCCCGAGCCATTGTCTCAAGCCGGGTGGGTCATGACTTGTCTGCACCCTAGGCCGCAAGAGGAATATACAACTCTGCTAGACCCCTGGGCCGAGTTCCCACTGTGGGTTCTAGCTTCCTTGCGCGCTACGGGTACCAAAGGCGATCAGGAATTGTCTTATCACACTCGGAGCTGGTCGTGATGGAGATGTGCAGCAGCAGCATCGGCATCATGCCGCAGGAAGTCGAGATGGAGCCTGGCCTGAAAGCTGCCTGGCAGGTCACGGCGTGGCGACTCCTAGAGCGAAAGCAGTATAAATCGAACATCTGTTCTGGTTCAGACATGATTGCAGCTGTGGCAGTCTTCGATTAACACATGTCGGTGGGAGTGGACGGAGTGTTTTTTTCCCTCAATCCCTCATTTCTGAAGCCATGCAGGAGAGCTTCGGCGAAGTGCGTCAGAAATCGGACTATCTCCCTTCGTAGTCGCTGCAAACGCGGGGGGATGGCCCTGTGTTTGTGACCGCCCACTTCAGCACGGCTGGAAGGCTACCGCCACATGGGTCAAGAGCGGGAATTTCGACGTTGGGAGCTCCCATGTGCAGCACGCTTGCGCGTCTCAGCGATGAGTGGTATGGAGTTCCATAGTATCATCGATGGGCAGGCTCGACCCGATCTTGACGGAAGGATGCTCTGATGGTGACTGTATCACCGCGAGAATATAGGCCGGCTGTCTAAGTACGAACATTTTTGTGGTAACCGTAGTTGTCACCGAGTGTGGTTATCTCAGCGAGGTCCCTCCCTTCGTGCTGCCTCGAACAAGCCGCTTCCACTTTGGAGAGAGCGAGAGCAAGAACCGGTTCGGTGTTCTATCAAGGCCGAGTCGGCTTGGAGAGACGCCGGTGTGGTCAGCGTTCTCCAGGTCTCATCAGACGAGACAAGGTGGTGAATTGTACAGTAGCAAGTAGATAATGTATGCCGATCGATCGGTGCCTGAGTACATCTTAGTATCGACAGGAAGACCGAAGCTTGCCCGGGTGAAGATGTATACCTAGGTAGGTATCTTATACACGGACACGTGACATACTGGATGCCGAAGATCTGCCTAGGTTCTGTCCTCCAGCTCCATGTGGTATCACATTCCCATCATATCGCGTGGAGGTGCACTTGCACTGCAGATGCACATAGCCGTGCGCGGGCAGGTGCTGTGGGTTGTGCTCTTTTCAGGCAGACGGGCACCAAGAACAGCATCCAGAGAAGCAGACGCTTTTCTCATACTCTTCGTGTTCGCTTGTTTGGAGATGTACGCACCAGTGATTCGTAAGACCGCCGGGATAGGGACCAGGAATTCGGGCATGCGCAACTGCGTGTAGGGCAAAAGCTGATTTTGCTCGGACATCGGCTCTCATCGAGGCTGGAACGTATTTGATCGATTCGAACACCGGTGGTGTATACCAGGAGTTCATTCTTGTTTTGTTGAGCGATACGAAAGCGACGTCATTGCCGCGGAGCACGCGATATGGACTATGCTATCGGTCATGGTCGATGGACTCCTCTGCACGACGTACCTTTTCTCCATCCAAAACTTGCCGGCTCGGAACTGACGGCGATTAGCCTTCCAGCAAGGACTCATCGACAGCTTTTCCGCTCAACGGGGTAGATCTCGCGACTGTTTCCGATGAAACACTCGTCGTGATCAGCAAATCTTCACCTGTCGTCTACAGTCTCGGGTCTACCAAGGTCGTCCGTCTTTCTACAGATCTGGTTCTCAAATTCGGAGCAGCAATTCAAATACAGGAGATTGAGGCGATGAAACATGTCCTCTCTCACACGAGCGTTGCTACTCCGAAGCTACATCGCTACTTCTTCGTAGAGAATGAGGCTTCTGCTTTTCGTAACTGGGGATATATCGTCATGGATTATGTCGACGGCGACATGCTCGAAGATATCTGGAAGGGTCTGAGTTCGGAAAAACGTACCGACGTCATCAAACAGGTGGCCAGCATTATCTCGCAATTACAAGATGTTCGATTCGAACGACCTGGGCCTCTCGGCGGAGGTCGAGCGAGAGGTTTCTGGTTCTCGGACTACGGAGCAGGTCCTTTCAACAGCAAAGTCGACTTTAACGAATACTTCACGAACAAGCTTGAATTCGCCCAAAGGGTCGGACGGGCAAGCAAAGACCTCCCACGTTTCGATTACTCCACATTCGTTCTCGTACACCAGGACATCAACCCTGTGAATTTAATTGTAGATCGTAATGAGAAGGTGTGGATCATCGACTGGGGAAACGCAGGAGCGTACCCGGCAATTTTTGAGGCAGCAGCTATGAATGACTCTACGATGTTTGGGGAGTCCAATGCCCTTCTGTTGCCACATACCTACAACGACGCGGAAGAAAGAAAGCATATCATGGGCGTCCTTTGGACTACACTTTCTGCAGGGTATGCATATTCGAATGCAGATTCAATCTAGAGAGAGGTCAAAGGAGACTGCAAACCGGATGATTGCCCTATTTTTCCTACATGTATATGACGATACAGAAGAAAGCAAAAACATCATGGGTATCATTTTGACACAACTCACGATAGGCGCTCTTTTCCGGCAGAGAGGCCAAGGACAGGAATGTAGCATCGCCTCATTTCACGACAATCATTCATCTCACCTATTCGCTGATTCTGACTGATGGTGGGTCGCTTGCAGGCTGCTTGCAGAGCGACACGTGAGAAGAGCGGTCTCGGTCAATCAAAGAAAAACAAGAAAAGGATACATAGGTACCCTCTGTATTAGCCTCTATCCTGATCTTCAACCGTTGTGATATTCATAGATATTTACATGTGCAGTAACAAGTTACTAGCAACTAGGATAGCAACTAGGACAGCCCGACTAGGACCAGCTCAGCTGCAGCGTGTTTCACCTCACCACGTCAAAGTCGGGCGGGCTCCTCACGGTCCTTCACGCGCGCCCGCCCGCCCCAGGCGTCAGCGGCGGGCGGCAAATGTGAAGCACACACGAGATTGTACTACAACAACCCACGGCTGCTGGCTTTTCTGTGGCGCTGCTTATACGGGTGATGAGTGTGCGTCCACAGTGCTGTATGGAGGTAACCGCGAGACTGTCCGTCGTCTCCTGCTGTGTCATACGGGCGGCCACATCCACATCCACTCCCTCTGCCGTGTCATGAGCTGTCAAGAGGAAGAAGAAGCATTACACAATTGCACTGAAAACGCCATCGACAGCCAGCCTCGTCCCACTGATTGACAGCCGAGAGTATGACATGCCCAGGTGAATTGAGGGATGAAGATGGCGGAGAGGGAAAAAAGCAGACATATCCATATGTATGTACATACAGTAGTATGATGAACTGACGAGGGGGACAATGGCAACAGCGACACCGTACATGCAATCAATACACACCATTATTAGTCTCACAGCCAAAGAATCTACTACCATCAAACATCATGGACCTCACTCCTGCACAGGCAAGACATTCCATCACAATCAATCCCGCATACACCCACCCACACACGCGCGCGCACAATGCGTAGATTCCTCCCTGCATTGCCGTAATGACAACACCAACAAAGAAACCTCAGACCGAAGAACAGAAGAGAAACATGCCGCCGGCGGTGATGCTCCCAGCGTCCATCCATGTATGTAGTGATGAGGTGAAAAAGGGCAACAGCGTCTCCCGTCTGGGGCGGGGCGGCCGCCGGGGCAGGGGAACAAGCCTCCACAACGCCCGACCGTTGACGACCAATCCATCATCAGAGACGGGAGGGAGAGGGAAAAAGCCACGAACCGGCGGAGAGAAAATAGAAAAGACACCACTCCCATCACTACGCTATATCCGCTAACAGTGAGCAAAGCAAGGCAAAGCAAGGCGATCAGCATAATACTAAAATGTGATTGTTTCAGATCCCTCCACGGTGACAATACAATCACAGTACTAGATGTGTGTGTCTGCTACAGCACGCACGAACCCGCCAGTTCCCCGCGGGACTTTCCAACTGCAGTGCCTCTTTTGGCGCCGCCGGTCGCCGCCACGAGAGAAAGCAAGGGATCCCCTTGTCACATTTGGGCCAGAAACCAACCACACACGCTTTCCCTGCAACTTCCCTGGCGGCAAACTTCACCTCCCTCTGCTCGTTTCGGATGACCGCCGTGGGCCAGGCCACCACGCCTTGCCTTTCTCTCCGCTGTGATGATTGATTGAACTGAATTGATGATGGTGGCGATGACGGTGATTTAATGCTGGTAGCCGATGCGACTCGCGCTCCGGCCTATCTGCGCGTGTCCGTGTGTGCTGCGCGCGTCCGTCTACTCTCCTCGGTACTGTACATGCTCGTCGTCGACGAGACTGCTGCTATTCTTGTCACTATTCCGTCTCTCTCTCTCTCTGTCTGGGCAGGCGTGTCTGTGTCGGATCTTCGGTCGGGGGTGATCTGTGCTTCCATCGAGAAGGAGAAGGCGTTCCTTTCGACGGATGTGGGTGTCGAGACGATGCTGGTTCCTCTCGATTGCGATCGCGAGGCGCGGTCGGCTTTCATCTGGTCACAATTTACAACGGCCGGGACCTGGTTGTGTGTCTGTATAAGAAAGATGGATGGGGAACGGGGAATCGTATCCCTTTCTTCCCTCTCTCATCACCATCATCATCATCGTTGTCGTTTCAGCTTCTGTTCATTCATCCGTCTTGGTTTTTCGAAATCGTTCTTCCGTTGGGACTTGAAAGACGTACGAACAAGTTTTCGTCATTGTTGTGACCGAATCTAGAGTCTGATTCCACCTCTATTGTCATATATACCATCAGAGGTTGAGAGAGAGATTGCGTGTGACATACGTATATCGCTAGCCGGATCTAGCTTCTATCATTACTGTGATTACACCACATCACGAAGAGACCAATCAAGACAGAAAGGGAAAATAGAACTAAGACTTCACGATGCCGTCGGCGATTCCAAGCACCAGCAATACCAACACAGTCACCTTCACTACAACCTCCAAGACTGCCGCCTCCTCCAAGACCCCTTCCCCCAAGACCTCTTCTCCCAAGACTTCTTCTTCTTCTTCTTCTTCTTCTTCTTCTTCTTCTTCTTCTTCTTCTTCTTCTTCTTCTTCTTCTACATCCCAATCCACGACCCACCCGGCCAACCGCAAACGAAGCAAAGACAAGAACGGCAGCGCCAGACCCACCACGCCGTCCGCCAACCGGTCGCCCATCGTGCACAGCCTCTACGAGCCCACGACGCAGATCTGGCAATACGTCATCGCGGACCCGACGACGCTGCACTGCGTGATCATCGACCCGGTGCGCGAGCACAGCGCCGAGGAGGTGCAGATCCACACGACCAACGCCGACGCCCTGCTGAACCTGATCGCGGCGCGGAGGTACCGCGTCGACCACATCCTCGAGACCAACGCCTCGCCGCGCCACTCCCGCTCCGCCGCCTGGTACATGCGCATGCAGCTGCTGGACTCCCAGGGCTACGCGCCCGGGTACAGCAGTCTCGGCGGCACGGCGAGCGCGCTGGCCCGGCTCTTCGACCGCAAGTACGGGGACAAGGGGCGGCTGGCGCCGCATGTGGGCGATGATTTCGTCGAGTCGGAGAGCGTGGCCGTGGGCAGGATGCGGATCTATGCGATGGATCTGCCTGGGTTTAGTACGGAGAAGAGGAGGGTGTACATCATCGGCCCGCATGTCTTCGGTGCGCACGGGGTGGCGATGGGCACGGAGATCGCGGAACTGACCAGGGAGGATGGCACGGTTTTGGGGATGGCGTCGAGGCAGAGTCGCGATTCGAGACTTTGGGCGTCGATTCAGACGGTGCTGTCGATGCCGGAGACGGTGAAGATCTTCTTTGACAGTGGGCCTGCGACGGCCTTCGCGGAGGGACCGTTCGATACCATCGCGAGGTGTCGTCTGGTCAATCGCTATGTCGGTTTGAATCTTCAGCAGTTCGTCATCCGGAGGGAGGGCGAGAGGCGCGCGATCGAGGATGAGGCGACCCGCGTGCAGGCCAGCGGCCATGGGAGGAAGAAGAGCAAGGACGGCACTTTGGATACGTCGGCGGGCAAGAAGACTGGGCGATCGGCGCCGCTTCCTCCTCTTCCGCCGCCGTCGTCGTCTTCGGGTGGTATGAAGAGTTTGGGCTTTGCGAAGAAGAAGTCGCAGAAATTCGACCGATCGGTGCGGTATGATGAGTGGTCGGACAGGGCACAATTGATCGGTGGACGGCAGATTGCTGTGTAGAGATATCGAAGTGGACTTTTTTTCTCTTCTGCCGTGGGTGGAGGTGTTGTTGCTTCCTCTTTCTACTTCACGCGGTTGTTTGTTTGGCGCACTCTGTTTGTTTCTTTTTTTTCTTCTTTTTTCTTCTTGACGATCTACGACTCTGATTTGACTGACGAATTTACTTTGTTTCCTACTTACCTCTCCTTTCTCAAACAATCCATCTTCATCTATCGCTGTCTTCTTTTCTTGTCACCGCTTCTACCGGATGGATCATGAAAGGCTTGCAATTGACGCATTGTGATAGGCGGTGCTTGACGTGTATAACTTCTAATGTTCTTACCGTTATGTCTGCGGTTGAACCGGAGCCATCTTGGCGGCGCGGGAGTGGGCACAATTCAATGGATCTCGGCCATCCGTGATGAGGTGATGCCACCATACACTCCCACTTGATCGGTTTCGTCTCAACTGTTGTCAACTTCAGATACAGTGAGAGGGGATGCCGGGTAGACGTGGCACATGGAGTTGCTCAGCACGACATGGTTTGGATGTTACTGTTGATGTTGTTGTTGTTCGTCGTCGTCGTCGTCGTCGGCAAATAGTCCCCCCAAACCACAACCCTAGCATTTCCCCAGCCCGCAAAGTCCCTGGAAAAGTGAATTTCAAGGGCAAAAAAGACCCACCCTGCACCTGGGAAATCTACACCGACGTCATCCTCTTTAAGCGCCAGACACGGGCATATGACCACGAGCGGCGTTAGCAGCAGGTTTATGGTCCTCCACGGGAAAAAAAAGACTCGTCCAGGTGATGATGATGATGCACAAATCGCGTCGTTGATGTTCTCGATGCGTCTTTGCTCTGGAGCAGATTGATGCAGGGAGTTTTGCCATGGTCACGGGGTTGCTCGATGTTGTTGTTGTTCTCGTCGTTTGCTATTCTCCCTTGTTCTCTTTGATCGCGTATATACATCCTGCAACTTGAGTATACCTCCATCGCAAGGGCGCCGAGACAGAGGTTTCTACAGGCAACATCCTTGACTCGTGAACTCTAGCGCTCGTACAATCAAGACTTGATCCAGCACAAAATCACAGTCGGGACTCGTTACAACGCTTCGACGCAGCCGAGAGACGCACACTATCCCAACAGCGATCTTGCCTCTCTCTCACTGACACGACTCCACTCATACCTCACGAGGACCGCGCTCCTTCCTGTGTGATCATGGTAACCACGCGTCGCGCCCGTCCGGACCTTTCCGAGTCTTGGGCAGACGTCGACGACGACAACGACGCCGACTACTCTTCATCACAGAACAACAGTCAAATCTACAACGAAGACGACGAACGACGAGAAATGGCCGACGAATACCGCTCGCGAGTCCTGCGCGACAGCAGATCCTCCATGAAAGCGAGCAGAGACGACGCAACACCTCGACGGCGAGTCCTGCGATCCTCTGTCGAACCCCCAGAGCTGGTCATGCCCGCGTCACCGGATGGCGAGGACGAGGATCGAAGAGCGGCCCAAGCAAGAGCGGCGAAGCAGCGTGCACAAACACCGCATTTCCGTCTCAACGAACGCTCCCTCACCAGCGATGCAGGGAGTATGCATTTAATTGCGCCACGATCGAATGGCCCGCGGTCGAGGATGAATACGCGCTCCATGACTAGCGACGCAGGACGTATGAGAGGGTCAAGTCTGCGAGAAGAAGATGAAGATAACGAGAAAGACGGCTCTACAGATGTCGCGTCGAAGACGGCAGCTGTTCTATGGCAGCGAGTCGTTCAACCTGTGCTTGGATACACTGGAAGTGTGATGGGTATGGCGGTGCACAACGCAAAGCCTATACTAGGCTGGCTACTGCTGGCCTACGCCGTCGCTGCTGCATTCGTCTTTGCCTCCAACTTTCTCACCAACAGCTTTCACAACGCCCTTTCACCAATCTGCCGACTACCATTTACCTCTCACCTCTCCTTTTGTCCGGAACAACCTCCCATCCAAGCCCACGCCCGAGGCGCTGCCGAATTCGACAAGCTCGTCCACGCACAAGATGCCTTCCAAGACGTCCTCGCCGGGACCGCCGCGGGGGTCAACCTCCCGCTCGACATGAAACGCAGCGAAGCCGGGATCCGCGACCTCAAGCACGTGGTGCAATACTCGAAGCTGGACTCCCGCAACGAGCTCGTCTTCGAATTCACCGGCTTCATCGACACCGCGCGCCAAGCCTCCTCGGACCTCAGCCGCTTCAACTCGCGGATCGGGCGCGCCGTCGACCACATCCTCTCCACCAACCGCTGGACCCTCAGCGTCATCGACGGCGTCCACAACGCGGAAGCCTCCCAGGGCAGCCTCTCCCGGTGGATCTCCACCCATCTCGACCCCTTCGCGGCCCTCAAGCCGCTTCCCCTCTCCCGCGACGTGCTCCTCGACCAATACCTCCGGCACACGGCCGCGGTCGAAGATCAAATCCTCAGCCTCATCTCCGAAGCGCACGCGCTCCGCAGCATCCTTGACAACCTCGACTCCCGGCTCGACGTGATCGCGTCGATCGCGACGCGCGACGGCGTCAAGCTCGCGCAGAACACCGACGAGCTCTTCGCCAGCCTGTGGACCAAACTCGGCGGGAACCGGGCCAGCGTGGCGAAACTCAGCGCGCAGCTCGCGCTGCTCGACGACGTCGGTCGCTACCGCCGCCTCGCCTGGGGCCACGTCACGGGCACCCTGGTCAAACTCCAGGCCATCCAGCACAGCCTGGAGGACCTCCGCGAGCGCGTCGCCATGCCGGAGACGCTGGGCGTCGAATACGTGCCCCTGGAGGTGCACATCCGGAGTATTAACCTGGGCATCGAACGGCTGGAGGGCCAGAGGGATGAGAGTCGGAGGGTGGAGAGGGAGGCTTATGACAGGGTTGTCAGAAGGGGGGAGGAGGGCGCTGATCGGCTCGACGGTGGGAGCGGTGGTGCTGCGCAGGAGGGGAGGATGATCGGAGGGAAGGGGGAGCTGTGAATAGAATGTTTTCCCTTTTTTGGTTTCGACGGGCTGTACGAGGGGTGTGAAGGCTCTTGTTTGGCCTTTTATATTTTCCTTTTGATGTGTCTGTCATGAAGATTAATTCCCTCGTTTTCTTCTCTCCTTTTATCCTTTCGGAAAGGAGAGTTCCCGCATGCGAAGCGAAGATGAATTCAAAACGATGGCAAACCCGAATGGAATACTCCCTGTGCAGAAGATATCATGACATCCAAAGAAAGCAGGAAAGGGGGATGCACCAAAGGAATTCTGGGTAGGTCAGTAAGTAATCCTCGCGGATCTCGCCGCCTACCTAGCTAGGGATCTACCATGACAACCCGCTCTTATCACCTGGGACAAGGCCATGTCTTCCAATTGTGTTGTGACGAGGAAGACACGATGTTTCTTTTTCTCATTCGTGCGTGTTCCCGCGCGGGATTTCCCTTATTACTACTACTTCGGCGAGAGTCCGGGATCTGTCCTTTTTGCTTCCCCTTAACTCTTTCTTTCGTTCTTCAGCACACATGGCATGGCGTGGTGTTTGTTAGTTTGCCTGCCCTACTCCTCCTGCGAGAAATACGAGAATGGGAGATTTTGAATGAAGGCCACACTGTGTAAATTTCCCTCTGATGATCTGTGAGATTTCTCCGCTTTCTTTCTCTGCTTTTCTTTCTGAAGTGAAAGGTGGGAATGTCCGAGGCTTTCCCTCACTCACTCGCATAGATAGATGGTGGGGGGTGTTTCAACGAGATGGACGTCTGGCCTGCCTTGGATTAACCATGGGAATGATCATGTCTGGGCGTGGGTGGGGATGTGTGTGTGTTGCTTGCGGCTGTGGACATCTCCCGTCCTGAGATAATCGTTGGCCTCCACACGAGGTCAGTCTATTGATGTTGTGGAGGGAATTCTTTGCGGATACCGCCCCTTTCAACAACACATGCAAAATTTCCAACGCCTTTGCATCGCGCACATGGCAGCAGGGCAGCAGCAGCAACGACCACAACCACAAAAGGGTATAGTAGTCGAGATTGGCTTTCGTGCATTTTGAATTTTCATGGCGCAACTATCCCGAAAGTATACATATCCACGAAATAAAAGCCGTTCCTCTCCTGCTCATCTCGTGAAATCTTCTGCCTCTCCTGTTCTGCTTCTTCTTCACACCTGTTTCGTTCTTCTCCCACTCTGCTCCTCTCTCTTCTCGGCTCGTACTTGGAGAAAGTGTCCCATCTCAATGTCGTCGGTTTGTGACGTTGCATGCGTGCTTGGTTTCTTCCTCCTTGATGTGCTGCTTGTAGCTGTGAAAATGGTTCGTGAAGGTAACGTTTTGGTCAAAGGCTTGGCGCAGCAGCCGTAATTCTGGTTCTGCTGGAAGTAATTTGGTGAGAAAGGAAAGGACGGGAATGAAAGGGTCGTGATGAGCATGAGTGTGTTGTTCGTGAGTTCGTGCCTTGTTCATGAACATTGGTGCCGTGATGTGGGAGAAAGTGAACGCGAAGTCCAGCATTCTCCATGCTGTCAACCCGAAATGATCGAATGCATTGAATCGCAGAATGCAATGGCCAAGAAATTTGCAGCCGCGAGTTTCTCTCCTGTGCCACGAAGAGAAAGTCGTCCATCGGCCTTCCCTCGAGAGTGCAAAGCCTAGATGGCAACTGAGGCAGGGACGATGTCGGTAGCCACGCCGTTCGCGGCAGCCGGGACACCACCATTGATGACCGGCGCGCCACCGATAGCCTCAGTCTGAGCCTGAGTGCATTCGCGACTAATGTGCCCAGCCTCACCGCAGCGGTAGCAGGTCTTGCCGGCGGAGTTCAACGGACCGCCGTTGGGAGCGGTGCAGTCGCGGGAGATATGGCCAAGTTTGCCGCAGGCGTAGCACTTCATGGCCTGAGCCTGGCAGTCGCGAGCAAAGTGGTTGGGTCCACCACATTTGTGGCACATTGGTCCGCGACCGCCAGCAAAGCCTCCACGGCCGCCAGCGAAGCCTCCACGGCCACCAACGAAACCACCACGAGCGCCACCAGCACCACGTCCGACCGGAGCGGCACCTGGAGTCGGGCATTCACGCTGGAGGATTGTCAGATTTACTCTGTGAGGCTAACATAAAATGACATTGTAGACTTACCGCGAGATGACCAGGTTGACCGCAAGAGTAGCATTGGCCAGCGCGAGGGCCGCCGCTCAAACGCAAAGTCGGGCAATCAGCCTGAACGTGACCGAGACCCTGGCAGTGGTAGCACTGCTTGGCTGTTTTCCCTTTGTCAATATTTCCAACATCCAATGGCTCAAGCAGACTCTTTCCAGACTTACTCTCAGTGGTTCGAGGGTGCGGGCAGTTGTTGCTCTCGTGGCCTGGGTAGGTGGATTAGCCGTTGTCTTGAGATGATTCTTGGAGACGAGAGAACTCACCAGGCTGCTTGCAGTTGTAGCACAAACGCTCACTGCTGGAGCAAACCTCGGCGTAGTGGCCGACATTGCCGCACTTGTAGCAGGCACGGCGTGAAAGAGACGACATCTCGAAATGCGATGTGACTTTTCCTTGAAACTTCTCCGTCTGGGTCGTCTGCTGCTTCTGCTGCTGCTGCTTCTTCACACCTCACACCTCTTCTGCCTCCGAAACCGCAAAAAGCGAACAAAGAAGCGAACTGTGAATGACTTTGGTGACGTGATATGTTATCCAAGAAATAGAGAGGAGAAAGAGAGGAAAGAAGAAGAGGGAGGGAGGGGAAGGCGATTGGCAAGCGTCAGAGCGAAAATTACCATTTTCCGTATTGAGTGCCGAGTGTGGAGTAATAATGGATGGATCGAAACATGTATCGATTGTGGGATAAGTTGTCTCATGCTTGACGTCAAGATTTGGGTAAAAAATTCTTTGGAAACGCCAGCTGGTGGGCCCAGAACGAACTCGCGTGTCGCGAGGCCGGGGCAAAACGGCACGTGTCTCGCTCGGATCAATGCAAGCGTTGTGCACCGGCGCACGCAACTGATGACAGCCAGGTTTCCAAAAGTCCGAAATCGATCTTGATCAGAGCAAAGGGAAGATGATAAACGTGTATTTGAAAAGTTCAGGACTGTCGTTTTGCGCGCCGCGATGGGAAGACGCGACGGTGGACATTGATGGTCATTATCTTGCTCAATCCACAGGGTCGCATCTTGCGCAATTGGCTTGTGATGAGAACCGCGCACACTTGCAGTGCAGTACTTCGGAACATTGGTCGAAAATAACATGGAAAATAGTCATCATTTGCGTTTCATCTCGACTCAAACGCTAATGCTGGTACTACTCAATCCTCCTTCTCAATGACCGCGGGTGCTACAACCTCTCGGCCCTTCAAGAATTGCAGTCCCTCTCCGCTATAGCTGATCAAGGGGCTAACCTCCACACCTTCCTCTGGGTCCTCACCGGTGACTGTCGCGCCGGCCGCCTGCAGGAAACGCTTACCTTGCAGGAGAATATCCCGCCGAGAGGTATCCGGATCGTCTTCACCAGTGCCTCGCGCATTCTTCAATGGCGAAAACTCGTCCTCACGCTTAACTTCCATGCAGGCGAACTTGTCCATGGACAAGAATGGGAAGCAGTCGAAGACGAATTGCTCGAGCTTGATGCCGTTGGGCTTCTCTGGCTTGACGGCATTACCCTTCTCGTCAACGTAGGGAATCTTCTTCTTGGCGATGTGGTGCGGAAGCTGGTGGGCCCACTGTGGGATCGATTCCAGGAAGCTGTAGCTGTAGTAATGGTTGACAATGTTCGCGGCACGGAATTTGAGTAGACTGCTGTCTTTACTATCCGTAGCTTCGGCGGTCTCGGCGTCGATCTCGGAGTATTCAACAACATCGGGCTTGCCGTTCTTCTGCAAGATCAAGCCGACGCTCTCCTTGGCATTGCGCTTGCGCACAACCTTGGTTGCGATGTCGACATTTTTCTCTGCGCTGAAGCCAATGAAGACGGGATCGGCAACACGGACGAGACAGTTGTCAACGCAGTATGCGTGGATGTGCTTGACACCGCGCTTGCTGAGGTCTTGTACGACACCAGAGCCGATCAGAGCTTGGTACAGACCACCGTTTCCATCAGGGGCGACGGCAACCTTGCTCTTGGTCTCCAGCAGGATCTTACCGTCCATGGTGATACACGGTAGCACACCTTGCTCGAAGAAGATGACGTTGTTACGGTTGAGCCCAAAGTATTTGTTGTCCTCAAAGAATTGCTGAGTAGGCTTGCGAGTCGGTCCCGAAGTCATGATGTACCACGGAATCACCACCTCTTCCTTGCCATGAATCTTGCTGGCGAGCAATTGAAGCTTGAGAATTCGTTCAGCCTGGAGCTGGAACAGCGACTTTTTGCTGGGGAGACCAATGTCGTAGCAACCTTTCGGCGCTGAGCTCCCCAATCGAGTTCCCTGACCACCTGCCATGAGCACAACACCAACTTGGTTGGCGGCGATGAGTTCGAGACCAGACTTGTACCATTTATCGAGGTGTTCCTCCTCACTGCTGATGGTAGAAGTGGTCGCTGATTCAGGCAGAGGCTCAAGCTTCGGCTTCTCAGTTTCACTCTCGCTCTTCGGTGGGTTCAATGCTCTCTGGGTGATTTTGTTGATGTGTTCTGGATCGATGGGCTGGAGTTGCTGGTACAAAGTCGCCTGTTCGTCTTTCTTGAGATCATCGTAGAACGCAAAGACTTGACCTTGGCCAGCTTTCTCATACTTGTCTCTGATCTCTTTCAACTCTGACTCGGTTGGTAGTTGTGGAGCTGCTTCGGTGTCGGGCTTGTTCTTCAAGCCGACTGAAGCGAGCAGGTTGTTGACGGTCTCCATGGTGCCAGTATGTGAAGTTACAAATTTCGTGGAGCTGTTGAAGGTGACAAAGAGAAATTTGGAGAGACAGGTAAGTTGGCAAGTTACAGCGTGGTATTTGCAGCATAGATCTGTAGAGATCGTATAGCTCTCGCCGCAGCAGCGGTGACGAACGAGTTCCAAAGTCTAATAATAATATTTGGCCCAGGGTCCCAAACGCCGCATGTGCCCCACCAGTCAACATGCCAGCAAAACGTCACAGCCCACCCACGAGGTCCGCGGATATTGGGGTATCGCCTGTATAGCCATTATTGGGTTTGAATCAACCAGATATGGCAACAACACAGAAACGAACAAGGTAGCGACGATATATGCCACTCGAAATGATGGGCGTTCGATCCATGATTCAGCTCGACTCATCATTATTTCGTGGAAGTTTGGCCTGGATCTGCTGACTGTTCTGAGCTGCTACTTATCTCATTGCTTCACTGAAGCCTGATCGCTATCAATCATTGAAGTTGATTTCGAGCCTAGGGAATATATCGGCACGGATTTGAATTCTCGATGATGGCAGATGGTGCTGCGGGCAACTTGCAACTGACGGGCAAGTGTTCGGGGACGACCTCCGACACAGCGCGCTTAGTCAGCATTCGACAAATTCCAAAATTTCGCGATGGCTTCGAATTCACGATGAGTGAATGCTCCATCTCTAAATAAATTCATTACCACGACTACAACCCGATCCGATGGCCACGAGAACGACTGTCAAAGCTCTCGGCATCGTCAATGACTTCCATGTTCTTCCATTGACGACTCCTTCGTCATCGGCATATCCGCACAAGACAACACATTATCTTTACGTTCGCGCCAACACGCCCAAAGTTCCGACCGAGGATACACCCCGGGAGGTCTTCCTCGTCAATGTCCCCGTCGATGCAACAGAACTTCATGTTCGAAGCCTCTTTGCAGATCAACTTGGCGGTCTACGAATAGAGAAAGTCGCATTCGAAGCTGCACGAGTCGGCAAAGGAATCAATGCGCCGGTAGCGCCAACCACACAGGGAAAGAAGCGGAAACGCATCTCTGAGGATGCTGGAGATGATAGCAATCTGGACGATGAGGAATTCGGGCTACTACCAGAAACTTGGGATCGTTCGCTTCACCACAGTGGCGGCACCGCAATTGCTACGTTCGTGGACAAAACCAGCGCCGATCTGGCAATAAAAGAAGTGCGAAAAGCCGTCAAGACCAAGAGAGAGATCCAATGGGGCGCGGGACTTGCAAAGAAACTGCCAAGCTTAGGATCGGCACGATATCTTAACCACCACCATCTCCGATTTCCAGATCCCAACGTTCTCCAATCGAGCGTTGACGCATACATGGATGCCTTCACCGCCAAGGAGGAAGCGAGAATGAGGATGCTTGCCAAGCAACGCTCCGAACCGGACGAGGATGGCTTTATTACGGTCACGCGTGGTGGACGGTCGGGTCCTGCCAAAGAGGAGGAGACTCGAGCAAAGGAAGAGGAGCTCAAGAAGCGTCAACAGAATATGGTCAAGAGCGATTTCTACCGTTTCCAAGTTCGGGAAAAGAAAAAGGAGCAGGCGCAGGATCTAGTGCGCGGATTCGAGGAAGATCGCAGACGTTTGGAAGAGATGAAGAGGAGAAGAGGAAAGCTGCGACCAGAATGAGAATGCAATACACGGGGACAAACTCGAGGACGAGCAGAATTGGCCGGGGTTGAAATTTTCAAGGTTACACGCTACTCCTCGACACCCTCAATCAGGATTTTGATGCCCTTGGCAGCCTTGACTTCATTAAAGGCCTTCTCAGCATCTCGGAATTTGACCTGTCCAGTGATCAATTCTTTGACATTGACCCGACCACTGTGGATCAGATCCACCGCGAGCTTGTAATCGCCGCTTCCGTAACGAAAGCTTCCCTTGACGTTCAACTCTTTGGTGCACATGGCAGTGACCGGGAAGATAATATCGGCCTTGCCCATGCCACCCTGCACGTATGTGCCACCGACACGGAGGACATGAATCGCCGCTTGAATGCAAGGTTCTGCGCCACTTGCATCGATGGCGATATCCGCACCGTTGCCCAGGTCGGCTTCTGAAATGATCCGCGCCGCAGCATCCTCTGATGACTCTCTCTTGGCGACAATCTTGTGCGTCGCTGCATACTTGACAGCGAAGTCAAGTCTCCCTTCGTTGATGTCCACGACTGCAGTCTTAGTAGCGCCGAATGCCCTCGCGACGGCGCAGCACAGCAGACCGATCGGTCCCGCGCCAAACACGACCACGCTCGCGCCAGGGAAGACTGCCGCCTGCCGGGAGATATGTACCGCCACCGCCAACGGCTCCACCAATGCGCCCTCTTCCAACGAGACCTGCTCCGGGAGCTTATAACAGAAATCCTCCGGCAGCGCATAGAATTTCGCCAGCGTGCCATCAAACGGGGGCGTCGCCGCAAACGCCATATCCGGACACAAATTGTACTTCCCGTCCTTGCATCGCACGCAGCGACGGCACGGTACCCCCGGCTCCATCGCCACGCGGTCTCCGACCTTGAGTGTGCGCACCCCGTCACCCACGGCGGTCACGATCCCGCTGGATTCGTGGCCTAGCACCATGGGCGCTTTGACGACGAAATGGCCGATGGCGCCGTGCACCCAGTAGTGCACATCGCTGCCGCAGATTCCGGTGTATTTGACATTGACGAGGACGTCGTAGGGGGACTTCAGGCTGGGGATCGGTCGGTCTTCGAATTTGACGCTGTTTGCTTTTTCGAGCACGAAGGAGAGGTTCTGTGTGTGCCCGTCATGGCGGGAGTGTTAGTCATCTTCCTCCCTGCGAGAATAGCGGATGCTTTTGGACTTCTGAGGTAACTTTTTGGGTTGGGGATTGAGCCTCGCTTTTGTGGGTTTCGTCAACCTTGATGAATGGTGGGGCTCTCGTTCCTTGCTTCAATTTTGATGACATGACATTTCGGGACATCTCTTGAACATTGCGCACATAAACGAAAATCACACACCTCTTCTTTGCCCATCTTGATTGTGACAAACGCTTCTTTTTTGAGTTAAATATTTCTTGCTTTGATGAACGGACGAACTGAGTTCAGAAACATATCTTTCATGATCGCCTCACTCATTGGGAGCATAAATAGCACACACTCCACCAGAATTTACCCTGCGGTCGCACCATGACGACAACGAGCCTCATCAACCGTCAGTTGGCTGCAATGGAGCTCTTCGGGCCCTAAATTCGCTTCGTTACCCGATTCAGAACCTCCGACTCTCAACTATTTTGAACATTTTATCCGGCTTGGCACAGGGTAAATGGTTTGACGATGGTGGTGCATACTGCAGGCGACAGAACTGTCCTTCGTAGATTCAATGGGCCTCCAAAATTTACATGATTATGGCTGATGGCAACTGATCAATTGACACTGAATACCAGTCTCGAAAGATTTGTTCCTCCACTCAACGGAATTTGATGGACATGGCGACATGCTCTAGCATTGATTGGCATCTTACATTTCCTCGCCTCCCAAATCTAAAACGCCCTTCTTTCCTCTTTCTTTCTCTGGAAAATGTGATATTGCTTGCTGTTGTTTGAATGATTTGGACGTTTTGAGAGTAAATGAATGAATTCCTAGTATATATCCTTCCCACACGCGAGGAGTGCTCCGCGGAGAACTGTCGCTGCGGATTTCATGAGATCGGATCAGATCCGACTGGGACGTCCTTGAAGGATGACGCTTCGTTACCGAAGGAGGATCCAACCATGCCCACGCGACATCATGCCATTGGGAATGGTCGTTCGAGATCGCATGAACGTTTGTCTATTACCTTTCGCCTAACATATTAGCTTGGCCAAGTTGCTGTCCAAAGGCAATGCTTAGTATACAATAAGCGAAGTCTTACCAGATACACCATCATGAAGTGAATTCGCATTTCCCATGATGCAATGCGCAAAGATTGCTAACGAGCGCTTGTCGAGTTCCCGGTTCATTCCGCATGGCGTGGAACCCTCGACGTAGACCCTTGTCCCGAATGTCATCGTCAAGGTCTCCCTGCCTCCTCTTTATGAGAGTGACGATTCTAGAACGACGTTCGGATCAATTCAGCCCAGCCCTCTGGAGCATCGGGTAGCGTATGGCTTCCACATGGCAATGCTACCCGCAAAGTCTTCACATTAGCTTAACAGTCCCCGGCAGATAATTCGCGTCTTATCAGCGATGATCAGGCGCTGTGTTCACATTTCGCTTGCTTATCTGTATTGAATTCCTTCGTGGCGGCGTTTTGGTCAGACCATCGATTGTACTTCCCCCACTGAGAAGCACATGGCACATGCAGGTCGCTAGCATGTATGGTGTGAAGAGTTGGGATCTCTTATCAGTGACCTGTCTGCGAATTGGAGTGGAGTCTGGCCGTAAGCCCAATGCAACGGTATTTGGCTTCAAATATCTTCGCATTAACGTAGTCATATGTTGTTTCGAGGCAAGTGCGCTGACATTGGCTAAGATCTCGGAGCCACACTACCGTTGTAACCAAGCGGACTAGTGAACATCTTATCTATACACATCCATGTCAGGGCGTGTAGACTTTCGATGTACCCTGGACACTTCCAACCTTATGCCGTATTCACATCGAGTAATATGCTATCGATACTGGTCGAATGGTGCAACGATGTCGGCATCAAGGTCGAAGTCAAAAGCATGCTCGTTGCCTGTCATGCTCGCCTCCAGCAACTTCACGGTCTACCCTTTTGATCAACAGTTGAAATGTCGTCGACTCCACCATTGTCGCAGGCCACTGGCTATGGCGTTATCATCGGCCTGGGCTTCCTTTTCGCGTAGGTGTACTGCGATGTCTGTCTTTGAGGATTGATCTCTAACTTGACTGATCATCGCCCACTACAGCTTTGGAATGATGCTGACGACCTTTGTGCTCAAACGATACAACAACGAACTCCAAACGTCAGAAGTCTTCAGCACTGCCGGTCGAACCGTCAAATCCGGTCTCGTCGCTTCAGCAGTTGTTTCTTCTTGGACGTGGGCCGCGACTTTGCTGCAATCGTCCAGCGTTGCTTACAACTATGGTGTTTCTGGTCCTTTCTGGTATGCGAGCGGTGCCACCGTCCAGGTCATCCTATTTGCTACACTGGCCATCGAATTGAAGCGCAAGGCTCCCAATGCCCACACCTTGTAAGTGCTGAGCTCAACTTCCTGTTCGTCTGAACCACTTCGTTGACCAATATTTGAAGCCTTGAAGCTATTCGCGCTCGATATGGTGCTGTCACTCACGGCGTGTACATCGTGTTTGGTCTCTTGACCAACATTTTGGTAACTGCTATGCTTCTGACCGGAGGCTCAGCTGTTGGTACGTTTCGAAACAGCCTCGAACGTGACTGCTGGCTGACCATTGACTTCTAGTCACATCACTCACGGGAGTTCCAACAGCTGCGGCCTGTTTCCTCCTTCCCGTCGGTGTCGTACTTTACACTATGTTTGGTGGTATCAAGGCCACCTTTCTGACTGACTACGTACACACCGTGATGATCATTATAATTCTGATGATCTTTGCATTCACTGCTTACGCCACAAGCGATCTCCTGGGCAGCCCGGGCGCCGTTTACGATCTCTTGGTTGCTGCTGCAGAACGTCATCCTGTTGAGGGCAATGCTCAAGGAAGCTATTTGACCATGCAGTCAAAAGAGGGCGCCATCTTTTTCGGTAGGCATCATGCTTTCAATTTAAAAAAAAATGAATTCTAAACTGAATCTTTTTACTAGTCATCAACATCGTTGGCAACTTCGGCACTGTCTTTTGCGACAACGGTTACTACAACAAGGCCATCGCCGCATCGCCCGTTCACGCTCTGCCCGGCTACATCTCTGGTGGACTCTCCTGGTTCGCAATCCCATGGCTCGCGGCTACCACAATGGGTCTCGCTGCTATCGCCCTCGAGACCAACCCGGCATTTCCAACATTCCCGGCCCGCATGGCTGCTGCCGATGTCTCGGCCGGTCTAGTGCTACCCAACGCCGCTGTGGCCATGCTTGGATCCGGTGGAGCTGCTGCCACTCTGCTCTTGATCTTCATGGCGGTGACAAGTGCCATGTCCGCTGAGCTCATTGCGGTCTCCTCAATCTTCACCTACGATATCTACCAATCATACATTAACCCTGCAGCCACTGGCAAGAAACTCATCTACATGTCCCACATGAGTTGTGTCGTCTTTGCGATCATTATGGCCGGCTTCAGCACTGGGCTCTACTACATTGGAATCTCCATGGGATATCTCTACTTGATGATGGGAGTCATCATCAGTGGAGCCGTGTTGCCAGCTTCGTTGACGCTGCTGTGGTCCCGACAGTCTTGGGCTGCGGCAACATTCACACCACCGCTCGCTCTTGTCTGTTCCTTGATCGCATGGCTGGTGACCGCCAAGCGTGAATTTGGGGAACTCTCTGTCATTGCGACAGGATCGAAGTAAGTTGCGTTTCGATGGGATGAATCCATAGAGGATACTAATCAATGATGTACAGCAACCCTATGTTGGCAGGAAATGTAGTTGCCCTCCTTACTCCTCTCGTCTTCTCGCCCTTGCTATCATTTGTCTTCAAAACTCCCCAGTACGACTGGCAGACCATGCACGAGATCCGAAAAGGCGATGACTCGGACCTTGCCGCTGCCGCGCATATGGACCCGGAGTCGATTCCTGGAAGCGAGCACGCAGTCTCTCCTGCTCAACGCCAAGCAGCTGAAGAGGAAGAGCAACGCAAGCTTTCGCGCGCCGCCAAAATCGCCCGAACGCTCACCATTGTCCTCACGCTTGCCTTGCTCGTACTCTGGCCTATGCCGCTCTACGGCTCCGGATACGTCTTTTCGAAATCATTCTTCACAGGTTGGGTGACTGTGGGCATCATCTGGTTGTTTGGTACTGCGCTGGCTGTGGGCGTGTATCCCGTCTGGGAGGGACGACGGACAAGCGTGCGTACGATCAAGGCAATTTTCAAGGATTTGACGGGTGGTCAGGGCCGAGTTACACATGGCCGTGCTACCGTGTTGGACACTGAGGGCGAGAAGCCTGGGGTGATGAATGACAAGAAAGGGTCGATCACTCCTCCAGAGGTCGAGGTTGCTGTCAGCAGATGAGATATGAGAAGGTTGAGAGCGATGCTGCGTCATTTTCCAACCACTGCTGGATTCACGGCACGCATTCTTGATTATTTGCTCAGATAGGAATCGATATGAGGTTTGGAAGACACAAGAGCTCTACTATGCGAAATTGTCATTGAGAAAGTGTTGTCTCTGCATTGGCTGTCAGAAGCTTGTGGACGGCAAAATAATGGCAACGTGACTTTGGTTACACAAGACACGCTGCAAGCCCCATCTAAATGGCCATCAATTGGAACATGTGTGGCCATTTTCGTACAGCTTCACCTTTGCATCAATCTCTCTTTCTTCGGGCTCTTCTCGTTTCCTACGCATTAAAACTACCAGCACTATATTCTCATATCTTTCTGTCACGTCCGCAAATCGGGAGCGTCGATAAGCGCCTCGTGAAAACACGTCCAAGTCTCAAACGTCACTTGCAAAGGTGAAAATGCCACCATCGGTCATCAGCAGCGATGACGACGAGGTTAGTCATGTTTCCCTTACACCGCATTTCTTCGAATCAATCTCTGATCTTTCCGTACCGCAGATCATCGTATCATCGTTCACCGATGTAGATGAGTTACAGCACCACGGTGAATTACACAATCAATCCAAGCCTTGACCGCGTTCTACTGATCGCGATGTTTAAGGAATCGGTCAGACCGACATCACCAAGCTCAAAAACAATCACTTCTACACTGTCGGCGTGGGTATACGAGAGGCAAGGGCTGTCAGCTTCCGGAATTACTGACGCACCGGGTATACAGTCGATACAAAGCGCTACCACCAAGACTCTTTTGAAGATCAAAGGCTTTTCCGAAGTCAAGGTGGAAAAGGTCCGCGATGCGGTTCGAAAGTGTCTAGTACGTGCTTATCTTGATCAAAGCCTCATCTCTGACACTGGAAACGATATCTAACATCATTCACAGCCTTCTGCAAATGGGTTTATGACACTTGGAGAGCTGGCCGTCCTCCGAAGAAGCTGTCACCGGATCTCGACTAGTAGCAAAGCCTGGGATGCTCTCCTGAAGGGTGGATTCGAATCTCGAAGCGTGAACGAGGTATACGGAGAGTACCGCTGTGGCAAGACGCAATTGTGCCACACATTGGCGGTCATGGCACAATTACCTAGAGACGTGGGTGGTGCTGAGGGCAAGGTTGCAATCCTTGGTAAGTAAAATTGAAGCCAGAGACCATACTACGAGTTGCTGATAGTCATAATCAGATACCGAAGGCACGTTTCGTCCTGAGCGAGTCGAGGAGATCGCCAAACGCTTTGGTGTGGATGGTGAACAGATCGTTGATAACATACTGTACGCCCGAGCCAAGAACAGCGAACATCAACACGAGCTTCTCTGCAATATGGCGGAGCAATTCACCAGCGGCGAGTATCGCCTACTCATCGTCGACAGCATCATGAACCTCTTTCGAGGCGACTTTCAAGGCCGCGGCGAGCTCAACGATCGCCAACAGAAGCTCGGCCAACACCTCCGAAAACTGGTAGAATACGCAGAAGAATTCAACCTCACAGTCTTCCTGACAAACCAGGTCCAATCTGATCCCGGCGCGACATTCATGGCTACTGATGGGAGGAAGCCGATCGGCGGACATGTCCTGGCACACGCATCCAGCACCCGTGTGTTGCTTCGCAAGGGCCGTGGTGAAGAACGTGTCGCCAAAGTCATTGACTCACCAGGTTTGATATCGCGTCTTGCTTCTTCGAGAGTCGTGATGTTGGTGACTGACGCTGTCGATGCAGATTGCCCTGAGAACGAGGCCAACTACATCATCACCGCGGGTGGTATCAATGACACCGACAAGGCATAATGCTTCTGTGCCCATAATTTTGCTTCATCGACTTTCATCGCTCCAAATAAGTAGCGTCATCAGTGGCTTTCAAGACACGCTTTCGCAATGAGTACATCGCTCCCGATATATACGAAGACGGAAGAACTTCATCATTAGAAAACATCATTAGAAGAGATCTTGGAGGCCATGTTTGTGATCTATCGCTCAATACCCTGTACGCATATTGTCGGACGCGGAACACACAGCTCCGACTGGTTCGCATTGCTGATTGATTAGCGTTTATCATATTTATCATTTGACATAATTATCATCCATGCATTGTCCTGGTGTCGCGGCTAAATTGGTGATGATTTCTGCCATCAAATAGCGGATTGTCCCAATGAGGAAATCTCGGCCGTCATCCTGATTCGTCCTTGCCGCTATTCTTGGTCCTCGACCATATGGACAAGAACGTACAGAGTGATGGCATTTAAGCAGTCTGATGTTCGCGTGATAGGAAAATGGCTCTAAACGATAACCCATTGCACTGAGTACAAGTCAATAGCAAGAAGTTTTACAAGGAAGCACGTACTAGAAGCCCTCTCCCGTTCTCCACTCAAATCAACGCGACGCGACATGGCAACTCGCATTCTTTCACGAAGTCGACCGACAGTTCAACATCGTCTAATATTGTGTCGAGGGTTCACTTCAAATACCATTCACCCAAATGCGACATCCACCGCTCAACGACGTGAGGGAGATATTTCCAATGCCTTTGCTTCTCTCTCCGGCAGCCCGCCCAAGCCCCTGGATGCTCGCTTTGCCGACATCAAAACTCGCCTAATCCAAGGCAATGAAGCTCGTATCGAAGCCTCATGGAGCCGGCTGCTTACTGAGCTTCGCAAAGAAACACAAGACATCATCGAAAAGGGCTCATCCATCATCCCTGAGATCCAATACCAGGACCTCTCCTCCGCCAGCACAACCTTTCGCTCTGCGCTCAAGAAGTATGGCGTGGCAGTCATTCGGAATGTTCTCCCAGAGAACGAAGCGCTCGCGCTGAAGACCGACATTCGCGAATACATCGCAGCAAACGCCGAAAGGACGCGTGCTTTCCCTCCTGAAAATCCCCAGGTCTACGAGCTCTATTGGTCGCCTTCGCAAGTCCGCGCCCGGAGTCATCCAAATCTGCTCCACACTCAGAAATGGCTGATGGAGGAATTCTGGCACACTTCGCCACCCGCGCCCGCGCCGATCGTAGGTGGTTGCGCATGTTCACAGAAGCAACAGCAACAGCAACAACAACAACCTCCGCCGCTGATATCCACCAGCCATCCCGTCACCTACGCCGACCGCTTCCGCATTCGTCTTCCGGGCGACAACAAGTTCGCGCTCGGCCCACATGTCGATGGCGGCTCATGCGAGCGATGGGAAGACGCCGGCTACGGCGGACGACGCGCCAACGGCGTCTACGAAGCCATCTTCGACGGCCGATGGGAAGATTTCGACGCCTGGGCCGCCCGCCCCCGTCTCGGTGTCAACTCCGATCTCTACGCCGGCACCGGCGCATGCAGCATGTTCCGGATGTTCCAAGGCTGGCTCTCCATGAGCACCACCGGCCCGGGCGAGGGGACGTTACTCGTGAACCCGCTCTTCAAGCTCGCCACAGCATACTACCTCCTGCGACCATTCTTCACCCCGAAAGCGCCATCATCACCCGACTCTCCCGCCGCAGCGCAACAGCAAGAATGGACCCTCTGCGACCCGCAGACCGCCACCCTCCCGGGCTCCTCGCCGGGCCAAGGCCAGGAGCTCACGCAAGCGGACCACCCGCACCTGCTCCTCCCGCAGACCATGATCTCCCTGCCGCGCGTCCACCCCGGCGACTACGTCGTCTGGCACTGCGACACCATCCACGCCGTCGACCCGACCCACTGCGGCGCCCACGACTCCAGCGTGCTGTACATCCCCGTGTGTCCGCTGACGCAGCGCAACGCGGAGGCGCTGGAGCGGCAGCGGCGCGCGTTCCTCGTCGGCGCCACGTCGCCGGACTTCGGCGACGAAGGCGCCGTGGCGGAGGGCGCGCATGTCGGGAGGATGGATGTCGAGGGGTTCGTGCAGATGGAGGAAGCCGCTGGCCGAGTGGAGGGCTTGAGGGCGATGGGGCTTGAGGCGTGGGATAGTGATGCCGAGGGGTTGGGGGCCGGGCAGAGGGAGGTGCTGGATCGGGCGAATAAGATTATGGGGTTCTATGATTGAGGGGGAGGGCCAAACCTCTTTTATTGATTTTTCTTATTTTCTTCTCTTCCGGTGTGTGTGATAGCATAATGAAGCGGTGCTTTTGATTTCGAGAGGTCTTTGTTTCTGTGTTCTGAAATGATGCATAAAGGGCACAGGTACTTTCATATCCTTTCCGGCGGAGGCTTCGCCAACAATCAACCCGGGAAAAAGAACAACAGCAGGAGTTCCCACCCCCATCACAGCCGAGCGCGGTCTCCACCGTCCTCCTCCCCGAAGATCTTCGCCAAAGCCTCCATCGTCGTATTCCCGCCACTCAACACGACGCCCAGATTCCAGCCCTTCCTCGGGGTCCTCCCGTCCCTCCCCGCCGCCGCATTGCGCTGCTCCAGCAACTCCACCACCCTCCTCCGGAAGGCCTCATTGAAGAGCACGACGGCCAGGGGCAGGGCGGCAGTGGGCTCGATGAAGAGCTTGGCGCGCTCCATGGCCAGGCGCAGCGCGAGCGCGATCTGCTCCTCGTCCGCGCTGTACACGCCCGCGCACCGCCCCGCGTCCGAGATCACGCCCCACGGGTGCAGGCCGACCGGGGTGCGCGCGCCGTCCGCCACGGTCAGGCTCTTCACCCGCGTGATGCGCGTGGGCGGCCGCGCCGCGAGCCCGCGCTCCGCGTCGTTCGCGCCCTGGTGCCGCGGCTCCGCGCCGAACACGTGCACCCCCGTGCCGCTCATGGCCGTGCAGAGCCCGCTGAGCATGCCGCCGCCGCCGCAGGTGGTGATGATCGCGTCGAGGTGGCCCCCGGCGTCCTCCTCGGGGTTGGACGAGGAGGATGTTGATTGCGAGTTGATGTCGAGGTCGGGGTTGGTTTTGAGGAGCGTTTGCACTTGTTCCTCGAGTTCCAGCGCGAGCGTGCCCTGGCCGAGCATGATGTCCGGGTGGTCGTAGGGCGGGATGAGGATGGCGCCGGTTTGGGCGATGACGTCCGCGACAGCGGCTTCGCGCTCGTCGCTCGTCGAGCCGGAGAAGATGACGTTTGCACCTTGGCGCTGGGTGCCGGCGATTTTGGAGGTGGTGGAAATCCGGGGCATGACGATATGGGCGGGGATCCCGTAGGTTTTGGCAGCGAGGGCGAGGGCCTGGGCGTGGTTCCCTGCGGAGGAGACTGTCAGTAGCGCACGTCGCCAGTCGCGTGTTCGAGACATGGTGTATGTTGTGAAACTCTGGAGTTCTTCCATCTCTGTAGGATTCGAGGCGTTTTCTAGCAGGAGCAAAAAGTGAAGGCGATCGCCTAAGCACGCAGAGAATGACGGTCGAAGATCTTACCGCTACTATGCGTAACCACGCCCTTCCTCCTCACGGCCTCCAACCCCTCCATCTCAATCAATCTCCCCAGCGCATGGAACGCCCCGCGGACCTTGAACGCCCCAATCCGCTGCTGGTTCTCGCATTTGAAGAAGATGTTGATCTGGGGATTCGCAGTCGATTCCTCTAGGGTCACCTTTGGCCTGATATCGTGTTCGATCGACGACGATGAGGCGCGAGGGGTGAATTCGGCGGACCGTGAGCAGATGGGTGTCGAGGCCACCTGGTTGAGGGTCTGGCATGTTACGATGGGGGTTTTATGAATGTGTTTCGAGATGCGAAGGTGGGCGGCTTGCACGGAGGAGCGGGTGAGGGGAGGGCAGGTTGATAATGCTGCCATTGCTTCTTTTTCTTTTTCTTTTTCTGGAACGTCTTGTGGTAATATCTCTCGATCTTTAGCAGAGAAGATCAGATGACTACTTGCACGCCTGGACAGGATCTCGTGATCGTAGGTCAACGACTGCTGTAGTAAGACCGAGAGATCAACGAGAGGAAGGAAGATGTATCTGTGGGATTGAAACCACTCGGAAATATAATACCGACCTACCTTTGTCTACATATATGGAGACCAAGAAGACGAGGAGCACTCGCGGCGCGGCACAGCACGCCTGCAGCACGTGAGCAGTAGAGACCCGCCATGCTTTTGGTGGCGGCGAGGTCACACTTCTGGTATAGTCGGAGTCGATGGATGTGTGGTTGTGTCCGAGAGGAAGCGCGTGTCGTGCTCAGCCAAACCACCCAAGGGTCCGATAACGCGATAAGCAAGTCTGCAGGGCTGAAAGTCTATTTGTGCTCGCAGTGCAGCGGGCAGACCTGAAGAATGAATGGGACGCCGTGAATGATCTTGACACTTTAAGCACAAGGTGAGATGGAGCCTAGCTTCCCGTCCATTATTATCTCTTCTTTACAATGTGGTCGTCGTCGGCGACATTGGTGGCCGGCAATATCACGATTTGAAAATGGAAGGAAAACCCCCCATCAGAGGGTACAGCAGAGGCGTGAGAGATATCCCGAGAATGAACAAAGGACAGATGGTCTATGCTATGTTGAATAATGGCAATTGATAATACAAAAATTAAAAAACAGCGTTCACGAATTTTGTCCGTCCCCAGCCTGCTCCTTGTCTCTCTATCTATCTCTCTCTCCTCTCGCTGCATGAGTGGGAGAAGGGATATTGTTCAAGAAGCTCCGCTCCACCGGGAAGTCCCCCTCTCCTAGATCTCACACGCATTACATCTACAACTTGATGGAGATATCAAAGTGATCCAACCCCAGCGCCACCGCCGTAAGGATGCCCATGTAGCCCACCAGAATCGTCATGCTCTCCACATCGCCGAGGTAGAGGGTCGGGATGGCGATGTTGATCGCGCCGGTCAACAGATTCGCCAGCAGGAAGATGGCCAGGCCGTTGCGGTTGTAGGCGTGCATGACGCGGCTGGTCGCGTCGCGGATGCGCATGCGCTCGACGGCCTTGGTCCGCGCGACGTAGAGGCCCGGGAACATGGTGAACTCGATGAAGCAGAAGCAGAGCAGCTGCGCGCAGTTGAACGCGCACACCCAGCAGACGTAGGCGAGGTTGGCGCTGCGGCGCGACGCGACCATGCGCGGGCCGTAGTGCCACATCGCCCAGGTGGCGAAGACGAACCAGAGGAAGCTCCAGAAGGCGAGCCGGCCGAGCGCATGTTTGGGGTATTCGGGCTTGAGCTGCGGCATGCCCGGCGGTGGGGCGGACGGGGCGCTGGCGGGCTTGGGGGCTTTTGGTTCCTTAGGCGTGTCGCCGGCTTGGACGAGCATCTCCTCGAGCCAGTCTTCGTCGTCGTCGAGGCCGTCGGCATCGAGGTTGGGGAGGGCTCGCACGGTCTCCTCGAGCTCGTCTCGGGGGAGGATGTTGATGCCGATACCTTGACCGGCGATGAAAATGGCGAGGTAGCCGAAGAAGGAAAAGACTCCCTCACGATTTTGCGAGAGCCAATCTCCGGGGATGCGATCCGAGAGGAAGATGTAGACCTTCATTCCGGGGGTCATGAAGACGTAGAGTTCGTAGCAGATGGCGAGTACAAAAGCGAAAATGTTGTACGAGGGCAGGACCCGGAGGAGCGGCTGGAGCAGTGCGACTGCGGGTGAGAGGAGTGCCAGCGTGAAGAAGAAGTTCCAGTGCACGCCGTATTCGCTGACGTGCTCGGCGTACTCCAGACCTTTGACACTCCACAGTCGAATAAAGCCCAGAACGACCAGGGGAAGGGAATGACGCGCGGCGGCCTTCAGCCGTGCAAACAACCCAGGCGGCTTGGAATTTTGCTGCTTAATAACCTGACGAGCGGCAACGATACCTGCGGCGAACACGAAGGAGCCGACTCCGAGATCCATCAACGAGGTGCCGAAAGCTTCCGTCTTGGCGAAGCGACGAGGGAAGACCGGGAAGTCGACGGCTAGGATGCTGGCGCAGGTGACGATCATCATTGCACCCCGATAGAACGAGATGAATGGCTTGACGGGCAGGAAATCCTTTTGCTCTTCAGGCTTCGGGACGCCATCGGCGTCAACTTCGACCGGCCATGATGAGGCGATGACCATGGCACCGGGCTGCAGGAAAGTCGCGATGGCGGGCACGAGCAGCAGTCCCACCAGCACCTGCGGCGTGGAAGAGTAGGTCGTGGTCGCGAAGAGGATGGCACCGCATTGCAATGCAAAGTCGATCACGGCGGCGGCGGGACTGTATGGCTTGAAGAAGCTCTGTCGGGCCTGGAGCAGGGCCCATAGTGCTGCTGCGGCCGGGGCGACGAATGTGATGGCATTGATCTCCCAGATGCCACCTCCGCCCAGATGGGAGACGGAGGCCTCTTTGGCGGCTTTGTATTCCGGCGTCATCTTTCTTGTGATTTCAACTGCTGCACTGAGGGAAGATGGTCCCTCTGGTGTTGCAATTGTTATTATAAAAACAAGTGTTTCGACGACAACGTGGGATCTGTCGGAGATTGGGCGTGGACAAACCCTCCTCAGTGCTGTGCTAAGCTACAAGGGGGCTTATTTTGCCAGGACATTGGCTTTTCTTGGAAGGGAGACGTGGAGGCGTGACAAAGCACGCGTTAGGGTACGCCTTTTTGCGCCCGAATATCACTGAATATTAATAATCAGGTCGCGGGAGATTGGCGCGAATTCGATGAGACGTGATTGCTCACCTGTCCCTAGTAGGTAGTAGGTATACCCTGGTCCATGCAGACGTCGCCTCGAGCGATGCTTTCATGTTGGCAAGGAACAGATGATAAACCATCCGACGAAATCCATCATGTCTGCTGGGCTCAGGCGGAATGTCATGACGAGACGATCATTCCTGGTATGATCCGCCCGCGAAGTGTTGCGTTGTTTGCTTGCAGATGTTTGCTCGAACCACATCGATTGCGCATCGTGAATGGCCCAGACGAAGAGCAAGCAGCGGCTGAAGTCTGTTGTTATGCCTGGGTGAGCGTCCTCCGGGACTGTATACAGGTCTCACAGCGAGGTGAGCGACGTGTTTCGCATACGTAGGCGGAGCTGTACAGATAGATGCGAGGAAATCCATGCCCAGGTGGATTCCAGTTGCTCCGGTCATGGCGTAACCCCCCATTGTCTTATTATGCCATCAGGCTCCTTCCTCATCCATCGACATGATGGTAATCAAACATGACCCTTCACAGTTCACAGACCTCAACCGGGCTCCATCAGCGCGGACGGTGGAGCAGGATGACCTCTCGCTGTCGGCCCTACGCGCGAGTCAGGCAGGCTACAGAGAGTTCACCAGATCAAAGCCATCGAGCTGGAGCCCATGGGTTGTGCATTCAAGATGTGAGACATGTTCTGACCGTTGGGTGAGGAAACAACCACGCAGGGAAAAGAAGAGGGACAAAGCGCATCTCCTGTTGGTAGGTATATCCCATCCACGACAGAGGCATCTGCTTGTTGAGCGTTTATATATATATATATACACCACCCACGACGGCAGGCATCCGCTTGTTGGGTGGAGTGTCCCGCCTTGTGCAGGTGGGTTTCGGAATGTGAAACAGCGCACCGTGGGAACATTTTGGATTCACTGAGAAGAGATCCACTGAGAAGAGATCCGCTGAGAAGAGATCCGCTGAGATCGCGGGACAGTCATCACACGAATCTGGAACAAGGCAAAGGAGTGGAAATAGTGAACAGCGGACTTTTATATTACAGTGTCCCCATCACTGTCGATGGATACTGTGCAGATGCCTCAAATGGCTGGAAGTGAAGGAGTGCTGGAAGTGGTGGGTGACGATCTTCGCGAGAGAGAGAAGGTGTTGGGAATGAAAAGTGAGACGGGTGAAAGGCCTTTCAAAACGACCACCAACTACCAATGGTCGCTTGCACCGGGGTCAATTCCATCACAACTACTCCTCCTCCTCCTTCTGGTGATCCTTTTGACTTCTTTGATATCTCCAAACGGGCTCCCTCATAGTCTTCTCATCCCTTCGAATCTGCGCGTATGTTTTCTCTTCAACATCAACGACAACGACCACCACCACCACCACAACGTTGGGACTCGCTCATCATCAGCTTCTGAACGTCACACTTCAGTATCAACCAGTCCTCTTGACAACTTGTGGTCTCATCGCGTCACAACTTGGCGTCGACCATGTCGGATACCTCGAGCATTGACGAGGCGGCCATGGCATTCACGCAGTCCATCTCCAGAACCGTGAGTGATCTCGCTTGCTTCATATAGCGACACGCGTGAACTAGACATTGATCTTTGACGGCAGAGTCGTTTGACGTTCGGAACGCCGCCTCAAATCAACAAACCGCTGCCTGCGTACCCAAGTTTAAACACGTCCACAATCTTCGAGCCACGAAGCGACGAAAACCAGGTGAGAGCACCAATCGACATCTCGTCCCTGAAACAACCGATACCGTCACCTTCAACACCACCATCGAACGGTGTACATCCCCAAGGTCCGCGTGCTCATCCATACGGCTCTCCTATCGCCAGGAAGCCAACAACGGTGCCTTCACAGCTTCCGTCACCGTCGTTGATTCGAAACGATTCATTGACACCTCTTGCATCTGACTTTTCGACACAGCCTTCGTTCGACGGCAGCGCTTTTGCGCCATCTCCTCAATTCCTGTCTAACGAGCGCCGTCTCTCGTCCATTGGGAAGGGTATCTCAGCTCCGAGAAACGCTGCCTCATCGTCTGCGGTGACAACATCTACTCCGAAGCGCTTCTCCATCGAAAGCCCTCGACAGTCACTCATCCCTCGGATGACTTCACCAGCTTCATCTCTTCGCGAGACCCTGCTCTCTTCACGGCCGGTGTCGGTTCATCGAACGGGTCTAACAGAGACAACGGTAGCGAGAAGCAGCAGTCAAACCCTCCGTCAGGAGGAGCAGGGATCAATGCTGCAATATTCGGATATCTCGCCTGGCAATTCACGGCCACACAGCCCATCACCTGGTAGCTTCTCTCAGCCACTGCCAGGAGGTGCAAAGCGTCAGTCTCGCATACCGTCATTGGTCAAGCAAACATCAAGCCTCTCTCTGCAATCATCAAGCGCCTCTCTGAGATCCCCCAGCCTCGCATCACGCTTGCCCATCACAGGCTCAAAGCGGGCAACAGTGATCGATGTCAAGTCTCGTACATCAGCAGAGCGTCTTGCTTGGCAATACGCACAGCAGGAGGTTCTCCCAAACACTGGCACTTCTACATCATCACCAACACCAAACGATGGGGATCGCCATCCATTCCTACGTCAATCACCGCAGTTGGCTCCTCGTCTACAATCCGACACTCTCAAAAACTCTCCGGAAGACTCGTCGCACCGTGAAGACTCGCCCTTGTTTCAGAAAGCTCCGCCTTCTCGCAGTCCGTTCACAGCTCCTCTGCAGACCATCCAGTCAGAAGGCGTACTGCCATGCTTTCCGGATGATGAGAAAGATGGCGGAGTCAGGGATTCCATGGACATCATCGATCATACTACCACACAGTCCAATACTGCGCTGCCTGAAGATGAAAGGCCCAAAGAGATCGACGATGCATCTCAGAAGGCGGCCAGTAGCACACAGCTACAAACACAAAAGCGCGCGAACGAGGCTACGACGCTTTCATTCGCATCCACCGCATCTGATGGACAGATCGATCCACGTTCGTCTTTGATAGAAAAGGCGGCGGTTGCTGCGACATATGTCAAACACGGAGACGTCTTCACAGCAGAGCAAGAAAGCGTCGCCAATGGCAGTGACACCCAGAGCGATCTGAAGCCTGCGACATCCATCAGCAAATGGTCGACAAGCACCCGCTCCGAAGTGTCACCTCCAGGCGGGTCTCGCATCATGCGTCGGGTATCGGGCACCATCAAACGAGTACGCACTCCCATGGGACTGCATCAAGAGGCCCAGAACGAATCTCCCAAAGTTCAATCACCGCGCACTCTACGCCCTCGCAAGGCCAGTCTCAATGCCACACGGGATCGGTCACGCTCTCCATTCCCTTTGCATGGCGGTTCTCCACGCTCCAAGAGGCAATCAGATGACCAGACATTGGTGAAAGACTCATCTATGAACAGGATCTCTGAATTAAACGGCTCCGCGATGAAGATCGGTGAGAAATCGACATCAGTTGATCCGGTTCCAGCAAAAGTCTCGAATCCGACGAAACGTGGACGCCTGGCGAAAGAGTCTTCGGCTCCTCAAACCGGCCTACCACCACGAGAGCACTCCAGAAGTCGCATGGTCCTGAATAAAATCAACCATCTCTTCTCTGGCAAACGATCGAAAAAAGCAGTAGCTTCACCTGCTCCACCGATTCCGCCGCTCCTGAAGCGCAAGCCGTCCAGGGACACCCTCCGGGAAAAGAGTCTACCTCCAAAAAGCTCAACCCACAACTTAAACCCATCGACTCCCCTATCCACCACATCCACCCCTCGCCCTGCCCGTCCCAGCCAGGGTAACAACACTACATCGCCCTCACCTTTCACCCCGCGACGTATCCCACCCATCAAACCCAACGCGACCACCACCCCTCCACGACCATCTCCCTACACCTCCGGCCCCTCATCCCTGACCCAACCGCTCAACGCCCTCCGCACCCCAGCCCCGGACCGCCACCGCGCCCTCACCGCCCGCCTGGTCCAAATCGCCCGCAACGAGCCCTCCCCATCCCGCCGAGAACGGCTCTTCCACTTCGCGGCGATCCTGACCGACGCCGTGATCCAAGCCCGCGAGGCGGAGATCTCCGCCGAGACGGCCGCGGCGGCGGCGAGGAGCGCGGCCATCAGCCATCAGATGACCGTCACGGCGGTAGAGATGATCGGAAGGCTGGTCGGGAGTTTGGGAGGCGCATCTCTTTCTTCTTCTGCTGGTGGTGGTGGTGGGGGTCATACTTCGGAGGGAGGAGGTCGAGGTAGACGATGAGGAAGGGATTCTATGTGGATCCTCTTATGGCTTTTGTGCTTGTCGTTGTGTTTCCTGTTGTTGTTGTGTGGATGACGGAATGATCCACCGAGGATGCGACGGAAGTGTTTGTGCGCCGTCACGATCGGACTCTGCAATGTAATGTAATGACGAAATTGAAACGAAGCCACGTCTAACTTTTCCTGTATGATTCAATGCTGACGATGGGAGCTTTCTTTCTTTCTTACTTTTCACCATTTCTCCTTTCCTTCCCAAAGGTCTCTTTTACCCCCTCGCGTGATAGAGATAGTAAGTAGCATTTCGCATCTGAAATCGTCGCGGGATGCAATGGCCCGCCAGCCAGCGCCAGATCAATTCGAAACTATTTTTGATTCCAGGGGGGGTAGCCTGCCGGTCGCACAAGCCCAAGAGAGGCAGGTCGATCTATATATATATGAACACACAGAGAGGGGGAGGAATCGATCCGGGACGAGGCGGAGCGATCAAACCCCCCCTCCCTGCATCGATTATGCAAGCACGACACATGTGATACGACACGAACCGAAGCGGAGGGAGACCCCGAGGAGCCCGCTCGCCCGCCCGAATCAAGCGAAGAGAAGAAATTCCGATTCCGTTTTGATTCTCGAGAAGGGATGGAGGACAAGACGCAGCTGCCCAGCAGCAGCAGCAGCAGCAGCAGTAGCCAGCGGCAGACGGACAAGTCAGGAAAGGAAAGGAAAGGGAAAAGTCCCCATGTCCAATCGACCACGGCCCCCCGGAAATCATCCTCGATGCCGAAAACCAAAACAAGAGGGAGGGGAGAAAGCACGAAGACGACGGGAAACGAGTGATGGAAAAAGAAAAGTGCAAATAAGAACAGAGCCAAAAATAAAATAAATAAAAAGCGGTGTTTCCCTTTTTCCTTCCTTCCTGCCTTCTTCCCTTTTCTTCCCTTCCCCTTTCCTTCCCACTCTCTCAGTCCGTCAGATGAAGCGAGCGACTGGACGAAAGAAAGGAGGAGGGGATATCAAAACACTAATTTCTTTTCTCTTCCCCAACCCGAATCGGAAAAAACAAGACGACTCGATAAAATCAGATGACGGTCCGTCGTAACATGAGATTAAGAACAACAGACAGACAAACAAACAAACAGACAGACATAGGTAGCAGCTTGAGCGACAGGCGCTCCCTCTCTGAGTGGATAGGGGGTTGATCGCACGCAAGTATGGAGAGTCGCGCAGAGGTGCAGCCAGCGGGCGTGGAACGAGGGCAAGGGAGGAGGGAAGCCAGAAACGCCATGACGTGACGTCGTCCTTGAGGCACCTCATCCCGCTCGTGTTCTCCTGCCGAGGGGGCCCATACGACCGAAGTCTCGGATGGGTTGATCTCCCACGTTTCAAAAAGAGATTTCCGCCCAGGGAAGAATTTCCCGTGCCCGTCGCACCACGAATAAACAAACAAACAAGCGAGCGCCTTTTTCTCGACTTCCATGAGACCTTCGCGAGGAGAAAGCTGCTTTCAATTCAGGACACATCATCGTTCGTTTCTTTCTTTCGGGGTCCTCGCCGTCGGAGCTCTCTTCTCGCTCTCTTGACGAGGTCCACTTTGCTCGATCGGCATTTTCGGCAGAAAGAAAAAGAGAGGCGATCGTACTAGGTCAATGATTGAGCGAGACGAGGGAAATGGAAAGCGTAGGAGGAAACAGCCCGTCTCTCGATTTCGAGGTATGGAGGTTTCCCACGACGGGGGAGCTTGGAGCTAAACCAACGAGTAAAGGGTATATTGTTGATTTTTCTCATATGTGCTTGAAAGGCCGTCGATCCGGGTTCTCGACATCTTGCCGTCCGAATAGCGGAGATAGCGAAATGCGTAGATCCGTAGAGGTTCAATAAAACGATAATAACAGTCAAGTGCATCCGTTCAGGACCAGAAGCCAAGCTGTCTTAATAGCTCTGGCGTATCTGTCGCATGTCTATGATCCATTGAGGACTCGGTCACACCACTGCAGGGTGCATACTAAGACATGTCCGCTTCCATGGGTGCGACGTCACCAAAAGCCATGTTGGCATCGAAGAAATCATTCGTCGGGTCATTCGAGCCATGCAAGAACGAGTCGAAGTCGAATGTGTCCAGAACATCGCCGGTGGAAAGCTCGGCAAAGTCCATGTTGCCGCCGAGGCCGAATTGGTCGGCGCCGGGAGGACCACCGGGTCCGTTCTGAGGCATCTGACCGCCGTTGGGACCATTCGTGAGGTCGAATGACATTCCGGACATGTCCTGGTTCGGGTTCTGGCCGGGCTGTTGAGAGTGTTGCTGGCCTTGCATGTTCGGAGGGACACCGTTAGGATTCTGCATGGGGGTTGGAGTCGAGTTTTGACCGTTCGACATCGGGCCGTTCTTATGGTTGAATGGCCCTGAAGCGTTCGGTGTTGCGGATGGTGGCGGTGTGGGGGTGGGTGGTGCATCGGCAGAGTCATTGAGAGCAGCTGCATTGGCGCCCTTTTTGTTGCCAGAAGCCTGTCAAGTAAAGGTAGTTAGTTCTCGTGATGTTCGCTAGTGTCAGGTATGACGAGCTTTACCTTTGCATTCTTCGCATCCTTCTTATTGTTTTTACCGCCCTTGCCCTGTGCAGGGGTGGGTGGAGCAGGTGGTTGAGCAGGACTGCTAGGATTGCCAGTACCCGCAGCGGTGCCAGGTGGAGCAGGAGGTGGGGGCATATTGCCTTGTCGGGGTGTCATGTTCGGAGGTTGGTTGGTTTGTTGCGCTGGTTGCTGTGGTTGCTGCGGCTGCTGCTGTTGTTGTTGCTGTTGCTGCTGGGCTTGCTGCTGAGCCTGCGCCTGCGCCTGCGCCTGCGCCTGCGCTTGGGCTTGGGCTTGAGCCTGCGCGTGCATCATCTGTTGCTGTTGCCCTGGCGGAAGTCTGCCAGGCTGCTGTCCAGGCGGGAAACCGGCTGGACCTGGGTTTGCGCGCAACATCTGCATTTGCGCTTCAAGCATACCTGGAGGGGCACGGCCATTGGCGGCGGCACTAGCTGCCATAGCATTACGCATGGCAGGATTGTTCAGTGAGGGATCGAGCATTGCTGCATGAATTCATATTAGTATCACTCCTTCTTCGGTCCACATGAGGTCGGAAAATCCATCGGGGGCTAGCGTGCAAACTCACCTCCACCACCGAGACCATGCATGGTCAAAGGATGCTGGTTTCCGGTGTGATCTTGTTCCTGGCGCGCGAGTAATAGCCGCTTTTTGTTCTGCTGCTCTAGGAGCATGAGTTGCATTTGGTAATCTTGTAACGCGTGATTGCCGGTCTGCGTGACCGCCTGCTGGCTGCCATCCATGGGAGCTCCAGCAGCTCCACCAGGCATTCGATCTGCGGCATAGTACTCTGGACCGTTCACGCCGCCATTCATGCCGTTCTGCGGGGCACCGAGTGGCCGACCATTCATCATGGCGGGATTTGGAGAGATGCCCTTTAAGCTCGCGTCAGAATTAGGATCGTTCAATGAACCCTGCATTTTTTGTCTGAGGGCTTGGGAATAGGCTTCAAGGGACTATTGCAATGACTTAGTAGGCGTCTTCTCACGAGCTTGAAGCCTGCCGAGGAAGGAGATTGCGCCAGGTGGGACTCGATCGAAGGCAAAGCGAGTTCAAGGGCGATAAGTAAGGGGGAAAGGGGAAACGATTGAAGCAAATGGGGACCTACCTGATTGTTTGGTTGCTGTCCGGGTCGTGCTTGATTCAACTGTGACATGCTGCCCTCAGTGCGCAAGCGCTTGGGAGATGGCGCGTTGTCCCCATTGTTCGGGGAACCAGAGTTGCGCGCATCATTCATGTTGATGGCGGAACCCTGACGTTCCATGGCATTTGCCTGCATCGGATTACCAATAGCAGGATTGACCATGCCGTTGGGAGGCCCGCGCGGTGGCATCTTGCCAGGTTGCCTGTGATTAGAAATTTAGTAGATGTATGTAAGACGCATCATGGGAAGTGAGTGTGTATGCCGGCCTGGAATGTGCCATGTTGGAATGTCACGCGAAAATACTCACATTCCTCTTTGCATGGCTTGCACACGAAGGTGATCGGGAATGTTGCCATTCATTTGTGCAACGCGCATGCCGTTCTGAACCGCGTTCGGATCCAAGCCCATCATGCTCTGACGGGCCTTTTGCGCCTGACGTTGAGCGCCGATGTACGTGAGGGTGTTGGCTTTTCCAGCGCTGCGTTGACCCTTCCAGAGGTCCCAGAACATGCACCACCAGTCTTGTAGAAATGGGTGGTCCTCTGATGAGGGAAACAATGATGCTGGCGCCGGGAGGTCATCGGGCCGGTTCTTCATGTTGATGGTCTCCTTACTGTCCAAATCCATCGTCGGGTCGATGCCATTGGGGTGAGTTTTCGGGGATTGCTTCATACCGCCATCAGTGGTCTCCACGGGCATCGATTTCAGTATCGACCGAGCGATGTCGTATTTCTCATTGCATATCATGTATTCGTAAATGGCGGTATTGAGTTTGCGCATGACCAGTTCTGGCGTCATGCTCTGTGTGATTGGATTTGCAGGAATGGGCAGACCCATGGGACCACCGCCAACAGGGCCACCCATGGCAGCCATGTGTTGTTGTGCCATCTTCGGGGATGGATGTCGTGCGTAGTCGGACGCGCCTCAGTGGAGATCGCGATGCGACGGAGATAATCGGCGAGTGTGATTATGTGTGATCGAGTAGGTATTCAGGCAAAGTGCCTGACAATGTGGCGCGCAATTTCGGCCACAGTGACCGGAGTCTGAAAGGCGGCAGAACAGACGAGGCGGAGACGCGATGGCGAAGATGGTTCGATCGCTGAAGTGACCGGAGGTGACGTGCTGCGCGACGCGATCGGAGAGGAGGAAGGATTATTGCTGTGGCGATACAGGGCGATGGTTGTGTTATTGTTGCTGGCCCGCGGGAGGGATGTCGATGGAACGCACTGCTATGGCATGTGCGAGACGATGACGGTCGGCAGTGATGTGCCGTGTACGAGGTGAGATGAGTGTTTGCGCCCGCGTTCCCAACGGATAGGACGACAGTCGATGAGAGAGGCTGATGAAGCTGGAGTCCGGAAAGCAAATGCTTGGCGCCACGGGAGAGTCCGGGCTCGTCGCAATATAACAAGGCGGCGTTGGGTTAATGCGACCGGCAGCCTGGGAGCAGCACAGTGTGGGCGGTGTTGTTGGTTTTGAGGACGCAGGGGACGAAGCAAAAAGAGAAAGGGTCGAGACGGACTAAAATGGGATGGGATGGGGTAGTCGGAGTGATGGAAGAATGTAATGTGTTGTGTGGTATGGTATGGAGTACGGCAACGGTATGATGATAGAGATGGGGGGAGCGGTGCTGGTGGTGGTGGTGGTGGTGGAGGGAAGGAGCGTGATGCCTGTGAGGAGGAGAAGAGAGGGAGAGAGAGAGAGAGGGCGTGTGTTCGTGTGTGTCGGGGTGGTCGGACGCCCGGTTTCTGGGGATTTTTTGGCGCACGATGCGGCAATGGACCACGTCCCGATGCTGCTGCTGCTGCTGCTCCTCCGGTATGTACAGACTGTGTTGAAGGTTCTGCCCAGCCAAAAATCGCAGGATTGCGTCTTTCCAATACCGAATGATATTGTATGACTCTTAATGATAAGCTGCTCGGGCGTGATAAGAGTATGACAGGTCGGTGTTTCGCGTGCTGAGCGTGAACAAATGGGAAAAAGACGCCGTTAGATCTCCAAATATGGTCGGAGGTGTGGTGGCGTCGGACTCTCTATTGCGGCAGTTCGGACGACAACGTCAACGGCATTGGCAGGAATACCTCGTCGACAACAATGTGCGCATATCCCTCAAGAACCAAATGATGCCAATAAGGAACAGTCTGCAAGTAATATTGTGACTGAGTGAGGCATTGTACAATGGATCGTGAAACTGAGGAGACACTTCGGAAAAGGCCTCGGCGAAGAAAGAGGCTGCCCTGGAGCATTTAGAATCATCACAACGAGTGTGCAACGGGGAAAGCGTTCGGTCCTCCACCACCATCTGCCCACTGAGAGGCGACATCGCTTCACCGGTACCAGTCACGTCACAACCATCGTCATCTGTAACCAGTTCGAATTAATATTCCGAACTCCGAAACGTGCCTCATTGTGACTATCACATCTTCCCATCATGGCGGGCTCCGAACGACAATCGGCGACTACATGGCAGTACAACCAGGGGCATTACTGCGCAAGAAGAAAGACTGGCTCAATACGGTGTCAACTTGGAAAGCAGGGATGCCCTATGTAAGCGTGAATTGCTATGGAATCGTGGGCTGCGACATGTTTGCATAGTGAACATGAAATTATTATTATTATTAATCTGGCAACACCGGGTCCGTCAGCACTATCAAACACACGCGTCCGGTTGAGCTCTACTACTGCTGCTGTCGGAGTAAGCAGCGACGATCGTGCGAGCTTAGTCGTGGGCCGGCAGGAGCGACGCGCGCAGGAAGGCATTCTTATTTACTACAGCCCGAGGATACGACGAACCGTGGAAGGCTAGTCCAGCCTCAACACTCCAGCTTGCAGCAGAAGCGGCTGATCATTCGCGGGTTTGCATTTATTTCCTCCGACATAACGCTCAACGTCAGAGACCATTAGTGGAAACTATTTCCTCCATGGACGCATTTGAGGCGTCTGGCGCTCGGCACGAGAGATCGTGTCCATCTCACTCGGTTGCTGTTGGCAGTGCGCAATCATCATAAGCACCTGACACATCTCACATGTCCACCAGATTCCAGGGATTTCACATAGAGTATCCCCACTGCTGGCGCACTCCGACAGTTGTCGGCGCCCAATTAGAGATCACGTGACTGTGTCAGGACCCCTCCTGGGCGAATTCCCCAAGGGTCGGGACATCGACGCAATCACGTGGCGATTAAAGTGGGAAGACGAAGGACGAGGTTTGAGACACGGTTTTGCGGACCTCAATGCACCGCTCTGCCTAATCGAGGAGGCTTCAGGATTCAACTTGATTGGAAGAGGTTTTGAGGTGTAATCTGTATGGGTGTCTGGGAAGAGCGATCCTCCTTGGCTCAGACGTCACTAAACTGTCGAAGGATGAATGCCACAAAACCATAGCCGGACATCAACTACCCTGCTCGTTACCTTCCCATGTTGGAGGCCATCACGAGACTTGAATCTTTCTCTAGCATCATAAGGAACATCACCTGGTTTTCTATAACTAGATATCAGTCATCATCCGGCGGTAATTCGTCCTCGAGGAATCGTAATAGCGTAACGCGCATCTCAGTCGTGTCATTTCCTCGAAGCACATCGCTTGTGAAGCGAACATCGACCTGCATTTGGACCTGTTGTGAAAAAAAAGGTGTCAGCGCTGAACGACAGCCAACTGAATGTCCGCAACGCTGCGAATCCTACCATTTCCAATGCTCCTCTCAAGATTCCACATAATATATTGCTGTACCACAGCTCCTCCTGTGCTCGTCCATCGTCCGGCAACTCCACGAACTCCGCCAAAGGATTCTCCTCGAACACCAATGTGAAAGCCTTGCCGTCGCCACTCCACTGTGTCACCGCTGGTGTGACATTCAAAAACATCTTGAAACCAACCTTGGACACAAGCTCCGCAGTGTCCCGAAAATTTTGACAGGTGCCAGTGCTGGCTTTGGCGAGGAAGTCCTCAATCAAGCGCAAGCCAATGTTGTATCCCATGCGTTCCAGCTCGGCATTCACAGCGGCGTAGTCCGTCTTCGTGGCACTGTGAGGTTGCAGCAAGTCGCGGCATAGTTGTGCGACGATGGTACCGTAGGTAAGTGTGACTACTTCAGCGTTGATCTTCTCCACACGGGATCTGAGCAGCGTTCCAGGTGATTAGTTGGCGAGTCGGGTGCGAGAAGAACGACATCATCGGACGTGTTCGATTGTGAAGACTCACTTCCAGACTCTACATCATGACCATACTTCATCAGCAATCCGAAGGCTTATATCAATGCCCATGACCTGCAACTCACTCTTCGCCCAGTCGAGCCGCTTTGGAAGCCATCTTGGCGAGATTCTCACTTCAGCGCGCGATACTTGTCGGCGCGCTTTGTATATTTCTCAGCGCATGCCGCTAGAGTACGACGCAGCTTCCTGAGTGTCGACAACGATCAGAATTCGAGGAAGGTGTGATTAGCGATCGTCTTGCATTTGCACGATTTACTGGTCACAATCCAGCGGACCTGCATGAGGTTGGTCGGGTGAGTGCCAGACGATGACGGCGCGGTCCGCGTCCAAACCCTACCCTCGCGTGCGTTCAGGAACGTACCAGCCTAGAAAGTTCAAATGGGAACATATCCGAATATCAACGAACACAAATATTTGCGACAAGAGAGATCATCGCTCCGCAGCTGTTTCATCACGTCAAGACCGTTTCAAAGAGAAATTTCCACAATAAGCACTTTGAGTCGCTATCAAGCACAACACCAAGCGAACGTCGTACAGAGGAGCTCTTCCATCCTACGATCATGTCTGGCGAGAAGCGACCTGCGCCAGAACTCTTTGGAAGCACACAACTAGTCAAACGACAAAAGTCCAGCTCGAACCTCAAGAGTGATGCTCTTGTCAAAGCGTCCGGCAATGGCGCTCTCATCCAACAAGGAGTGAGTCATCCGCGCAAGCATCATCATCTTCATTCTCATCAACGTCGCTGTCCATTAGCAGAGCTCAAGCGGCGAATGAAAGAACAGTCCGGACTGATGGCATGGGAATGAATAGGGTCGAGGAGCTGCAGGTCTGCAGGCTCCTGTAATGGAATTGAGTGGTATGTTTTTCTTGTTACCACATTGAGAAGGATGGTTTTATTCTCTACGGTCACCATCGGAAGTGTCACCTCGACAATATATCCGTGTCGTGACTCTGATACCATCCACGAACCCTACCCCTTGACCAAGTAAGCATATTTTCTGACTCTTCGATTTACCTTCAGGGCATTCTGGAGAAATCTTCTGCGCCCGGTTCGATCCTACCGGCGCTCACATTGCATCAGGCAGCATGGATCGCTCCATTCTGCTTTGGAACACCAGCGGTGAATGCGCCAACTATCGCCTCTTGACTGGTCACAAGAGTGCTGTTCTCGATCTTCAATGGTCCCGAGACAGTCAAGTTCTCTACTCCGCAGGTGCTGACGCTCACGTATCCAGCTGGAATGTTGAGACTGGCGAGCGCATCCGTCGCCACGTTGGACACGAAGAAGTCATCAACTGCTTAGACGTCAGTCGACGAGGTGAAGAGTTTCTGGCTAGTGGCGGCGACGACGGAAGCATTTCGCTGTGGGATCCGCGACAGAAAGCGGCAATCGACTACATCGAAACGGACTACCCGATCACAGCGCTCTGTCTAGGTGACGCCGGCGGCAATGAACTCTTTTCTGGCGCTGTGGACAACATCATACAAGTCTGGGATCTGCGCATGAAGAAAACCGTCTACTCGCTTACCGGCCACGCTGATACTATCACGAGTCTTACCATATCTCCTGACGGCCAAACGCTACTGTCGAATTCTCACGATAGCACCGTGCGGACATGGGATGTCCGGCCTTTCGCTCCAGAAGATCGCTCCGTACGAACGCTAGATGGCGCGCAGGCTGGCCTAGAGAAGAACCTCATCCGTGCATGTTGGGATCCATCTGAGGGCAAACGAGTGGCAGTCGGAGGCGGCGATGGAACGGCCACGGTCTGGGATGTGCAATCTGGACGCCTGCTGCACAAATTGCCTGGCCACAAGGGTACGGTGAATGACGTGAGGATATCTCCGGATGGGTCAATGAGTAAGTCACTGTTCCTTTCACCGAAACTTCCGGCGGAACTGCATGCTGACACAGAGTTTCGGCGTCACAGTCCTGTCAGCGAGCACAGACAAAACCATGTTGTTGGGCGAGCTTCCACGATAGGTTTGGTACTGTCATATGCATCAATAGAATACCTCTTCCTTGTTTCACTTCGGATGTCAAGATCACGCACTACTCGCCTTTTGGCGTTCATGAGACTATGAGAGGAGGTGGAGCATTGGTCGCAAAGTGTCATAGAATTGGACACCCCGATTGCGTGTCGTGGAGTTGTATTCACTTCTTGTGTAACGGAAACTTTACCCAAGACAACCCACCTCGTCACGCGGACGACGGCACCGGCGCTGTTTCTCGTGTATCTGCACAAATTTCTCGATAGAACTGCCGTCAGATCCCGATTGCAGGATAGCACAATGCCTTGAACAAGACGTTGCTGTCATGAGAGAGCGTTGGAGTTGACCGCCGGAGACCTAAATGTCAGCCGAGCATTCGCCGAACCCTAATACCCATTGGCACGAAGGAACGGTACGGAAGTGGTCTGATAGCCGGTAGCCGTAGCAAAACACACATTCTTTATTTATCCGATGGATACCTACCGGGACTGCTGCACACATGCAAGCATGGAAATTCTTGCGCTCAGTAGCTGTGTTCACAATACCATGGATGTGTGTTGTCTGCCAAAGAACCGATTGACATGAACATGCTGCGGTTCGGCGAGCTGGCTGGCTGGTGGCAGGGAAGAAAAATAAGATTTCCGCCCGTTGGTCGGGGGATCTGCACTCCACGCGACCACTTTTAGAAGAAAAGGCGGAGAAGTCGCTGCGAAGTAAGCGTCGTGCTAGGCTGAAAATGAGAATAGTCCATCTAACGTAACATCAGGCCTCCCGGGAAGGACGGCTGCAGTGCTGTGGTGAGAGAAATTGAGTCGGGCAAGCGGGCGGGCTCCTGCTCCGGTCTTGTGCTGCTCTTTGCCTCACGATGTATCGCCGGTCGTGGTTTTTGTGCGCGGCACTATCAATGGCACCGTCACGCGCCTAGAGGCATGAATGACGGTATGATGCGGAGTAGAGGTTCCTGAGCTCGGAACAACGATGGTGGATTTTGCGGCACAAAGGAAAGAGGCACAACTGCGGCTGAATCCTTCGATGCAATGGCGCACTACGGTGATGACGATCGGTTGATGATGGCCCACATGCATGCATATATTTAATGTTCGCCGCAGGACAGGATGCCTGTCAGCACACTCGATTTCGTACTTTGACGACGGCTTGGAGCTCTATATCGTATTCTGTTTGTCGACTGTCCATCGCACGATTCTGCATGTGATTGAGATCGTCATTTGCAAGAGTCACAGAAACATCATATGGGACCTCGGTGACTCTTCTTTGCTTGAGCGCTTGAGACTACACTCAATTCGACACGGTCATTGTGCGCAAAGTTATTCGTGCCATCGTCAGGCCTAACTCACCGTTGCGTACCGACAAGACATTTTTGAAGGGACAGACTCGACCTCGGACTTGACCTCGAACTCGACCTTGAACTCGGACTCGAACTCGACTCGTGGGGGATGGGAGACTCCAAATTTTACGGCCTTCGAGGCCAGCGACTGGCGCTCGCCGTTGGAATCATCGCCGGCGTTGACTTCTTTCTCTTCGGATATGATCAGGCGAGTGCATCATCCATTCCTCGTCGACGACAAGACAAAGCGACTCGAAATGATCGGAAAGGCCTCCGAAAACTCGACATGAACTTTTTATACGTTCAAGGCAAAGCTGACTCCAAGGCTTCTAGGGCGTAATGGGAGGTCTCCTGACTCTTCCATCGTTCACCTCTGTATTCCCAGAGATCGACACCAGGAATGTAGCGCCTGACAGTCCACGGGCAACGACGCAAGGTATCACCATCGGCAGCTACAACCTAGGCTGTTTCGCCGGCGCCATCGCCTGCATTTGGCTAGGCAACATGCTCGGACGACGCAAGACGATCTTTCTCGGTACCTCCATCATGGTTGTCGGCGCGATTCTCCAATGTACTCCTGGCTCGATTCCAGGTACTCAGGGTCTTCCGCAGTTGATCGTCGGACGTGTGATTACAGGATTTGGAAATGGATTGTCCACGTCGACGGTGCCAACCTGGCAGAGTGAGACATCTGCTGCGCATAAACGCGGCCAATTCGTGATGATCGAGGGTGCCTTGATCACATGTGGTATTATGGTGAGGTATGTTGAACGACTTGGTTTTGCTTGTCACGTGATCAAAATGCGCTCATGTATACTCGATGGAAGCAAGACTTCTCCATCGAGGCAATGCATGTTGAGGCCAGTGGAAACAAGGATAACGGATTTTGTTTCAATTAATTTGAATATGAAGCCTATCTCGAGAGCCAATCTCGGAAGGAATATGCTGACGACCAAATCTTTCACTTTCCAGCTACTGGCTCGACTTCGGCCTCTCTTTCGTCAACAGCTCTGTGTCATGGCGTTTCCCAATCGCCTTCCAGATTGTCCCGGCGATCATAATCTTGACCTTCATTCTGCAATTACCCGAGTCGCCACGCTGGCTGATCCTCAAGGGCCGCGAAGACGAGGCCAGCCAAGTTTTGAGCGCCCTACTCGACTTACCCGAAGACGACCGGCGTGTAGTCACCGAGTTCCACCTCATCAAGGAGACTGTGCTCGAGTCTTCGCAGGGCTCATTCCGTGACTGCTTCACCATGGACAAGAACCGGAACTTCCATCGTGCTGCCTTGGGATACGTCAATCAGATGTTCCAGCAGATCAGCGGTAAGAATCTAATGAAGGCCTACGTAGACCAATCTAATTCTTGTTTCCGCAAGGCATCAATCTAATAACCTACTACGCTGCAACCATCTACGAGAATTCTATCGGTCTAGATCCTACGTTGTCGAGGTTGTTGGCGGCTGCCAATGGTACGGAGTATTTCGCCGCCAGTTGGATCGCAGTTTTCACAATTGAGAAATTCGGACGCAGACAGCTTATGCTGTTCGGCTCTTTCGGTATGACCGCATCGATGGCGATCCTGGCCGGTACAACATCGCAGACCGGGAATGCACAGATGGGTATCGCAGCCGCCGTCTTCTTATTCGTCTTTAACACTTTCTTCGCGATTGGCTGGTTGGGCATGACCTGGCTCTATCCTTCGGAGATTGTGCCACTACGCATTCGAGCACCTTCGAGTGCATTGTCGACATCAGCAAATTGGATCTTCAATGTAAGTTTGTTCGTGTGGACAGGCGTTGAACGTCACTAATGCAGTGTTTTAGTTCTTGGTGGTCATGATCACCCCGGTCGCATTTGCGTCGATCGGCTACAAGACGTACATCATCGTAAGTACACCTATCTCGCCACCACAACAGATCTTCGATATCCCCACTAATCGTCCTTCAGTTCGCCGTCATCAACGCCTTCATCATTCCGTGCGTCTATTTCTTCTACCCGGAAACCGCCTACCGCTCCCTTGAAGAGATGGACGGCATCTTCCAGCAAGCCACCAATGTCTTCGATGTTGTACGCCTGGCGCGACCAGACGTGACGCCGAACAAGTACGACAAGCACGGCAAATTCATCATGTCGGATGACGAAGACTCCGAGACCACAGGCTCAGGACGGGGCATTCACGGTTCGGGTGAGGTCGGCTTGGAGAACAAAGGGAGGTCGGGCCACAACGAGGCGTATCAAGCTGAAGGAGGCTTTGCTGGGAAGAGTGAGAAGGAGGGCTTGTAGTCAATGTTCGATGAAGCCAAGTCTACACATCTTATAGAGAGACTTGCGTGAACGAAGAAATGTCACCACCTAGACAGACATGACTACACCCACGCGCTAGCGAACATCGTATCGCCGTGAGAATCTCAATTGCATTACGCTGTGCAATTGGTTCGCATCATTGTTATAGCCTTCAGCTGACCGCCCAGCTCACCTCAAAGCAGATTTGTGAGCAGAGAATTATATTCTGCGATTAAAAATGAACCAGCTCAACAGCCAAATCGCTCTCAGCACGCTTCACAGGATCTCAAGAAACTCCTCGAAGCAGACAACAAAACACGAACCCAAACGCCAGTACCCTTTTTTTTTCGCAAAATGCACCCCGGGCAGTTCCGGGACTCAAAAACCTCTGAACAATTAACCGAGACGAAAAAGAAAGAAAGAAAGAAAGAGGGGCCAAACACGAAATGCTCATCCTCCCCGCTCTCAACTCAAATCAGCACCTTACTCTCCCCGTTCCTCACATCCACCCAATTGCACCCACTCTCCTCGAAGCTGTCCACGACCTCCCCGAGCGCCCCCTTGATTCTCTTCCCGCCTCTCCGATCCCGCCGCTCCATCTCCAACGCGTCCTTGAGCGTAAGTTCATCCCTCTGGAGAAACCACGCGACCAGACCTCCGCCTTTCTTGATCTCGTCGTGCGTGCTGATCCAGTAATGCGCATTCAGTTTCCGCTGGGCCTGAAGCCCGTTGTGCGCGCCGAGGTTGGATTGCAGCGCTGTGCGCCCGCTGGCGGTGCCGACGCGGACGTTGTGGAGGCCGTGTAGGAAGGCGAGGGTGTGAAGGGGTGGGTTGGCAGTGGGGATGCTGCTGAGGTCGGAGCTGTGGATGCCGTGGGGCGTGTAGAGGATGGCTTCGGCGGCGTCATCGTCGTCGTCGTCGGATATGGTGGAGTTGAGGCTGGTGGTGGGACGGCCGCGTTTGCGTTTGACGGATTTTGCGGCGGCGGCGGCGGCGAGTTTGGATTGGGAGTTGTCGTGGCGGTTGTTGAAGGTGAAGAGGAGCGCAGCGTGGTAGTTTAGGACATCGTCGGTCTGTAGTAGGCGACTTATGCCGACCCATTCGGGGAGTGGGGGGACGCTGGTGCTGCGCCAGTCGGTCTCGCCGTCGGCGCCAAAAGTGTTGACGACGATGACCGTGCGGAAATGTTTCCAGCTCTCTATTAATTGCGCCGCCTCTTTGATTGCAAACACAGGAACATCGCGGTGACATTCCAGAAGTGTATCCTTGTGGCAGTGGTCTGTAAACTCATGGCTCACCGCCAGCGCATCGATGAGCGTCTCGCCTGGATGCCGCTCTGGTAGCTCAACATCGCCTTCCTCATCTGCCGCAAGAATCTCTGCCTCCAACGCTAGAGTTTCCACCTCGTCAATACTCTGGAGTGCGCTCGGGGTGGCGTGGAATTGTTGGCTGAACCAGCTGGCGACATCGCTCTGGCCTCCAACCAGCCAAGGATCGATGAGAATGTTGTAGTAAAATCGTGCGCCACGCTCAACCGCCCTCGCAGGCCGCGGTATCTGCAATAGCCATGAAGTGTCGGCGTTGAGGTGATGTAAGACAGGCCGGCGCGAGGCTAGTGCGGTTTGTGTCGCGCGTCGCAGTTCGCCGCGCAGTTGTGATGAAGGCGAATCGGCGGTGGTAACCATCTTGTCGTGCTCTCAATACAAGACTAATTGCTCCGAGAGACGTGTCGTCGTTCAAATTGCGCCGGCGTTGAAGGATGAGGCGGATCGTTAGTGTTCTGGACCATCAATGGGAGGAGAGTGCTGACGGTATGTGCAGAACGACATCATCATTGTCAGGACAGCCATGTGGCAGATCATCATGCATGGGGTGTGGCTTAGGCCGGCCTCGGATTTAGCCCCGGATATAAGTCAATCTTCACCACACGTCCAGATGACATTCATTCTGCGCGTCGATACAGGACGCCAGCTCTTCCACAGCGTCACAACAACATTGTACGCTCTCCACTTGGATCGTCGCATGACCTTTGTCGAGCATAGATGCGAAACTTACAGTGCTGCGCCCTACGATAACCTTTGTTGGCAGCTGAGCGGCGCTCGCGTAATGAGACCGGTGGAGGCCTTGGCGGCCCAAAATCCGCGTATTTTGAAAGTGCACAGCAGGCGATTGAATCATTCGTCAGCGCAAGGTATGCGATACTCCAAGTGATGCCCACAAGGCATATTGGGATTTCCCGCGATCAGTAATAATAATAATAGAGATCTGAGAGAATAACACAAAGCTTATTTCTGGTTGGGAGAGTCATATCATCGTTATAGAAAATGTGGAGTCCAACTCTAAGCGCCGGATGGTGGCGATGAGGAGTATCAAAAAGCAATGCGCCTCTAATGCATGCCTGCACTTCCAAGAGCCCGGACGCAAATCTAGCTAGTAATGAAACGCCAAGTCGCCTCCACATACCTGCTCCAGTGGGAACTGCATCCATTTCACATACCTAAGCCCCAGATATCTCGCAATGGCCTCCACTACGAAGCCGCCTCCGGCTCCGAAGAGCTATGTATTCCGGTGGCGGTGTAGGATGGCCGCGTAGTACGCCAGTATGACCAACGCCTCTGGCTTCCGTTCAGAACTGAGGTCCGCAGCGAAACGTGCGTTGATGCGGGTAGGCCAGACGAACACTGCGATGCTGGAGATTTCCTCCTCGTCCGCCGTGTAGCATAAGTTGAGGAGTCGTACAGCAGATTGGTAGATCGCGTGTGTGTCGGGATCGAGGCCGCTTTTTTCTAGCATGTCGTATAGAGGGAGGAGAGGGCTGGCCATGTCTGCGGCCTCCAAACGAGCAACAGCGTCGGTGTACGATTGTAGCATATCGCGGATTGTGCACACTCCGGGTTTGGAATGCTCCCATCCTTTGCCAAGAAGCAGAGGAACGCCTAGTTGTAATCTTATGAAGCCCGCGAAACCTTCGAGAATGCTGCCGAGGTCGTCGGTAGGCGCATCGAGCAAATGGTAGAGCACGTGTTTGCTGATGAAGGTCGAGAAGAGATACGCCGCGAAGTTGTACTCCAGGTCTGTGCCTGGATTTGTTTCATGACGTCGATCGTTGTTGAATAGGGAAACGGATGTGGTTTGGAAACCGACGGCTTGCAGATCCCACGATTTCCGCTGGCTCGGATCAACCGCTCCGAGATGCAGGGCGGCATGTCCCAGCAGGGCGTGCATGAGAAAGGGGAATTTGAACGCAAGCTGAACCATCTCAGAGCGGAAGTCTATGGGTATTGATTTCCCGAGTGGTCGCGGGCCTTGGGGTGAAACAATATCTTGCAGTAATTGCATGTGGACTTCATTCACGCGGAATTCGTCCGTCCAGAGGTCACTCGCAGTCGATGGCGAGGACGTAGACCTCTCTATGGCACCCATGTCTGCGAGATTCTGGATATAGTTCGCGTGAGGTGGTGAGGAGGAGTTAGGTTTCTCGACTGAAGAATGGACGGCCATGTGTTGCGGACTGCAAATGTGAAAGTCATGGAAGGTTGCGGGCGGCGGAGAGAGCTCTATCATCGGAGCCGACGGTCCGGCTGGACTTTGGGAAGCAGAGTTCTTCTGGGCGGCCTTGCCACGCGGTCGGCCTTTGGCCGGCTTGACGTACCGACATTGGTCGGATATTTTTCGAGAAAGACACTGCAGACAACAAGGTTTGAGCTCATCGCATTTCGTATGGCGCTTTTTGCAAGGCTCACAGCCGTTGCGTGACTTGGTATGAGTACGACGTTGGCCTTCGGCAGTGGACGGCCCGGCGTCTTCGTCGGATCGAGGCATGATGGATGCGTGAATGATTATCCTGATCTGGACTTGGGTCGTATTCGGCTTGTCATCGCGGGCTGCCGGATATTTAATGACCTCTTGCTTGAGCCATGGAGACCACACAGATGGTTGGTAATGTCGCTGACAGGGGCCATGGTCTAGACTATGACACACACGAGTCTTGGATCTTCGTTATGTTGCTTCATGCTAAGCCGCAGCTGACGATCCCCACACATGATTTGACTCTCGCACTCTCGCACAATCCAAAGGTTAAAGCCTAGAATCGATCGGCCCCCAACTCGTCGAAGGATATTGGCGCCGGGTCATGAAGTCAAGCCGTAGTAGGAATGATCTAGCAGCAACGTTCTTCAATTGCAATAGCCCTAAATGTTGGAGGATTCATGGGGCCAAGCCGCGGCTGTGCCATACGCGCTGGGCAGCTTATTCCGTCTCCACAGGCACATATGCACGCAGATCTTGGGAATCTGACAGCCAAGCATACAGGATCCTCCAACATCAGACGACATGTTGTTATTTGCAGATCCCTTAGCAATTACAAGGCAACCGCTAGCGAAAGTTCAATCTAGATGAGAATCACCAACAACAAACAGGACGAGAAAGCTAGAGTCTTGGCACGGCGAAATCTTGCCGGCTGTGCCATCTTGAGACTATCGACCAAACTGCCGCAGTCAATGAGCAATGATGAGCAGTCTTTGTCCCGATCGTCTCATACTGCGAGTCCACTTCTTGGCATTATCGGACTCAGCGATGTTCATATGAGCGATGTGATGCACGCACATCAGGCTTCTACCAGTTGCCAGAAGTAGCGGCTTCACCTGCGTTCCATCCACCACCACCGTCACCGCCGGAAGACTTCTCTGCAGTAGCCCATCCTCCATCACCACCTTTCGAGGCTTTCTCGTCAGCGCCCCATCCAGAGCCACCACCGTTGTTTTCGGCGGAGTTGCCCCATCCGCCTCCGTCCCCACCAGCATCCATGCCATCACCCTCGTTGCCGCTATCAACGGCAGCAGGCTTCTTGCAGCGCTTGTAGGAATGGCCCTTCTCGTGGCAGTTGGAACACTCAACGCGCGACCAGTCGGTTGGCTGAGGACATTCGCGACCTGTGTGACCGAACTCATCACAATTGCGGCACTGCACCTTGGCCATGTTCTTGGGCTCTGTGCAGTCTTTGGCCACATGATCTTCGCTGTCGCAGTTCCGACAGGTCTTGGGAGCTCTCTCGGCGCGTTCAGGCACTGGCTCAGTACAGTCTCTTGCACGATGACCCTCGCCGTGACATTTCGCACATGAGACCACGATTTTGTTGGCGGGCTCACGCTTCTCCTCGGGGCATTTGCCACGGGTGTGGCCCATTTCTGTTGTAAAGCATTATGTCAGTCCCAAGCCATTCGACATGATATCAAGCTTTGCAACTTACCGTCACAATTTGAACATTTTGGAATCAAACTATCCATGACGAAGCCGGCCTCTGCCAGTCGTGACATGTTCTCTTCGGGCGTTGATGGCCAGCCTTCAGCAAACTTGGCACGACGGGGCCGAGATGAAAACTGAAAGCTGAGGACATATTTCTGTCCTGTTGCACCCTGTAAGTTGACAATGGTGTGCGTATCTGAAACCTGCTGCTCCTTGGCGACGAGGTACGTGTTCATGTGGGCCTTGCGGAAGGTCTCTTCAAGTTCTTCGAACCTCAGCTCAGGAAACGTGCTCGCGTAAGCGAGAACAGCCTTGGCAATATTGTCAGCAACGAACATAAATGGGCTGTCGGTGGATGAAAGCCATGCCTTTTTGATTTCTTCGACATCCTTTTGCCCGTCAGCCTGTTCGAGCTGGATCCAGGCGTCATCCTGACAGATCTCAAGAGTGGATATTTGTGCCAAGACGCGATTGACAGTACAATCCGTCGCAATATGGCCTTGATCGTGAGTTGGTCAGCTTCGGTCAGCATTTGAATTCACTGTAATCAGAGCTCACCTTCTTTGCCGCAGGTTCGACAGGTTTCCGCTGGCTTGTTTGGACATTCGGATTTGTTGTGCCCTTCCTCGCCACAAGCATAGCAGGCGCCGCTGCGAGCTGGGGCATTCGGACAGTCAGGTCTCATGTGACCTTCCTGTCCACAGCGGAAACAGCCATCTCCACCACCTGCAGGCTTTTGGGGACAGTCTCTCGCAAAGTGACCTTCGTCATGGCATCTGTGTTTGGTATGAGTCAATGTGGACGAGAAGTGGTACGATAATTGTAGTCACTCACATGCGGCATCCACCATCCCTCGCTCCGCCATAGTCAGCATTGGCATGCTTAGAGACGTTGGTCGGCGAGAAGTTTTCGTCGCCAAAACCTGCTCCGCCGCCGCCGCCCCAAACATCATTGTTGCCGCCGGCTCCGTTCTGATTCCATGAGTCGCCCGGTTCTGTAGTACTGTTAATGTCTGTGATCACAAGAGAGCTTTTGGTGAGAGTCTACCAGGTTCTGCGGGCCAAGACATTGTGGGGTTTCTTTTCGGTTGAGAATGAAGTTTGATGAAGAAAGACGAGCAGTTTGTGACGGTGAGTGACAAGCAAGCTTCGCACCTGAAAGGTGAGCGAAGCAAGTTGGTGAGTGACAAGCGGACTTTGATTCCGATGGAAGGGTGATTGTTGTTCAGATGAAAGATCGAAGCTGAAGATACTTGTCAGCGATGTTCTTGTGACATCAGAATACGGAAAGCATCGTCACCCGCGTGGTGCAAGACGAAGTCGTGAGGCAGTTCGATGATTAGGCGATCAAGATGAAGGACGAGTTCGATGACAGCGATCAAGAGCCTCGGTGCCGAAGACGACAGATCGTGTTCGTCGACGGCCAACTCGTGATGATCGGTTGTTGCTTCCAGTAATGAATACGACGACGACGTTGGCAGAGGAGGAGAAAAGTCGAGTCTGTGGAAGAAGAGTTTTCGGGGAAGAGAAGAGAAGATGGAAAGTGAAGGAGTCACGGGAAGAATTTGCAAGTTATGAGCCAAGAGATATGTGTGACACGAAACAAAGGGAAAGTCCGTCACTTCCCATTCATCATATGCGCATCATCACATGGGTTTTCTTCGGAGATAGCTGGAGGCTGAGGAGGAGGTCAGGAGCTGCTGGGCGCTCTCACGAATAGCAGGAATAATAAGGAGAATGAAGACCCCGTTCATTTGTTGACGGAGGTACAGCAAGGAGAAGATCGTGTGATGGTAGGTACCGATCGTCAATGCAATACATATTTTGTGACGAGTTCGACCATCAGATCACCGTTTCTTTCATTCCTCTCCATCACTGTGAAAGGTGATCATCTCCAAGGACAGCGAGAAGTCTCTGTCATTTGAGCAGTTGACCGATTGACGAGAATGCCTTCGATGAGTCGATTCCATGTGGAGGGTAGTGGAGGAGGGTTCTATGCTTGAAGGAAAACACGTTATGGCATGGACATCGTTGTGATGATCATACACGACGATTTGCAGCGCAAGGGGCAAAGTGAAAAACCCTCGATTCGAGACATTATTCATTCCAAGACACGATACAAAGCTGGCGGCGTCACAACTTCCCGCACTTCAAACAATTCGTGACCAGGAGAGAAAAGAGGAGTCGAAAAGAAAACCCGAAGGAAATTAGAACGAGGAAACTCCACAACGACCATCATTATCATCATAACCAACCAAAAACCAGAACCACCGCTCTCTCCCACTCTCTTCACACTCCCCTGAACAACCGGATGACCAAAAACCAACACGCGCCCACGAAGCGGATGAACGCCAGGACCGCCACCGAGTACAACACGACACTCATGTAAATCGTGCTGCGCCTGGCGGCGTCCGCGTCCGGATCGGTGCTGGTGTCCAGCTTGGTCAATCCGCCGCCCTCGAGCACGATCGCGCCGAGGGCGAAGTTGCAGAAGATCCAGGCGAGCACGACGGTGGAGCGGAAGCCCTTGTAGTAGTCCTCGTGCTTCTGTTCGGCGGAGACGATCTTCTCGGGGGCGACGTATTTGGTGGCGAAGGCGCGGAGCTCGGCCTCGTATTGGGTGTTGAGGTCGGCGTCGTCGGAGGGGATGGCGACGTCGACTTTGCCGCCCGGTTTGAGGTTGGCGGCGGGCAGCTTCTCGGGTTTGTCGTCGCCCTTGGTGCCCCAGGTGATGTCGTGGGTGTTGCAGAAGGCGTAGACGTTGAGGATGTTGGTGTAGGTGGGCGTGAGGAGGAGGTATTGGACGAAGGAGGTGAACATGTGCCAGGGATCGAGGAATAAAATCGAGGCGACCATGTAGAGGATGTAGGTGGAGGCGAGGGAGATGACGAGGGAGAAGAAGTATTGGTTGGTGAAGAGCAGGCCGAAGGTGAAGCCGTTGCTGCTGGCGACTTGCATCTGCACGGAGCGCACGGTGATGAAGATCGAGGCGAAGAGGAGGTAGGCCATGATGATGGCCCAGAAATAGACTTGCATCATGTAGAAACGACTGCTTCCTTGGGGTCGATTACCGAGGGCGAGGACGAAGCAGGTGACGAGGACGGACGCGTAAAACCATTCGAGGATGACGGCGAGGACGAGACCGGTGGTGCCGAGGAGTTTGGGATCGCTGAGTGAAAAGGTGAGGATGTGGAAGACGAGGAAGAAATTGCCCTGTGGGTGTATCTCGGTTAGCATCACGTTTGAACTTGAGGCTCCGTCGCGTCGAAGAACTTACAATCGCAAACCAGGCGAAAATCATGTTGACCGCTTGGTAGAAGAACTCCACCAGGAACATGAGCTTGCGCAAGATGCTATGCCGACTGCGCCCGATTTCATAAAAGTGGGCCAGGGCATATACCGCTGCGAAGAAAGATCCATTGAGCCATCGTCGACGCTGTAAGATAAAGTCGGCCATTTCGGTCGGCACGTCAGTTTCGCCCGTAGCTGATTTGACATATTGCAGAATCCACGAGCAATTGCGCTTGCTGACCAGCTCCCAACAGAGGATACGATCTTCCGCGAGATACATGTTTGCGGTGAAGATACCAGCGTTGGCACCATGCATTTTCTCGCCGAGGAAATATCGCTCGAGGGGACCTTGACCCGTCTTGTCATTTTGCAGAGCAACGAACCGATATGCTGAGAAGGCGCCAGGGAGCACAGTGATGAAACCGAAGGCGCTCTCGAGCGGTTTGTCGAGGATATTGCTCATCTTGTACTCGAAGTTTTGGGCGGCAACAAGCGGGTTGATGAGGTTTTTGCCCTTCTCCAACATGGCCTTGATCTCACCGCATGCGCCTCCGCACATGGGCTCCCTGTCAAAGGCCTTCCACAGGTCATAGACGCTGCTCCGGCCAGGACGAGTACCGGCGTCAATCAGGACACAAATGTTCGGCTGGAGAACTTCACCGAAAGCTTGGAAGAACCATCGGTGCGAATTAATCTTCTTCTGGTTCTTCTCCTTCAAGCAGAACAAGACTTGGATCGGAGTAGTTCCCTTCTTCACCATGACCACGCCCTTCTTGATTTCGAGATTCATCTGGGTCGTGTATTCGTAAATGTGCGCCGTCACGTCTTCGCCGTTGACTTGTTGCTTGGCAATTCCATCTTGATAGATGCCCATCGCCGCCAACAGCGACCTCGTCCGGGGGTTGATCTTGGCACGACCGTCCGAGACGATGCACACCACAATCTTCTTCCACGCCTCTTTGCCCCAAGTCTTGGACGATGTCCGCGAGTTCATGTATTCCACATTCTTGATCACACCGATGAGCGTACGAGCGAGCAACTCATCCTCCTCGTTATACATAGTGATGACAATGAACAACTCGGTGATTCGTGGTTTGGCGAAGAGTCTCTGGCGGAGGGTGAAGCGTTTGGCAGCGAACTCACTCGGATCACAAGTTGCAGCGCTGTATCGCATGTGGGTAAACTCATCACGCTCAGGTGGCTGCGCGTGAGGCACCTGATTGAGCAACCGCGGCGGAACGGGGCAATCCAGCACCAAGTTACCGTTGTACAATTGCACCTCCTTGACAGTCTTCCATCGACGAATTGGCGCAGCGCTCGCCGGCGCAGGTGGGTGATCGTTATATGCTGCTTCTACGTCGGGATGTGAAGAATCGACAGGTTGGATCTGCTGCGGATCAGGTCCATATGAGGTGTTTGGCTGTAGCATAGGGCGATTGTCCGGCTCGTCTTGGTAATACGGATGTTGTGGCGCATCGTAGGCACCCTCGTGGACAGGTGTGGTTCCAAGCGGAGTGCCATACGGTTCGTGGAAGTAGTTGTCCGGTGTTCGCGCTGGGTGTGGGCTCAACGTTGAGGCGCCAGGGATTTGATGCGCCGCCTGCTGGTATGGGTTGGGTGTGTAGCCATGCGAATGGACCTCGTCGTAGGCTTCGTTGTGACCGTACGAGTTTGGTAAGTTGTTCACCGAGTATGTTGGTTGTGCTTGTAGGCGATCCGTTGAAGGGTATCCTCCTGGACCTGAAGGGATCTGGAGCGGCTCATCATGGGTGTATGGTCGGTCCTCGAGCTGATAAGCCGGGCTCTGGTAGCGACTGGGAGAGTCGCGATGTGCGTCCATGAAGGGATTGTGAGGGGTTTCTTGATCATCGGGGTGTGCACTATACTGGCCTTGCCCGCGACCGCCTATGTGTCGGAGAGATTAGTGAAAGTTGCGAATAGGATGCGATCGCAAGCACGGCGGAAGGCAGATCAATGAATGATAAACAACAATGCGCCACGGCACGACGGCATCAGCGCTCCATTGGCAGGCCTCGCAGCGCTTGTGCTCATGATGGGTCATCACACGCAAGCGCTTGCATGTCAATCGGTTTCCAACCAAACGACTGTGCCGCGGCGTCAAAGCAACAGTTGAAATGACCGTTTTAGTAGCTTGTTTACGTTGGACGTACGTACCGATGGGGTTGTAACTCATCCTCCACGCGATGGGACGAATCCCTAAATTTGATTATGTTGTTACAGGCGAACCTGCGCGCGCAAAGCAGGTCGGAAAAAAAAGGCGAACCTGATGTGTATTGAGGAGAGTGAATGAGTATGTGTCGCAACCGCCGAAAGTGATTCAACCTTGGGAAGGTTTGGGTCGGGCGGTCGAATGTTTATGACCCAAGCCAAAAATCCGGGGGAATGCGCAGCCAACACCGCAGCAACGGGCGGCCGACCTTCCTTCAGGGCGATGATGATAGATTACTACTAGGTAGGGAATAAGAAATGATGATACCTTTCTCTGTCCTGCTGTGGGTAGCACCACGATGCAGGCTGAAACACGAGGTCCAATGATACACTAAAACCATAAAGCTACCTACAGTAGATACCTTGAGAGGGAGATAATTCGTATTGCGACAGGCGGATGACCGGCGAATGGTGGTGCAGGACTCCATGCTCTCTTCACAATCCACACGTTAGATCGACGCGACGACTCTGCTTGGCTTTCGACAGTGTGTCCTCGCATCGCCAGATCCCCGGGCCTGCTTCATTATTGTGTTACGTGATGGCCTAGATACTCAGAGGTTCCATGGATATAGGACCCAGCACATCCCTCTCGTCTGCAAATCTCTCTCGTCTGATCCCGCTGCCGCTTACCTTCGAGATGTTGTGCACTGGATCACAGGCGGACGAGCGTCTGTCGGTCGGTATGCAAGTCACTGGATGAGTGAGAGTCCACCGAGAAGCAGCGCCACGATTCGGCGTTACTGCGCCTCCATGCGCACGCGCGTGCGAACACGCCAGCGCCTCACTTCCGGACTGCTGCCCCTGCTGATCTCCATTTTCTCCGCATCGACTAGAAGATTCAAAGTGGGTGAAATTGCTGCCTGAAAACACCCGACGGAAGAACGATCAGGAAAAGCATGCTAGACTCGGGGAACACACCTCGAGGTACGGTCTGCTTTTCATGTCTCCGAAGCCGCGGAAACCCACGGTGCTGTTGTTTTGAACCATCACGACTCTCGACTCTCCTTGGGTGAAACATGCATGCAGCGGTTTCACAGTAGACTCTCGAGCTTTCTCCAGAGGTGGCACGTCATGGATCAGGAGACTATTTTTATTATTAATGTCATGACACGGAGAATAATTATTGCCTGAGGCATTACTGCGGGCCCGCCTTCAATCGATTTCTGCAGCAATTCGCAGGGAAGACAACAACAACCCTAGGGCTCTCGGGCTATCCGTGGATCCTCAACAGTAATAACATGCCCGTGTACAATGCAAATACGCGTGTACAATGCAAACACGCGTGGCGGACATCCGGGCATACACCGCACACAGAACATTCCTCTATCGCCGTGGAGGTATGAAGTGCATGACTACAGCCAATCCATAACTCAAAACGTCCCGAATGAATTCTACGAACCAATCCCCAATTCCTTCCGATGTCATCTCCTGTTCTGCTCTGTTCCTCCATGTGCCCGGTGGTTGTCCAGCGCCGGTGATACTACATTGCGTCATGGCTTCAAACCACACTTGATGGTCGAAGCACTCTCCGTCAACAGTGGCCAATTCCCGACGTGGCCCAGACAGAACGCAAATCCCCACTCCTGAGTGAACTTTTACCATTTCAGCATTGGAACCCATTTGGCGAACACGGTTGACACCACGACCATAATCTCGAGGACACAACGTCACAGACGAGTCGAACCAAGAAGTCTGCAGTATCTCATACACCAATCAACATGTCCAAGTCGATAAGTTTCGATGTCCTCGGGACCTGCTTCTCCTTCGAAGGCGCCATAACCGCCATCGAATCCCGCCTCGGTCCGCACCTCTCCCGGGCCAACGTCGACGCCAGGACGCTCTGTTTCCAATGGTTCTTCGCCGCCCAGCGGGACTTCACCTACGTGTCCATGGCCGGGGCGTACACGCCGATCGCGCGGATCCTGCAGCAGACGTTCAGGCGCGCCTGCTACGTCGTGGACCTCCCGCAGGGGTGCGTGGGCGACGACGACGTCGCGGCCGTCATGGCCGAAGTCGCCCGCTTGAAGCCCCGGCCAGGCCTCAAGGGTTGCTACGACGGCCTCCGGGCCGACGGGTGGGACGTCTATGGCGTGACGAATGGTGGGAAGCAGGCGAGTCTGGAGTATTACCGTCTGGCGGACGTCGAGCTCGACGACGAGCATCTCCTGAGCTGTGATGAGATCCAGGTGGCCAAGCCTGACGAGCGGGTCTACGCGAAGGCGAATGCGTACTTCACGGAGCGCGGGGTGGGTGAAGCGGCGGGGCAGCGGTGGTTTGTGGCGGCGCATGCGTGGGATCTGTTGGCGGCGAGGAAGGCGGGTTTCAAGACGGCGTATCTCACGTTTGAGGAACATGATCCGGTGACGGAGGTGTTTGGGACGTTTGATCTCTATGCGGATAGCATGGATGAATTACTCGAGAAACTCAGGCATCTATGAAAGAGGGTTCGATCCTTTGTGGTGTGTATCACTGGCGCGTAAATCACTGCCCTCGTCTAAGTTGGCGAAAGACTAATGAGGCTCCCGCCCCTCCGTCAGCGATCTCCATTCATTCCCATCGCCTCGCAAAGTACGGGCAGTAAGCGTACGATTGGGTCACGCCACGCTTGCTCGTCTTCACTACAGCCGAGTATTGAGCGCCTAGAACACCGCCGCTGGAAGGATGATAGACGCTCTAGGAGCTTAGTGCCATTGCTGATGCACTGTTACAGTGGATGTGGTGCTGGGCCAGTTTATTCTCGATACAGCGGTCCGCGCTGATGAAAAGTCGTATGCATAGACCTGCATGCGATACCATAGCACAGGCGTCTGCTGTCTGTGTAGTAGTCTGGGCGACTGATCGGCGCAGAAACCGCATGAAAACCATCGTGAAGTTCAGGCCGGCCGAACATCTTCCAAGCTGATTGGGCGAGCATCGTACTATCTCGGGCTTGCTTGAAGCCCTGCGGAATGTGATGTACAATAAAGTCAACTTCGGCCGAATTGTAGAACATAGTGACCTTAGATTGCGCCAGGGTTTCATGATTCGGCTTTCGCGATAGCCTTCAGCCGTGCAGAGCTCGCCTGGACACCTTCAGTAAACCCAACTGCACGGGCGATGGACACGGCTTCGGTATATCTCTTTTTAGCAGTCGCAACATCTTTCGCCATCTCTGCGAATTCACCAAGATTGTGCAGAGCAACGGCGCAACCCATATCGCATTCTTCTGTCCTTGTCGGAGGCCCAATGGCTGCAGCGACATCAATCGCTTTCTGCGCCCAGTTCGCAGCACTTTGCAGCAGTGACTCACGAGTCGGGAACGGTCCAGATGGTCGGTCTTCGATAGAGTTGGGGTTTGCATTCGCTTGAATGGCAAGGGCGGCGCGGGGCGACTGTTGTGCAATGCTCGATGCAAGATTGTTCATCAGAACGACTGAATGACAATCTTGTGCTGGGTAGAGTGTGAGTGCCTTCAAGAACAAGGGTGACGCAAGATAATGCTGATCGCTTGCTTCGTAGCGATGTGCCAATGACTCGATTGCTGCGCCCATGCTGCTGTCATCCATCCATTCGCCCTCTTTCTCGACACTGACATTGTGGTCCTTGCGCCGCTGCTTCTCTCTCAAAGCCGCTTCAACCGCCCAGACAAGCCGTGCCTCTGCAGTGTCGCGATCCCAGATCGTTGGGTTCGCGTACAGCTCTCCAAGCTTGACCGATGTAGCGATTGTTTTGGCGAGGACCCTCGTCCGTATCTTCTTCAAAGCATCCTTCTCACCGTGGTCCTCGATCCACTGCAGATTCTGTATCCGAAGTGCTTCCAGGACATCAATCGCCGTCTTGAACTGGTTGTGCATCTCCAAAAATGCAGCGACCTGAATTTTCAGTCCCATGACTTCGTCACTGAAAGGGTCCATGGGGAGATCCCGAGCGATCAGCAACGCTTGTTTGTAATACTTCAATGCCTCCTTTGGCTGTGGATCGTAATTCGTGTAATACAATGCTTTCCGCAATGGTTTCGCCACCTCTTCGGGATATTTGTGGAATGCCGCAATGATGTAGGCCTGGTACATGTAATTTACATATATGATTCCGAATGCGCCGACCAGGATTGTCGTCGACACCAGAACCAGCTGGAAAGGGTAGAGGCGGAAGAGGATGCGAGCGTTGCCCCAGAAGCTCCCAGTGAACGCATTCTCGCTAGCTTTAGCCGATGCATGCCGTACAGTAGATTGTGTGATGCGACGGGGTATTGATGGTGAAGGTCGTGTGAGCCGACTCGTGAAGCTGTGTGTTTGACGTGTTGATCGAAGGGGTTGTCCCAGAGTGGTTCGCAGAAGCGTTGACTTGGGCAGTCGTCTGAACATTGTTGGGAGACTCATCCAGGCGGAGGCGTCGCCTTGACACTAACACCTTGTATCCACGAGAGCTGTGCGGTCTCAAATGTCTTCCTTTGTCAATGCCAACATGCCAGGGACTCTTCAGGAAGGTCGGCTGGCAATGATCAATTTTCAGGGCGCATCGTACTTCCCCGGGCGCACTTTCCCGAGTTCGCCGCACATGGCATGACGTTGGGCGCGTTTCAGCGCGTCACCCTGTACCAAGGTATACTTCGAATGTGCATTTATATAGTACATCACATACAGCACCCTAATAATGTAGTCCGTTTGATCCCAATAATCGATGTTTTCAACTGTTGGATGTCGCTACATGCGCTCCTCCCGCTTTGATCACTCAATGTGGTGTTGCGGCACCTAAGTGATATCGAAGAAGATGTGTGGCCGTTATGCTCTGTCCCTCACGCCTGCGCAAGTCAGACAGCGCTTTGCCGATCAGCACTTAGCAGTTGATGAGGCTCCAGACGAGGAAGATGATCGCACCAGACAGACATACAACTTTGCTCCCGGCTACCATGGATTGATATATCGTGCTGCAACCTCAAGTGATGCTCATGCCAATGAATCTACTCTCGAGGAAGACGACCCACCGGTTGGTAGATTAGGAGTCGTGAACGACTCGCCACCATCAAATGGGTCTGTTGGCACAGAGATCAAATACAAACTTCAAAGTGCTAAGTGGGGACTGATTCCATTCTGGACCAAACGGCCACCGGACTATGGCAGTCAGTTGAAAACCATCAATTGTCGGAATGACAGCCTCATCGACGATCGTGGTATGTGGACAACGATGAAAAAGCGCAAGCGTTGCATCGTTGTCGCCGAAGGCTTTTTTGAATGGTTGAAGAAGAACAACGGCAAAGAAAAAATCCCCCACTTCGTCAAACGGAAAGATGGACAGCTGATGCTGCTTGCTGGTCTGTGGGATTCTGTGACTTATGAAGGCAGCGAAGACAAACTCTACACCTACACTATCATCACGACAGATTCAAACAAGCAGCTAAACTTCCTACACGATCGTATGCCGGTGATCCTGGAGGCCGACGGCCGAGAGTTGAAGGACTGGTTGGACCCCACGAATACTGGCTGGTCGAAAGAACTGCAAAGTCTTCTTCGACCCTACACTGGTGAGCTGGAGTGCTACCCTGTTGACAAGGACGTCGGCAAAGTTGGAAACAACAGCCCTCTATTCGTAGTGCCGGTCGATAGCAAGGATAACAAGAAGAACATCGCGAATTTCTTCAGCACGCAGAGAGCAACAGCCGATCACGTCGCCGCACAGAATCATGCAGCACAAAAAGCGCAGTCGACTGGCGAACCTGGCGATGACACCGAGACGCGAGACACCACATCAAAGGTGGAGACAAGCGAAGATAACGCGCCGTTGCCTAAAATCAAATCAGAGTCGGACGAAAAACTAGCACAGAAGCTGAATTCCGGTGACAATGACACTTCTCCTGCCCAGAGCGTTAGGAGCCTAAAACGATCTGCATCTCCTCTAGAAGGCACAGATTCGCCGCGGAAGCAGATCAAGACAGAAAAGTCAAGTCCTTCGCCAGTGAAGCAATCTACTAACGTTACAAAAGGTAGTGGCCGCAAGATGCGGAGTGCGACATCAAACAACACCGTGGTCAAGACGCCGACGAAAATTTACAACGCGAAAATCACAAGCTTCTTTGGCAAGTGAACTATTAGCAGCCAGCAAGTCAAAGACACGTCATGTAATTAAAAAGGTGCAGGACAGCGAGCATTCACACTGGTGATGCGATACGGCAGTTCCGTGAGGAATGTGACCCACAGACCGATCATGCCTGGCTAGCATTCAAATTGGGACTGTTGTCATGTCAGCCGGGAAAAATCCAATGAGGTGGTCGGAGAATGCTTACTCTGCCTTGAACTTCACGGTGACGCTCATCTCCATCGTCACCTCCTGCGGCGTGAATTCGAAAGCGGGCTCGTCCACTTCCATATCAGCTTTCCGCGCAGTTTGCCGTGTTCTTCCCGACTTTCCTCGCGCTCCACCAAAGCTATAGCCTCCACCTTCATCTTGATCGAAGTCGATTGCGCCTTCCACATTTCCCATACTCCCCAAAGAGCGATGGCCTTCACCCAATGCCACTGGCTGCAAATTAACACAACCGAATACCTCACAATAGTCCTGTGCCTTGCGGAATGCATCTTCTGCTGCCTTCTTCCTCAATTGCGCGCGGAAGTTGTATTCGGTCACGGGTTTCAACTTCCATTCAATATTCGGCAGTTCGACATGTGGCAATGCAGATATGTGCGCACCGAAGCCGCCGAGGGCCTTGAAGTCTTGAAAGCGGATATCGAAGTTAATCCTCGCGGTGTATTCTCGATCTTTCTGATTGCCCTCGTTATCGTAGGGTCTATGAGAGGTTGCCGACAGAGAAGTTTTGGACCAATGCGCCAGTGCGGCCGATGCTTTGGCTTCGGCGGACTCGTCCTCAGGAGAAAGATCGTAGAGCAAAGCTTCGATTACGCGGGCACTGCTGAGGACTTCACTGGAGACTTTTGCCTTGTCTGGTCCGGAACTGGCAATGTGTACATTGATATGGGCTCGTTCAGCTGGAAGCGGAATCACCGCGTGGCCTTGAACTTCAAGGACGAAGGGAACTGTTGAAGCCATGCTTGTCTCAGATGCAATGCTTTTCAAACTGGAATGTTAAGGCTTTGAGGTCGAAAGCGGTTTGGGATTTATCCAAGAGTTTAATGAAAGAAACACGAATGTGTGTGGTAATATTCGGTCTTATAAGTAATACGAGGTAAAGTGGCTCTCAGACTGCAAGCTCTACGATCGGCATGCGGCGCGGTATTCTAGGCAGCGAGCTCCCCCAAAGCCTCCGCAACCACTTACTGTACTTTGTCAGACTTTCCGTATGTAGGTAGTTGCCGACTGTACGGGACCGCGCCGTGATTTACATCATCTACAAAGATTAACATTGTGGTGAAGAAGCGGGCAAGGCTCCAAATGCAATGAACCGGAATCCTGATGCTCTTGGAAGGTCCGTGCGGCTCCAGAGACCACTCGACGCCGAGAAAACAGATCTCTCTCCATCGTTGCCGGGCGAGACACTCTAAGGTTCGGGACGTTGGAATGCAAAAGGGCTACCTCCCAGGAGGAGTTCACCCAGCACTTGCACATTGCAAATCGTGGCTCTTCGATGCGTTGGACCAGCAATTGTCCAGGGAACGAAAACTCCTTGGGATGGAGCCCTTCCGCCATTATCAGTCCGATGCGATCAAGCCGTGAACATCGTCCCGATCGTATAGAACAGCTTCGTGACTGCGCGACATCGTCCTTGAATACGCCAGGACCACATGTGCGCATCAAGCGTTGTAGTGCTGCACTTTGTTGGAACCGGCAAGGTGCCCTGGTGGCTCTGAGCAACATTGAGAATAAATGATTACGAGGCAGACGATGGACATGGTCAATTTGTGGCTCACGACGTTTCAAAAGTTTGACGTCACTGGAAATGTCTCGCCTGGAGCGTGTGCTGTTTAGTTCACTTTGCCGGGGGGATGGGCGGTCTTGCAAGTGCTCTGTGCGCACACGGCCAGAATGGAAATTCACCTCTTTACGCGGGGCGTCTCAAAGCTCGTGTCGCGCGTCGCAGACGCGTCTTCCCAACCACGCATAATTTGCCCATGCCTATCCTTTCATTATCTTTATCATTGCCTTTCTTGACAGTATTACATTTCCAATTGGAACAGGAATTGTTGATTTCGAGGAACATACTTCATTCAAAATGTCTTCCTCGGACGGTGGTTCAGACGATGAGATTCGCATGCCGCGTGGACGCGCTGCCAGGCGAATGTTGAAACTTACGAGCAGTCCGATCGGATCTCCCAAGCGAAACAGCAGAGATGTCGTCCCCAGTGAGATCGCAGACGAGGATCTCTACAGCAGGACTCCAGTTCGAATATTTCGACGAACCACACCACGCGCCGACTTTGCGAATGATACGACTTCGCCATCCGCAGATCGAAACTCGACATCGCTTTTCGTCAGCCCTGCCAAATCGAACGCGTCGATGAGTGATGATGAACAACTCCCGACGAACCTTTTCCGCGACAAGCAGAGATTTGCGGAACTGGTTGCCCGCAAACGTGCTGAACGCGAAGCCCGCGAAGCAGAGGCGGCTGAGAAATCAGAACGAAGCCGTGCCCAATCCGGTCAATCGCCATTGCAGCTCCTCGAAGATGATGTGCAGACCGTCGACACTGAAGAGGCGCAAGATGCCACTATTGATCGCATCATGTCAGACGCGACTCAACCTACACGCAAAGCTAGCAAGAAGGCCATGCTAGAAATCGAACGCGAAACTCAACGCATGGCACGTCAGCAAGCCTTGGCCCATCAGATGAAAGTCAAAAAGAAGTTCACCATGAATGACCTTCTCGCACGATTTGACAACGCTCCTGCAGCACACCCTAGCACACTGACAGTCCCTCTGGAGGACACGTCAGCTTCATCGGCACTTAATAGCGATGCGTCCGAGCCTCAGAGCGTGAGAAGTCGTCGTGATACTCCGCCTTCCAGCCCACCGACCCCGCTGGATCGACAAAGGGCATTGGTGGAGCGAGGCGCGCTCAGCAAACTTATGCCTGCCCGACAGGATAGTCTTGCCTCTCTGGTACAAGACGGAGAGGGCGGCGATGAGCTCTTAGATATGACTGAGTTGCTTAGCTCTGCGAGAAAAGCGAAATCTCCATGTGCTGTTACGAAGGAGGCAGCAAAACCTGGACTTCAGCTCGCCCGTCTTGGCAAGACATCTGCTTTTGACAGCGACGGTGCAAGTAGCGATGACGAGCTCGAGATTGTCCACCAGGGAGTGAACCTTCACCGCATTTTTGATCAGGCGAGAACGCGCACACGAAAACAAAACACTGATTCCAGAGCGATACACACGCTCAAACATCTGTCGCACATTGGCGCCGACAGCAATCGAGTTTCAAGACGCAGGACAAAATCTTCTAAGCCAACTGTTCTACCACATGTGCTTGAGGCTCAACTTCGCGCCCGTGCACAAGAGCAAGCGCGGATGCAGCAAGCTGAGCGAGTGGCAGAGCTTAAAGCACGCGGTATTGTCATTCTCAGCGCGGAAGATCGCGACAAGGAAGCCGAGGATCTTGAAAATCTGCTTGATAGAGCTAGGCAGGATGCTCTGAAGCTGAGAAAAGCGGAGCGGTCGGGCCTAGGAACGAATGAGGATGGCGAGATTACCAATGTGCCAAGCGATGACGAGGAAGAGGATGAAGATTATGACGGTTCGGAGGTGGACGATGAGTTCGAGAGTGATGGACAGGAAAACGAGCTGATTGATGCAGTCGCAGCTGAAGACGAGGAAGATGAGGATGACTCTGGCGATGAGGCAGAGGGCAGTGTAATCAGCAAGGACGATGTCGTGGAACCAGCACTTGCCGTGGCGAGTGAGCAATCAGACGACGAAGAGCCTGTGCAACCTATACAAAAACGACAACACACAGCCAGACAGAGAAAATCTCGCATTGTGCTCGATGACGACGAGGACGAGCACATCTCTGCTGATCAAGGAACCCGATCTCAAACACCAGCGTCGCCAGTACGCACGCCAGCAGATCCCTTTGCAGCCTTTGGCTTCGGCAATTTCAACCCTGGAAGCTCACTGATGAGCCCGACTCAAGCATTCCATGCCACAATGCAAACGCCATCTCAGCTGACCCAGCAGGATTCGATGGATGTTTTCCGACGACTCGCACCTCCCACTTTTTCATCGGTACCACCAGTCCCATCCGCTCTGGGTGATCAAACACAAAACGAAAGTCAAACAAATATCGTTGCAGCAAGCCAGGTGCCCAACAGCCAGCAGATACAGCTTCCGTTGGAAACGCTTGCCCCCGAAACACCGATTTCCAAAGCGAAGCGAAGCGAGCCAATGCCAAGCATCGTTACTCCTGGTTGGGAACCAACGCAAGATGACGGGCTGCCGAATTTGTGGCAGGCAACCGCCAACCTGAGGCGCGAGAACACATTCGACTCCATTCCCGAGCTTGCATCCACGCAAGACACGGTGCCTATCCGAATTGCCGAATCTCCCGCACCCGCGAGAATGACCCGGCTGGTGCGTGGCCAGCGTCGTGGTCTGATTACAGATGAGTCAGACGAGGAACCCGAGCAACTGCTTGAGGAAAGCTCGAAGAATGCGTTCCGTGAGATGACCCGTCGACGAAAAGAAGCACTGACTGCCGCAGAGCGGATGGAAGCTGAGGCTCAAGCCAAGAACATGATGGATGAGCAGGCCGACGAATCTGACGATGAATACGCCGGCCTCGGAGGCGATGACTATGTTGCTCCAGAGACTGAACAGGATCACGACATCATTGATTCAAGTCACATTGAAGTCGATGAGCAAGCACTGGCTGCCCACTATGCTGAGCGACAAAGGATCGAGGACGAAGCAAATGCGAACAAACTTCTCAAGGATCTCACGACTGGTGCTTTGCGCCGGAAACAAGCCAACATGTTTGATCTCGATGAAGACGAAGCCGACTTGGCATTACGAAGGAGACAGATCCGGCAACAAGAAGAAGCACGGCGACGCCGACTGCTTCTACAGGATGACAGCATTGCTGATCTCGCCCAGGGCAAGCACAGCAAAGGCAAGGATGCATTCCTGAAAGCGATTGCCGACGATGATGATGGTGAACTCGACGACGACGACTTGCCAGAGGTTGAGGACAATGATGATCAGGCTGAGGTCGCATCGACTCCTGAGATCAACCCAGCATCACAGCTCGACAAAGCTACTGAGCCGCCGAGGGAAATATCCGGAAACAAGAGACGGCGCGAAGACTCCACTACCGAACGACTTCCCGCGACGAAGAGACGAACCCAGGTTTCCGCATTCCGAGCACCAACATCATTGCTTGAGATCAAAGAGTCTCTGAGCTTTCTGCTGGAGGAGCCAAATGCTTTGGTGACTGTGCCAGCGACAGCCGAGGCCGATTCTGGAAACGAAGACAATGGAGAGGACGAAGCCAATGGATCTGACAATGACTCCGGAGATGATGTAGACGAAGTTGAGGCTGAGAAAGCTCGTCAGAACGATGGTGGCTTTGCCCCTGATCGTGCCATGATGCCTCCACCCGCCCGACTTCCTGCCACTCAACGTCGCACTGCCGCCAATGCAGTCATCGATCGTCTCTCGATGAAGCGCAGCGCTAGCAACGCTGACGCTCCCTCGAACGGTCCCAGCGCTTGGGCATCGTCTCTCACTTCAGTGGGCAGTCTGCACGGCGTTCCGTCGCTCTTGCGACGCGCGACTACCAACATCACCTTTTCCGCGAACGAACGTGGCGTCACCACATCAAACGGTAGCAGCAGTCTCTCGCGCGAGAACAGCAGTGGCAGTAATGCTGGTGGCGTGAAGATGGGTGGCAGCAAGAAATCTTCCCTGGCATATCAAGCTCGAGCAGAGGAGAGAAGAGTGATCGTCGAAGCGGGTGTGCGGCAGCGTGCGGAGAATACCAAGCGCATCGCGGAAATGAGGAGGAGTGCTGGCGGCGTCTTGCAGGGCAGAGGTTTCGGGGGAAGTTTCGAGTGATTTATCACATTAGGCAAGAGGCATTGCTTGGCGTTTGGGAGGTGAACCGCGAGTTCCGGAGTAAAGGCCTGTCTATAAGGGCTGATGAATATCCAGTAGTGTAGTCACAATTCAGAAGCGAAAGCAGTTTTCATGAAAGAATTCCTGTTCTATTCATTTCAGGGTACCTTATGTACAACCACGTTACATCAGTCCTCCAAGATGCATCCGGGTACGACGTGCCATTGCGCGCGTAGGAAGAATCCATGTTGCTGGTGGCGTTTCAGATGGAAGAGGTTCATCGCTCCTAGGGTCGTGAATGCTACAACTTTAGAACCCTACAAAGCGATTGCGCCATGGATGAGTTTGATTGCAACGAGCATACTGCAACCTTGAGAGTAAACAGGGCGTCGGGTCCACAATGGCATTTCATCATCGTGTGCTCTGCAAGTCGATTATGCGTTGAGGTCGATTCCGGGTAGGAAAGCCTGTCGCATATTTGAATCCATCGAGGACGTGGGAATGCGTGCATCGTCGACGTCGTCGGCTCGAGGCTAAAGATAATCGGATTTGTAATACAAATGACGTTACCTGCCCGTGCTCACAGAACGATTCACGGATATAAGTGATGAACGGCAACTCATGGGCATTGATTATCGCGATGCCGAACACATCGTATCCAAGGAACAAAAGTCTCGGGGTGAAGTATTCGGCTGCGGTCACAAGTAACCCAAGATGACTCCCAACAAGAAGCAGCTCCATCTCACGGCGTTCATGCGGCCCATCTCGCTTCACCCAGGAGCATGGAGATATCCCGGTTCGTACCCGGATGCGAACTTCAATCTGAAACACATCACCTCGTTCATTCAGAAGCTTGAATCAGCCAAATTCGATGCTTTCTTCATGGCCGATCATCTAGCCGTGCTGAACATGCCCGTCGAGGCTCTCAAGCGCTCCCATACAGTAACATCGTTCGAACCATTCACGTTGCTATCAGCGTTGGCGATGGTCACTGATAAGATTGGACTCGCCGCGACTGCTTCAACCACATATGATGAGCCCTACCATATCGCACGCCGGTTTGCCTCTCTCGATCACATCAGCAATGGCAGAGCGGCATGGAACGTAGTAACTACTGGAAATCCGGAGACATCGAAGAACTTCGGCCAGGACGAACACAAGCAACATACCGATCGCTACAAGCGTGCGCGAGAGTTCTACGACGTTGTGACTGGCCTCTGGGACAGCTTTGCAGACGATGCTTTCGTGCGAGACGCCGAAAGTGGCGTGTACGTCGACCCCGCCAAGATACATACTCTCAACCACGTCGGCGATGATCTGAGCGTCCGGGGGCCGCTGAATATAGCACGACCAATTCAGGGATGGCCGGTCATCGTTCAAGCAGGACAGTCCGAACCCGGAAAACAACTAGCCGCCGAGACAGCCGAGCTCGTATTTGCCTCACCTCCCGACCTCAAGAGGGCCAAGGAGCTGTACGCAGATGTGAAGAGCCGTATGTCCAAAGTCGGACGGGACCGTGACAGTCTCAAGATTCTGCCAGCGGCCATGATCATCGTCGGCGACACCATTGAGGAGGCCAAAGCGAAACGTTTGGACTTGGACAGTCGCGTGCACTATGATACCGCCATCAATTCCCTCTCAATCGCCTTGGGATCCGACGCTTCCAATTTCGACCCTGACGGCCCACTCCCTGATGTCATCCCGGAATCCAACGCGAGCCATACGGCACGGCTGGGCGTGATCGCGCTGGCTAAGGAAGAGAATCTCACCGTTCGGCAGCTCGCGCAGCGATACGGAGGATTCGCCGGGCTCGCTTTCGTCGGCACGCCGCAATCGATCGCCGACGAGATGGCCGTCTGGCTCCACGAGGAAGCTTGTGATGGCTTCACGGTGTGCCTGCCGTATGTACCAGAAGGCTTGGATGATGTCACGCAGAGGCTGGTGCCGGAGCTGCAGCGACGAGGACTGTTCCGGGAGGATTACACGGGGAACACGCTGAGAGAGCACTTGGGACTGCCGAGGCCAGAGAATCAATTCTTCCCCGATCAGAGTCGATGGAATATATTAGAGTCGACACGCTGAGGTCAAGGCCGTGGGACGTCGGGACTTGACTTTTGTGTTATAAATAGATAGATGTCCATAATGAATCATGAATTTCGTCAAACATCGTTGCCACGGGATCGGAATCTCCTCCTCTTAATAGCTCCTCGGCAATCCGAGCGCCTTCTCGCCGATGAAATTCATGATCATCTCCTGTGCATTGTTAGCGTCGTGAGCGAATCTAGGGAGCTGATGGAATGAACATACCCGGCTCACTGGCGCGATCCTCGGCACGAAGCACTCTCGAAGATACCGCTCAACATGATATTCTGCAGCATAGCCCATGCCACCCATGGACATCACGCTTCGCTCACACGCATTGAACGCAGCCTCCGCAGCGAGATATTTGGCGCTATTGCACGCGATGCCGACCGCGTGCTGGGTAATGGAACTGTCGTATTCGGCATGGCTCGGGTTGCTTCGATCGTATAGGCGAGCCGCATGATACGTGGCCAATTTGGCAGCCTCGAGGTGCATGAAGGCGGAAGCAAGCGGATGCTGAATCCCCTGGTTCTGGCCGATGGGTTTGCCGAAGACGACTCGCTCGCGGGCATAGTCCGTCGACTTCTTCAGGGCGGCGTAGCCCAGGCCTAGAGCCTCGCCCGCCAGGAGACAGCGCTCGGCGTTCATTCCGTGCAGGATTATCTTGAAGCCTTGACCTTCGGCGCCGATGAGCGAATCGGCCGGGATGCGGTAATTGTCGAAAAAGACTTGGTTGGCGTCGACGGCTCGTCCTCCCATCTTTCGGATCTTCTTGATCTCGAGGCCAGGGGCTGTCTTGTCCAAGGGAATGTAGAACATGCTCAGGCCCTCGCTAGGCTTCTTGACATCTTCGAGGGCTGTCGTCCGCGCGAGAAGGACCATCTTGTCGGCTACCTGAGCATTCGTGATCCATACCTTTTGGCCGGTAATGCGATACGAGTCACCTTCCTTTGTCGCCGTCGTCTTCAACTTGAGGGTCTCGAGACCAGTATCGGGCTCCGTCACACCAAAACAAGTCCGCCACTCACCGCTGATGATCTTTCTCAGGAATGCATCTCGCTGATGTTCGGTTGCAAACTTGGCGATGGGCTGGGTCGCGTAGACATTGGCGTGTACAGACTGCGCTCCTGCCAGACCCGCTCCACTCTCCGCAATAGCTTGCAACATCATAGTGGCTTCCGAGATACCTAGGCCCGCGCCACCAAGGTTTTCTGGTAACGCAATTCCTATCCAGCCATCCCTTGCCAGGTCTGCATGCAATCCATGAGGATACTCTTCGTTGTAATCGTGTTCCATCCAGTATTCATCACTGTACTTCGAACATATTTTCATCACCGCATCTCGGACTGTGAGCTGTTCGGTAGAGAAGCCCGAGAGCTCCATCAGCCGTCGCGACGGCGTGTTGGAGAGCGTTCGCCGACATGTTACAAACGCTTGGTTCCGTGGACGGGCAACCGCAGTGGCAGATGAGGGAAGACATGCAAGGCGCCGGACGGTGATATGGAGAACTTTCGACATGGTAGAGACGAAGCATCAATATGACGAGACACTATGTTATATATATGTACGGCAAGGCAGTCGAATATTGTGCGTAATGCTTTTGAATACCTGGTTATGGCAGAATCTCAAGCCGCGAGTCGCATGATGAGTAGACGTGTGGGTGTTTGCCCGTGATCAGCGCATCAGCCGAGACATCCGCTCCGAGTCCCCAGTCGAACGTAATGTGTCTGAGCATCAACTGCCTCGAACATGTAATTCCACGATCAGCAGAGAGAGCACTTATGTTTCGCGGCATTTTCTTCGCAGCATTTTCTTCGCAATATTATATCCTATACGCCGGGGCAAACGGACAGAGTCCCGTGTGTCGAGCAGCGGGAGACTTGCCAGTGACGTTGTGCTCAAATTCCAGTCACGTGAAGACGGCTGGGGACCGCTACCTACCCCATATTTACGCGACTAGTAAACAACAAACGCGCAATTCGATGTCCATAGACACTGGACCTCTTCAATATCTGCACAATTGACAGAGACATTCTGCTCAACGACAGCACGAATCCCCTCAAAACTCGAGTACCAGGCGACGATGTTATTGACGCGCTCATAACGCAATTACAACGAGGCGATCTGCGCTCCAACTCCACGACTTCCACCTGGACAATCCTAATCACAACAACACAACAATGGCGGCGCCAAAATCGAAAGCGCAGCCGGTTGGCTCGTCGCAATGGATTCAGAGTGAGCGACAACAGGCGTCAGATTTTATCTCTCAAGAAGTCGAAGAATTTGGGTATAGCGCACGCAATGAATTGGAATGGTTGAACGAGCATATGGCGGACGTTTTCAGCACGACAAGAGTGTTCGTAGAGGATTACACCGCCGCTTTTGTAGAGATCGCGCTGATAATCTTGTCACAGGAACTTCGCGGACGTTTTCAAAACACCTGGCAAGCTAAGAGGGAAGACACCACGCACAGCTCGAAAGCGAGATGCGTTGGCACCTCGACAGCCGCTTGCAGATATATTCGCTCCTTCAGTTCCACAAACAAGCGACTCGCCGCAAAGGCCGACTATTTTTGAAAAGGCGGCGCAGTTCGAAATCGCCGAGGATGTAGAGAATGCTGCAGCGGTTGAGAGACCGATCAGTGGTGGCCGAAGTCCTCGGCGCCCTGGTGTTCCTTGCACAGATTCTGGTTATCACGGCCTCACCGAGGATGAGATGGACGTTTTTGCTCCTCCAGCGAGTATCGACGCGTCAACTCAAGACACCGCACCTGTAGATGTGCTCACAACAATCGAAGAGCCGGTGCAACAACCAAAGGAGGGCAAAGCCGACGACACCGCCGCGAGCGACGACTCGTTTGTCTCGGCGAAGGAGCAGGATGCAAAAGACGCTAGCAGGGTGGTTTCGCTCGATGCGAAGACGGAAATGAACACTGTCGAATCTCAAATCGTCAGTGAGGAAGCAGTCGTTGCTGGTGACACCCAGCCAGACTCTCCGATGGGCGAGACGCAAGCATACCCAGACGTTCAAGAACTCGCATCAAGGCCAGGCGACTCCATCGAAGCTGATGTGGAGATGGACGATGCCGATGCACCACATTCGGAATTGTCAAGTCCAGAAAAGCCGCTGCACCGAAAGAGCAGTTTCACTTTCTCGGCTCTACCAGCTAGGGAACCACTTGGTGCGAAGAAAAGCATGGGTCATCTTGACAATCACCGCAGCAGCACTCTCGGCAAGTCTTTCGGCACGAAAGGCAATGATGCTGAGGACGAAGATGAAGACGAGGACATTATGGATAAGCTGGCCCAACTGAAGGAGCCCAGTAAGACCTCGACCCAGCTATTGCATGAGCGCATCAATCTCCTCGGCAAGACGAAGGACTCCCGAAGCTCCAAGATCGTACCTGCGAGTGCCCTATCCGGAGGAATTGTCTACCCTCAAATTCAGGAAATGGAATTTGACAGTCAGGATGGAACCACAGCTGTGAATTCGCAGGTGACAAATGATTCTCAAACAAAACAGCCACTTAAAGACGACGACGACGACGATGATGACTGGATCGCACCAGCTGTTCCAGCCAAGACTGCGATGCAAATGACCAGTGAATCGCGATTGCCGCAAGTACAACTTTCGCCCAATCGACCAGTGATGCATCAGAAATCCATCTCGACGACCGACATTCCGTCACCCAGACCTGATATGCCACACACTCTAGGCCATCAAAAGTCCTTCTCCGTCACACAATTCAACGAGTCAACCACACCAGCCGGATCTCCTACAGCAAAGAGAACATACGAAGGCCCATTGAGCGCGTCCAAGAACAGATTGTGGTCTGCACTCAAATCCGCCAAGAACATTTTCGCCTCATCTGCAAGCGCAAGTGCTGCAGCGAAGCTTGAAGCACACAACAGTTCCATGCTCACAAGGCAGATCTCGGTAGACGAATCTCGTGATGCGGCCGTGTTCAACATGCCTGGCGCCATGTACTCAGAGAGACAACTACCACAAAGCCCCAGTCGACCGACCTCCGCCATCTCACATAGCCCTAGCCGTAAGACTCGCAGCTCGACAGAAAGCGACAGGAAACGAGAAAAGGACGCGAAGAGTCAACAGAAGGCTGTCGATGACCTTGAAAAGGCACGCGAAAAGGAACGCCAGAAGGCCACCAAGCAGCAACAAGAAGAAAAGGCAAAGGCGGAAAAGGCTGAGGCCAAACGTTTGGAGGATGAAAGACGCGAGGCAGCGGCGCAGGCGGAGCGACCAGTCTCCACCGATGGCGAGAGGGACGATATGTCCTCGGCCCCATCTACCAAGTCTGGTGGAATGAGCTTGGGAAAGCTTCGCGCCCCTGGAAGATTATTGAAACCATCCAAAGAGACTCTCGTCTCAAAACCAGTTCCAGTTTCGATTCGCGTTACCGCACAATCACAACGACTTGGCCAAGGAGCAAGCTCGCAGTCATCGCTTGCGAAATCGCAGCACGAGAGCTCGGCTCCCACTCCGCTTGCCGCGAAGGATGGAAGCTTACGAGCTGCGTCGGTTCAAAGCAACAGGCCTGGCAGCGCAGCACCTTCAGGAGCGCGAGTCCGAGCACTCGAAGCAGCTGCACGCAAGAAGGAGGCGGACGCGAAAGCTGCACAAAAGAAAGCTGACCAGAAGCGTGAGCTCGAGCGCAAGCGGGCAGCGAAAGCGGAAGAGGAGAAGCGAGCCGAGGATGAACGAAAGGCGGCTGAGCAGCAAAGGGCTCAAGAAGCCAAACTCGCAGCGCAGCGCAAAGCGGCTGAGAAGCAAGCACTTGAAGCTCGTAAGCGGGAACAAGAGCGTGCTGAACAGCAGAGGCGGGAGCAGGAGCGGGAGCAGGAGCGAATTGAGCAAGAACGGCGCGAACGGGAGCGTGCAGAGCAGCAGCGACGCGAGCTCGAAACCTTCCGCCAACAGGAAGAGGCGCGCAAAGCAAAAGAAGCTCATGATCTGGCTGAGGCCATCCGGCGTGAGAGGGCGCAGCAGATGCCGGCACATCCGAGAGGCGATGTAGGTGGAACCTTGCGGCAATTGGTCAAGTCCACGATCCCGGTGCAGAATGGAGCCAAGCCTATCAAACGCGTGTTCAACCCAGACGATGAAGCATTTTCTCAGAACCAGCAGCGGCCACCAATTCAGCGAGGCCCGCCTTCGTATCAGCAGACCGATGCAAAGCGCAGGCGGACCAGTGAGGAACCTCAGAAGGAGCCCGAGAGACATTCGGTTATGGCTCCGCCCAAGCGGCCGTCGAATTGGCGAAAGGTATGCGACCGTTTCGAATTTTCGTTGATGACATTGATGCTGACCATCGCAACAGGACACTCTTTCCAAATTCCCGCACGGCTACTCACACGCGCCGCCACCCGCACAGCACCACAATACGATGTACAAGAAGCCTGGACAACCCATGCATCCCAGCCAATTGGTGCAGGTCTCCAATGCACGAATCCCCTTTGCAGATAACAATAACCCGCCGGGATCCTCGAACTACGCTACGTCCCAATCACACCTACAGCAGCAGCAACAACAACAACATCATCACAACGGGTACGACAACTACAACAACAACAACAAATTCAAAACCCCTGCCCGCCCCGCCCCCGGCTTCCCCAAATCCGCCGGCACGACCAAACCCCAAACCCCCTCCTACCTCCAAGGCGACGCCATCGAGCTCCCGGACATCGCCACCGACTCCGAGGATGAAGAAAGCGACGACGAGCGGGGCGGCGGACCCGGCGGCGGCTTCCGCGCGCCCTCCTGGGTGGCCAGCCCCGCGCTCCGCGACCTCCTCACCCAGCAACAGCTCGTCGACCCGGAGAGCGTCTTCGGCCCGATCGGCGAGCTCAAGATGGACGAGGTGTTCAAGAACGGCAAGAACGCGGACCGCCTGAAGCGCTTCCGCGACCGCGGCAGCAGCGCCATGTGGGTCGAGAGCGGCGACGCCGTCACCAGCGCCGAGAAGAAACGCGACATGGAGCTGCGGGAGCGCGTCGCGCGGGATGGCGGGTGGAGGTACGAGCCCGGTGCGTTGTAGAAGATGCTGCTTTCTCCGTTTGTTTGTTTGTGTTTTTTCTCCCTCCTCCTTCTTCTTCTTCCGCTCCTTGATGAAGGATTTTGGGAAAGAGGGGCCTTTCGAGGGAGGAAAACACATCGGTGGAGGGCGATCGAGGGGATTTCTGCGGGATGGATTTTATTGCTGGGTTTCTGCATCGTGTTGGGGGCGGGCGGGCGTTCCTCTGGGATTTTTTGCCATCGTTTGGATTCTTCCACCGCGCGCACTCGTCTGTCTGGATTTTTCCGCCGTCGTATCTCTCCGTGTCTCCCCCGCGCACTCGTTTATATCTCTTTCGCCCCTTTTTCCAGGAACCGGGACATTTACATACATACATACGCCTGTCTGTCTGTCTGTCTGTGGACAGCGCGTGGGATTCGGAGGAGAGAAACGGCATCATGATGAGTACTCGTCGGGGGGGACGGAGCGGGCGAGAGGAGTTTTTCTCGCCTGGCGTTGTGAGCAGAGCGGTCCCATCATCATCATCATCATCATCATCACTACTATTATCATTACTAGAGGAGGGAAAGAAAGCGAGCGGGGGGACGATCTTCGACCCATAACGACGGCGATGGGTAGGAGAGCAATACACAATTTTCCATTTAATTTTTTTTTTCACTTTGAAGACTGCATGTGCCCCTCCCATCCGCCGTCGGTGCTGCCCCCCTTTCCCGGTCGCTGCAGCACTTGGGGAGTTTACTTGGTTCACTCGCTCTCTCGGTGACGGACAGGGTCAGATCCGACGAGTCGGGGCCGTCGGTCCCACCGACCGACGGAGATGGATCGTACGAGGTCGGGTGGGGTTTTCGCGAAGATGATGAATGCGGGAGGGAAAATTCACCGCCGTTGGGGAGAGGGGGGGTTAAAAAACATCCCCGCCACTGAAACTCATCACACAAAGACGAAGCTGGACGTTCACCACTGCAGGAAGGGAAAAAGAGAAAAGAAAGGAAAAGGAGAGAGAGAGGTGGGGTTCTCGTTCGGATTGGAAGAGAGGAGAGACCAAAAAAAAAAGGAGAAAAGGATTATCTATTCCGTTGCTTTTCAATCGTCGCCGCCGCCGCCCATGTTCCCGCCGCCGCTCTGGGCGCTCTTGGCGCTGACGATGTCGTCGACGCGGAGCAGCAGGCAGGCGCTCTCGACGGCGGTCTTGATGCTCTGCAGCTTCACGGCCTGGGGCTCCCAGACGCCGAGGTCCTTCATGTCGGCGACCTTGCCGGCGTCGCCGTCGACGCCGAAGGTCGAGAGGCCCTCGGCGTGGCGGGCGCGGAGCTGGGTCAGGACCTTGATGGGCGAGGCGCCGGCGTTGGCGACCAGGGTGCGGGGGATGACCTCGCAGGCGTCGGCGACGGCGCGGTAGGGCCACTGGGCGACGCCCTCGACGCCCTTGGCGGCCTGGGCCAGGCGGACGGCGACGGCCATCTCGGTGGCGCCGCCGCCGGGGCTGAGGAAGGGGTGGAAGACGACGTTGCGGGCGACGGACATGGCGTCGAGCAGGTTGCGGTCGATCTCGTTGAGGATGTCCTTGCTGGGCCCGCGCAGGAGGATGGTGCAGGCCTTGGGCTGGCGGCACTTGGTGAGGAAGGTGAAGTACTCGTCGCCGATCTTCTCGATGTTGAACAGGCCGCAGGCGGTGCCGACGTCCTGCTCGCGGAGGTCGTGCACGCTGTTGACGATGGTGGCGCCGGTGGCGCGGGCGATGCGGTTGTTGTCGGTCTTGCGGACGCGGCGCAGGGCGGTGATGTCGTGCTTCAGGAGGAAGTGCTGGGCGAGGTCGGAGACGCCCTTCTCGGTGATGACCAGGTCGGGCTTGACGGCGATGATGGCGTCGCACAGGGCGCGGACCTGCTCCTCCTCGATCTGCAGGATGCGGTTCCAGTCCTCCTCCTTGGTGATCTCGATGTTGGTCTGGGACTCGCCCTTCTTGTACTCCAGCGTGCAGTCGAGGAGGACGATGCGGGGGTTCTCTATCCTCCTCCGCATCTTCGGGTGGGTGATGTCCTTGTTGAGCATGACGCCGTCCAACACCACGCTGTCCTCGATCTCTCCGCCGGGGACCTTCTCCACCCGGGCGTACCGTTTGATGTCGACCTCTTTCTTGCCGCCCCCCGCATCGTGGCTGACCGTCCGCACGGCGGTGAGGGCGAGGTTGCACATGAGGTCGGAATACCTCGAGGAGAACTTGGTGCCGATGGAGGTGGAGATGATGCCGCGCATCACCTTGTCGTCGTTGATGTCGACGGGGATCGACACGTCCTGGATGACTTTGATGGCGTCGTTGAGCGCACGTTTGAAGGCTTGGATGATGATGACCGGATGGATCTTCCGCTCCAGCTGCGGTATGGATAGGGCGAGGATCTCGCCAGCGAGGATGATGACGGTGGTCGTGCCATCTCCGACCTCTTCGTCCTGCGTCCGCGCAAGCTCGATCATGCTCTTGGCGGCGGGGTGTGCGACCTCGATCTCACGGAGGATGGCGTGACCGTCGTTGGTCAGGACGATACCGCCCATCGGGTCGAGCAGCATCTTCAGCATGGCCTTGGGACCCAGACATGATCGGATGATGTCTGCGACGGTCTTTGCAGCGGTGATGTTGGAGAGTTGGGCTTGACGCCCGGTCTGACGTTGGCCATTTTGGGTGTCTGTAGGACAAGGTGAGAAGGTCAGTAAGATTCCGATCGTCCATGATCGCTGGATTACGAGATAGTTGTCGGTCTCGGTTGGAAGACTCACTCAGGACAACGACTGGCGCCTGCATGGTGAGTTTGTGTGGTGGAGGACCCGCCTACCACGTATGAGGAAGATGGAAACGTGGGAGAGGCCAATACTTCAGCAGATGAAGCAGATATTTGTCGAGTGAGGTGCGTGAAGCTCGTCGCAGAGGTCGGCAATACGTGGTCTTCGTGAATCGTGGTCGTGTGTGGTCGAGAAGAGGTGTGGAGTGCTACTGGAATATGCTCTGGCCCTCAATATAATTCGTGAAGTTTATCGCTTGCCTGGCCCGAAGAATTTCTGCAGTAGCACCTCCACAGCTGCTTAAACCCTGAGGGATGGAGTGTTTGGTGATGCGGGCAGACGTCTTGATTATCTTATCACAGGGCGGATCTCGGGACGGCCCGTGGAATCTCTACGGAGCATCATATCGCGAATGTGTCCATATGTGAGTACGTAAGCATGCCGCACAGAGATGCAGGCGGGGTGGTCGGTCCCTTGGTCTCATGTATACACATATCACGTGATCGCATTCTACATCCGTCCACCTGGCTGGCGGGCAGCTGAGCAATTGCAATTGTGCGCAGGTGAGCAGCTCAGCTGTACACGCATGATGAGATCGACCCTCACTCAGCCGAGGCAAAACATCTTCCTTTCCAATTCCTGTACCCTGCTGGATCCTCTTCACTCCTCCCCATGCAGGGGAAGTGATGGATGGGAACAAAGACGAGGCGGCGAGTGCCTGTACCGGTACGACCGTCGCGACAATGGCCGCTGAATAGTCATCTATAGTCAGTCCTGTCGGTCACGTCCACTGGCACTGAAGCTGTATACTGGATGGACCGGGTGTCCATGTGTGCGTGGCCGGATCATCACCATCATCATCATCTGTCTCGTAATACATACTGAGAGATATATCTACACACAGCGGATGCCGGGGTGTCCGATGACTCGAGGCACGCGAGCACCGCGAATGATGAGTGAGATGTTTGGGCCGAGATCGAGCACGCTCACCGTCGTCGGAGACATCTGCATTATGACCAATGATGGAACGAATGAACAGTGCGTATGATAGAACCATCTTGGACAATTCATTATTACACATCCGATTCGGTGGCCGACGTGTCTTCATCAGGGCACCCGATGTCGTCTGTCTGGGGGACTCGGACTCGACGTCGATGGGTTTCGGTATATGCTGTAAATAACAATGACGATAATAATCATAATAATGGCACATACATCCACTTTTATATATATATATATATATATGTTATATACAAACAACCATAAATGCATATATACATCTGTACATACATCTATACATACATCTATACATACATACATACACCTGTCGTCCTCGTCGTCGTGATCGTGATCGTCGTCACTCTCCGCAACTGCCAGGTGGCCGCCGCCGCCGAACAGGAAAGAAAAGAAAAGCATCACCACCGTGTCGTGTGTCGACCGCGTGATATTTCTTCCCGCCGGTGGACACATCCATCCAGTCGATCGCTCAGCAGGAGGGGCGACACGTGCGTGGGATGCGTGCGTTCCCGGATGAGACGAACCCCCGAAAAGTCGCTCGTCTCCGGGTTATTTCTTTGGAAGAGGAGGATGGTGATGATGATAGAGTTCGGCAGTTGGTGCAGTAGTGTAGTGGGAGGGACGGGAACCGTGGATGATCGATCGTCGTCGCCGTCGACTCCGGTGTGCAGTGGACTGTATCTCACTCACACAGCTGTCACTCCCTACCCTCTCCATGTTGCGGAGTGCAGCGCGCAGCAGCAGCCCACGGGGAGTGTGGCCAACGTATACAGTAACCCATTTGTATATCATTTGTATGTCATTTGTATATCATTTGTATGTTATTTGTATGTTATTTGTATGTTGTTTGTATATTATTCGTATGGCATGGTATGTATGGTACGGTACGGGACTGCAGAGACGTTAGGTGTCATACGTGTGGACCTCGTGCGTGAGTGCGTGCATTCACGCCGAACCGTGTCTCGGCAGGCGGCTCTCTCCAAGTATGCATGTGTAGGTGGTGGTGGACAGAGGGATGCCTAGGTAATAACAATGACCAGCCGCATTCGACATGGTGATGCGATCAGGTCCGGCGTGACACCGTGACTGTGGCGGTGACTGTTGACTGGACTGCAGTGTGTGTAGTAGTGTGTGTACACCTATCGGCCGTAGAACACGACGAGGACATGACCCTTCCTGTTGTTCCTCCTGTTGTTCCTCCTCCTTCGCCACGGTTTGCCCTCCGCCTGAGCAGGCCCGAAACGACCTGGATGGAAGCGTATAAAGTGGGTTCTGTTCGCACCTCGCCCCGGTGCTTGTGTGGCTGACTCGGCGATCTCTCTCTCTCCCGTCGACTCTCCGCTTTCCCTCTTCGGCTTCATTTCAATCTTCATAGAACTAACTTGGCTCCTCTCTCCCTCTACACTCACCCGGCCATGCGGTGAGGCTTCCCATCTGCCCTCCTGGATGCTGCTGCTGCTGCTGTGAGCCCATCATCATCATCACCAACAGATTTATCCGCCAGATTGTTGCGGTGCAGGTGGCCATCCCACTGTGATCGACTCCTCCGCCATCAGCAAGCTCACTGTCAGCAGCAGCCCCCGCAGATCCCACCGGTGCTCGTGAGACGCCCGTCGTCGCCTCGTCACAATGCGCGATCCATTCCCCGTCGAGGCGCCCGAGTGGCTCATCCGCGTCGTTCAGCCGTACGCCGAAGCGGCCGGTTTCCCGTCCCTCTCGCTGCACGCGCACGAGGCCATCTTCGCCTTCCTCATGTACACCTTCGTCAACGAGGTCGTGTCGCCCATCGGCAGCAGGTTGATCTGTCCCAACATCTACAACAACTTCAGCCGGCGCACGCAGATCAACTGGAACGTCCACGTCACCTCCTTCTTCCAGTCCGTCCTCATCAGCGCCTTCTCGCTGTGGATCATCTTCTTCGATGAGGACCGAGCGGCCATGCGCGCGCGGTCGAACTATGAGGATCGGGTTTGGGGATACGACGGCATGAACGGCCTGTGCCAGTCGTTCGCCCTGGGATACTTCGTCTGGGACTTCATCATCTGCGTGTGGAGGGTGGATATCTTCGGGTGGGGTATGGTGGCCCACGCCATCAGCGCCCTCTCGGTGTTCTCGTTCGGATACGTGAGTCTGCTCCATTTCCTTCCAAGTCCTGCCATGGCTTCTCCCAAAATCATGAACGGATATCCAGATTTCTAGCTAAGTGGACGACTCGTGCTGACATACCCCGTCTCTCGACGGTCTCCAGCGGCCGTTCGTCTACTTCTACGCCCCGGTCTTCCTCCTCTACGAACTCAGCTCCCCGTTCCTCAACGTGCACTGGTTCTGCGACAAGGTCAACCTCACCGGCTCCACCATCCAGGCCGTCAACGGCGCCCTCCTGACCGGCACCTTCTTCGGCTGCCGCCTGATCTGGGGCAACATCAGCAGCATCCTCGTCTTCTACGACATCTTCCGCGGCGTGCGCTACGGCAACAGCCAACACATCACGACCGCGCGGCCGAGCTACACCCCGGCCGAGCTCCTCGCCATCGCCCGCGACGGCGACGGGCAGCGCATGGCCTTCGCCACCGAGTCGTCCATCCCGCTCTGGCTGGCGGCCATCTACTTGGCGTCGAACCTGACGCTCAACTCGCTGAACGTGTTCTGGTTCGGCAAGATGATCCAGACGATCCGCAAGCGCTTCGACCCGCCCTTCGGCACCAAGGGCGTCGGCCCCGAAGTGATCCATTGGGAGCCGCAGGAGCAGAGCACGCTGGCCGCGCTCGAGGGCGACGTCGCCATCACCGCCCTCGACCACGAACACACCCGCCGCCTGAAGCTCGGCCGCCAGATCTCCAGCGCGCCCGGGACCGTGCTCCAGGAGAAGACGCAGCCGAACGGCTCCAAGAGCATCGAGGTCCAGGGCTCGAGGACGGTGCGGTCGCGCAAGGCCTGAAGCGGATGATCGAGATGGAAAAACCCCCAGCGAGACGGGTTCGTGGCTCAAGGAGGCGGATGGAGGGGTGGTGTGTGTGAGAGAGAGAGTGAGAGAGAGATAAGCCACTCGCATGGGGCGGGATGGGGAGGACGGGGAGAAGGGACAGCCACCGCGACGCACGAACTCTTTTCTTCTCCTTCTTCTTCTTCTTCTTCTCCTCCGCGCCGGGCTGGACGTCTCATGTCATGTGGATTCGGTAACGATGGAACACGCGGGAGGGAGAGGGGTGGGGGGAACCGGACCATCCCAAACGACGGGGTGTCATGTATATGCGTGAAACGTTCTTTTGGAATGACCACTCGAATTAATTTTTTGATACATCCTGCAGATGGAGGTGAAAGGAGG